ACAACAACATTACAATTAGGTAATGTTTTAATTGTTGATTTTACTTTTATTAGTGGTGGTTCTGAAATATTTGTAGTAATATTTCCTTGGTTGCTTTTTTCTTTAACTTGTGGTAAATGAGATTTTTTAGTTATCTTTAAGGATTTATCTTGATATTTTACTTTATTTTGGGATATCAGAAATTTTGAAGACTTCAAATCATGTTCTGAACCTTCTGAATCATATTCTGAAAAAGAAATTTCATCTTGATAATCATAAAAGTCATCTTCATCTATATAAATATGCCTTGACTTATTACGTACCATATCTATGGTCAATTATAATACATTTGCGTGCTGTAAAAAAGAAAATTATTAAGTCTCTTAAATTTTTTATTAATATTTTATTTTATTCTTTTTAATGGGTTTAAAGAAATTATAGCGGTAATTTTTAACCGCCATAATACATGCAATTTGTAATTTATGATTATAGTCTGGTACGACAAGTCAGATTTTATTTTTAGGGCTTATATTACTTAAAGCAAATATTTTAGTTAAAAATAACCTTAACTAATTAAAATATATATAATACCCAAAGTCTCATGAATTGTTAAATTTCTTCTTGTTATAAAGCAAATCTAGATCAAGATAAATAAAATAATTTCTCACTTATCTAATATACTAGAGGAATAAAGGATATTAAAAGATAATTTAACATAGATAAAATCCTAAGAAAAAACTATTTTATGGATATTTATAGTATAGAGACTTATCAATGAAAATAAATAGTCAATTAGGAATATATCAGAAAGTTTCAAGTAGAGCTGAAAATAGATTATGGCAAAAAATAAAAAAAAACTTATATAGAGAATTTGTTCACTCAAATATTCTTGAAACTACTGATCTTTCTCTTCAAGAAATAAGTAATATTAAATTAATATGTAGTGAAATTATGAAGCGAAATGGCACTTGCTATTTAATAATTGAAAATATAAAAAAACTTCTGCTTCTAAGAGGGATTAAGTCGTTAAGAAAACCAGAAGTAATTAATCAATTAGTATATTATTCAAATTATATTGAATTTGTAGAGGTATGTTTTATTTTAATAAACAATAATAAAGCAAATAAGTATTATACTTATTAGCCTACTATTTATTGTTATTTTATTAACTCCCTTAAAATTTGATAATTTTTCAATATACTTAATTACTTAGAAAAGTATTAATAGTATTATAATAAAATATAATCATGAAATATTTTCGACTATTAGAATGATAGAAGAAAAGCAAAGAAGAGTTGTAATTAGAAATATATATAATGTATTACGTAGTGGTGTAGGACTACAAAGTAGAAAGCAACCAGCATATTATATCAGAGTAGCAGATTTACAATTAACAAGATCTCTCAAATTTATATCTAAAATTGAATTGAGACAACTTATTATTTGGCAAATTGAAAGAGTTATTCATCAATTAGCACAAATAAGTTTAAAATATAGGTCATGGATATCTCATATAACCTTAGCAGCTGATTTTAGTGGAACAAATTCTATATCCAATTCAGCTGAATTTCAATTATTTGTTGATTTGTTAAGTGAAATTTTAGAGGCTTATTCTCCAATATTTATTAATTTTGTAATTATTCATAAAGTTAATGATCTTGGAGTTAATATTTGGAGAGTTCTAGACAAAATGAATAAAAGGCTTCACTTAAATTCAGTTAAGACATTATTTACAGAAACTGATAGTGAATTATGGAATATGTTTAGTTCTATGAATGGACCAATTTTACATTCTAGAGGTGGTTTTATTAATAATACTTGTATATATCCAATATGTAATAGTTCAAGTGTTATAGAAGATCCAAGATTTTCTTATACAAAGGAAATTATTGAAAATAATGATAATAAGAACATGTATGATTTAGAGAATTTTGAAGTTTTTTTTGAATCTCTAAAGCCTAATCTTTGTTTCTCAGACTTTAGTTATTTGTGTCTTCAATTATTGGATATTTCAGATCGCGACTATTATAATTTTATAAATGACTAGAAAATATAAAGTCAATGGAAAACTTTTTTATTACTGATAAGCTTAATAAATTTGTATTAATATAATGGATTTCAGATAGTAAATAGCTAAATTTACTATTAATCTGATTTATAATGAATATAATTTTATAAATATATAATCCATAAGATCTGGCATTAAAAGTTACAGGTTATAGCGCTTCGGAAATGTTATTTCTTTCTTTCTTTTGTTTTATTATATTACTTTAAATGTATACTAGAAAACTACCTATTATACAGTAAGTTATAAAACATTGTAGTTAATTTGATCTATATTTTTATTCTTATATATAATTATCAATATTATATTCTCATATTTTTAGTAAAATAGATATAGATTTTGTAGACAATAGAATAGCCAATATAGTTAAAAATTCCATTGAACCCGATTTAAATCCAGTTAATAATCAGATATGTACTAAATATCTCAAGGTTGAAGGAACTCATTTATTGGTGTAAGTTGATATTACTAATATATATTAAATGCTCCATTCTAACATATATCCCTAATTTATATCACTTTTTTATAGAACTATTGAGAGTTGTGATATATTAGTACTTAGAAAATCTTCTAATGCACTATATGAGATGCTAATATTAGCTACAAAGGCTATAGAAGAGTTCAGAGATTAAATTCTGTCTTGCAGTATGGTTCAAGTTATATCTTAGATGTGTATATCTAACCTCTTATTAGTTCAAATATAGTACCATCTATAATTATGTTGATTTTTACTACTATGTATATAACTTAAGTATATTTAAGACTAATCCAAGTACTATTTAAATTAATATTTCACTTTTTCGTCTCAAATATTTTTTTTTTAGCGGTATAAGGCCGGTATTATTGTGGTAAAAGTTGGTGAGGTCTCCTTAAATATTTCAAAAAGGGAAATTTCCACTATTTTGATATGGTTATAACGAAAGTCTTGTATATAGGAGAAGTTATACAATAAACTACACAAATTCTATCTGGTAAGTACTAATACAATTGTTATTAGAGCGACTAAGAATAGTGAAATAGTAAATTTACAACAAATCACGGCAAATTTTATAATAATTACTTACTTACTTAAATTAACTAATTTCTAGGGTTCTAAAGGTATTTTGGCTGAAGGTATATTGTTTTGTTAGATCCTTGTAGTTTATTACTAGCAATAACTTAATGAAGAGGAGTAGAAGCAACATTGATTGTGAGGAAATTAGCACCCGGAAGCTGAATTCTAAAGTTAAGCTAAGTAGATCCACCGATAACTATTTAAAAAAGAGTAACTATAAGAAGTGTCCAGAAGGTGAAGATAAAGATAGCCCTGTTAGAGTTTATGCTGATGGTGTATATGATTTATTACATCTTGGTCATATGAGACAATTAGAACAAGCAAAGAAAATGTTTACATATACACATTTAATAGTAGGAGTAGCTAGTGATGAAGAAACTCATCGTTTAAAAGGACGTACAGTTCAAAATCTAGCAGAAAGAACTGAAACTTTACGCCATATAAAGTGGATTGATGAAATTATTTCACCTTGTCCATGGGTAATTGATAAGAATTTTATTGAGAAACATAGAATTGATTATGTAGCTCATGATGATGCTCCTTATATTGCTAAACAAATTAAGAGGAATGATGAAGATCATAATAATAACTCGAATGTAGATAACATCACTAGTAATAGTAATAGTGAAGATTTAGCATGTGCAAATGAAGATGATATTTATGGTTGGTTAAAGAGAGCTGGGAAATTTAAAGCAACACAAAGGACTCAAGGTGTATCTACAACTGATCTGATTGTGCGTATATTACAAAATTATGAAGATTATGTTGATAGATCATTACAACGTGGTATAACACCTAATGAATTAAATATTGGATATATGAAGGCTAATCAAATACAAATGAAACGTGGAATACAACGTTGGGGTGAGAAGGTCACTAATGAGCTAACAAAAGTTACATTAACAGATAGGCCTTTGGGAATTAAATTTGATGAGAGTGTTGAAAATATAAGAAATCAAATACATAAGTCATTTGATGCATGGAGAAAAGTATCAAAAAGATACCTTGAAGGATTTGCAAGGACATTTGATCCAATGAGATCCTTATTTAGGGAAAATAGATCCCCAGATATTTATTCACCAAATTAACCTAATTAAAAGGGATATAACTCAATTAATGTTACTACTTCAAATAGTAATTATTCCATTTATATTGATGGAATTTAAGGATATGTGAATTGAGTTTAACATTTAGTATATGGTGGATATATTAATAATAAACTAATAATTAGTCATACATTTCTTCTTTGTATATAGATTTACTGAAACAATAGAAATGATATAAATTTTATAATAAGTAGTAATATAATATTTAAATAAATATCTTAATATACTTGTTGAGTTTAATATATAGATACAAAAAGGAAATAATTAAGGAAGTTATCTCAAGTTATTTACAAGTATTTTGATATATATATATTATCAACAATAAATTATAATCTTATTTTAATAAAATATTTTAGAAGTGCACATATAAGTAATAGATAGTTTCTAATTGATACCAAATAGTCTGGGTACCTTTAATTATTCATTGATACTCCTAAATCCTACTCAATCAGACGCGCATATATACTCATAGTTGTATGTAGGGGATAAACTTAATTAATAATATATAAAACTCAAATATATAAATTTTATATTATGGAAGTATTAATATATAATAGATATCCATAAAATATATACTAAATGATGATATAATAATTCAATATGTCAAGCCCTTTAGAGTATGCTTTTTGTGCTTTAGGTTCTGCAATAGTTGCAAAGACTATAGTTGCTCCCTTTGATAGGATCCGATTATTATACCAAGTTCAGGGAATGATGAACAGTACTCAGAGTATAAATATAATTGGAACAGGGAATGCACTCACTAATACATTGAAATATAAAAGTTTGTATCAAACAATACGTATGATTTATAATGAAGAAGGGTTATTAAGCTTTTGGTGTGGTAATCTCACAAATATTTATAGATCATGTCTTGTTTATATATTAAAATTTTCAATAAATGATACAATGAAATTAAGAAGGCTAAAGAGGGAACAATTGAATAGGTCTAACTCTGAAACATCATTTAATTCATTATTAACATCATCCTCTGATGATAACCTACATAAATTGAATGTTATGGATTTATTATTATCTGGAGGTATTGCTGGATTTGTTCAAAAGTTCATAAGTTATCCACTGGAAATTTTATCTGTTCGCATTTCTCTTGGGATAAATATAAATAATTTGAATATAAAAAAGACCAATGATCATATTAAATATGATGGGATTTTCAATTGTATTCAAAGAATTTATAGATATGAAGGTATTTCCGGTTTTTATAAGGGGATAATTCCGACAGTTCTTACAGGTACTCCATATGTTGCAATTCAATTAACATCGTTTGAATTATATAAAAGGTTAGTTTTTACTTCTATTGGTTTAGATCTTCTAAACTCAAGGAATTTAAATTTTTAAGTATTTCTAATTGAGATACACATCCATATATATGTAAGCTTTTATATATTTAAATATTTCCCAAAATATTTGAATATTATAAATTGAAGAGGGTGATATCTTAAGATTTACTATATACTAATTAATTTTCAGTATTTACTTTTATTTTTTTTTTAAATTTGAATGAAATATTGTTTTTTTATAGGTTATTGATTAAATTATACTGTAATATTAGTAATTCCTTACCAAAATCTTTTAAGAGTCACACTATTTATACAGGAACTGATTATCACTTACCAAATGATTCATCTTATTCTTTGTCTTATAATGACATGGGAAATTGTATAGATAAATCCTCAATTGATTATTCATCTAAATTAGAGAAAAGTTTACAGATAACTTCTTCATATTCAGTGCCTTTTGTTGTAATGATTTCAAGTATATCTGGTATTTTATCTAGTATTACTTCTTTATTTCTTATTTTCCCTGGTGATACAATTAAAAAAAGAATGATGACTAATGGAATAGATGGAAGTAAGAAGTTATATACTAACTCTATAGATTGTATAAGAAAGATATATAAAAAAGAAGGTATTAGATCTTTTTATTATGGATTAAGGCCAAGTATTCTAAAAAGTATACCCTCTGGTGCACTTCAATTTGGAGTATACGAATTATCCAAATATTTCTTGCCAAGAAGACTAAATGAATTATAAGAAGTTATGGACTAATATATCTTATTTTCTAACAAAATTTTTTAGCAAGTATTAATTTTAGAGTCTATGTAAGTCCCGCTAAAGATACATTATTGATACCAGATTCAATGCATCAGGTGATGCACTTTTTCACTCGAGAAATATTCTACTCCACAATTACTTAAATTTCTTTCATAATTATGTTGTTGTTTTTAACTAATATATATTTAATATCTGTGTATGGCTCAATATTTATATATAGAGTCAACTGTCAAAATTTCAGAACTTATGTTCCACTTAACAATTCTAGTTATAATACACCTTGGAATAGTAAAGATGACATATCAACTATTGGATTAAATAATTTAACTTTAACAAAAGCAAATAATTCATTGGAATTGTTAGATTTTGATTCTACAGATGCTATAAATATAACTACATATATGATGACTCACTACAAAAATCAATCATTGAGTAACAATTTTATTAATAGTTTAAATAATGAAAATGCAACTTTTGTGTTACCTCCTATAATTTCATTAAACAATACAATAAATTCTTCATCTTCTTCATCTTCATCTTCTTCATCTTCTTCATCTTCTTCATCTTCTTCATCTTCTTCATCTTCATCTTCCTCGTCATCCAGTGACTCCGAATCAGAGGGAGATATGAAATATCCTAAAAATAAAACTAATTATACAGATATCAAATTTGATAGTTTATCTGAAGGATTAGATGTTAAAAATAAGACACTGTTTATTCCAAATGTTGATTCACAAAACTTGAGGAAGCTTAGCCAGATCTTGATAAAAGTCAATGAAGATATTCCAAGTACATTAAATGTAAATTCTCAAGGAAATATAGCCAATGATAACAATATAACTACAATACTAAATATAACTGATATACTAACTTCTAATTCATCTGACAATATAGGTACTAATAATTCTCATAAAGTTAAGGAATTATACCCTATATTATTAAATTCTAATATTACAGAAACGTTGAAAAATCTTTCAAATGACACTTTAATTATTGCGGATGAAATTTTAAATAATACAATTGGAAATTTTAATCATGATAATAATATTACAAGTGATACATATATATTACTCTCCAAGTCCAATGATATTGTAACTGAACCACTTGATCCTATGTCTGTAGTATTAGTACCAATTAATATTACAGATAAGAATAAAGCAATACCACTACAAAATATTAATTCAAATAATGTATCAGATATCAAAACTTGTAATATGTCTACTATATTAAATAATTCATTTATAAATGCTACTAGTGATCCATTAAAAGCATCTAATTTTATAAAAAATAATGATTCAATAGTTAAACAAGATAAATTACATGATGAACTTTTAAAAAACACATTTAATTCTAGTTTTTTGAAAAATAAAATAAGAAGTATTAATACTTTAGAAATTATTCCTAGTAAAAATTCAACATATTTAGATTTAAATAATACATCTAAAGGTAGCTGTCCTAATGGGATCTGTAGAAGTGATGGTGAAGATGATAGTGAAAGTGATGATGAAGTAGAATTAGATGAAAACGGGAAACCTATAATAAAGTTTAAACAACATTCAATTGAAATTGATGAAATTATCAAAACAGCCAATGCTATGAAACAAGAACCATATTTAGCATCTTTACTTCTATCATGTACTTTCTTAATTTCATTATTTGTGTTTTTGTAACTAAATATGTTAGGTGAAACTATGAGTATATAAAATAACAGTTAAATAAGAAGCAAAAATAGTTTTAAAAGAAGTACCGAAATACAAAGATATCCTTAGTAATATTCTGGACTATCATCTTTGTGTCCATTTACTTTTAGTAGATAAATTTAGTTTTTTTGTTAAAAGTTGCTTCATAATTTTAAATATCAATTCTAAATCTATAAGTTTCTAAAATAGTGCAATATTACAGTAAATTTTAAAAACTGTATACTAAGTCTATTCGAAATTCTACACCTTTAAATATTTTATTAAGATGTATTAACGTAAATTTGCAAATATATGCTCTATTGATATTATAATCCTTTTAATAAATTATTTATTGAAAAGTTTGTAGGAATTATATTATTTTCTTATCTTCCCCAATAAAGGTATCAAACTACAAAATATTACAAGGTTATTCCATGAAATACTTTTCTAAAAATAGCTCTTAGTGTTCCATAAGTTGTCAATAATATATAAATAGTAAATATTAAACAAATTGGATATTTGAAAAATGATACACCACTTCTTGAAATTAATTTTTGATGGATCAAATCAGGAATTAAAAAACAAAAATTGAATCAATTATATCTCCAGCGATAATGATTAATAAATACCTGAATTTTGAAATAGTAAGACTAAAATATAACATGAAAACATACTTTTCTAAAAATAGTTCTTAGTGATCCACAAGTTGCCATGATATATAAAATAGCAAATATTAAACGAATTGGATGTTTAAAGAATGATTCACCACTTCTTGAAATTAATTTCTGATGGATCAAAGCAGGAATTAAAAAAACAAAAATTGAATCAATTAGACCTCCAGTAATAATGATTAGTGAAATACCTGAGTTTCGAAATAGTAGGGCTAGAGTACAGCATGAGATAAGTGAAATAGACAACATTATATTTCTCCCAGGTGTAGATCTGATAAATGAATTGCTATTAGATTGTTGAGATCTATTTATTAGACTTGTATTATTATTATCAATCAGAGGTTGTGAAGTCATAACTGCTTCATAGTCTTCATTTTCTATAGTTTGATGTTTACTTATTAAATCATAGTCATTACAAATAAGATTGGTCAAAGCTTCCAACATTGGATATATATGTAATGGTATAATAAATAATATCGATATAACAATCAAAAATCTACATACAGTAAATACAAAATCATCATCTGCAAAATTGGTTAGAGAAAAATAGTATATTTTACTTCCAAACATTAAATATACGCATGCACTCATAATAGAGTATGTTATTACTAAGATAATTCCATACGAAGCTGTTAAAAATCTTAATCGTGAAGGTGAAGGATTATATAATCTAGATACAACTGGTATTATATTGAATTGAGAAAAATAAGCAAATATACAAATATTAAAAAGTAGTTGAGAATTATATAAAATAGATTTATTCATTATGTTTGAAGGAAATAATACTACTGAAGTTGAAATTGGATTATTACCAGAAAATAAGTAGTATAAAATACTAAATATACAAAGTGTTACTGCAGTGAATGCCATATATGCGATTCCATACCATTCATAGCATCTCTTTGATAAGCATATTGGAAAAAATAGTAAAGATGATAAGCATATAATTGCCACACCTGATTTAAACATAAATATATTCCTAGATAAACCCCCCATATAAGTAAATAAAGGAGGTACTAGTTCAGATAATACAATAAAAAATATTGAGACACATAAGAAACAATCTAGAAATACCAAAATATCAAATATCCTTGGTAAAGAAATTTTAGATCTAGTTCCATTGGAGGGGAATAAGCCTTCATTAATCTGGTCATAGTATGAATAATAAATTAATGTGCCATATGTCTCTGCTCCAGTTAATTCGGTAGCTTGTGCTAATATTTTCAATGACATCACTGACAATGCTCCAGAAAGTAGAGTTATAGTTATTCCAATAACTAAACCATTATTTCTAAACATATATGGCAAATAAAAACAACCAATACCTACTGAAGATGTCAACAAAGTAGATAACGAAGACGTTAAAGATGTTTTAGGAGATAACATATTTTATGCAATCCACAATTTTTAGTAAATATCCCGAAATATAGATTTCTCAATACTATAGAGGTACTTATATTCAACTTCTAATTTTTAAACTTATAAATTTGTATCAGTTTCCCTCCTTACTTTCTATACTTATCAGTTACAGTATTACAAAGCGCTTTTAAAGGGGGAGGGGGGGGTTATCTTTTTTGCCAATTTTTTCTCACTAAATAATTAGGTTTAATTCTCAATAATATATAACTCTGAATTATTTTTATGATCTCCTAGGAAATATAAAGTAACTCTTTTATTTAATAAGGTCTTTGTAATAGTGAGAGAATTAGTTTAATGCTATATATAAAGTGTTCTTTTTACAAGGTAGATTAAATTTAGACAATTATCTTACTTTATGAAATACAAGATAATACAATAACTTAAAAATAAAATGGAATTGTATTGATCTCTACTATAAAAAAGATAACGATATATTACTCATTTGTACTATACTATTGCAAATAATTGATTATGTCTTATTTACTACTTATCATGAGAATATATATAATAATATACTTTCTAATGACAGCTACATATAAATTTCCAACTTAATACCTAACTTAGTTAATTTATCATATAAGATGTTAAAGTTATACAGTTTTTAATAAGTAAACAAAATTTAGATTTCTAGGTATCGAGTAAGTTACATATCAATCTAAACTTAAACTTTACTATCTACTTAGTAAATAATTCTTTAATGTATAAATATAACTGTCCAAAAAGATTTTATAGATTAACCAGAAGAATATTTAGAATCTTATATTAACAGCTATTACATTAAGATCATTTATATTTCCACAATATTTTATAAAGTGAAATCTACTATTGTATAACTTGCTAATTTAGTCTGTAAAAATACTTTTACCAATATTATTCTTGTATTTGAAGATTATACATATCATATCTTCATATACTTTAAATAATTTAGTTAATATAATAATAAAATTCCTCTATAAATAGAATTTGATTTTAGTTCCAATTATCTTTCAGCTGCGGTAGCCCTCATAGAATTAAATGATTCGGCTAGAATATCTTCCAATTCTGCATAAAATTCCTTGTATAATCCAAATAAAGCAGTCTGTTGCTTATATGCAACACTTAAATCATAATATTGAATATTAAGTTTAGCTAGTTGTTCTTTTAGATGTTGTAATTCCTCAATATAATTTATATCATTCTCCTGTTTATTTTCATACTGCTTAGAATTATCATTTAGAAGTTTTAAGGAATTATCTAGTTGTGTTAATCTTTTATTTACATTTTCAAGATCTAATTTTAACATGGAAGTAATATTTAATATAATTTGGTTTGGATTTTGCATATTAAGCTGATCTTTTTTCAATTCAATATCAGTATTGTCTTCATTAAATTCTAAATTAGTTTCATCACTAACTAGTTGTTTTTTAGTATCAATTAGAGATATTACTTCATTTCCAAATTCAAAACTTTCATCAATAGGAGCAAATACACTATTTGTTGCACCACATAAATTACTACCACATATAGTACTTTCTTTACCCAAATTCTTAGTTAATATTTTAGAAACTTCGAAATCTTTTATTTCATTTACAAGCTTTGAATAATCAGATTTATTTGAGGTAGTATCTATACAGTATGATGTTAAAGAAAGATTATTTTTAATTGAAATATCTGGAAACCTTGGTTTATCATATTCAGCATGAGTTAACATACAACCATTATCTATATATGATGTTGTCCTAGAAATATCTGCCCTATAATCTAAAATATCCCCATAATTAACTTGTGGTTTATTAAAGATAGGATAACAGCTATAGTGTGTACTTGATACAAATAGATCTTTATTCATTTCAAAATTGTTTATAGTATTATTATCAATATTAGAAGTGGGAGTTACATTAACATCTTCAGAAGAGTTAATATTTGATCCTTGAGATCTTGATACCATATCTGGATAACTTTGTAAACTATCCTTAGTTTCTTCATTATTCAAATCATTAGATGAGTATATAGAACGTTTAGATGTAATATTTACTAAAGATGACTTTCTACCAAAAGGCATAACACTAGATAATTTTGATAAAATACTTGATTTAGATACACGCTTTTCTAGTCCTTCATCAGTTTTTTTCTCAAATGAAATATTATCTCTTTGCATTGAAGTTTTAGAATTTTTCTCTAAATCAGAATTAAGATCTTTACCTGATATAATACTTTTTGTTTTACTTGTTGATAATTGTTTATTAGGACTAAAATCTAGTGAACTTTTTGGTGAATACTGACTATTTAAAGAATTTGGATTTAATGAAATTAGAATTGGTGACTTGGATGAACCATTAATCCATTCTTCAGCTGATAAAGATGGTTTACCAGCAAAACAATCCGGAAATAACTCCTTATTATAAGCATGAGTTTTTCTATTCATTGAGAAACTTATCACATCTATTGTATCCGTACCAATACTCTTATAAATTCTCAAAGCTTCAGATTTGTCAATACTAAGAGCTCTACTAGGTAAAAAACAGCAACCTCTTTGAGCTTGTGTAGTACTAAATTCTTCTACTAAATTCAAATGATCACTTTCATTATTAAATTCATAAAGTCTAATATTTCCATCTCCCTTACCAAATATACTTAAAAGTCTAAATTCGTTTTGGTAATATGGATACAAAGTACTAGATATAATATCAAGCTCTATGTTTGTTAAACAATTAGAGAGAGATCTAATATCCCAAAGTTTAATCGATCTCATTCCAGTTCGACTAAAACCAGTAGTTAATATTTTGTTTTTGTTACTGTTATTACCAGGGCCTTCTAGCCAAACACATTTACCTATTCTAGTTCCATCATGAGTAATAAATGAAGAAACTACAGATTCTGATCTAGGATCTAAAATTCTAGTTTTCTTGTCTTTATTCATTGTCACTAAAAGTGTACCAAGGTAATTCCATTTTAAATCATAGCATGGACAATTAATATTTGAAATTGAAAATACCTCAGATTCTTTGTTCATATCCCATATAACTATCTTATTATCTAAAGAAGCAGTAGCCAAAATATTATCTGCACAATGATTAAATTCACAAAAATAAACTCTTTTTTCATGTCCAGATAATGTACTGACAGGTGATGTTATATTTAAAATATATTCATTCCTATTTATATTCTGCGATTCCATAAAGTTTTGATTTAGAATATCATAGTACTCACCACTTGTTGGTAGACTCCAAATCTTAACTGTCTTATCATCTGATGATGTAGCTAATATATTATTATAGAAGGGAGAAAATGATATGTTTGTAATCCCTGCATTATGACCAGAAATAATCATAATTGGTGGCTTACGGATTCCAGCTGATTCAATTGATAATACTGTACCACATCCTCCACCCCCATCATTTGCAAATGCTAAAAAGTTTGTAGAACATGCTAGACCATAACCTTCATTTAGTCTTGTACCTATTCGTAGATCTGTAAAATTGCTCTTCAGAATCTTTCCTGACAGAGATTTGTAAATTCTACCCTGTTGCATCTTAAAAAGATTTTAGAGTCATCCAAACTAATGATCTTAAATAGCTCAAAAATATTTTACTTATATTTATTGACAGTTTTTTAATAATTAGTTTAATTACTAGCAACAAAGTACTTATAGTACATGTTAGCGCCTTATACGTATATGCACCCATATATGCATAGATTATTCTAGGTATATTCACTATAGTTTAGTTTGATCTCTCAATTTATCTAAGTAGTTTAACTATAATTATAATTTAAACATCAGACTGTTCAACAGATTTGTGCTCTTCCTTAGTATAATTTAAATTAGATGATGAACTCATTACTAAACCACAGTTGTAACAACGATGTAAAGTCTGCTCTATAAATTAGAATCCCCAAGTTAAATGAAATAATAAGAAATTAATGATTAGATTAAATAGTAAATTATGCTTACCGGGACTCGAAAAATTATTTACATAGCAAACAGGACAAATAACTTCAATAGTAGGAAATCCTTGCAATGACTTCTCAAAGGTTACATAGTTTATCCTGCTGCATTTGTAACATATTATATACAAACTATCTAAAAAATCAAAATCATATAATAGATTTATACTTCTCATAAATAAGGCTTTTTCACATTTAATTTTTATCAAAAATTAAGATATATTTTAACATTACCTTCATAAAGATTTATCTCTTCACAATTATAACATTTTACAGTATTAAATCCATTATATTTATCTAAATTATTTGTTACTAGTAACTTTGTGGCTAATGAACTGGTATATTTATGAGATGTCCCAATATTTTGTTTTTCTAATTCTTTATTTAAGTTTATATTTTTAAGCTCTTGAGCTCTAAACCAGCATATTTGGTCACACATTACATTATCCTTTTAAATTAGCTTATTCTGACTTTAAAATTTTTTTATCTATATATTTAAGTAAATTTAAGATAAATCCTTAAGTCTTCTACTGACTATTACTATCAGAATAAAAAAAAATATCTAAAAATAGTCTTACTGAGTTATTATACCACAGTTATGTTTCTCGGTATCTGTTAGGCGCTAAATAATGTTGAAATTTACTAATTGTGTATTAGCTTTTTTATTATTAGTGGGAAAACAATAAAACATCAGACTTTCGGGTTCTATATTAATTTTTATTTAAAAAAAATTTATGAGTATTAATGTTTTTAGATCGTAATAATGCTCGTAAAACTTTAAGATCAACTTCTACTGATCTAAAGACTACATTACATAAAGGAAGCTTAACAGATAAAAATGCACTGGGGATTTCAATAGGTAGTAATTCTGCTCGAGTTTTTGCTGAACAACAGAAAAAGCAGAAAGAAAAACGACTATTAGAAAAGAGACGGGGTGAGATGGCTAATATTATTAGAAGGTTTGCATATAATTATATATGTTACAAGAAATCTAGAGAACTAATACTTCTTAATTTGGAGAACATATTATTAAATAGTCTAGAAGAATTAGAGCAAGATATATCTAGGATAATAAAAATGCTTACATTTGTGTTTAATTTGAATACAGATTTTGAGCGTTACAAACACATTTTAATGACTGTATACAGAATATTAAAAGCCTCAAAGTATTTATACATTGATAATATTTTGCCTAGCAGTATAGCTTCTCTTATAAGAATAACTTTGATAATAATCTATAGAAGGAGTATGGAGACAAGTTTATGCAATAAGAGATCTACATATAATGAAATAAGAGATTTTGGTGAATATAACAATAATTCTGATACTTTTATGAGAAGTCTTTTTAACTTGTTAGATTATATAGGAAGAAAGTGGTCTAAAGATCAACTGGAACAAATTTTTAAAAAAATAATAAGATTCAGTTATGTGGATGTTTTGTTTTTAAAATTTATACAGGATTGTTTTAAAGAAATAGAATACATCAGAGTAAATGAAATAGAGATATTAGAATGTCAAGATAATGTACCACAAAAACAATCATATTCTTCTTCATTACAAGTAGAAAAAAGAAAATTTATAGAACAAGAGAAATCTAATATAACATATACAAACAATAAAATTATGAATTGTAGTAGAATAAATTTATCATTTTATAATATAATAACATCATTAATAAATATAATATGCAGTAATGATCATTATAGAATCATTCATTTTGGACGTGGAATATGGAATAGATCTATATATTTTTTACAGGATCGTTTAGAAAAACTTTATCCAGAGTATCTTCCAAGGGTTAAACAATTCCTACATTATAGGAATGAATGGTTATTATCATATATTGTCAATATTCTTATTGAAAGATTTGATTTAGTCAACTGTGTAGATATTGAATCTTGTACTTGTATATCTCTATTTTCCATAATATTAGATAAGCTATCAGCTTATGAGAAATTTAAGTCATTTATTTTGACCCAGTTCAATAAAACATCAAATATACGCTCTTTCAATTATCCATACCCAGTATTTTGGCCAAAATCAATATTATCTTATATATTATTGCAATATTCCCAGTTAGAAGAAATATTATCAAAAAAGCATAAAGATCAACATATGTATTTGAGCTATTTTAGTGAAGACTTTGAAATGAAAATAGGTGAATATAGAAAAGAGGTTAATAAAGATTATCAGATAATATTTGATAGGATATTAAGACGTCTTTTAGTATGGAAATTATACCAAAATCAAAATATAACCAATATAAATGATAAGGATAATGAAATTAGTTATAATAATATTAAAATATTAAATAATCTCCTAGAAATAATGAATATATTACAAACTACTAAACAAATGAAATTTAATATTGGAGTTGGTATAATATTGCTTATTCGTTTTTTTCTTTCATTATCAACATTTAATGAACGATTATATTATCAGAGGATTCTTGCATCGCAATATAATATATATAATCATAAAGATAGTGAAACAGCATTGAAATATGATAATAAAGATGATAATAACAAAGAATCTTTTGGAGATTTTTTATATATTAAGGATTTATTGAAAAGTTATTTTTTTGATAATATTATAAATCCAGTACTTGCTAATTGTTATCAATGCTTTTCTTCACAAAAAAACTTTTCATACTCCTCTAGTATGCTTGAAACAATATTAATAATATATTTTCCTTGTGATTTGTTGGGAATATCAGAAATTTGTTTTTTAGAACCTCAAAATTTTGATGACTATTTACATCTTATGAATAATAAAATAATAAATAAGCAATCTACTTATTTATTCAGTGCTGCAGACCTATATAAATCAAATAATATAACTAATGAAAAGAATACTTTAGATTCTAATTATATGAAATGTCAATATCAGATGGATAATATTGGATCAGTCAAGTCTAATTCCTTACAATTTGATTTAAAATCTCAGAAGTTACAGAGTGATCAACTTTTGAATTCATATAAAGAAATTTTTTCTAAAAGTTTTCATATCCAAGATGATGATTTAATATTTATTAAAGGACAATATGATTTAAATATGAATATAGATATTGATGGAGATATTTTTAAAAATTCACAGATTCTTCTTCTTCCATTATGTATATCTTCTCAAGTAATGAAATTGAACAAAATAATATTGGAGGAGTTGAGTATTGTAACACCTTGGATTCTTATATCTTTTCTATTTCTGCATTCCCTAATTATTGTGAATCACAATGGAAGTTTTTCAGATTTTATAAACAAAAGTCTACTAGTAAATAATAAAGATCATGCTATTGGTAACATTTCCCGCTATTTTTGTATTGCACTTTTTATAAAGTTAACCTGTAGTCAAGAGCGGGAAATACGTAGGGCATTAGATATAATGCTGTCTAATTCAAATGATAACGATAAAGAATTGTCACAATTAGCAACTAAAGATAGATCCATTGATTATCAAAATCTACATTTGCATATACCAAATATTTTAATAGATGATATAAGAAATTATTTTAAGTATTCTTCTGGTCCAGAACTTTTAAAGAAATGCATGCATGTATTTGCAACTAATACTCTTCGGTTAAGTAATGACATAGGTATATTAGACTATAATGTCGATAATAATAAATCTAATATAAGGCATATTGAAGAATGCAATTTAAGTAACGAGTATAGATGGAGCTGTAATCTCGAACATGATTTCCAATACATATCTTTATTTATGAATAATTTAACCTGGACACTATTGTACATTAATTCTTTAAAACAGGATAATATACAGGGATCTAACTTAAATTCATCAATTCCTCAGTTAATAAATTCTCTAAGGTTATGTTTTGGTCAAACAACACGCCAATTATATATAGAAGATTCAAAACTTCACTTTATGCCAATAAGACAAAACAATAAGACATCAATTTGGGCAATTCCAGAAGCTTCAAGTTTATTGAAATCAAGGGAGACACTTTTAAAGCAACAAATACATATTGAATCAGTTGGAGCCCTTCCAATAACTTATACTAATTCTGTAAACTTGAATAATACTGACAATATTCCATTATATCAAGATAATGATATTAGTAACTCGATTTCAAATATTTTTGATTCCACTTTAAGATATACATCAACACCAACAACTGAGAAAATTCTTAGGAATGTTGTGGAGGAGCTACCACATATTCTTGAATTGGAAGATCGTCTTGGATTTTACTATCATTTTATTGCAGAATTTAGATATCAACAAGGGACACAAAATATCAACTTAATAACTCCAAAAGAAATTAGAAGAGATTATATTATCGAAGATGCTTTATATTCAATGCGCAATTTAGATACTGAGGGATTAAGAGGTATTCTAAGAATTCTTTTTGTGGATGAACAAGGTTTTGCAGAAGCAGGAATAGATGGTGGTGGATTATTTAAAGATTTCATTACTTGTCTATCCAAAGAATTGTGCTCTCCTTCTTTTGGTTTATTTATAAGTACTAGAAACAATACATTGGTACCTAGAGATATATATAGTTTAACAAATATACTAGCATCAAGTAATTTTAAAGAATTTCAAAGGTTAAAAAAAATATTATCTAGTAGAACGATTACAATAATAGGATTATATGAATTCCTTGGAAAGGTTGTTGGTAAAGCTATTTTTGAAAAAACATTACTAGAAGTTGAATTTAATCCAGTATTTTTAAACCTTGTTTGCCATAGAAATAATGATTTGGATGATTTAGCAAATTTTGATCAAGAGTTTTATAGGAGTCTAATGTTTATCAGAGAATATGATGATGATATTTCTCAATTATCCTTAACATTTTCTGTTACATTAAATACTGAATTAATTAGCAATCAATCTAATAAATCTCCTAATCCAATAGAGATAGAGCTAGTTCCTAATGGCAAAAATATTCCTGTAACAAATATGAATAAATTATTGTATATCCAATTGTTAACACAATATAAAGGGACAACTAGCATGAAAAAACAGGCTGAAGCATTTGCACGTGGTTTGAGTATGGTAATTCCAGAAGAATCATTAAGGTTATTTTCACCTAGTGAACTTCAGTCACTTATTTGTGGTGTTTTAAAGGGTCTAGATGTTAGAGATCTAAAAAGGAACACAAATTACACAGGTTATTTGGAATCATCTCCACAAATCCAATGGCTGTGGGATATACTCGAGAATAAGTTTGATTCTGAGGAACAATCAGCATTTTTAATGTTTGTAACATCTAGCAGAAAAGCTCCACTCCTTGGATTTGAACATCTAAATCCAAAATTTGGAATACAGATTGTCCCGGAATATACAAGACTTCCAAGTGCAGCTACTTGTTTCAACCTTTTAAAACTACCTGCCTATAAATCAAAGGATACTTTATATGAAAAACTTAAGCTGGCTATTTTTGGTGCTTCTGGTTTTGACTTAAGTTAGTTAAGATCTATAATATTCTAAAAAGTTTATGGTTTATTTATTATTTTGGCTTCAACAAACATTAAATAGTTTATCTTTAAATATTATTTTTTATATAATTGCATATATTTATTAATTTTCTTAGATCACTGTCTCAGAGCCTTCTTAATCTCATCATATAACACTAAAACTAAAGCTCCTCCAGTACCCCTAATAATGTTGGAAAATGTACCTTTAAAAAATGCACTAGGTCCTTCAGTAGCAAGTATTTTCTGAAAACAATCAAATGTTCCGGTATATAAAGTTTCACTTGATTTTTTGCCAGCCATCATCATCATCCTTCTTCTAACTGTGTCAAAAGGGTAACTAATAATTCCAGCTGTTGTTGTTACTGTCTGTGCTACGAACCATTTATATAGCATGTTCGTACCATCATTATCTTTGAATAATAAAGCTTTTGCGGTATCATACAATCCAAAGTAAGCTCCTCTATATACAATGATACCTTGTACTGAAACAACAAACCCACGGTATAATGAAGCTACTCCACTTTGTTTAGAAACTTTACCAAGGCAGTCTATTAAACCTTTAAACTCTCTTTGAGATTTCTTTCCAATATCAGCTGCTAAACGTGTTCTTGCAAAATCTAGCGGATATACAATACCTAGAGATGTAGCACCAGCAAGGCCTCCAGAAGCAATATTAGCTCCAAAAAATTTCCAAAATTCGATGTCTTTTTCATATTTAGGAAATAAAGATTTGAAAGTATCTTTAAATGCAAAGTTAAAGGCTTGAGTTGGGAAGTATCTAATAACATTAGTTAAATTACCTCTCCAGAGGCTGATATATCCCTGTTCTTTAGTTACTCTTGTAATACAATCTACAATACCTTTATATCTAAGAGTATTACCACTAATTATATTTGGATTTGTATCTTGAGTTTGTAATAATAGTTTAACTCTTTCAATTGGGGCAACAGCTGTTTTACTTAAGGCTGCAGAGATTCCACCTGTAGTGAAATCTAAAGCAAAGCTATTGAATTTTGAACAAAATTCCACATCCTCAGAATTTTGTTTAATACTTGTCATTGTTACCTGCAGGATTCCTTTCCTTTTTATTTTAATATAACGTATATATATTGTAATTTAAAGTACTATTCGAGTTTTAGGTATAACCCGCTAATCCAGTTTTTGAATAGTAGGATAACTTCTATATAAACTACCTTTAAATCAAACTGTAAAAACAAATTTAAGAAATCTTGATATTTATTCTAATAATAACGTTATTATAGTATAATATACTGATAAGTCTAAATTAATCTATAGCTGTATTTTGATTGCATTATTTCTACATTTAGATAGTAAATTCTATAACTATACTTAACATCTTTTCTATTCATGAATATGCAAAGGCATTATTGAATATTTAATATGTAATTATTAGATCAATTCACAGGAAAAAGAAGTGAAAGACAAAGATTTTCAAATATTAGGTTGATTACTTAGTTATAATCATAGTACTTAATATCTTGAATCTAGCAAGAGTAATTAGTATATAAGGTGGGGTGTGGACGTATAAATAATTATAAATTTAATAATAATATAAGAAGTAAGCTTAAATTAAGTTTTCTAGATTTTCAAAGAGCTGAAATACTTAATATAATGCACTACGTGGTACAATATACATTTTGAGCGGGAATTAGTTCAAATTTCGTCCTGTAGCGCATGTATTCCTTTTGTCTTATGTCATTAAATGTGGTAGGAGCGATGTTATCAGAGCCTGTAAAATTAGAGAAATTTGTAGAATTACTTTGTAAGGTTTGGGAATTCGAAGTGTTAGATGGGAATGCAATAATTTGTGCGATGATAGGTAATGTCTGACTTAGTGCAATAGCAAGGGGTTTAAAGTAAGATATATTTAACACATAAGAGCCATTTTTGACTCTAGTACCTTCAAATACATCAAAATCTGTTGCTTCATAAACTGTCTGTACCATCTGCCAACCCGGTATTGTATATTTCCCATCAAACCATCCAAAAGGTCCTAATTTATCTTGTTCTGTAAGATACCAATCTACATTAAATTTGTATGATACACCTGGTGCAACACAACTAAAAATAGCTTTTGTTACATTAGACATTCCTTTAACATAATTAACTTCATTGGATTGAATAGTTTGTAGTGCACGATGAGAGTTAGAATTTAATCTATTTATATTATTACTAGACTTATAGTTAGAAGTGACCAATGATCTTATTGTTTTAGAATTATCCAATTTAGATGAGTTTGATGCTTCATTTTGGGTTGAATTTGAAGTACTGATAACAGGAGGTGTTTTATCTCCAATGTATCTAACAATGGTATTGTCAAAATTTACAGGTTGATAATAGTAATGATCACTTATTACTGGATTGAGAGCTGTGAACCATTTAATACCCATATTAGTATTGAAGAAAATAATCCCAGCAACTGGATACGTCATTATTAATGGTATTGTATATAATTGAGTAATAGAATTACTTTGCGAAACTATTACAGTTTCAGTTGTTTTTTTTTGAAGGCAAGTAACAATTATCCAATTAAGAAAAGATGAGGAAGATACATTCGAATTTTCAATAATATCTAGAGTAAGTTGTGTTGTCTTTCCTATTCCAGGAGGACTAATAGCGACTACTGTAAATTCATTTTCATATGCTATTTTTAATATTCTAGAACTTCTCCATGAATCTGCTGTAAGTTTACCAATAAAAATTACAAGGCCCTTTTCTACTTCCTTAGATTGTTGCCATAAAACAATTTCAACATCAATATAAGATGAGCATGCTAAGATTTGTGGATTTGGAGCTTGAATTATTGTCTCATTTTTCATGAGTAGTGATTCAATATTTCTTTTTTCAATATTTGTTGTGTCAATTGTTTGTATATCTAAAGTATTAAGTCATTTCTTTCTTTGTAAATAAAAGAATATATTAAAATATTTGAACATACCATTAATGTAATAGTAAAAATAAAAACCAAATAATGGACTAGTAGCTAATATTAATAAGGTCAAGGTACCATTAATTTGTCTTATTTTCTTACCTCTATGACTTTTGGGTTTGCAGTAAGTTACTCCAATTATCCACGCTAATCCCCATGAAACTATATTTAATCCAAATATTCCTAGAAACAGAAATACTAACTGACTAATAATAAATACAATTATTAACTAGTCTCAATTTCAATTTAAGGAAAGATATTTAGGAGCTTACATTTTATCTTGGCTATATTTTAGTCTAAATAATGATCGAATGGACTTCCTTTGAGCTATATTTACATTTAAATAATCTTGATTAATTCTATTATAGATTTGTTATATTTATAAATGAATTAAATGATGTAAAGTACTTTTTAAACTTACCGTTCTTTTTTTTTAGATTTAAAATATTTATTTTCAATAGATATTTTATGTTCTTTGTATCTATTCAAGTAGTATCAAATATTAAAACATTCCTTATAATAAATTTTTAAAACCTACTTTAACCTTTGTCCTTTGTTAATATTTAAGGAGGTATATTTATTCATTAGTAACTTATCATTTAATTTTACTAATATAGTATAATGAAAATATATTAATCCTATTTTACATTTTAATAAAGGATTCTGCTATTAATTTGCAATGTTGTGTGGGAAAATTTGAACTCTTAGTATTATCATTGGTTTTAAGTGTACCAATTTATCTTTGTAATTTATAAAAAAAATAAAATATAAACTAAAAAAATCACTAGTATATCTATGTATATGTTAACTGAAATGATACTATATCAAAATATACTTTAATGATACATATATTTCCTTATTAATATTAATATGAGTTTGTATTTACGGTAGAATTATTATTATTTAAATTCTGAATATAGGAATGCCAATATGCTTTATCGATTGAAGGCCTCTCACTTGAATCATAAGTTAAAAGCCACTTTATATAGGACTTACATTCTTGTGATATATTATCGCTAAATATAGGGCCATTTGTAGCTTCTAGTGGTATTAAAGTAAAAGCTTCTGCTATAGAGCTGCTTCCAAGACCAAATGGTCGTCTTGAATGTAGTATTTCATAGAAAATACACCCAATAGCCCATATATCTACTTTGTGGGTTACAATTCTGGATTTATCAAAAGAATCACCAGGTCTTAGAAGTATTTCTGGAGGTTGATACCATACTGTTCCTCCTCCAATACGCTCTATTATAGCTTCACCACTAATTGGATCAGCAACCTTGCTTAAACCAAAATCAGCAATTTTGCAACAGCCTTTATGTAGGATTATATTCCCTGGTTTTAGATCATAATGAATAATAGGATCTCTTTGAAGTGGTAAGGTTTCACCAGCATTCAAAGTAGAAAAGTTGTTTAAATACATTATTCCTTCTAAAATCTGTCTAATCCATATTTTTGCAAGATCTTCAGAAACTGGTCCATACATCTTGATGAAAGAGTCAATATCTGGTCCATCACATAATTCCATTATCGTAACTAATCGATCATTATCTACTTCAAAGCAATGCAACATATTTACAATATATGGATGCTTTAAATCTTTGTGTAATCTTATCTCGTTACTAACTCTTTCAACACAAACAATACGTTCATGCTCAGTCATATCAGGGGTTAGTTCATGTATTTTCGCAGCTGTTATCTTCCATGTATTCATATTTAAAGTTTCCCAGACTTCCGCAAATCCACCTTTCCCTATCATATTCAGTAAAGTATATGGCTGTAAAGGAGACAATGTCTGCATTGTATTATAGCGTGAATTCTGCTGGTGACGAAATAAACGAGATTTTTTCATATACAAACTTCTTTCTATATCAAGTTCATCATATTTACTTGCTATATTATAAGCCTTTTTCTCTGTGTAACTATATCTTTTTTTAACAATAGACTGCATTATTTCTTCTTCATTATTATTCAGGGTAGAATGACTATAATATTGAATACTTGCGAGAGCTTTTCGTTCAGTACCCTGCAAGTATAATAACAATAAATTCTTTTGATTTATCAAATCTTGAAATTTTCTTCCGTCTCTAAAGTGTTCTTTATCAATATAATCTAGTTGTATCTTCATATTCTTGTTACTACTAAGTGAGGAACCTTCAACTCTACAGTCTTTGATTTTAGACAATGTAGAAACTTCTGATTCCTCTACAGAGCCATTTAAGGCAATTGCAGACATTGAACAGGAAATTGAGTTATAATTTGTATTTCTTGATTCCAACATTCTATGATTATCTTTACAGTTATCATTACTTATTTTAGATGTACTTGGAATATTATTATTGTCAATTTCCTCTGGTTTATTGCTTAGATTTCTATTAACTTCAGTATCTGGCCTCTCATCAACTACACGTTTACGCTTCTTATTTCTTACATTTATTGCTGGTGCTATCCCAACTTGAGCCTCTAAAAAATATAACTGATATCTATTTATTTCTCTCTCTACCCTTTTATAATTTATTATTGAATCTTTGAATGCTGTCTTTACTAAAGCCAAGTTCTCAGTTAATACGCGTTCATGTTTCTTGATCAATTCAATATTAGAATTAATATTAGTGCACTCCTTTAAAATATCTTCTATTTCACTCTTAACAGATTCTAGATTCTCATGACATAACTTAAGGTCGAGAGCTAATCTAATATTATGAAGTTTGTCTTTCAAATTCTTCATTTTATACAAATTTTCACTACATATATCATTTGCACCGAGCCTCTTATCAGGTGGATCTATAAAGATCGAAACTCCTGCCTTGCAATTATATTCCACTTTACATGGAGAATGTAACATACTATTCAGAGACTTGTATCTACTAAGGTACTTCGTGGCCAAATTTTTTTCGTAATTAAATTTTGAATTACATTTATTTTTATATGGGGCAGATTTACTGTATAGATTATTTTTGGAAAATTGTTCATTTTTAAGGTTTATATAGGATGGAGTCTGTCTCTTTATAGAGTTAGGCATTATTTAAGGTCATTTTGATAGTCATCTCAAATACTTTAAATTTTAAATAGTTCAGTCACAATTGAAAATGAGTATACCGGCTGTGGGGCATGCGATTAGCGGTAATTTTTGTACAAGGTTTTTTTCTTTGTAGCATACGAAATTCTTCAATAAAGTGAACAGAAATAATGCAACATAGCTCAACAAGGCTTTCAGTTAGCTAAGAACTATTAGTATGAAAAGTCGAGCGAAATTGAATGCTGGGAGTAGTGAAGTAAATAAGAATATAAAAGAGAGGCAATCTACTTTTTCTAGAAAAAAACGTAACCTAGATAAGATTTTTGATGTAAAACTGCAGAAAGTTGGAATAGAAAGTAGAGAAATTGGCTATTTATATAATGTGCAATCTAGTGCCGAGTATATATCAGAAGAAAATAATATTTTGGGAGATTTAGTGGATACCAATAACAATGAAGAACTAATAGAATCCTTTGTTGAGCATGCCTGTTTATATCTTTATTTTGTAAACAAACGTGGTGAGACTTTCAAGAGCCCTTTTTTTTACAGGCCATACTTTTTTTTAGAAACAGATCTTAATACTAAGAAGCATTGGTTTATTAACAACCTAGAGAATAAATATAGAGACGAAGGCTTGGAAGCTGATATAGTAGAGAAAGACGATCTAAACTTATCAAACCACTTAATTGGAGAAAAAAAGGAGCTTATTAAAGTATCTTTTAATAATGTAAAGAATTTGGTTACTGTTAGAAATGAGATTTTACTCTTTATAAAAGAAAATAAAAAGAAGAAAAGTGATAATAATCCACTAAGCACAGTAGCTAAACTAGATGATTTCAGTCTAAATATCATTGAAATATATGAATATGATATCTTGTATTCAGTAAGAGTATTAATTGATAATAATATTTCTATTGGAATGTGGTATGAGGTTATTCGCTGGACAAATGAGCTACTTGAACTAAAACTACTTGAGAAAGATACGTCACAACCTGATCTAAGGTGCTTGGCTTGGGATATAGAGACTACAAAAGAACCTTTAAAATTTCCAAATGTAGAAATAGATGAAATAATGATGATTTCATGTGTATTTGAAGGGCAAGGGTATCTAATAGTTAACAGGAATATTGTTTCAAGCGATATTAGCGACTTTGAATACTCTCCAAAACCAGAATTTACGGCTCCATTTTCTTGTATAAATTGTGAAAATGAGGAAACATTGATTAGATATTATGTTAAGCTAGTACAGAAATTGAGACCTCATGTTATTTCTTCATATAATGGTGATAATTTTGACTTCCCATTTTTATTTGAAAGAGGCTTGAAATATGGTTTGGATTTGACGGAACAATGGGGAATCATAAGACAAGTAGAACAGAGTGGTGGTAGTGCCATAGTTGGAAATTCAAAGACAAACTTTCTTGGCACTAATATGCTTCATTTGGACTGTTTTCGCTGGGTTGAACGCGATTCATATCTCCCATGTGGCTCAAGAAGTCTTAAGAGTGTTACAAAAGATAAACTAAGATATAACCCCGTAGAGTTGGATCCAGAGCTAATGGTTCCATATGCTAGAGAAAATCCAGAAGTATTAGCTGAATATTCAGTATCTGATGCAGTAGCAACTTATTACCTGTATAAAACATATGTTCATCGCTTTATTTTTGCTCTTGCTACAATTATCCCACTTCCAGGAGAGGAATTATTGAGGAGAGGTACTGGAACATTGTGTGAACATCTACTTATGAAGGAAGCATTTAAAAAGAATATATTATTCCCTAACAAAAAGATAAATGAATCTATGGAATTTCATGAAAATAGACCTATACTAAATAGTACATATGTTGGGGGCACTGTAGAAGCTTTGTGTAGTGGTATATTTCGTTCTGATATCCCTGAATTATTTTGTCTAGATACTGCAACATTAGATATTTTAATTAAGGATTTAGATTCAACTTTAAAATTTGGGATTGAAAAGGCAAACAAAAAAGTAGAAGACTGTACAAATTATCAAGATGTGAAGGATGAAATTTTACAAATATTGACAAGTTTTAGGGAGAATAATAAACTTAGTGTTAATCCACTTATTTATCATTTAGATATTGCTGCAATGTATCCCAATATTATTCTTACTAATAGGTTACAACCAACTGCAATTGTATCAGATGATCAATGTCGTAGATGCACCTTCTATTCAGAAGCTAATAAATGCCAAAGGATTATGAATTGGAGATGGAAAGGAGATATATTCCCACTTTCAAAGGGAGAGATGGATAGAATAATTAAATATTTAAAAATAGAATCTTTTGATGTGAATTCATATAAGGTAAAATATGATGATGATCAAAATAGTGACAGTGATCATTCTAATTATGAAGAAAAGTCTGAAAATCTTGATATAACTACTCCTGGAAATATGAACTCAAATAAGGTATCTAATAAATCTAATGGTCAACGTTCTTGGGATTCACTTACTGCTAGGCAGCAATCTGAAATTCTCATTCAAAGACTAAAAAAATATTGTAGTAAGGTATATCGTCGGCAAACAATTAGCATTGAAGAAACTAGGTCTTCAATAGTTTGTCAGCGTGAAAACTCGTTTTATGTTGACACAGTTCGCTGTTTTAGAGATCGTAGATACATTTACAAAGACAAGAAGAAAGATGCTGAAGAGAAACTACGTCAAGCAGAATTAAAAGAAGATATAATAGCAATAAAAAGTGCTCAAAATGAAGAGTTACTCTATGAATCTTTGCAATTGGCACACAAGTGTATTTTAAATTCATTTTATGGATATGTTATGAGAAGAGGTAGTCGTTGGTTTTCAATGGAAATGGCTGCAATAGTAACGTGGCTTGGTGGTAATGTAATTCGTGAAGCACGTGTTTTAGTTGAAAATATTGGAAAAGTTTTAGAATTGGATACTGATGGTATTTGGGCCATTTTACCAAGGGGGTTCCCAGATGAGATAACTTTTAGATTTAAAGATGAGAGTAAAAAAAAAATTCATTATGTGTGTACTCTTCTAAACCATCAGGTACACAAAAATTGGACAAATGACCAGTATCTAGATTTTGATCCAATAAGTAAAAAGTATATTGCAAAGGTTGAGAATTCTATTTATTTTGAAGTAGATGGACCATACAAATGTTTCTTTATACCGGCGTCTGATAAGCAGGATAAATTATTAAAAAAAAGATATGCTGTATATGGCTTTGATAACAAGCTAAAAGAACTAAAAGGTTTTGAGTTAAAGCGTAGAGGTGAATTGCAATTAATTAAGATTTTGCAGGAGGAGATATTCCCTGCTTTTCTGCATGGAAGTAGCAAGGAAGAAGCTTATGAGTCAGTAGCTAAAACTACTTTGCGATGGTTAAATCTAATAGAAACTAGAGGTAGTGGTATTTTAGACGACGAACAGCTCTTTTATTTGATATCTGAAACTAAAAATATGTCTAAAAGTGTGGAGCAAATGGGATCAGCTAAATCAATGGCAATAACGACTGCTAGAAGACTATTTCAATTCCTTCAAAATCCATCATATCTGGTTGATAAGAACGTGGCTTGTAAGTTCATTGTATCTGAATATCCAAAAGGGGAAGATAAGAGTCAAAGAGCTATTCCACTGTCAATATTTTCTGCTCCCTTAGAAATAAGGGCATATTGGTTATCTAAATGGTTAAGGTTAACTAAAGTTCCTATTCAAAATAAGGAGGATAATAACGAATTACATGATCATGAATCAAAAGAGCAACTAAAAGGCAATATTTCTAACAATTCTGAAGAAATTACAATGATCGGAAATAAGAAACTTAAGGAGAGTAATTGGGATGTGAGAAATATATTAGACTGGTCATATTATAAAAAAAGATTAATTAATACAATTTTAAAGATTGTGATAATTCCTGCTATATATCAAGGAGTGAATAATCCACTTCCTAGCTTACCATTACCAACTTGGATTAAAAATCAAGCTGAGCTCTCTGGGCCAAACCAACAGAAAATTTCACAGTATTTTAGTATTAAAAAAGTAAATTCAGAAAGTATTAGTCAAGAGACAAATTTATCCAAACCTCAATGTCAAATAACAACTCAGGAAAAGAATATAGATGAGGTTTGTATAAATAACAATGAAAACTCTAAAATTGAAAAGAGGAACTCAAATTCAGATATGTTGGAATTAGAAAAGGAGTTTGGCAAGGAAGTGAACTCAAAAAATGTAATTCAAGAATTAGAGAAGACATCACATTCTAATAAAGTCTTACACACAGGAACTTTGTCAAAATCTGAACGCAGTAAACTTCTGCAGACAAATTTTAAGGGCTGGTTAAGTTATCAAACAAAAAGGTGGTTATTGAAGTACGAATCACTAAAACAAACTCAAGTTAAAATTAATAAAAAACTTGAAAATAAAATGGTTAATACAAGTACTTTACAATTTAAAAATAAATCAAATCAAATAAATAATAAAGAAGTTATGTCTAGCTATACATTTTTAACAAAGGGGAATTTGCAAATATTAGATATATACCCTTTTAATACTTCAGATGGTAATAAATATCATGGTCATTATAATATTTTATTATACTCTGAATCATATAGGAAAATGTATGTTGCTCCATTTGAATTTTCACGCAGATTTTTAGTAGCTTCTTCAGTTCCAATTAAGCTGGCAGAAGACACTAAAGATAAACAATTCAGCTGCAAAAATATTACCAGCGAAAAGGAACTTCCAAGAGGTGTAGCATACAATTATCTAATGGAAGTAGGGATGTCTGAAAATTTATTCATAGAATCAAAGTCATCATTAATATGTGACTCAAATACTATTGGAATATATGAGGCAAATATACCACTTGAATTTACAATTCTCGAGTCTTTAGGTAATATTATTGAAAGTAATACCCCTAATCTTGCAAATTGTGTTAAAGAAAATGGAATGATCCGTGATAATATATGGAGAACTGATTTCAACTCATCTTCAAGGTATTGTAAGAATATTAGTTGGATTTCTTTATCAATAGTAAATCTTGATGATAGATTATGCATACTTCTAAGCGACTGGAAGACAAAAGACTGTTTCGTTTTTATGGCAGGAGGACAACAAATAGAAAATTCAAAGCTACTAGGAGAATTATCTAAAGCAATTAAGTCACTTGATGTCAATCTCAATCCTAAGGAAACTTACTACTTTAATAATGCAAAAATTGCATTTAATAACTTGAATCTTTGTCTGAATAAAATTACTAATACAAGAAGTGATCCTTGTATATTGCTCATTCACTCTACTTTGTCTAAAAATGAAGTATTAAAATATAAGGAGAATTCAGATTATAATAATTGGCTGAATTACAATGGAAGAGAGATACAATGCGTCGAGAAAATGACAGAAAAAGAAACTTTCAATATAATCAGTGTCCCATTTTTGACAGTATGGTTAGATACTCATGATGATAGTGATTCTAAAATATCGCGTTTTGACTGGCATCAGCAATCCATTTTAATTTGTTTAAAGAAGATGAATGAATATATTAGTAAAACTTCATTAATAATTGAATTATCAAAGGTACTTAATGTACCAGTATTGTATATTCTTTATTATCGTATGGACCTTGCATTCTTTATATTTGATATAATATATTCTCGTTATTTACACTCCAAAAACTTAGTTTCATGGGCTTCTAATGATATTTATCCTGATTTAGGACATCCAAAACTTGTATCAGCTGCTAAGAATGATTGGGATTTGTTTAGAATTGGTAGTGATATCTCATCAAACATAAACTCTGAGAATGACTTTATAGAGGTTGTAAATCCTGGAATTTACCGTAATTATGGTGCACAGCTTGATTTCCAACAATGGATATTGATTGAAGCCGTTAGAAATTGTATAATATTGGCTGAAATGTTTGACTGCATAGAATTTTCAAATATTAAGGATGGATATTTACTGAGAAGTACAAGTAACAAGAAGCGCAGAAGTGAATCTACTTATAATAATAATTTAACAGCATTAGAATATTTTGGGAAAAAGGAGAAATCTAGAAACTCATCTAATAATTTTTTAATTCAGCCTCTTCATCATCATTCCTCTTTATCAACTCCGAAAGCTTTTTTATGTTTGAAGGAAACTCTTCAGTATCTCAGATATATTGTAGAAAAATCAATTAGCTCTCAAAAAAGTGAAGAATCTATTATTAACACAAATAATATTCTTTCTGAATTTATAATTAATGTACAGGAGCAATTTTACAGGTGGTTATGCTCTCCTCAGTCTTTAATGTTTGATCCGGCACTTGTGAGGATGACAAAGTCCTATAGCTCAAAGTTTTTCAAAATCTTGCAAGATGAGCTCAGTAATATAGATATTAAAATTGTATATGGGAATATACGCCGAATTGTTCTGACTACGAATTTGAATAGAATTGAAGATGAATCGAGACAATACTTCAAACAAATGATGGAACTATTGAATAATAAGCCATTATTTTCTGGTTTGTCTTTAGTTCCCATCGTTGAATATAAAGCTTTGCTACAGATAGATAAAAGTAACTATTTTAGGAGGACATTGGACCCTGAAAATCCATATGATATTCATCTAAGTATACTCAATTATCTACCTATTAATACAAGGCAATTTATCCTAGATGAGATATCTGACTTTTTAATGTTACCAATAAGAAAGACCCGTGAAATATATCAATTAAATCCTCAATGGAATGACTCACAAAGACGTGAATTTCTACTTAACAAAATTTTAGATTTATATGGTTCATATAGTGAAAAAATACAACACATCAATGAGATTTTACTAAATCCAGCATTAATTATTAGTAAATATGGAATAAGAGAATTCTTCGATCCACTAGAGAATATTGACTATGAAAATTACGAAAGTAATAAAGTTGTAAAGAAAAATAATCTACCATTCATTATTCATCCTGGTTACAAAAATAGTTTGTTGAATTATTCGAATATGAATATTAATAATAATGAAAGTAGTGGAGATTTTATCAAAGAATATAGCATAAATAAAAATATTTTTTCTTTTCCTAATTTTATTGGGCGTAAGGATCTGAATAATTTGGCTAATCTTAGATTAGATTTTGAGCTTGCTTATCTATTTTTGAATATATTTGGTTTAGATCAATGCTTTGCACCTGATGGGTGTCATAGAAAAGATTATGAACACACACGCTATATATTTTGCCAGACTGTAGGCATTTCTGAATTTCATTCACGAATTCAAGATGTTTGGCAAGTACCATTCAATTCATTTATTATAAAGGACCTTATATGTCCTAATTGTCTTGGAATTGATGATTTAGATTTGATTGGTAGTTTAACATTGGATGAGGAACTTGGAGTTAGAGATCTAGACTTGGATGGATCAACCAGGAAATTTATAAGTTCACTTTACTGGAAATGTATATATTGTAATATACCTATAGACACACATATAATAGAAGAAAGGCTTATAATAGAATTCTATGAACGACTTGCTGCTATACAATCTCAAGATGTCGTTTGCAAGCAATGCAAAGCTGTAAAAGTTGGTAAATTATCAAATAGTATATGCTCATATTGCATGGGTGAATTTACTACAAGACTATTTAATCTTGAAGAATTCAAAGATTTCTTTTCTATTATTAGAAGTATAGCAGCATATTTTGAAAAACGAAATGAGGAAAAACGAAGTACTATTAACGAGTTTGAAGCTATAATACAAATTTCAAAGCTTTATGCAGATTACATATTATAGTAACAAGATAGGTATTATTTTATATTTGTTGAATAATATTACAACTTAGATAACCTATTGTTTATCAGAAAATATATTTATTAAAATACTTAAAACTAGTTTCGACTATAATACATGGGGAATTCAAGCGCAGAATTCTAAGAAAAAAAAAAAAAAAAATTAACTTTATAACAAAATATAGGGTAAATATAGCTTTTAAAGAAATAGGAAATCAAACTTTAAATATATAGCTTGAAAGGAAGATGATTTAGATCTATTGATTGTAAAGTTGAAAAAATTACAACTTGAAGTATCTTATACTTATTAGCAAAATGTATCAATATATGAATTAACTTGCAATTAAGATTCAACCAGTTTGTTTTGTACGAGTTTATGTACATTACATAAAAAGTCAACATATGATGATTCACATCCAATTGCATCTTCAATTAGTAAATGTTTGAATCTTGCTTCATTCAATTCAGTGACACTTGAAACTAACTTAATAGGGAGATGATTAGCAATATTTGAACGATCCATCCTAATTTGATATATAATATTTGATAATCTTGATGCTATAGTTGTATTATTAGATTCATTTATGTTTGTTGGTACTTCCAGAGTGTCTATGTTTTCTTTTGTAATGAAGTCAACATTAAATATTTCACGAATTACATTTGAACTAACTTGTGATCCAATATATATATATATATTTACCCCATCTTCTAATATGTAAATTCCATCAGAAAAAACTCTTTCTCCACTACAAGGAAGGCTTGAGTTAAGCCAAAATCTTGTTAACTTTAAATACATAGAAGAATTTGAATTTGACATTGTTAATTCATAAGGTAAACCCAATGATTCTAGCTGTTGTAATTCAGGAGTCCCAGTTAGTATTGAGTGATGAAATGAATATAGTCTTGGATACAAATGAGCACTAGTATATCCAACTGAGGCATATAAAAGAGTATGTAGCCCAACTATTTGTTCATCAAGAGAATATTCTAATACAGTGTTAAGAGGCATCAATGCAGGATTTTTAAATATAGATGAAGTATAAACAAGGACAAGCTTAAGAGAATCTGGGAGAATTAGTTGACCACTGGAAGAAGTATTTGCACAATTTTCTCTATATGCAAAGAGCATCTCAATTATTGAATTTAAGGTTTCTTGCCTCCATGACTTCAGTATTGATCCTGGAGATTGGTTTGATGTAAAAGTAAGGTTAGAAACAACAGAATTCGATGTATTAGTCAAATCTCTCTGACCTTTACTAATTATATGATGAGCTGCCATTCTTGTGTATAAATTAATCAAGGGTTCAACAGAAGCATATCTAAAAGCTGTTGTAATACTCGTAGTTACAGGTACTGATAATGTTAAAACCCTTAGCATGCGTTGTTTTTTGTTTTTACATGTATATAAACATGCAGCTTGTAAATAGACAGTTTTAATCTGATCTAAGCTTTCTTCGTGTCTGAGAATGAATGCAATTGAAGTGTGACTATCTATTTTAGGGATTTGAAATGCAGATAAGTCAGGAGTAGAACTTCCTGCAGTCCAAGGAGCATATACTTTACTAATTGCTATTCCACGAGAACATCTAAGCTTAAATGTGCAATCATAAGCTATAGGCTGGATCATAAAAATATTGTAAAGAGTTTGATATAAATCTTGATAATTTTTTGGAGCTGAAAAATTCGATAATAAGCGGATTTTACCACCTGTATGCTGAGGAATATAAGCCAAAGTACTACAAGATAAAATATTGTTTATTACCTTACTTCCATCATATATAGTAGGAGATAAAATAAAAGATTCTACAGAAGTATTATTATTACGACAATATTGAATTATATTGTCAAGTTGTTGCATATTTTGAACAATATATCCTGAGACAAAACCACAAGAATATTTTAAACCCTTAGATGTTCTTCTTGGAGGTGACTTAGGTCCTGCAGTTATATCCTTAGTATTAATTGAAGCAATCCCAATATTTGGAGCAGATGAACAAAATGTAAATATAGTCCCACCAGTATTTTTAGCAGCCATTATTTGGCTAGCTAAAGAGATAGCTGAAAAATATGCACTATAATTTGTAGAATGAGACTGAATTAACTCTGGAATTCGATCCAATATATCTGAGAGAAATTCAATATTTTCTCCTATAGGTATACTTAATTCTTGTATTGGACAAGGCATGAAAGGTTCTTGAATATCTGTAACAACACACATCCTAGTAGAAAATAGTCCGCACTTTGCAGAATTTGATGATATATCATATTCATCTAAATTCTCAAAATCCTTAAAATTACGTTTCTGTAAAGGAAATAACATCAGATCCTTAGAAAATAAGATCAAAGAAATGTGAATATCTGGGCATGAAGCAGCAAGTTGAGAAAAAAGGTATTTTAGACAATATAAAACTGTACCAGTTATCCCATATTGAACTGCTAATAATGAGGCTTCTATAACAAAGCAATAACTCGGCAAATCTGGGTTTATAGGAACTCCAAGACTTGCAGGGGCAAAGTAATCTACAACACCATAACTTAATTCTGGGTAATTTTCATCTATTTGAGGTACATTACTGCATGTTTGAACCTGGCTTCTAAACTGAGATTGTAATACTCTTAAATAATCCAAAGGAATTTCAAATATATGACCACAAAAATTGCAAACACACTGATTTCCATCAGAAGAGACAGTTGTAAAAGAGTTGATATATGCTTTGCATCGTAAACATCTAACTGGATCTATATTTGAGGATGTATTAACAACTGGAATGGGCTCTGCAAAATCTGGCAAATGGGGAAATGGTTGAATTATTACTGAAAAAGGAAGTCTCATAGATTGCAAAATTGAATGCTGGCTTGGTATCTGATTTAAAGTTAAACGAAAAAAGTTACATGTAGAATTCCCTCTATCCAATATTTGAATAAATGATTCATATAAAGATAAAGGAGGTAAAATATATTTATCACTCTCATAAATCTTACATTCATCCTCAGTTATATTTCCATATATTGGTCGAGGAATTTGGGCTGGATCAACTCTAGTCTGAATAGATTTTATTAATGTTGATACTTGGTTATATAAATCAGAGATTTGGTTACTCACGTTATTTGATAACATAGATACAGATTGAGCATATGATAAATTTGAAGAACTAGATCCATAAGATAATGGCATGCCTACAGATTGTTGTGTATAGTTCTGAGAGTTTGCAAGATTTCTACCATTGTTTGTATCTAGCTGAGAATTACAATTTGATGTAGCAGTAATTTTCGAGTAATTAGTATCTTCACCAGATAAATTATAAGAAGGATATGTTCCCATGCTGTTTGGAGGTTGTATACTTTTATTGTTATAATTTGTATTTGTAGATAAAGAATTCACCGTGTTGGTAGACTGTCCTGTTTGTGTAGTAGCTCCATATTCAGAGGAATTTATTAAGTCAGCATTTTCATATTTATATTGAGTTGCTGTTCCATGTGACTGCATCACTGTTCCTGCAGAGTATCCACTATATTGAGTTGTTTGTTGGTTAATAGTTCTTAAAGTTGGAGATGAAGTACTACTCATAGGTTGGACATTTGAAGTATTTGGACCAACCTGACTATTTAGCTGTTGAGATGCTGAGTATGCTACATAATTTTGAGTCATTCTCATTATATACCAAGTCTCAGTAAAAAGAATAGAGGACGTCGAAACTATAGGGAATTCCCCCCATGCCCACTTACAAAAAGAAAAATTGGGCGCTATTTATTCGAAGTATTCTAGAAAGCGGGATTTTAGTAAAAAACTTGTATTATACTCTTAATATTAACTATACAGAACTTCATATTATTAGCTTTATTTACAATAGATCTAATATTAAGTTTTGTTATCTAACTATTAGTAGTATATAGAAGTTATTTTATTGTCTCTATTACAGAGCAATTTATAAATTTATTATATTGTGTAAGAATTACCAAATCAAAGTGTAAAAATGAGAGTTTAAATATACCATTATAAAACTAATTTATGATTTTAATAATATTATACATATATCTTATAAATTATACTTATATAATTACCCCTAAGAAGTGTTAAATACGAGATTTATATTAATGTAAGATGACTTATTTGAATAATAGATTCTAGGAATATATAGAAATACTCTTTACAATTAACTATTATTGTCTAAAAGTAACTTATTATTAGTTTAAGTTAAAGTAATTGATATTTTGGAGTAGATTTCTTTACGAATCTCATCAAAAACCACTGACTCATATTGAAATATGATTACATCTCTTAATTATGATATTTCTAGTACTTTTATAATATTATGATTATTCTCTATGATAAAGTTTTATTTTATTATCTATATTATTCTACATATAAATTCCAAACTATCACTTTGCTTTGAGATTTAAATAAGTAATATAATAATACAGTAATACAAGAGTCGTCTAATTATGTTCACAAAAATTTATTTATTAAAGGTCTAGATAATAATATATTTAAGACTAGTGATTACAAACAGCTTTTAATAGAATTATATAAAATTATACTAACTTTATCTACTTTATATTAAATAAGTATTAAATAATTCTTACAAAATATATTCAATATTACCAAGATGCTACATTTATACTATTCAAAGTTAGAATATGTTAAGGTTATAACACAACATCTATGAGCACTATTAATATATCATCTTCTAGATAAATATTAAGAAATAGAGACATTGAAGTTAATATAAGTATATATATATATATTTGAAATTATTATTATTATTATTATAAAAAGTTACTATTTAATGTATTATTACTAATAATATTAAGTAGTATAATGTCAAAATAGTAAAAAATAAATATACAAATTATTTAATGTTGAAATTTTACCAATATAATTCTTAATACAGGATATTCCAATATTTGCAATTATTAAACTCGTCTCGTCTCACATGTATGCATGGTAAGATGCCAGAATTTCACAAATTATTTGTGGGGCAATTAAGTAATCGGGAATTTAAGCATAAAATATTTTTTGAAAATTAAGATTTTGACCTTCTAAATAATAATTTTTTTTCAAATATTTTATGAAGAAAGAAAACTTCTTCAACGACGAGAATTCATGTTTAAATTCTTCTGATAATAGGTATAAATCTATAATAAAGACTTCAGGGTTACCAGAAAAACTTGAGAAACATTTATCTAGTGAAAAAGACCGTGAGCTAGAATACTTGTATGAAGAAAATCGCCATTTATTATTAGAAGTAGCAAAATTAAGGCGAATAAATCAAGTATTAAATAAAGATGTGGTTAAGAAGAATGAAATAATTGATAACTTAGACTCTAATCTTGCTGAAGTTGAAGAGCAATTAAAAATTGTGAAAAAAAGTCAGCGAAATCGTGAATTATTGAAAGAAGCTTCACTTTTGCAGCCTAATGTTGGGAAGTCTAAAGATAAGTTAGAATCATGCAATGGTACTAATACAACTAAATACGGGAATTTTAATACAGTTGATATAAAGCCTAAATTAACTACTACAAATACACCTAGACCAAAATCTAGTACTACATCGGTTGAAACAAGATTATTACAAAATGTATTGATAGAATCACTCCATGAACAGCAATGTGAGAGAAAAGCATATCAGGAACTGAAACATGAAATTGAGAAATTACAGAAGGAGGTATATATGATGCAAAATGATATAAATAATACGAATAATTCTGTATTAGAGCAATCTAATGTATTTGCAAGTAAAGTGAATGATGAAATAGAAAATCAGAAGACAAGAAGCTCATTAACATCTTCAACTACTTCTCAATCCTTAGCCCAAGAACTACTTGAGCCTATTTCTTCAGAATCCCTAAATAATAAAATTATGCCACCAAGAAGTGTTCACTTATTAATGGGTGAAACTATAACTAATCATAATTTGAAACCTGATGTTAATACATCAGACTCTCAAAGAAAATCCGAAACCAGTAATTTACTCAAGAACGGAGTCCCAATCTTACCTGATAGTTATTATTCTTCACATCCTCCAACTACATATAATTCTTCAGCACCTTACTCTTTCGTAACAATGAATTCATCTGGATCTCCCAACTATGTACCTCCAAGTATGAATATTCTTCCTTACTTTACAACTTCTATACCAAATAGATTTCCTAATGCTGGGTACTCCTTTGTTCCAACTTTAAATTATAGTCAACCAATAAATAGGAATTTTAATCAATTAAAATATCCAGTTCAGTCTTCAATATATCAGACTACAATACAATCTAACAATTGTCAATATACAGCAAAGGCTCCTTTAATAAGAAGATCTATTACTCCCTTTCAAACAAGATATGGAACCCATTCAAATTCTCAAATACATGATAACCTGCAGGTTTTCTCATCTGTAAATAATATACCATCTTCTAGTCTACCCTTTTTATTTGCAGTAAATCAGTCAAATAATATGAATAATTACACTGTTCCCCATAATATTCCCTCATCTTATAAACTAACATTTACACCAAGGTTTAGGAGAAGAAGCTACAAATCTCCTATCCCACCTAATAACAGATATCACTCTTTTGATCCGATTAGAAGATGTGGTACAGGGAATTTAAGAAACGAGAATATACATAATGCAAATTTTGGATCCGAAGATAGTGTAAATTCAGGATATATTAAATTCAAAGCTTCAATTGTACCTAGTACAGGATCCGTGACATCTATAGAATCTAAGTACTCACCTTCAACAGTTGATTCTAGTTCAAGAGTGAGAGTGCCTTCTGGAATAAGCTCAGGCTACTGCCCTTGCAATGAAGCAAAATCATGCTATGAACATTTTCATTAAATAGGAGATCTAAGTATTAAAACTCTGCTAGCTTTTTCTACAAATATTATGTATCTAAAAATTCTAATATGTAGTCTAGTCTTGTAAGACTATATTTTTCAGCATATAATTAAAGGGTATACATTTTAGTTTACAATTCTTTCTTTAGTGACATTTATCTAAATGTTGGTTGTGTAGGTGATCTGTAATATTTAACAATTCTGAAATATAAACTATTTAGATATATAATTTTGAATTCACTTACACCCAACCTCCTTTATTTAAATTTCCTAATATCCCAATATTCCCTAATCCTCCAGATTTACTATCACTATAAGAATGATTTGTCAAGGCTGGGATCTCATTAGTGGAATTTTCAGTAATATTATGGGAAGGTCCATTATGTAAATTTCCTCCAGTTCCTGATGCATTATTTCTTGCTATATCCGTCAGATACACTGTATCTAGTCTTTTCTCTAAATTCTCAACCTTATTTGTAAGATCTCTAACACATTGTATAAAAAAAGGCATTGCAGCATCTAGGCATTTATATTTCCAAGCTAACTCCAAAATTACATCTGGTTTAAGATATTCATAACATGTATACAAACAAGCTATAAAGTTTTCTATATTTTTATGACTAAGTAAAAATTCCAATAAATTTTCAATTAATGATGTATCAGCACTTTTGTATACTACAACTATTGCATCTTCAATTAGCATCTCCTTTTGACAAATTTCTAAAGCTTGCTGATAATCTGCATTTTTATGAAAAATTTTCACAGCTAGACGTCGAAAATCGTTTAATGGATGACTCTCTAATTTCCGAGATAAATTCGATTGATTATAATTGTCGCATTCCATAATTAGCTTCTGTAGTTTATCTACATTTTTAGTATTCAAATACAAATCTATAAGTGCTTCATTTACAGCCAAGATATTTTCACTGCATACACTCTCCAGAAATTCTTGAATTAAAGCTACACTAGCTACAGAATCTGTTGCAGTACCTGTTTTTCTGAAGTACTGCTGTATCAATCTTGTACATAAACTAGAAATGTCAAATCTAGAATTTATTGATGATGAATTGTATAAACTATTACTAGTATTTTGTGGAGTATCTGCTAAATTTGTACCCATATTCACTGAGCCTAAATTGCTATTATGTCTTGGTGTATTATTTAAGCTATTGACCATCCTACTATCATTTAATGTATTGTTTTTACTGATTGTACTCATAAGTAGATCATTTAAAAGTTCCGGATGTTTATCAAGATAGAATGTAATTGATTTATATAAGATATCTAAATTACTTATATTTTGTAGAATAGAAATAAATTCATCTTTTTTCCAAGCGACATCTGCATGATTTATTATTGTTAAGACTGCTTGGTCATATTCATGGTATTGTAAAAATAAATAAACTACTTCATTCCATAATTGGTATTGTTCACATATCCTAATTAACTTCGGGATATTAATACGTCCAGAATAATTTGAACAATAGTCCATCAATTTTTCCGGAGTATATTTTGCATATAATATTCCTAACTCTGTGAATAGGCTTCCATGTGCACGCTCAGTATTTTGTATAGCTCCTTCTAATAATGTTAATAATTCATCTGTCAAACCTTTATTTTCATATTCATTTACAACATCTTCGCAATAGTCTGGATACACAATAATATTTAAACCAGCCTGATGTGCCAAGTTATATTCGCCAATTTGCATACAAATTTGCAATAATTCCTTCCAAGTTTTCGGAGAATTAGCTTTCTTAGCAGATTCTAAGGCATTATTATATTCTTCTAATTGGATATAACATGTTGTTAAACGAGAATAATTTGGTATAGATTGATAGAATATTATTGAATATTTAAATAGACCTTCATCCATTAATCTATCTCCAATTCTTTGCAATTGTACTGTATTGATGCCTTGGAGGAAATTCTGCAATTCCTGAATCATGCCCAATTTCGACATGCAATAAGCTAATTCTGTGTCAATTATAGGATCCTTTGAAATTCTTGAATCCTTCAATCTTCTAACCATTTGTAAATAGTTCATCAAATCTTGATAAGATTTACTTTTCAAACACACATCAATAGTTTCTTGATATCCCTTTGTATTTTCAGACTTAATATAACATTCTACAGCTTCTTTACATCTTCCAATATTTAAATACTGTCTTCCTAATAAAGACCATACACTATTATCATTACAATAAACTGCAAAATCAAATGCATGGGATAAGTCTATATTATAATGCTGACTATTTTCATATTCTGGGGAATCGCTTCCTAAGTTGTCATTAGATTCAGTACTATCCTTCGATTCACCTCTAGCAATTTGTAAAAGAATTTCCATTGCTTCGATATTTAAGGAAAATTTTTTATATATTTGGAATGCTGATCTCAAAATGTTATGTTGAATTGCTATCTTAGCAACTTCTTTAGCATCATAATTATCTAATCTTAAAATATAATCATCAAGCCTTGATGGATCTACCTTAATTGCAGTCAATAATAATAAATTTTGTAAATTTTTATTTTGTGTAAATTCTGCATTATTAATATGTAGTACAATCTTCTCTAATAGTTCCAATAGTGATGTAGGAATATCTGCATTAATAAAAGCTCTTATTGTACAACTAACTTCTTCTGCTTTATTAGAAAATTCTGGCAATATAGAAGAAATTACTTGGTCAATAATTAGTTGTCTAGATGAATCAAAGTGTTCATCACCTTCTAAATCTTCACTTTGTTTATTACCAGAACCTAATACTTTACTCCATAAACTCAAATCTTGACGTTCAACAAGATATCTTGCCAATAAACGATATAAATCATTTTTATAAGTAACTTGGATTATTTCATCATCACATAATCCCCATGCCTTTCTATATGCAATATAAGCCAAATAAGGATCACGATCCTCACAATAATCACCAATAAGTTTCGAGTCATAATAAGGATTAGTTTTTAGAAAATTCTCAGGATCTCTATTCATATCAATGTAAATTTTCGCTAATGCATTATGAAGTGATGGATCTTGATAGCCTTCATGTACCCTCTCTTCTAACCAGGGTAATAAGAGTTTGAGCCTGTTTCTCTTCTCAGCCTGTTGAATCAGATCACTAAAAGAAAACGAAGATCCTAATGTCTTTATTTCTTGTAAAAGAGACTTAACCAAATCTTCAGACCCATCTAAATCTATTAATGTACCAATAACTAGTGGAGTTTGACTAGGATTTATTTTCAAAGCATAAACTTGAATATATTTATATAACGACATATGATACAAATAATTAATCAGATCTTCAACTCTATGATGTAAATCACAAACCCAAATTAGAGGACGTAAATCATTCATCTTTATATTTTTGAAATATTCAATAACTTGGTCAGGATCATACGATTGAGGAAAATCTCTACAAATCCTCTCAGCCTCCTGAACTTGACCAAGATTTATAGATGCTTCAATATATTTAAATATTATAAATGACTGAGAAGAAAAAGATTGTTGAATAGAAGTAGATTTATTATTTAAATGAGAATTTAAGTTATTCGTACTAATACTAGGACCAGTAGTTGTATTACCTATAATCCCTGAGGTTGCAGAATCTACCCCCCCTAAATATGCTGTTAAATTAGATCCAATTACATAATATATACCTTCCCATAAATTCTGTTGTTCAAATAAAGTAATAATATTTTCAATTCCAATATTGTCAATATTTTTAATGCAAACTTGTATCAAATTCTGTAATATTGAGTTATTTATAGTATTTGTTAGTGATGTACCACTCGAATCAGATGTATTAGTTGACATTAAACCTATTCCTGATCCACTATTAATATTACCACCTTGATTCCTACAAACTGAAAGTAGTTCCTTTAAACATTCAAAACGAGTATTAGAAGGTAACTTCGACAAATAATTTGCCAACCAATCACTATTTAGGCTTCCACAGGAAATACTCAAAATTCTTCTGATATCTCTCATATCAGTATAGTTTTCTAAGCATCGCTCAAATAACCCTGCTTTTTCACATAAACTAGCAATTGCATGTTTATCATAATACGTATATACATCCATTTGAAATAAAGCCTCAGCAACTTGAGGAGCATAGAGAAGATTTAATTCAAATAACTTCGTCTGTAAGGCAGCATCCTCAGGCCGGTTATTCTTTAAATAATCAAGTAAAATTGATGTAATTTCTTTATAGTGTCCATGAGATATAAATATATCAACAATTGAAATTTTATCAATTGCTAATTCTAATCCGTGTGGTAATACATTCGAATTTACACCACTAGCACTATTAGAAAAATTACTGACATTACCAGAATTTGTTATATTTGATGAATTTAAATTTGCAGCTGCATTTACACTTTCAGGTGTACATGGTAATAATATACGTCTTACAAATTCTACACATGCATTTATATTATTCAATATAAGTAAATTATTAAGTAAAGATCGGATATCTGTTGTTATTGTGGGCCAATTATCTTTATGTTGTAAAATAAAATTAATAATGTCATCGTAATTACCAATCTCAATATATGTATGTAAAATCTTCGTAGGATTTAGAGGAGTACATTTACTAAATACCTTAAGAGCCAATGACTTATCCGTACATTGAGATAATAAAAGATCTCCTAGATCCTCACTTAATGTAAGTTTATCCTCATTAATAAGAATTCTTAAAAAAACTAAAGGAGAAGGAATAGAGAAATTTGGGGTAAGAGATACTGAACCGGCTGAAATAGCAGCTAGAAATGTAGAAATTGATTCAGAAGAAGAATTTGAAGATGAAGATGTAACCAGTGACAATGTGATATGAACAAGTTCTAAACTCTCAAATTGATTTAATATATGATATTGTAATAGACATATAAAATAATAAAGTAGGACTTTATTACTATTATCAAGCATTTTAAGACGATTTAGAGTTGCAGGGACTCTTAAATAATTGCTTTTATTTAATGCTACAACTCTAAATGCATTTACATAATCCATACGATTTAATGCTTCATTAAATATTCGTGTTGAGAAGTCTTCACTACCACTATATCCATACCGTTTTAACCATCTAGTTATTCCTTGATTAGAGAATAAAGATGTATTAGATTGAATATATGATGAAATATTATTTGAATTCACCATTACATGTAAAACTAGACCTCGTCTATTAACTACACAAATTCCATGTGATCTACTTGGAGATCCAAGAAATACTGAATCTTGACAAATCTGACTAAAGTATAAAATACTTCCTGAAGATGGCTCTACAACATATAAAATTCCTCCCCTTGTTATTATAAATATCACCCCAAAATAATTTGAAATATAACTGTAAATAGGAAAATCAAATATTCCACTATTTTCTCCTGGACCATGTACCCCAGGTACTTGTGGGTTGTTGTAATTTAAATTAGAAGGTAATTCTACATTCATCTTAAATGGAGTAGAACCTTCAGCTCTAGAAGTTGAAATATCCATTATATGTAACTTAGCATTTAATTGGTCTTGTTTTTTCTCAATAAAACAAACAATACTAGTTGGATGAGCACTTATAAAATCATCTAAAATTATCTCTCCAAAACTACCAGAAAATCCCTCTAATAATTGCTGTTGCCTTTTTTCAGCTGAAAATAATTGAATTTGACCCTTTACTGAGACACCACCTGAGTTACTACCTTGATTAGGTATTGTACATGGGGATAAGCCCATTAGCATACACCATCTTTGATCACTATTACACTGATATCCAACTACTTGAGTAGAACTTTCAGCTAATTCTCCAGACCTTTCAAATATCTTTAAGGGAAGTGTGTTAGAACCTCCATTAATAGTCCAATGATATACTGCTTTATCTCCAATTATAGCCAATATTCTGGAATTTAGCCAACGCCAATAAACAATAGATTCAGGAAATACAAATGCTCCTAACTTTTCTTTACTTCCCAAATTAAAAATTTGAACAGTACATCCATTAACTTCACTTTGACCCCTTACGACAAGAATATTTTCTAATGGATGAATCAACGCACTTTCTGCCTTCATTGGTTTTCTGTTTATATGTTTTGTTGAAGTATCTACAATAACTATCTGCGATCCACCATCTACACTAGTTTCCTTTACACCAACATACTTATCTCCTTCTAAAGTTACACTACCAAAACGAAAACAAGATGAACCTATACCCAATTCTTCCAAATTTACTAATATATTTGCTGCTATCGGGACTCCTCCCTTCATGTGTATTACCATTAAGCTAATATATATTACAAATGTAAATTCAAAGTTTAGCCTTTTTTATTTCTATACCTTAATAGCTTAAATATATACACTTCCTATTAGAATTCTCTATACAGTTATTCGGCCAAATATATAATAGTTGGTTGGGGGTGCAAATGGCGGTACATTTTCCCCCTCATTTCCTTGTGGATAAACTAAGGAACCTGAATGTGTAACGTACAAAGTGAAAACAAAATTGTGGGGTTACCTCTAACTTTTTTCTTTTTTCCTTCTTTTTCTTTAAGTATATAATATAATTAACAATATAACCAAGTGTACAATATTAGATACACATAGATACTAAAATGAAGAGAAGGACATCTCCTAGTCGCAAGCGAGCTAATGAATGGCCCAGTCTAACAGATGATGAGATTGAGGAAATTCGAAAAACATTTAATCTATTTGATACAGATGGATCTGGTACAATAGATCCAAAGGAAATGAAGGCTGCTATGCAAAGTTTAGGTTTTGAAAGTCAAAATCCAACTATGTATCAGCTTATAGCAGATTTGGATAGAGATGGATCATCTGCTATTGATTTCGAGGAATTCCTTGATGCCATTGCATCTAAACTTGGTGACAAGGATAGTAGAGAAGGTATTCAAAAGATATTTGCTATGTTCGATGATGATAAGACCGGTAGCATTTCACTAAAGAATCTTAAGAGAGTTGCTCATGAACTAGGGGAAAATATGACTGATGATGAACTTAGGGAAATGATAGAAAGAGCTGATAGTAATGGTGATGGAGAGATAAGCTTTGAAGATTTCTATAGTATAATGACAAAAAAGACATTTGTATAAAGCATCAATAAATTCTTATAAATAATATCAATACTGTAGGAGTACTTTTTTTTTCCCTTCATATTAGAAAATTATTATTTATTTATCTAATTCCATTGTTTCAAGAAAAAAGAAAAAGAGGACAAAAAAATTATATCCAAAATATGTCACTTTTAATGTTTTGGATCTTATTTTCTTTTTTAACTTATAATTCGTCTTTGGTTGCAGTATAATTCATAAGAATATTGGGTACACCTTTCGTATTACTATTAGTACTATGAATCCATATATAAATGAGTAGTTTTACAATAGTCGTCAAAATAGATACACCAAATATACAATATATAAAGATATCATTTGCTATAAAGTATTTATTTAAATAAATATTAGAAGCTACATAAAATATTAGATAACTTTCATCAAATTTTATACACCATAACATAGCTTTACTTGTGAGATATACAACACTAGTTATTGGAAATAATACAATTCCAATATTAAAGAGAATAGAATTAAGAGGTGTTTCATCTCTTCTTAAAAAGTGAAATGGAAAACAAAAACAAATCTTCTTACCAAATTGGGACCAACAGAAACAGGAACAAATACCCAAATATATAGGTAATATAAGTGATAATAAAATTAACCATGGAGTTACAAGAGGATTATTGGATGGAATAAAAGTCTCTGATATAACCATAGAAGTAATTAACATACATATCCATACTATTGTAAACAACAAACTTAAAATAAAACCAATAACTTTTATAGTAGTTAATACATAATTTTCACCTCTTTTCTTGAACCCCTTTTCGGTATTTTCAAAATATTCATTTAATGCTATTACTTCATTTCTATATTTATTGATTTTTTGTTGCAAAGACCTCTTTTCACTCCATCTTTTAAAAGAGTATGAATAATTTGAACTCAACTTATTATATTGTTCCTGTTTCTTAAGTATATTTTTCCCAACTTCTTTTAATTTCTCAGCTATAATAAATATTTCCATTTTTCTAGAATTATATTCTTCTAGAGTTAAAGGTATTACTCTATTAATAATAGATGAAAAAATAAGAGAAGGTGTAAGAACTAATCCAATCCCTACAAATACAATATTAAAAATAAAACCTATAAATATCATCAATCCAGTAAATATTATAGGGAATGATATTATTGTTGTGAAAGATTGTTTGGAACATAAATCTGAAGAAAATTTTGCTATATTTGACACCTTTATACATAGTGAATTTGATACAAATGAAAATGTAGCAAATCTAAAGGCTCCATAGCTTATTCCTAATAAAATACCATAAATAATTATAAATGGTAAAGTATATAAACATGTTATTAATAAAGGAGAATGTCTTATTAATCTCTTATCATGTTCTGATTCATAATAAAATATTGAGAAAGGCAATAATAAGGCCATATATACTAAATTTAGACACAATATAATGAGGAATAAATTAAACATATTTACTGTTGAAGATGGTTCACCACCTAATGGTGGATTTTGATTCATTATATTTATAGATATTATTGAGTAATTAATCCATATTAATTGTAAGCCAAAGAGAGCAGATACCCTAGCAATTATTCCCTGTTTAGGACGATCTGATGAAGGAAAAGAATTTATTAGATAATTAAAAAATATTATAATCAAAGGTTAATGAAATTATATAAGGTAGAATATAAAATATATCACCTTTAATATATAAAATTCCTTAAAACATACCTTTTACATCTTCAGGATCTTCAAAAATATATAATAAACGTATATCTATTATTAAAACTATAATATTATAGATTAAAATAAAAAATACAAGTATTAAATCCATATATGATGAGACATGTAATGATGTAACTCCTACTTCCCTAGATTTAAATCTATATGTAGTTCTATAGTAGAAGCTAGAGTCCAATTAATATATCATTTAAAACCTTTAATTAGTCTTTTGTAAATATTACTTAAGCGCCATATATGTAAATATCAGGTATATGGCAATACTAAAAAATTAGGTATACCTTAATAAGGCGGGTCATACTTGCACACATTAGTACACCAACTCTACAATAAAAATGAAACATTAATGAGACTTAAGAAGAAAAAGGCTACAATAAATTTTGAAGATACATCTATAGAGGATAATTTAGTTAATTTTGATGATAATTTAGATATAAGAAGAAATAAGTTGAATATCCTAAGGGAAAATGTAGAAATTGGTGATATAGAACCCTCAAATATTACAAATAAATCAAATATTGATATATATAATAATAAAGGAACTTTGTATTCTATTAGTTTAGAAAATTGGATGAATATTGAAGGCCCCCTTGTATATGTTTTTGAGGATAATGTAAATATTATAGCTGGTTTAAATGGTAGTGGTAAAAGTAGCGTTGTATGTGGAATAGCGATTGGGCTTGGTTATGATACAAATATTTTAGCAAGAGGGCATTTATTAGCTTCTTATATACGTAATGGATGTAAATATTCCAAGTTAAAGTTAATTTTGAATAAAGATAAAGGTCAGAGAGTAACTATAGATCGTACTTTGACCTTATCAAATAATAATGAAGTAAGAACTTTATGGAAATTAGATGGATTAAAGTGCAATGAAAAAGATATAACTACTTTAAGAAAGGAAATGAATATACAGTTAGATAATATGATATCATTTTTAGCTCAACAAAGAGTAAGTCAATTTGCAACTCAGTCTAGTCAGTATATTTTTAAGGAAACTATAAGAGCACTATCAAAAGAATCAAATAATAATAATAATATAGATGATATAAATATAGATAATTTAACATTTTTTTATAATAAATTTCTTGATATAACAAAAAGTTCACAATCTTTAAGGTCAAACTTATATGGGAAAGAAACTAAGTTAGTTCAAATAAAGAATGAAATATTGAAGGCAGAACAAAATGAAATAAATTATATTAGATACATTTACTGTAAGATGGCAATGGAGTTAATTAAAATATTTGAGATATTAATTGAAGGAACTAAAGAAAAAGAGTGTTTAAAGAATAATTTCTCTATAATAGAGGGGAAAAAAAAAGATAGGGAAGTTTTAGAAAAAAATATAAACTCTGAAATTAATAAGATTGATGAATTATTGTCAGAACAGAAGAAATATGAAGAAAAATATGATGATATTATAAAAGATATTGAAAATAATAAATTAAATGGTATTATTAAACATTCTCATTATAGAATAAAAGATATAATTAAGGAAACAAGAGAAAAAATTGAAGATCCGGAATTATCTTTGGAAGCTTATTATAGAAAGATAAAGGATATTGAATGTCTTATTAAGGAGATAGATGAAGAAGTTGATAAATATGAAGAATCATTAAACAACAACTGGATTTTAAAATGGAAAAATATTGGATTGTCATTACTTAGGGATAAACAGGATGGATTTTTATTAGATGAAGGGGAGGAACTAAAAATAAAAATAGGCAAAGAAATAAGTCAAATTTCATCTGAAATATCTCTTTATGAAAGAAATATTAGAGAAAATGACCATTTAAAAAATAAGCTGATTCAAAGAAAAAGTTATTTGGAAGAGGAAAGGATCAGAAATATAAATGATAATAGAGAAAATAAAGATTTAGATAATCAACTAAGAATATATTTAAATAATGTTAAACAATCAGCCTTATCTAATTTAATACGTCAAAATATAATGAGGTATTTTTCAGTGAACAAAAATATATCTGACGAGTTATATGCTATAAATTCATCTAATATATCTCCAAAAGGACCTGTTTATGGCCCAATAGGTAGTTATATATTATTAAAAGATCGATCTGTTCAATCAGCAGTAGAATCATTTTTGCAGCAATTCCACTACTATTTTATATCAGAAAAATCAGATATTCAGTTATTAACAAGCAATTATAACTTAAATGTGCTTACATTAGCTAAATTTTCGCAACCAATATATCCTGAAGTAGATGAAGATCTAAGAAATATTAGGTATAAATAGGATTTATTCATCAATATATTATAATAAAAGACGAATCTATAAAAAATATTCTTTTCCAAATAGCACCACAACTTTTTTTATGTGCCATTATTGATTTATCTAATAATAATAATTACAATGAAACAGAACCAGGTAAAGAGTTTAATAATAGAAATAAGGTTATTAATTTGAATGAGGATAAAATATTATATGAATTGTCTGAATGGCTAAAGAATAAATATGGAAATATTAATCCTAGAATATATCAAAGTGTACAGCTATTAGTTTTGAATAATATTGTTAAGAAGGAACTTAATGATAATAATATAATTAATCGAGATAATTATACAAATTCAAATATTGGAAAATTTGGGACTTTATATAAATTGATATCATCACTATATAATACGGAATCTAAGACAATCTCTTCAAATAATTTAGATGAACCAATGAATACAGTCTTATTATTAGAAGAATATGAGAAATATAACTCGAATAAAAGTCAAAATAAAGATAAATATATTGATATGGAAGAAGTTGTAGAAATAAATAACAGGATTTCAAAAATAACTGAGGATACTGAGCAAAAACAGAAAAAATGTGATAATCTAAGAATGGAATACAATAAAAAAAGAGAAATATTAAATATTTTGATAGAATGTTTAGTAAATATTCCATCTATTTATAAAAATATTCTCAAAATAAAAAATTTAAAGATTAAGTATCAAAGTGACCTTAAAAAATTAAATAATTCAATAAAACCTGACAAATCCAAAATATTGAATAAAAATAAAGAATCAATATGTTATTCAATATTTGGAAATAAAAATATGGAATTTTCTGAAGACATTCATTACAACAAAATTAATAATGAAAGACCTATATACAAGGAATTACTTAATATATCGGAAATACTAGAAGATATTGCAAATATACAATTTAGAGAACTAATAAATATAAAAAAGAAAATTAGTGAAATATCGAATTCAATTACATCTTTAAATAGTAGTAATAAATTAAAAAGTGATGAGTTACAAAAATTAAATAGAATAATAGAACTAAATGAAATTGAATATAATAAAATTAAGGATTTATTAAGTAAGATGAAACTAGATTTAAGAAGTTACTATGCTCAATTTTACTCATTATTTTATCAATACTATACCAGAATTCATAGAAAATCTAAAGATTTAAATTTAGAGCAATTACCTCCTTATTACTATTTGCCAATAGAAAACGAAAATAGTAATAATGAAAACTTCGAAGCACTATATAAAATTCCTGGTATGGAGAATATCCTTAGATTAATAGATGAAGAAACGAACAATGAGATATTCTACAGTAATATTGCAACTGATTTTACTCCTAATCAAAATATCATTCCACAATGCTACATTGAGATAATAAAGCAAGTATGTACAGAATTTCAATTATTATCTAATTTATCAGATAATATAGAATATATATTTGATATTAAATATTGTAATAAAGATATTTATAAGTATGGGATATGTCAAAAACAAGCTAGAAGAATAAGTAACAGACTAAAAACCACTAATTATATGTATAACAATGTAAGTAATAATAGAAATCCTAATACCAATAATGAACCTAATTCAAATAATAAACGAGATTATAACTATAGTATACTTGATATATTACTGCCAAAATCTAAATATCAAGATAAATATAATGATATTCTAAATACTATTTTAAAATTAGAATATAATACCCATGATACTAACCTCGAAAGGCTTAATAATTTACAAAATGAATATGAAATATTAAATTTAGAGAAGGATACATTACAGAAGAAAATTAATGAATTTGAGAATTATATATTTAAATACTCTAAGAAATGGTTACTTAATTTAAATATTATACAAAGTGTACTAAATGATCGTTTTTTTATTTTCATGAATTTTATAAATGAAGGACATTCGGGCAAAGTTATCATACCATTTTATGAAAGATTTAAATACAAAAATCTTGACTTTTTGGATGAAATATCAACTTCTTGTGCATACTCTGAAAAAGATACAACTAATTGTATGGAAAGTGATAATTCAAAATATAACTTAGAAAAAAAAAAAGAATTCTATGATATATTTATTAATAATTTTGAAAAGGATCATTGTATAAATATTTTAGTAAAATTTGGTATAGATGAAGAATTTAGACTATTTTCATCAAGTTCTATTTCTGGAGGAGAACAATCATTATGTACAATACTATATATATTAGCATTACAAGTAAGTTTCATAAAAGTGTCACATAAAGTTATACAGATTTATATTTTGATATATCTAATATAATGGATAGATTACTGTATGCGATTATTTTATAAATAAAACAGTTATTCTCTATAACTCTTTTATTTTAGGGTTTGTGTAGAAGTAATTCTTTTACTTTATATGATGAAATAAATCAAGGTTTAGATAATTCCAGAGAACTAAAATTAATGGAATTATTAAATATACTTTCATGTGAAAAAAAAGTCAAAGAATTATTTCAAAATAAGAAAGAAAAATTAGGATCTTTCGATAAGTATAATCAAATGATTATAGGAACTAAAATGAATCAAATTATTATTATTACACCACATTTACTACCAGGAATTATGTTTAAAGATTTTTCTATACATTTTGTTTTAAATGGTCCTGGTTTTTATATTAAAGGGTAATAATGAATAACTAAAATTGATAAGAGAAACAAAACTTATGAGTATTACTGGATTTATTACTAGTTATCTGCTTCTATTATGAATTAATGATAAAATTTATAACTTTATAAATAAGAAATCTAAGTTTAAACACAAGTTTTTATAATATCAAACCAAGAAAAGTGCTTTAATATACGTAAGATAACTACACCTTTAGTAGCAAATCTCCATGGTAGATGTAAAGCTGAAGATATACGTCTAACTAAACTTGCTAACTTAGGACGATTATTTATATGATTACCCATTCCTACACAAATGTATAAGTCAATGAAAGAGTAGTTTCTGAATAAATCAGATGACATTATTAAATTTCTGTGTGACATTGATTTGCAAATTTCACATTGAACTTTCAATTCCTTATTTTCAACTTTATTATACCCATTATTATTATTATTGATATATTCAGATATATTTACATCAAGCTTGTATTTTAATATTAATGCAATACACAAACATATTATATTAACAGATTCATCACGATTATATCCATGTAGATCCATAAATACCATATTATTTTTTGATGTTTCTGCCTGATTATCACAAATATAATCAATAAATGATTTATTTCTATTATTAAATAGAGTGGAGCAATATTCTAAACGTGTCTCTACTATTTTGGTATTAATATTATCAATAATCTTCCTGTTATCTTCAATTTTCATTATATTATATTCTTTTATTTGTGATCTTGCTAAAATACTGTTTAATTCAAACTTCTTATCTTGACGTCTTATTATTAAATCTTTAATATTATTTTCCATATCCTTTAGTAGTTGGTTATCTTCTTCAGATCTTGTACTATTACCCTTATCTATTCCAACTTCTCTAATTGTTATACTATAACATTCATTACCTGGTCCCGATGGTGGCCATATTTTATCTTTAGATTCCTTAACTCTATAAAAACCACTGTAATTTTGGACATTTAGTAAAAATAGCTTCAAGATATCAAAATTCTCTTTAACATATAAATTTTCAATTTTCTTTAAGTCCCAAGGATATTTTGGAATAAGGATTTTTGAAAAGCTCTTTGAAGTAGAAGACTTTACATTATTATCCCCTTCTAAACTTGAACTCAACATATTCAAACTTTTTTTCAAAAAAACTCTATAATTTTTAAATCTTTCACATATATCTAAATAAGAATCTGATTTTTTAGAGTAATCATCTGTATATGACATAAAACAGAGTGTCTCTATCATCAGATCTAAATATTCAGAAAACTTTAAATCAACATCAGTAAGATCTTGATTTCTTTTTTGTTCTAAATCTTCTATAATGTCAATGAAGATGTCATCAAAAATGTCAGAAATGACATCCCTAGAAAAGGGAAAAATCTCACTCAACTTCTCAATGATTTGCACACGTCCTAATCTTGTAAAAAGGATATCATTACCTACCATTGTCTATACTAACTAGACAAAATTATTAGACAGGCATTGTACCCCTTTACTATTATGAAAATATAATTATTTTTCCTCTGAAATTTGGAAATATAACAGGTACCGATAATGCTAAATACCGCCTTTTTTTAGCGCCTTTTCACGTGCATAATTGTGTGTATTTTTCTGTATAAAGCTATTTTTAATCAAATTTATACCTAATACTACAAATAGTACTATTATAAGTCAAATATTTGATCTTTTGAGCCACTGCAGTTATATAAATGCATAAATAATTTTTTGATAAGACGAATATAAAAAAATTGGAAATCTTAGAATTTACTAAGTATATACAAAAAAAAAAAGATTTTAATTACCATGAATAAAGACTTAATATGTTAATCTCACCCAAAAAAGAATTAACTAAAAAATATGAAGTATTCTACTAAGTCTTTCTTTAGTAAATTTTCAAGTGGTGATGTATCTTTAAAATATGAGATAAATAAAAATACTAATGAAGAATTTCTGTATAGTAAATTGAAAGATAAAATGAAGGAAGATCTATTTTATAAATACCTATCTATTTTTTTTTGTAATATATTAAATATAAACGATTTTGTGGATCAGAAGGTAATAATATTGTCATCATTTATTAATGATAATATATTTATACCTCCTAAGGTAATAACTAATGATATACGCTTGAAAAACCTATTTGTTACCTCAAATAATGAAATAAAAAGTGCTAAGTTATGTTTTTCAAGCAATAATGAATTAGAAAACTTAGAAAATTATTCATTAGTTTATGGGGATCCTCATGGGAAACCTATACTATCTGAAATGCAAAAAAGACGAATATACAAATGGAAAAAGATTCCAGAGAAAGAAATTGAAAATTATAAGCTATTCCCTACATGCTGGGAACAGTACTCTTCATCTGATATTATACAGGGATTTATAGGTGATTGTTCCTTTATTGTAGCATTATCTTCACTTTTAGAATATGAAAAAGAGTTTAAGGAATGCTTAATATCAGAAATAATTCAGGATATAAACGATGAACTATCTTTAAAAATACAAGAAGAAATATTTCAATTTTGTATGAATTATAATCAACATGTGAATTTCAAAATGTACTCTTGTAAATTACTTTTTAATGGGCTATGGCGAGATGTATTTATAGATAATTGGATGCCAATAGACAAACAAGGAAACCCCTTGCTATCCTACTTTAGGGATAAAAGCTATATTGGTATCAGCTTACTTGAAAAGGCATATCTAAAGATAATGGGTAATCAATATGGTACTGTAGGAAGCAATCCTGCAGTAGATATATTTTATTTGACTGGTTGGATTCCAGAAATGATTGTAATAAATAAAGATAATGATAAATACCACTTTTTTAGAGATCTGTGGAAAAAGTTGTTAGTCTCTTTGAAAAGAGGAGAGTGCATAGTTTCCCTAGGAACTAGTCAATTTGATTATAAAAATATTGGAGTAGAAAAATCTAATCGTGTAGGTTCTATATATGAGGAGATTGCCACAACGTCTGGAATAGTCTCAAAACATGCATATCAAGTACTTAGAATGGTTGATATTGTGAATCCAAGAGTTAGTAATGAAGTAACTCATCTTATTTTACTAAGAAACCCTTGGGGAGCCATTAGATGGAAAGGTAAATACTCTTTTAGTGATACAGAGTCATGGAATAAAGAATTACAAAATATCTTGAATTATGATATAAATGAAGAATCTAAAAAAGATAATGGAGTATTTTGGATGGAATGGAACGATATTTTAGAGTGGTTCTCTCATATATATATATCTTGGAATCCAGGAAGAAAATTCTCATATTTTAGCATTTTTCATGGCACATGGAATGGATACCCTCATCATTCTATTCTTAATGATGACTTACATCTTCTTTACTTCTATCCACAAATAAGAATTAGTGCTAGTTTAAATATCCTAAAAAACAAAGGAAATTTGAAGATAACTAATTTTAAAGACAAAGATTACAATAATTTACAAAAACATGAAAAGAGTATACTTATATTAAATGACACAAAAGATAAAATATCTAAAAAAAGTAAATCTAGGTGGTATAAAAATTGGTTTTCACCTAGGAATAAAAATTCTAGTTATATATCTAGAAATACAATGAATGGAAATAGCTTTCTCACTGCATATCATAATTTGTATCAAGTCGAATATAAGTTGTTAAATTTAGACAATTTTAATTATTCTGAAAATTCAAAAATACTCAAAACTACTTCAAATTTAAGGAACTATACTCAAGAACATGGTGATTTATGGATATTATTAAATAGACACATAAATAGCTATGAAAAAATTGATGATAAACCCAATACTTTATCTTATATTGCTATGCATATTTATTATGGATATGAAAGAATTGATTGTCCTGAAAATAAACCACTAATTCAAGGTATCTACAATAATGGTAATGTTATATTACTTAAACTTAACATATATGATATTAAACAACAAATACAAGATATTAATAAGAATAGTAATAATAGTGAATTGAATTTCATCTTAGTAATTACTCAATATGAAAAAAAGTGTCCATTCAACTTTACTATATCACTATTTAGTGATATTGAAATGAGATATACATTTCCAATATCTAAAAGATATCAAATTAGTCCATATTCTTTAAATTTATGGAATATTTCTGAATATACCGGTTATATTAGAAAAAGGAATCAACTTGAGTTATTTTATATAGTATTTAATCAGATGAAATCAACTACAATAACTTCAGTTTACTCATCCAATCTATCTAATAGTACAAAGGAATATATACCTAGTTACTCACCTATTATTGAATTTATTATAATACTAGAAACTAGTGAATATTGTAAGTCTACCATGAAACTATTAGAAATAGACTATAATACTTCACAAAGTAAGGAAATAGCTACTTCAAATAATTCTAAACAAGAGTTAAAGTCTAAAAGTTGCTGCAGATTAATTAGATCTAGTTGTAACATAGGTAAGTATGTTTTTGCCATGAGTATCGAGTTTGGAAAACCACCCAATAAACAAATCTATAATAATGGAAGTTATTTATATAAAATAATAGTATACTCAAGTAAATAAGTATTATTTTAAAATTTTAGAAATTGTTTATTGTGATGGAATAAGAGTAGGACTTTCACTTTTTCCACTCAATGATATATCAGCAGGTAAACCGCAGTAATTAGGAAATTTCTGACTAATTTCTTTTCTGGATTCACTACAAATTTTCTGAGTCTCTTGAGTCATAGTCTTTATATTTCTAAAGTGTACTGATGATGGATTATAAGGACCAACAACATTTTTACAAAGAAGATTAATTTGTTCAAGACAATTTGGGGCAACACAAACTTTCTTATTTAATCTTAAATTCCCATTATTTATTTGTCCTAGAAAAAAAGATACACATACTTGTAGGAGTGTATTCATAGCAATAACTTCAGTTGAAGGAAGTGAAAAAACTATTCCCTGAGGTAAAGTTAAATGAAGCGTTTCCATCTCTTTCTGAATATCTGTCATTATTTTTGATGGAAACCATGTATCTTTTTGGTTAAGTATAGATATACATTTGCTATAATCACAAGCTCTATAGTCAAGGGACATGTATGGATTTGTTGGAATAATTAAAGATCCAAACCCTAAAGAGTTTGAATTCTTTACAAGACTGTTCCCAATTTCTTGATTTAATTGATCAATAGTTACAGTTGCATTTTTTGTTGCTTTAGTTTGTTGAGATTGTTCATTTTGCTTGTTACTATCACTGCTCCCTAATTGCTTGATCATATTTAGAGCATCTTTTGAACTCGAAAGAATTTGTCCAAATATTCCACTTCTAATACAGCTAACTTGATAAATAATAAAAGAAAATATAATTATAGAGTTTATTAAACTTATATATTTCATACTATTGCAATATAGTGAGATTGTATTTAATTGAATTTCCTTAATTATGTGTGTCACCTCATAATTTAAGTTATAGGGTAATATTATATATTTAAGCACACACTTCTTAAATATATCAATATAGATGTCGAACTTATAAACATAATTTAACTATTGAACAGAAAATCCATATAATCAAAAATAAAGTGTCATAAAAGCTATTTCTTTAATGAAAGAAATTGAAAACATAAAATTTGACTTTTAAATTAATCCAGATATTCAATTATTTAGATGTATGTCATGATGTGACATGACTATTTTGCATTTGACTCATGACCATCTTGGGAGTTCACCGATTGAGTCTGAGTTGAACTCTGTAAGTATTGTGGGGTATTATATTGCTGAGATTGATGCTGTATGTGTTGCGAGTAGTGTTGAGGATAATATATGGGATATTGCTGCGTGTATTGCATATTACTTTGATTTTGTGGAATTTTATATATTGCATCACTACATGCATTTTGATTGTATACTGTAGAGTTTGCTAGATAAATATTAGGTGAATCTTTAGGATGGGATTTTTTCGATTGAAGTTGTGCATTATTTATATTAATTACTGGATAGTTACTAATATTCCTTACTTGAGATTGATAATTAGATTTAATAAAGCTTGGAAGGTTATTTGGATAGGATAGGTTGTTTGGCTGTTGTATCAATGGGAAGTGTTCATAATTAGTATGAGAATGCTGTCTTTTCTGGTTATATAATTGGTGGTTATAAGACTGTTGTTCATGAGGCTGAGGGTGATGATTAGATTGAGCAATTAAGTGCGAATGAGAATTAGTTTGATTGTAGGATTGAGATAACTGACTAGATTGGCTATGAGATAAGTGATTAGGCTGAGTTTGTTGATTTGAGTGAGTATACTGTTGAGATTGATGATTAGTTTGACATTGCTGGTATATGTGGGATTGATTATATAAATGGTTATTTTGAGGGTAATGTGGATTATAAGATTGTAAATTTTTAGGATATTGCTTAAAATTAGATTGATCATGAATAATAGAATATTCTTGAGTTTGCTGTTTTTGGTATTGGGATTGTTGATGTTGATAACTGTGATTAACTTGTACATGCTGTTGATTGCATAAAATCTGACTTTGGTTTTGTGTATAATTCATATGTAAATGTGGAGATGATATCGCCTGTTGTTTTAAATGATATTGGTATTGATTATATGATTGAACTTGATTTGTTTGATTTGTAGCTACTGACTGACTTGAGTTATTATATAACTGATCATTTGTTGAAAAATATGTTTGTTGATGGTTATGAGAATGATATACTTTTTGAGATTTATTTAATGAATTTATTTGTTGATTTATTGTATATGAATTGGATGGTTGTCTTGAATTTTGCTGATGGGTGGCAACCTTTTGATTACCTATTTTTTCAAAAACTTGCTTTTGATATATTGAATTTATATGATTGTCTGGTAATGAATTAGATGGTAAAGATTTTGGAATTTCTAATAGTTGAATTGGATTAGGAGAATGCAGACATTTTAATTGCTCAAAAGAAAATCTAAAAAGATACTCCAAAACTACGGAAAGAGCTGAACGATGTGCTTGTTTCGAAATATTTTTTAATATATTTGAGGCATTTGTACCATTTATTAGTACATCATCAATACTCTGCACTGGTACATTTCTTAAAGCAATATATATATCACAGTATGTAGTATTTAGTCCAAATACTACTTTTGAGGGCCAAATACGAAACAAGAATCCTCTTAAACAGTAAGTAACTGTATTACTTTGTCTTATTGGAACAAGTAAATCATCATGTTGACAAATAGCTTGAATATAAAGTGGATATTTGCCCTCATAAGATAACAATGGATACTGAAGTAGCGTTGAAATATCTCTTATTACTAACAGTGAGGAACATAAAGCTGTGATTATTACGCGAATTAATATACGAGATGATCTCAAATGAGCCATTAATTGTAGAGTATGACCCATTATATCCAATTCACTAGATATTGGACTAGTACATAATTCCAAACAAAATCTTAATTTCATAGGTGATATCTCAATATAATTATCAAATTTATTAATGATATACTCTGGAAAACATACTAGTGGTACTAATAAAGTATCATTACTTAGAAATCTAGTTTCTTTTTTATTATCTAATTCATAATCTTTATTGTTAGTTGAATGTACTTCGGAATCATCTTCACCATTACAACTATTAGAGATAAATTCATTGTCATATTTTATTCTTTTGATATCTTTATTGTAATCTGCCTCTAAGAAAACTTCTCTTATTCTTTTTTGCCCTAGATATTCTATATATGAAGGATTCAATTCTTTAAGGCTGCTAACATAAAATAATCTGTCAATAAATTTACTACTTTCTTGCATGAATGCAATAGGTATGTCATACTCTATATTCCAATTAAGTAGATCAGTATTAGGATTACTCGAAAGACTAGGCTTTGAAACTAAATCTGGCCACCCATAAGAATTTTTATATCTTACATCTTTGTCAACAATAATTTTGAATTGAGGATATTCCCATAATATTTGAAAAAAAAGATTATGTCTCCTATCAACATCAAAAGAAGTTGTTTTCTGATAATACCAAGTCAATTCCAATAAAGATAATTTCACTGGGAAAGATAAAAGATTACTTGATGCATTAAAATTAGGAGATAATTGTATTTTATTTTGTGTACTCAATGACGGGAGAGTGGTACTAGTAGTTTTTACTACTGAATTTGCCAAATTATGAGGTGCATATGAATTAGATTTAATTAACCACTGCAAAGATGAAGGTTCATTTGGAAGTGGAAACGAATTTGTTATCTTTTGGGTGATTCCAGATGATATTGAAACATAAAATGAGCATGTTAAGTATTGTGATAATGGGCATAATATATTATCAAATATATAACCGGGATAATAGTAGAATTCACCATGCTTTTCAATTTTTTTAAATAGTTCACTTCGATATTTATGTATAAAATATATTCTGGGATTACTTAATAATTTTGATGACAAATTTTTATATTCTAAGTCTAATGTTTGACAAGATACTATTTGACTAAACTTTCTTATAAGCTCAGCAAAGTGATTCACCAAGTCTATAGGTTGATTAATAAATGTTCCATCAATTTGCAGACTCTTAGCATCAACAAACTCAATAAGTGCTTTATACGGTGAGTATGAACTTAAGGAAAGTGAAAATGTCATATGCATTCCAAGTGGACGTAGTCTAAATGTCATATATATCTTGTCTATACTCTCTATTTTATTAAAAGCAATAGTGTTGAGGCATTCATATATACCATTTGGATCATTAAATATGCTTTTAGAGTTAATATCTTGATCTAGTAAAGGAAATCTAGAGGCAAGTAATCCTAATTCATAAGTATTAATTAATCTCCATAGTGACCATCCAAAACTAGTAGTATCAAGTATATATGTAGAATAGGTATATTTATACGCACTTTCTTTACTTTTATAACCTTGGTTAAAAAAGAAATCTATAGATTCGATATTTTCTTCAAGGTGCTTATTATATAATGTCTCAATATATGGATCAATAAGACTGTCTTTTAAGGTAATATCCAGAATCTTAGAATTATTATCTCCATTATAATTCCACTTTATTGACAAATTGCTTCCACAATATTTTTCATTGAATAGTAAATTTTTGAGTAATTTCCCACCAAATAACATTGGCCAAGGTTTCAATTCAATCTTTATATCCCAAGGTAAACAAGATTTTATGATCATGTCCTTTCTTGAATATAGTTTATCAAGAAATATAGTGTCACTTTTTACCTCTTCTAAATTAGGTTTGATATATATACAAGAATAAAACTTTAAATATATAATTTCAAGTTGATAATTTATTATTAATAAAATTTGATTCCAAAGATCCAAAAGTTTAAAAAAATTATTCATATTATTGATATACATTTTTATTGAGTTGGCAACTACCCAATTTGGTTCCGGGAATGAAGTATCCAATTTCTTACTATATATTGAAATCTCTACATTTTCTATAATCTTCTTAAAAACTAAATTACTTGCGTTATTAATTGATTCTTCATATAACAAAAAAAAAGTGGGTAATTTTCCATTCATAAATAGCATAGGATTTATGCATGAATCCCCCAGCTCTTGATTAAGTTCACAAACGAATGTGTATCCATAGTTTGAATTGGTTAGTGATTCTAACCTATTATTCCTAACTTCACTGGAATAAAAACATGTATTTGTATTCATCTTCAAATTAACTTCATTGTCGAGACACCCCTCTTCATTGTTTTTATTAGACAATAATAGTCTAAATTGAGGACCAGACTTTTTTCCAGGAGCTAAAGTGCAAGTTAATTCATATATTTTTTCATTATCCTCTAAATTATTTGAATTACAATTGAACTGTTTGCTAATAATAAATGGGAAGAAACATTGATCTTGTAACTGAAGTTCTTTAATTAATCGAATGATACCAACATTATTTCTCAAAAAAGTTTTATTGTAAAGTTCATCTAATTTAAGTATGATATGTTTATTTTGAGTTTCAATAGATGTTATGGAAGAAGATTCAGTTGATAAATCGAAATTAAATATTGCCAATATATTTGAATTGTTATCTAAGTTATTAGCTAAATCATTGTAAAATATTTTGTACCATGAATATGAATTAAAAGTATTACAAAAACAATTAAAAAATATTACCTTAAAATTATTTAATTTGTACCCAATAACATTTAAACTAAAATAAACAATCTCAGCTGAACTTTTTTGTGATATATTAAATAAAAAGTGAAATTCCGGGTTATTAAGATCAAATTTAAATCTATTACCTTTAATGAAGCCCCCAAATATTAATGATATATTGTCAATTGCTGTATTTAATAGAACACTTGAATTTCCTGAAAGTATTAGCTTACGAGTACTATGATTATCTATATCTTCATTACCTGAAACAACCAAGCTTAATATGGAGTTTGGAGGATTTCTCAATATTTTCCAGTTAAAAGTATTTACTATTTCTTTGTAAATATTCTGGAATTTTGCCATATACATTATGTATGGAAGCAGATCTATAAGTGATGCTGAATTCACTTTGATTGATAATGCTAATGAATGAAATATTGATTGAGGATACAGTTTCCAAACAGTTTGGCTAGTATTTAAGTCAATTATTAATGATCCATTGAAGATGTCCATCCAAATGTGATATACCATAGTATTATTATATATATTTAATACCATTTTATATTCATCATAATAAATATTACCATCTGATGCTAGTAATTCATGAATTAAATTTCTATATACTTCAAATTGAAAGTAGCGCAATATATTGACTGCATGGAGTAGTATAACAGATAGATCTGCAGTTGCATATTCTATTTTACCCCAATTAGATATAAATTTCCAACTATCTAATGACTTTATAATATTGAGTGCTTTAGAAATTGGGCTAGATGTATCATCACCTTGTTTCTTAGCAAGTAAGTTAAATGGCCATAAAATGCAGCAAATCTCCCCATTCGGTCTAATTAAAAATCTCAGTATAATTGAATAATTACTAAGACTTTTTAACTGAGATGTAATTGTATTTGGTGTTTGTGAACCAAGTAAACAGTTCTGACCAAGCTTCAAGTCTTCAACTGCGCCACCAAAAAAAATATCTACAGATTGCATTATATATATATCAAGGAACTTGTATATTTTACCATCAATAGTATAAGAGCCATCTGTATAATGATAAATTCCACCTAAACTTTCCTTTTTTAAGCAAAGTAAAGCCTGCTCTTCCAACATTTGAAGTAAAATTTCGTTAACTACTCTACTTGCTGTATGATATATTTCACCGAGGACATCAACTTCAGTTTTAGATCTTACATTGTAAGTATAATTATCACTTTTCTCTCTATCATTATCATTTATATCTTCTATATTAATATCTTCATTACTATTATGGACTACTTTAGTCTGATTTCTCTGTAAAATAAGTATTTTGGTCTGTAGAATATCTTTAAAAGCATAATTTTGTTCTTCTGAAACTGAATAACCATATGAAATAGGTAATGTAATTCTTGCATCTAAAATTTGCCACTTACTAAAGTCAGATATTATATTTAAACAAAAATTAAAAGTTTTTTCAATGATTATCCTCCCCTTATCAACCAAAAACTTTAATAATGACGTCTTTGGTATACTTGAATTTGAATACATAACTAAAAATTCGTCATTTAATCTTTCCTCTATTACCATTCTTTCATCTTTAGTCAATGTTGGTACAATTATTGGCTTGCCATGTTGAGTGACAAGCTGTTCTAGCATATTTGGTAGTTGAATATATGTTTTCAGAATTAAAACATCAACAGACGCCATAATATTTGCTTTTGGAGTTCCAGTAGAAAGTAATGCTGGAAAGAATTCATATGCTAATTTTCTTAGCCTCAACCTTAGTGATGCTAATGACTCTCTTAGCTGTATTGTAATATTTATATCTGGAAGTAGACGTTCTAAATTCCCTAGAACAATCATTTGCAAAAATATCTCACGTGTATGAGCACAATACTCCCATAAACATGTTTTTGCTTCATCTTGGACATTTGGATCACTTGTACACCTTCCCACAAAGTCTAAGAATTCACTATAAGCGTTCTCAATTACTTGCCTTGATAAAAGTGCATAAGACGTAGGTGCAAATGATTTCTGAAGTTCATCTATTTCTTCCTTTGTTAATTTCATTCGCTATATATTTTGTTACAAGCAAGTTATTTCTCTTTTCAACTCAATCTACCATGAAGTACCTCTCAAACTTAGCGCCTCCCTTTTCATTAACAATTGTCATACCGTTCCTGTAGCAATATCTTGATCTTAAAGGCAACTTTTAAACTTACAATTTAGTTTATTCGGAATATTTGTAACTATATTCTTTGTGATATTCAAGTTCATCTGTATTTATACTAGCTAACTTTTCTTTTATTACCTCTTCAACCCAATTTTCAAGTTGCTCTATACAATCTATTTCATATTCCACTCCATCTAATATGATTTGTTCACATATCTTGATCCACTGAACTCTTATACTACTAGATACTTCAATACAATTTTCAAAACGTTGCTTGACCATATTTATTCTTACAATATTACTTTTTGATAACTGAAATATACTCTGTTTATGTATTATCCCATTTGCTAATTGATCAGCTACTCTGGGTAGTGGAAATGGTAGTATCCTATTTACCTTAAAGTCTGAGTCATACCAAGCACTATTTTGGGATCCCATAATATAAGTTGCGCCTATTGTTAAACCATATGCATCATAATCACAAAGTATCCAAAATAAAGTTTTGTATGGCAATATATTACACAACTGATAGAGTAAAGCTCTTGTAGGTAAATCTGAGTAACCTTTAGCCGTTAAAAGTATGCATGAATTATTAAATGCTTCCAAAAAATTACATTCCAATAATCGTTGAAAAACAGTATCCTTTTCAATAATCAATACAAAGTTAATATTTTTGTAAATATTAATTCTCCAATTATTCATTAATCTACATATATAAGGACTAATTGAATGTCCCATGCTTTCGATTTTTGATAGACAGTCAAATTCTATTATTTTATTTCTATTATGCTTATCTCCCGAGAGATCTGATCCAAATACTGAAATTGGACCTCTAATCATCCCTTTAGATGTACTTACAACATTTAAAAATTCTCTTGGAATACGAATTAGTCGAGTAATCATAGCTATAGTGTTGTTTGAAACTGTCTGTTTTTTATATAAACTTGGGTTACTGTAAAAAATATCTCTAAGAGTTGCATGATAACCTTCTGACACTAATCCATGTAGAGTATTAGTTATAGATATTATGCAAGTCATTTGATATACTTTTGAATAACATTGATACTTTTTTGTATTCTTAAATAATTTAAATATTAACCACTCTAATTGGCAAACTATATTATTCTCGGAGAAATGACTTAAATCATCACTTTTTAATGCATTATTCTTCACCATTCAGATTACACAAAAAAACTGCAATAGAACTAAATGTTTGATAATTGAATCTATAATAACCAAGAAATATTGAAAATTTACCAAATTCACATGTAACTATACACATTTAAATTGCATGCATTTTTTACAAAGTAGTGTCAGAAAATTCAATTTTTGGCAGATTAAGCGCCAAAATATATGTCGCTCGACAATCGATACCTGAATAATACCAACTCTATGCCGGCATCAATAAATATATGCCCGGTTTGTAGCAGAGAATCACTTCAAAGTAGTTTTAATTACGTTTTTTGTCCAAAGAAATACCTAAACAAGCTAGCGGAAATATTTGCATATAAATTCTAAGATTAACTTTGGGCTTTCGCATGTCTTTGGTAAAAAAAAAGAATCTCCTACTTAAAACTGGCTTGATGTAAATATATGTGGCAAAATTTTTCATTAGATAAGTCTTTTGGTCCAAGTCCATATGGACTCCAAGATAATATTCTGTCGAGTGATTCTGCAGGAAATTCTTCAAGTTACAAGTCAGCTCTAGAATTTTTCCAACTACCTGAGAATTACAAGCGTCAACAAAATTATAGACGATTCCTCTCATTAGACAACGTACTACCTTGGCCTTGTAATCCTGAAGAAATATCAACTATCAATGTAAATACCTCTGAAAATTTCAAGATGACATCTGTTATAGGGAATGTATCTGGAATTTCTAAAACTTCAACAGCTGACTCTTCATTTCTTAATATATTCAGTACCTCACCAACTAAAAGCGATGTTTCAACTGCTGCGCCATCAGCTGGAAGATCACCTATTTGTGATATCTCTATAAGTAGAGACCATTTAAGTTCAAGAACATCTCTCCTTAGCTCTTCTAGAGCTAGTTACTATGACTCTTATTCTAGAGAAGTCCCACCACTACCATACAAATGTTTTGATAATAATCAAATGAATGAATGTAACCTTGTGCAAATCAATAATCTGATAAAGGCCTTAAGTCCATCATGGGTTTTATGTATAGATGTAGCTTCAATTCTACTTACTAATACTGACAATAAAATGGCTCTAAGCAATATTGGTCCGAAACTTTCATGGTTTGCAAGGGATGCCTTAAGACAAATTAAACAAAAGAAATTATCAAGATTTATTAGGGACTACAATACTTTATTTGACATTAGGAGGCCATCACCTTCTCATTCCGCCTTGTATGTGACACTTAAATTTCCTTTACCAGGGATTGTAGAACAATTTTTACCAATTGTAATACAACTGAGAAAAGCTGAAAATGAGAAAGAACAAACTATAAATAATAATTTAAATTATTGGAGTAATGGAGAGGATATCCGTGAAAAAAGTGACTCTAATTTTTCAGATATTAAGATGGAAAATAGATCAAGTATACCAAAACGCAAGAATACCGAAACAGACGACTCAATCCGCATTTATGAAGAAATTCCAAATACTGTTAAATCGCAACAAGCTTATGAATGTTGGCTATGTGTTAGAGAATTTGCAACTGTGTTGTTGCATCAACCTACTCACACAATGGAATTGCGTGAAATTGGAGTTTTGATGTCACAGAAAGCAAAAATACAAGCTAAGAGAAATAGCGCAAAAAAAAATTACAAATCATTTTTACTTTCATATCCAAATCTCTTCAGAATATTTGGGAAAGATGACAATCATTCAATTCAGTGGATTGGAACTTATCAGGACTTTATTAAACTGAATTCTATTAAATATGTACCACCACAGACAGATGAAGAGCTTTTCAATATACCTACTTTAAATCAATCCCATACTCAATTCTTATTTGGACTAAATAATGACTCGTCTTTAATTGTGGAACCTTCTGAAATAGATTACTCTAACCCGGGTGAATTTAGAAACTGTTCGAATGTGGGCAATCAATGTTTCTTGTTTAAATAAAAAAGAAATTCATGCTTTTATTAAGCATTCAGTATTATGCAATCTTTTTGGTGTAGAAATTTGGTAGCTAACGTAAACGTTGAGGTTTAGGTTAAGCTTGTATGTATGAATACTCTCTTTTTTTTATGTCATTTTTTATACTGATATGTACACAATCTTTTAAATAATATTATTTATTTAGTATATCCTTTAACAAAACCCTCTATATTACAAATTCTTAAAAGAAAAAAAAAGTGATAATTTTAACCAGAATATATCTTAAGTATCTATTTTTTTTATGTAATATTCTCTTATAATCTCTATTAATATAGTGTATACAATACTCCAATCAACTCTATAAATTTCCTTTATACAATTATAACTATTCCATTCTGTACAGCGCCACGTAATTGCAGACCGGTAATCACGTGCATGTATACTATTCCACGTCATTCTATCCATGTTATTAACTTCTATACCCACTTAAAATGTTACCTTAAAAAAATAAAAACATTATTTAAATTGGTATTTAGTTTTTTTTAGAGTTAACTTAATTCCTAATTAGTGTTATTAATTATAGCAGATATATTTCCTACATTTGAATATTTAGAAAGTTGTGGGTATTAAAATCAGAGACGCGGCGAGTTAATTTTAAAGCTTATATTTGGGAATAGTGTAAGAAAAAAAGTAATCCTAGTATCACTTTTAAGTAGAATTTTCATTATAAATTCTTTACTAAGACAGCCATGAGCACTGAGGATTCTAATTTGGCTAACATTGTCAGTATAGCCAAAAAGAAGTGTAATTTCCAAGATGGAAACAACCTAGAATACTCTTCTCTAGCAGTAAATAATACAAATGATATAGAAAAGGGACAACAAAATTGTCATGAAGTTCTTAACAAAAATCAAATTTATTCAGTTCTATATAATGAACTATTCAATTCCAAAAAGTGGTTTATCTTTGATAATACTCCAAATATATCTATAAAATTATTTTTCAGCATTACTTTTTACTTTATTGTAAGTTTATCGATAGTCTTTTTAAATTATCAAATTTTCTCTGGGATGGCTCATTATCCAATATTTGTGTCATGGTTTCAACAACTTGTTGGCCTATTGACCATGTATTTATTAGGCCAGTTAGCTAAAATTAGTCCATTTTTAAATAATTATATTGATCATTTTGAATTGGAATTTGGTATTATTAAAAAGGTTTGGTTTTTATCTTTGGCATTTGTAGGAATGATAGCATTTAGTAATACATGTTTAAAATATGTCTTAATTTCAACATATCAAGTAGCAAGAAGTACTACAATCTTATTCAATATTATTTTAGCATATATTGTATTAGGGCAAAGAACTTCATTTAAATCAATTATAGCATGTCTTGTTGTGGTTATTGGCTTTATAATAGGCGCTTTAGATCCAACAACCTTAAGCCTATTTGGAGTAATTATGGGTATGGGGTCTTCTGCTGTACAGGCAATTTATAATGTATTAATTAAAAAACACTTAAATACAGTAAATAATAATCAACTAACTTTACTTACATATCAACTTTATCTTTCTTCAGTTTTATTTATTCCATTAGTACTTATAACTAAAGAATACGAATGTGCAGTACTTTTATATCCTATCAATGGATTTACATCTAAGACTATCCAAATTTGGTTTAGTTTAATACTTTCTGGTTTACTTTCAATATTAATAAATTTTGCAACATTTATATTAATAAAAGTTACTAATCCTGTAACATTTAATATAGTAGCAATGTGTAAGGCTTGTGTACAGACTATTGGTGGTATACTATTTTTCAATGAACCTATTACAATCCAGTCATTTCTTGGAATATTACTGACTATTCTTGGTTCATATTGGTATAGTATTTCAAAAGATTATTTTGAAAAAAGTAGTACAAATGAACCTTTAAGTTCTAGAAAAAATCTAGGAAATACAAACCATGATATTACTAATAACACATGCAAAATTGTAGAGTTTGTAGAAATAAATCAAATAAATATTAATAATACTATTGATGAAATAAGTGAATCCGAAGATGAAGATAAATATATTGAAGTTTTGAAGGTTGACAATAACAAAATATTGGCAGAAAAATCCTTTAAATACCATTCCAATTATAGTACAGATACGAAGTCTACAGAGGATAGTTCACAAAACTTAGAATCAGATAGTTCATCAACAATTTCAGTAGATGATGGCTCAGGATTTGATGAATAAGAAGTTTTACATAATAGAAAAATTGGAATAATATTTAAAGAAAAAAAAAAAAACTTAAATATTAATGTATAAAAATAGTAGTCATGAATAAATTTATTAAATAAATTTGATTTTTCTTTTTTTAATTCATTCTATATATTGGAATTGTTATTTAGAACTTTGGTATTATTAATAATAATAATGAAAAACTATATAATACTCAAGTTAAATTATTATATCTTAATAAATTCTAGCTAGTCAAGATGGATCCAGATTTAGTCTACACACAAAAAGCGCCAAATAGTTATTCTCGATTACCCAGGTAATAACATCCTATGAACTATCAAAGAATTGAGAAAATAAAAAAATTTAAGAATAATCAATGATTGATGGAAAATTCAAATAATTTCGATACTATCTGCTCTTATAATAATAGAAAGTATAATAAGAAGATATTAGTACCATTTTATTATTCTAATACAGAAAATACAGAATTATGGAAACCTAAACATATTTTAAATAAATTGACAAGTATATCTAAAAATAAATACTTTGTAGATAATATAAAACAAGAATATAAACTTAATGTAAATATAATATTTATAGTATCTTTACCTAATGGGATTCCTAAAGAAGGACTTTTAATTGTTGGAAATATAAAAGGCCTTGGAAATAATAAAATATCAAATGGACATTATTTAATACCCATTCATCATGATGAAGATATTCCTCATTGTTGGATATCTACAAAACGTATTAATATAAGAAAATGTACTGAAATAAAACTTTCAATTTTTCGCTATATTAAACATTACTGGAAAAACCCTATAGTTATTGGTGAATTAGAACCTCATTCTGTATATAATCTTAATGATGATATTGAAAATAATGCACATGTTGAATATAAAAGGACAATTGAAATACCTAATAATAATAAATATGATTGCTATATTATTCATCTTCAATATAATAATCCTAATTATATTAAAATATCACCAGTATCAAATATATCTCATATATCTAAAATAAAAAAAGAATTATTTAGATCTAAATTTAAAAATTATGGAGATAATATTGATGAATTATTAATATCTAATATTATTTCATATACAGACTTTGATTGTAACCAAGATTTTGGTAATAAATCTAATATTGATACTTCTAATGATTCATTAGAAATATTAATAAATGATAAAATTGACAATTATAATTTAAATAAAGAAAAAAGTAATGATATTATTAATAGAAATAATATTAATAAATATATTGATATTGATAATAATTCTAAACATTCATTAAGTAATGAGTTGAATAATACAATTGATGATAATGGTATTTGTAATTTTATTAAAGATAATTCTACAATACAAACAAATTGTCAATTTATTATTAATTCAAAAAGAATAGTCAAAGAAATATCTTTAAATATTGGAGGTAATTCTAATAATTTAGATATTAAAAATACTTTATTTTTTGAAGACAAAAACTTATTTAATAAGAATAATAAATCTAATTCTAATAAAATATTTACTAATAAATTGCAAAATTTTCCTAAAAAGTGTCATTTAAAAGAAGAAAATATAATAGATATTAAAATAAATGAATTAATTAATGATGGATCATCATTATTAAAATATAAATTATTACCTAAATCATTAGATAATAAATTGTTCTATGAATCTTTTGAATCAAATTATTCTGAGGAATCTGATGTGGAGTTTCAAAAACAAACCATATTAGAAAGGATATATAGAACAAAACAAAATGTAAATAAATTTCGTTCTGTACAATTTTATCCAAATTATATCTCAAATTTTTGTAAAAGTATTTCTAATAATATTACAGAAAAAAGTGATCATGGTTGTAAGAAGTGTCTAAAAAATAATTCTTGTGATAGTGACTTGGAATATTCTAAAGATAATGATTATAAAAAAATATTAATTATAATTATATAAAGAATAATTTATCTAATTCTTATGGTAATATTTTATCACCAAAAGGAAATTCTGAATCTTTAAAATTTCAAAGAATATTAGGGAAAGCGGATTATCTTTTAGAAAATATAATAAATGAAGAGGAAATCGAAAATCCCAATATAAAAATAAATAATATATATGACAAAAATACTATTGAATTGGATAGTTTAAATATATATCCTAGAAAAAGTATTCAATCAATTGAAATAATAGAAGATTTATTAATAGAAAAATCAAATAATTTAAATGAACATATAAATAATATAAATATAGAAATTAATGAAGAAAAAAAACAAATTAATAATAGTGAATTAATTAATTTAAGTATAATTAAAACTAAAGCAGTTGATATTTTAAATGATTATGAAAATTTTGATAATTCTTATATAACTAGATTAGAATTAGATCAATTTCAATATAATAAAGATTTATCATATTTAAATGATAGTAATATATTTGATAAAGGAATAGGAAAGAATGATTTATTAGGTAATTATCGAAATATTCAAGAAAGTAATATACAAGATAAAAATGATAATAAAGAACTACAAAATGAAGATCATTACAAAGAATTACAAAGTGAAGATCATTGTAAAGAAGTACAAAGTGAAGATCATTATAAAGAAGTACGAAATGAAGATTATTATAAAGAAGTACGAAATGAAGATTATTATAAAGAAGTACAAAATGAAGTCAAATATTTAAATAGTAATTATAATCAAGTTTCAGATATGAATAATGATAATAATTATAATAATAAAAACTTAAATATAAAATTACTAAATAAAAAAAGAATTAATAAGAAATCTTATCTAATAAATACCTTAGATTTTGAAAAAACAATCCGTCCCTTTGCTATACCTTTATGGTCAACATCTTGGAATAGTATATCAACATATAAATTTTGAATAATTCAAATAATTCATAATATATCCTGTCAAAGATATAGATATGAAGATGAAGATTAAAACCTCACTTTTTCTTTTTTATTTTAAATAAAATAATACTTATTTTATTAATTTCAAATTCTTAAAGAAAAAAGAAATATAGAGAAAACAATCATTTTATTATCTATATAAACTAGTAATTCCAAATTTCTTTATTTTATAAATCAATAATAATATTTAAATTTATTTTATATTAATTCTAAATTAAATTTTAATTTTAGATTAACTATCTTATCACAAAATATTAAATTAATATATTACAATAAATTTGTTATCTTATTATCTATTATTATCTTCCCTAACTAAATCATTATCTTCACAAAATGTTTCATTCATTCTATTATCACTAGTTCTATATTTCAATTTCTTACTTGTATTATAAATATTATGGATGAAATATAATGTACAAGTAATACCAAGTATTAAACAAATTATAATTGCTATTATAATTCCAAATTCAGTTAATGTTGGTAGTATTCCGTATTTAAGATTTTGTCTATAACAATACCGTTCAAATGAATCTATTTCTAATTTAGATTTTGTAAATGGTATCTCAGAATTAGGTAATACCCAAAAAATTTCACTACTATCTTGATGAAATGGATATTCTAATTGTTGTATTAATATCATATAATATGTAATACATGAATGATGAGATAATCCTATTAAATTCATCTCATTCTTCATATTTTCAAATACTTGACGATGTTCACGTTCATTGTGATTTAATGGATTAATCGCATATAAATGAAATAAAACTTTATTTGGTAAATCTAAATATGAATTATATTTTACAGTTATTGATTCATTATTTCCATATGGTCTTGATAATTTAGGAGACATTAACATTATCTGTTTATTAATAGTTGGTCTATTTAAAACTACAAATGGTTTTGTAATTAAACCATTTTGTAATAAATATTCCATTGTATTATTTGGATTATTACCAATTATTAAATATGAACCAGCTTCTAATTCATTTGGTATTACAAGATTATAATATCCAGTATTTGGTAATGTATAAATTTTATTGGGAATAGAAGATAATTGAAAATTTAAATTATCATTATTTAAAAAATTTGATGTTAATAATTTTGTTTCATAGATGTAAAAATTTATAATTGTTAAATTTGCAAAATACCCAGAATTCCAACTAATTGATATAGACTCACCATTTAATAAGTCATGATTATTATTAACTAATCTAATCTTAGCACTAATATTCATTATATATTTCTATTTTACAATATATCTCATTTTAATTATTTCTTATTAAAGTAGAAAAAGTAAATAAAAGAAATATAATTATTTAAAATATTGATAAGTTTATAATTAATAAAAATAATTATCATATATGTTATATAAAATCTTCAAATATTAGTTTCTAATTATTTAGATTTATCCCAATTCATAGTTTTTTTAAAATATATTTCTAATATTATCCAATAATACCATGTCCTCTACTACTAGCCATTCTTGATATAGGTTGTTCAAGTTCTGGATTATAAGTTGGACAATATTTTAATAAATCTAACATACTATTTTTAACTATTTCCTTTAACTCTTCAATATTAGTATCCTCTGTTAATTTAATTGGATCACCATAGGCAACATATATAGTACCAATGTCCATAAGTGTTTCACCTAAAGGCCAACAAGTCCAATTATTATGCATAACTACTGGAAGTATTTCACATTTATTTTCAATAGCAAATCTAAAAAAACCATTTCTAAATGGTTGTAATCTTCTTAATTTTGATCTTGTACCTTCAGGAAATACTACTTGTCCAAATCCAATTTCTTGTAATTCAGTACAACGTTTAAATAATAATTGAGTAGTACCAGATTTAACACCCCAACCACTCTTATCACCAGTAAAGTAAATTGGCATGTCATATGTCATTTGAACAACCCAACCAACAATTGGTATTTTAATTAAATCAGCTTTATATACATATTTTAATTCCCATGGAAAGTGTGAAGAACAAATTATCCAAGGATCAGCAGATGATAAGTGATTTGACATAAGAATAGTTCTTCTAGGTTTATATGATTTAGGTGGATTACGTACAATTACAACTTTCCAAAATGGATTTAACCAAACAACAAGTAGATTACACCAAAATCTAAATGCCATACCCATAATTTTAATTTTAAAATATTCATTAGTTAATAAATATGGAAATAAGAGTATCCAAAATGTTACTTGTGTAATAAATCCAAATATTACTGCTAATATAATCATCATATATATATATATAGATACAATAATCCTTAATATAGTAGGTGTTGTTGATTTCTTAAATTTATTTGGACTTACTGAAGATTCTCCAGATATTGAAGAACTCATTCTTATTTATCTTTTTTCCCTTTCCAATTATTTTAATTTTATAATTATCCCTTATAAATATTGTATTACTTTGTTCCTAAACTAATACAATATTTATAATTTATATTATTTTAGCGCTATAAATTAAATTAGTAATAATACGTCAATCTGTCTCTATAAAAAAAAAAAAAGGTATTGGATATTATAATAAAAAATAATTCGATACTTTATAATTTGTTCAATTAATATTCTAATAATATCTCAATAATATTTAATTTAATACTAATTATTATATATGTTTAGTAAAAAGACTAAAAAGACTAAATATTATTGAGATATTATTAGAATATGATAATTTTTTTTAATATCATATTAGATGTGACAATAATTTTACAACCTAAATAGTATATTATAGTATAGTATATATATATATTATTGTTAATTAAATATGAGGTGTTATCTTGTAACAATTATTATTAAAGGAGAAATTTTAACTAATTTAGATAGACTTTATAAATTGTATGGGCGCTCTCTTATGCATGTTTGTGCATGCATGCAATGTTATAATTGTATATAATTGTTGTGTGTATATTTATATCTAAAAACTTTTAAGAAAAAAAAGGGAAACAATAATTTATAATATTAATTATATATAATTAATTATATATAAATGGAAATATATTATAAAAAAAAAGATTATTTTATTTAATAAAAATACTTTGATAATACTATTATAAATAATTTTATATTTAAAAAAAGAAATGATAATACTAAGTTATATATAAATAAATAATTTTATATTAATTATTAAAGTGTTTTTTTAAATATTATAAAAATCAATATTGTTACCCCTTATTTTTAATAATAAATGTATAATAAACCGCTAATTTGGTATTAATATCTAATTTAACAAATTAAGTAATTTCATTATTTTATGTAAAAGTAAAATTATTTTGATATATTTTAAATAATATTTAAAAATAAATAAATGATTTCTGGAACTAATATAAATTTAATATCTACAGATATAATTAATCATAAAACTTCAAATAAAAATATATTGATAGGTAAGAAATAAAATTATTATTTTATTAAATATTATTTATTTTATTCTTTTTTTTCTTATCTTTTTAATAATATTATATATTAAATTAATAATTATTATTATATCAAAAATCTATATTCTAATATTTAATAATGGAATAATGGATATCTTATTATTAGATTATGAAAATAATATGGCTAGTAAATGTATATTTCCTGAATGTAATTATATATTATCAACTTATAATGATTCTATAATAATAAATTTAGATATAAAATCATTAAGTATTAATAAATTTGAAGAATATATAATGGATAGATTATCAATACTTCATTTTATAGATAATAAATGTAATAATGATGATAATAAATCATTATTAGAGTCAAATAATAAAAATATTATTGATTTATATTTATCAGAAAAAGGATTTAAATTACCAGATATAAATAAAATTATTAATAAAGAAAATTCACAGATAAATAATATCAATAAATATTATGAAATTATTGAAGAAATATTTATTAAAGATGCAATTAGTCACTTTTTCTTAAAATTAGTTTATTTAAATAATCGTGATAAACAAGATTGGTTTATAAAACAAGAAATTAGATTAATGATATTTAAATTATCTAATATTATTAATAGTAATGTATTTACAAAAAGTTATAATATTAATAAAAAAATAGAAATAATTAATAAATTAATGATATCTAATTTTGGAGATAATTACCCATTCTTATATTATGATGATATATTAAATAATAAAGAATATGAAGATATATGGTATAAAGCTATAAGTATTATACCAAATGGTAATAATATTAAAAGATTATTAAAAGTACCATTTTGGCCAGATGGATATAATTTTATAAAATATCGACGATATTTTATAAAAGATGGTATATGTTATATTCCTGAAAATGAATTAGAAAATCTATTTATTTCAAGATTTAAGAGAAGTTTAATTAATACAATTAATTTATTGAAAAATAATGAATATATTTTAAATAAATATATATATTCTGATTTACGTATATCAGGATTTTTAAGAAATATTGGAAATTCATATTTAGGATCAGATTATAATTATAATGAAGATATTAATGATTTAAATATCATTGGTAATAAATTAGATATATCTAATATAAATAAGTTATCAATAATATCATTTCCATTATGTATGAGACGATTATTTGAATATTTAAAACAAGATCATCATCTTAAACATTGGGGTAGATTACAATTATGGTTATTTTTAAAAGGTTGTGGAATGAATTTAGATGAACAAATAAAATTATGGAGATCATTATGGATTGATCATACATCATTTGATAAAGAAATTAAATATAATATAAGACATGCATATGGACAAGAAGGAAAAAGAAGTAATTATTTACCATATCCATGTAATAAGATTATTAATGGCTTACCATTACCAGGAAATGGACAAAATCATGGATGCCCATTTAAAACATTTGATATAACAGTATTAAAGAAATTATTACAAAATTATTATGGGAATTTGATAGATTCTAATCAAATTCAAAATATTACTAATTTAAGTAAAATAGGACATTATCAATTAGCTTGTTTGGATTTATTTAAAATTTTACATCCTGATTCAAATGCTCAAGGTATAGGAAATCATCCAAATTCATATTTTAAACAAAGTATGATTTATTGGAATAAAAAGAATTGATTTAATATTATATTAAATAATATTAATTATTATTCATAATTATTAGGACTAATCTAATTTTAAGATTAAGATCATTAGAATATATATTAGATTTATTATAATGGGAATATTTTAATATTAATATTTTATAAATAATGTAAATAATACAAATTGTAAATTTATTTCAATTTTGTTTGTATGTTTATGTTATTATTATTAATTATACTTTGTACTTTATACTTTATACTTTACTTTATTAATTTAAATATAGTTTGGAATAAGTAATAAATATACTAATATAATAATTAAATTATATATTATAGAATACCTTTAATATTTAATTTAATATTTCTTATTTTTTATAATATAATATTAATAAAAAGTAAATAATAATATAAAGATATAACTTAAAAATTTAATATTATATAATTAAGATAATAATTTAGTATAATAAACTAGGGTAAAATATTAGAAATCTAAATGAAATATTAATATAATATATATAAATAATAATATATAGAATAAACTTTAATTAGGAAAAAGAAGAAAAAAATTATCTCACTAATTTATAATAATAATAATATATATTAAATTAATTATACCTAAATATGTTATAATAAGCTAATTTGGATTTTTCTTTTTTTTTTTTATCTTTTTAAAGAAAAGGGTAAACTTCGATACTACACTACACAGGATTAGCGCAAATAAATAATGTCCTGTCTGTCTATGACTGAACCCATGTAAAAGGGGTTAATGCAATCTTATAGATACAGGAAAATCTAAAAATTATAAAAAAGTTGGAAAAAAAAATGACCTAAGGTTAATATGTATACTAATATAAATAATATTTCAGAATATTTAATATCCCATAAATGTACTTTGGGTATTCATACTTTGGAAAAATTACTAGAAAATAATGCAAAAGATAATAGAAACAATTGTATAAATGCAATGGTGAATATTCTTACAAATAATTCTAAAAAAATTCTAAAACAATCATTAAATTTAAAATATCAAAAAGAAAAAAATAAAAATTATAAAAATAGATCAAAAGAAAAAAGTGATAATAATATAGAAACATATATTTTAGATTATACTAAAGATTATGGTATTACAAAATCTAATAATATATATAAAAACGATATTATATATTTAGATAATGAATTATCAAATTATAATTCTAATAATTTATTAAGATATATAAGAAATGATTGTGGATCATGGAATATATCTATACCAAATGAATTAGGTATACCTAAAGATAAATTTGAAAAAATAATCTTTGATAAATATATAGAATTCTGTAAAACTCATAATTATAATGATTCATTTGCAAATTGGGCTAAATTATGTGAAGATAAATATGAAATACCTAATTCAATAATCCAACATGCAAATAATGGATGTCATGGTATAAAAGAAGCTTTATATAGAATTAGAAAAGTAGATATAAGATTAAATGGAATTCCTAAAGATCTAATTTTAGATATACTTAGAATTGGAACTGTTTCAAATTTAAAAATGAATTATATGAATAAAAATATGGATAATATACAAAATAGAGCAAGACTTATAATAGGAAATAGTAATATAATATCAAGAAGTGAAACTATAAAAAGTGATACTATAGATAATTCAAATAATAAATTATCTAATTTAAGAAATTTAAATGAAGATGTATATAAAGAGGGATTACAAGATAATATCTCTACATCTAATAAATTAATGTCTATTAATATGCCACAACATTTATTTTTAAAAGAAGCTATTATATCTCATAAAATAAAAGATAAAGAAATTTTGGATAAAAAATTATTATATAATAAAGATTCATGTTATGTAAATTCACAAAGATATTGTAATTGTGATCCAAGTAAACTTAGAGAATTATTTTCAGAAAAATATAAAAATATAAATATAATGAATAATTCAAATAATGAAATATTACATTTATGGATGGGATCTTATGCAATAGCAAGAAATGATAAAAGAATTAAAGGTGGTGAAGATGGTTGGTTTTTAGCAGAATATCTTCAATGTATGGGTGTAGCTGATGGAGTTGGAGAATGGGAAAGTCTTAGCGGTGTAAGTGCAAGAGAATTTTCTAATTTATTAATGAAGAATACATTAAAAGCATTATATGATCCAAATATTAATTTTCTTAAGAAAGATAGATTATACTTAGATAATATATATAATATAGAAGAAAAATATTTGATTAAATATCCATCAAGTATTGCAAAAGCTGCATTACAGAGAAGTTTAGATGAATGTGATAATTCAGGTATTCATGGTGCTAGTACTGCTCTTGTAATGTGTTTTGATAATGTAAATAATATTGCTGGGTTTGCAAATATGGGAGATAGTGGTGCATTAGTTTTGAGAAGAATTCAATTTGATAGTGGAAGGATGGAAATTGTAAGACGTGTTAAGGAGATGCAACATGATTTTAATTGTCCATATCAATTTGCAAGATTACCTGCAGAAAAGGAATGGTTAAAATTAATGAAAGATGGTTATAATGAGATAGTAAAAATAGCAATAATGGAAAAAGAATGTAAAATGAATAATCAAGAAACAAATTTATTAGTATGTGATAGTCCAGAAATGATAGAATTATTAGATGTTAATATTAAAGAAGGTGATTTAATTATAATTGGAACGGATGGAGTATTTGATAATTTATTTGATGTAGAAATTAGTACAATAGTTGGTCAAGTATATTCGCCGTATGAATCAAAGATACTTTATGGAGAAATAGGAAATACAACTACTCCTATGGCAATTGCAAAAGCAATTGCTTTATCAGCTTATTATAAATCTTTAGATCCAAGGTCCAAGACTCCATTTGCTAATCAAGCAAAGAAACATCTAGGAGTAAGTAGTAATGATCCGAATACAAATTCAGCTTATCTAGGTGGTAAAGAGGATGACATAACTGTCCTCGTTGCATGGGTAGTTAATCAAAAAGATTTAGCTAAACTTAGTAGTTCAGATATTTCTGTATTTGATCTTCAGTAATAATAACTTATTATTGATAATATTATAAGATATCTCAGGTTATTCACTAGAGAAAAAAGGAAATAATATGAAACAAAGAAACCCTGTTAGAAGTAATAATCCTCTCAATATACTTAATATTTCAGATAATAAATAAAGAAGGAAGAAGAGGAGAAAAAAAAATTCTATATATATTAATAAAACTAATTACATAATCCAAAATAAATTGGATTTATATATAAGCGCCAATTATTTTGAAATAATATCTTTTATTAGAGACGCCGCATTTTTCTGTACAAAAATAATTTTACCGCTATAATTTAATATCGTGTTTGATTTTCTTAATAAATAATATAATTAGTAAATCACAAAATTTCGGATGTTTCTAAAATATATAAAACAATTTTCTAAGAAAATATCATTTTGCGAAGATAAACCAAAATCTCAAGACTTTGATTTCTGTCAAGAAACAAATTATCCAAATAATGCTTGTAGTGCTCAGTGGATGTTGGTGAGTATACAAATTTTTCTTATATTCCAATTTTACACTAACTCTACTATAATTTATAATAAAATATTAGTTATATTGTACAATATCATCCCTTGATGAAATGCCTTCGAAAGAAGCTTTAGAGTCAATTAGAATATTTATAAGTAATCTACCAGATGCTTGTATAAATACAACCATTGGGGATTGTTATACAGAGAAAGTAAGAAATTCCTATGACTTATTGCAAAAATTTACTACACGAAAAGAATTCCTAGTTTGGTTATGCCTAGTAGAAAACCAATGTAGGAAGAATATAGGTCTTAATTTGAAGTCTTGTAGATATTCACAACTAATTAATAGATGGAAATAAAAGAAGTATTTCTATTAAGTTAATTTGAGTATTTTTAGAATTTTCTCTAAATAAATTATATAAATGTAATTATATTACTATTTAATATTTTTAAGATTTACTAAACATTCATTTGAATTTCCATTATTATTAATTACTTTACATGAATCATTAATTGGAGTAATTTCTTCAGAAAATAACTTTTTAAATGAAGTCGAGTTTTTAATTATATGATCTTGTTTCTGACCATTTTCATATAAGCGTGCAAATGTGTACATTGCAGAACCTCCAATAGTCATTGATAAACTCAATAATGTTATAAGACTTAAAGTTTCTCCATTAGTAATTACACCTATTAAAGATTGTAAACCTGACTTAACATAACCAGTCAAATTATAAGCAATAGGAGATGTCACCTGTATACACCAATAAGTAATAAGACCAAATATAAAATTCAAAATTCCACTTAAAACAATAGGACAAATTGTATTCATTATTTGAAAAGGAGACATTAATATTAATTCATTAAAAGCTTTATTTTCAGAAAAGATATAAATAAATATAAAAGCAAAAAATGATGTAATTAATACATTATACCAATATGTTAGAAATTCAGCATTATTTAATGCTGGTGTAACCTTTTTTATTTGTACAATATATATTGATTGAAAAATAGATGATAAAGCACCTGTTATAATCCCATATATATTCAAAGCTTCTGAATCATATGATCCTATTGTAAATCCAGTCATAACTATTAAACAAGCAATAATACATATTTTTGATATGCTTTGTTTTAATAATAATACAGAAAAGATAACATTGAATAATAACGTAAGTGATCTTGCAATTGCATATGAAGATACTGGAACATATTTTAAGCAAGTATTTGATAATGAGATAAAGGCTATACAAGATATTGACATTGGTAAACATATTTTTATGTATTTTAGACTGAAGCTTGGTTTTGAAAATACATTATATTTTGGTATTAAAGATGATGTTAATAAATAAGCAAAGACATAACATGTCAAACCACAGACTTGTTGTATCCATGTTGTAATTAAAGGATATCCAAAATTTCCGGTTAATATTCTCTTATTTAATACAACAAGAATAATGGAGACAATCCCATATAATAATAATGCTATAATTTGTTTAATAGGGAAAAACTTCATTTAAATAAGGTTTACTTCTTCACTTAAATATTCAAATATCTACTGGCCCTAAATTATTACTACTACTTGAGAATGGTAGACAATTATTAATGATCAAAGAGAACTCCTATAGTTAATTTTTTAATAACCACCGCTCCATTAAATCTTAAATTTTTGATATAATCACCGCTTATTGAACTTAGATTTTCGAGTCTTCTTGCGCACAAATAGTTAAAATCTAATAGTACAATAATATGTTATATATATATATATAATTATATATTTTGTAATATTAAACTGATTCTGTATTATTTTAACTTTTTTTAAAATTGTGTAGATATTAAAAAATATATATATAGTTTTTTTTTCTTTTAAAAACTTTAAAGTACAATATTAAATATTCTAATATGTTATTTCATTTTTTTTTCTGTTAGAGTTATGTTCATTTCTTAATTCCTGTTATTTAAGAATTATTTTACTTTTACATTAATAAAATAATTTTCTATTTTTCACCAGAAAAAGTAATCACTTGGTATTTTTTATAATTTGAAAAAGAAGAAACTGCTTAATATTATTGAATAAATGAGAAATATCAACTCATTTAATAGTATAGATTCCAATCTGATAGATAAAAAAAATACAATATTTTTTTATTTTACTTCCACTTTAATACATTAAAGAGCTTTAAATTCTAGTTTAAAATAAATTACTCTTACTTTTTTTTTGAAATATTAAGATATAAAACGATGCCTTTTATATAGATTAAGCCCAATTAACTTTATTAAAAATTATTTTTGTAATATTTAAAAATGTTATTTGTTTATTCCCAATGTAGATTCATTTTGGAATTAATTATACATTTAAATCACACTTATACTTGAAACAGATTTGTAGATATATGTAATTATATATATCTTCCAGATTTCATATACTTGTAAAAATTATTGATTTTCTTTTTATTTGCATAAATATTATAAAGATTTAAATATTACCTAATAATTTTATAAAGGTTAATTTATTACTATAATAAATATAAGACATGCATGCATACATGCATTATTCTTTCCAGAATCGGTATTAGGAATATTTTCAATATAATATTACTTTCAATTCTATTAATTATAGGTCTAATAATATCTTAAAATATTTTATTTATAAAGATTCATAATTTAAACTTTTATTAATTTTTTTCTTGTAAATTTTAATATTAAAATAGCTGGATAGTAGAATTTCTAATGGGACTAATAAAAATCAAATTCAGATTTAAACTATAAAGTGGGGAAAAGTACAAGAAATCCATATAAAATCCTAAGTATACCTTAAGGATATTTAATAAATAAAAATAACCAAATATTACTTTTATTATGTCTAAATAATAATATATTACTGCAAGATTAAAGAACATAGAACTTTTTATAAATAAATTATCCTTAATATATTTTTATAATTATTATTATATATTTAACTATGATAATAATCTACATAATTATTGGAAGTCAGGTAATATAAAAAATAAGATGATTACTAGAAACTACTACTTAAGTAGTTTACAGCTTTTATGAAATAATAATAATGATTTTAAAAACTTAAAAATATTAATTTAACAAATTCCTCTTTAAAGATCAATTTCATCTCAACAATGTTACTATTATCTATTGAGAAGTGTTGTAATAAATATTAAAACTTTTGTCAAATTTTAAATATTAATTAGTAAGTATAATTGAGTCAATATTATATTGGGAAGGTTTCAAAGTATAATTAGGAAATATAACAAAATTAAAAAGTATAATGTCAATATATCAAGCAAGATCTCTTTTTAGTTCCATTTATCTATTCTGATAATATTAAAAAGAAAAAGTACAGATGGGAACTTTTTTTTAACCTATGATTAAGTGACACTAGACATTACTGATTATTAAGTCAAAAGATTTGAAATTATAGTTTTTAATATTATAATTAATGGAAAAACTAAGATGTAGATATTTTTTATATAGTTTAGTTTAATAATTAATTTAAGATTAATATCCTTGTTATTTTTAATTGAAATTATTATTTTTTTATAGATATATTTTGTAAATAAAATTTGTTTAGTGAATCTTTACCTTAAATATACTAACCTATGTAGAATATATGAATAATAATAATAATAGATTGGATATTTATCTAATTAATCCATAAATAGTTTAAGTTTTGTTTCTTTTACTAGGCTTATTTTTAGGAATACTTTTACGTTTAGAATTAGATTCAGTAATTAAATCAGAAATTTTTCCATTTAAACTTTCTTTTTCAAGAACTTTCAAAACACTATTATTTAAAGATGCTACATTAATTTGATAATGAATTAAAATATGAAGATATTTATTAAGATTTGAAAGAACAGCTCTGATATTATAATTTAGAGTTCTAATTAATCTTGGGTCATTGACATTTGACCAATTCCCATAATTATAATCTTCACCTTCAGGAGCTATTTGAGGAGTAATACTATTCATTAGACTTATCCAATGTACAAAGTGAGTTTGAACTAAGTATAATACAACTCTAACTAATGGTTCAATATTAATACAAAGAAATTCTTGTTCAATATTTTCAATATCCTTATTATTTTCAGATTGTAATTTTACAGCTGAGTTATTCATTCCATAAGATATATATTGATCATATATACTTTTTAGTACTTGTTCAATTAAAATTAGTAATTTTTCTGCATATAGTAATGGTAAGGACCAAATAACTTCTGTTAGATAATTTGAAGATATACATTGGATAGATTTATATATATATTCATATAAATTTTTATCTTTAATCTCTAATGGACATTTAGGAGGTGTAATATGTACTTTTTTTAAACTATCTTCATTAGCTTCCTTTTCTGCTTTTATCCATTTACATAGATCAACATAATAATTGTATGCAATATCAATAATTTCCATGAGTTTTTCTGTTGATTGAATTGATTCTATAGTTTTTCTAGTAGGTCTCATCATAAATACTGCTGGATTTGAAATTTCATTTAATATATCATCTCTTAATATTTCTTGTTGAAATTGTTCTTCCATATCCTTTTCTCTTTCTTCCTGTAAAAAAAGTTGTCTTTCACTTCTTCTCCATATTCTCATGGAACGATCCAAATTTCCACATATAATACGATCTCCATCAAGTGATAAAGCTAAACTTACTATTGGAACAAGTCCATATGTTGACTTCTTGTGTAATACAGTAATTAAATCTCCAGTATCAATATCCCAAATCTTCAGTGATCCATCACGAGCTGTACTAACTACATAATGAGTATCATATATAAATTTTACTTGAGTTATACATTCTTCATGAGCAAAAAAAGAACGCTGAATATTACCAAAATCTAATCCCCATATTTTTATAGTTTTGTCAGCACTACCAGTAACTAATATTGTACTATCAGATGAAACATCCATACAAGGTACTGGAAGTTTATGACCATATAAAACTAGGAACTGTTTATATGTATCAGTATATAAAACTTGTAATGTATTATCTAATAATGACACTATAAGATAACGACTATCTGAGGTATAAGATATTGTAAGTCCTTCATCTATTAAGGGAATTGAATTCTGAAGTTTGAAAAATAACGAATATTGGCCTTTTATTCCAGAATCTTTCATTTTAAGATTATATATATTCAATTTCTTATCTTGCCCTACAGAAGCAAAAGTAACTTTATTTGGATGAAGAGCAATTGCTTGTATTGAACCTTCATGAGCATTATCTAAAGATTGTTCTAAAGAACAATTTAGAAGACTATGTAATTGTATACTTGCAGACTTTGTTCCACTTACAGTATATTCATTTCCAGGTACAATAAACCCACAAACTGGGGATTCTGCCATTATAGATCTTACACAAGAGAATGTAGCCATATTCCAAACCTTTATACTATCATCACCAAAAGAGACAATAAACTTATCATCTAGTGAAATTTCTAGTGCTCTAGGAATACCACGATGCCCCTCTATTTCTATTCTTCTTAAAATATTACAGCATATATTAGAATCCTCTATATCTCCATATTCATTATCATTTCCTTTAGATTTATCTAGTTTTGATCTCCAATTATTTATAACTGACTCTTCAATCTGAATATACTTTATTGTATTATTTGCTAAACAAGTTAAAAAAGAATTATTCCAAGATTGATAATCAATACTGATTAGACGTGTTCCAATTATTTCCTCTTCGGGAAGTAAAAGCATTTTTGGAAATGTTAATATTTCATAGTTACCAAATAATAATTCATTATTATTGATATCATCTAATTTTCCCAAATCAGGATCTTTCTTAGATTTCCTTTTTAGAAATTTCTTAATTCTTTGTGTAATTCTGGAATATCCCAAATAACCAAATGTTTCTATAGAATTTTTAGAGGAAAATGCAAATATCAAACCAGAATAATCATCAGTTAAATCTAATGAATTTTCAGCATAATTAAACCATTTAGCAGCTAATTTCGTGATTTTAGTATTATTTCCAGTTGTAATTCTTGGTATACTACCATGATATTCTGCAAATATTGATGTATTATTCATATCATCAGAATCTTTATTATTATCTACTTTAGTTACTCTATCATTTGGTAAAAGTTTTTCTTTAGGGATACCTGTAACATTTGAATTTAATCTATACAATGTAATATTTTGGCTTGTTCCTGCTACAATAATACGATTACATAAAGGATGAACTAAAATTGAGTTTATTTCTCCTTTATGTTGAGTAAGAGTCTGAAGGCAAAATTCCCCAGTTATATCCCATAATTTAACTGTTCCATCTTTACTAGAAGATATTAAAATATGTGGAGTTTCCTCTAATTTCACAATATTATTATTTTCCTCATATGAATCCCATAATTTTATTTTATGAAGGAATTGTATGTCTGTAATTTCATTTATATGACCTATATAACGATGTAAACCAGTACCACTTAATATATCCCATATAATAATATCAGTATCATAACTTCCAGTTGCTAAATAATGACCAATTTTGCAAAATCTTAAAACAGATATACTCTTTTTATGACCATGAAATATATGTATAATATCTCCTTGTTCTATATTCCATATTCTAACACTTCCATCTGAATATCCTGCTGCTATTATATCACTTTTTGTTGGATGTCTACATAAAGATGTTACATAATGTATTGTAGAAGATATTCCTTCTACTGAATATATATTGTCTCCTATATCTAACTTCAATTTTTTATATATTATACCTTTTTCTAAATCTAAAATTAAAATTATTTCACCTGAAATAGTAATCCCATATTTTCTTGGGTTATTTAAATCAGTAGATAATAATAAAGCTCCATTAGAGTAATTAGGAGAGCATAAAATCCCATAAGATGCTTCAGGTAGATACCTCAAATATGATTTAACCATTTACTCCAATATAATCTTTGTACCCTTGAATAACAAATTACCTTAAGAGATATTTAGAAAATCTTGAAATATTACTTGAAGCAGTTATAATTACAATTTCTAATTAATAGTCAAATTTTGAAATATTATAGCGCGCTATGGGGTCTATAGTAAATCCTTAGGTAATAATGACAATAGTAAATCTTTCATTTAAACTATCAGATAATAGATAAAAAGGGTAGGTAATCTAAAAAAGTGTAAAATTACATGGAATTAATTAAGGAATTTACAATAATACCATATTAAAGAAGTATTTAGGAAGTTCAATAGACTAAATTTATAATAGTATTAAGGTATCTGAATATTTTTATTAATATTCACTTAGAATACAGAAAATTCTTAATCTAAAGGTTTTATTTACATATTTAGATAATTATAATCAAATTATCAAGGAGATTAAAAATAATAAAAAGATAATAATTAGAATGATAATTCAAAAGGCTAGAGAATAAATAAAGAATTTAGTAGACATCATATGACGGTTTATATTACTAACTGATTTAACCGCCAAAGTAGACATGTTTTAGTATTTCCAAAAAAAGTGAAGTCTAGAAATAGTTCATTAGACAGTACCTATATTGGGGATATTTAGATTATTATCAACTTGATTTTGTTGTCTGCCCTTTAGAGACCACACAGTCGATGTTGTATTTATTGGAAATGCGAATTCATGTAAAATTCTTCTCCAGATAAGATCTGGAATATTATTAAGAAGATTAATAAGGGATACTGCATGTTGTGATTGTGTATTAATGATGATATTTTGCTCTTTATCTACTAAATTATCTTTAGAGGTACACCACCATTCATTGCAATGATATGATTCAATACATTTCTGTATAATATGATGTTTAATATTATCAATAAATGAAGTAATAGTAAAGACATCATCTCTATTATTTAATTTTAGGTAACCAATAATAATACGTCTAATTCCATCAATACGTGGATCACCAATACTAGATATAACCCATATATCATAATATATACAAGTAGCAACAGATTCTAATGCCTTGTTAAGGTCTTGTTGATGTATTTTAAAATTACCAAATTGATTATTAGTTATTCCTAATTCACTTACTTGTCTCATTGGATATTGAGCATGACTAATATTTGGTGGAGCATAAGAAGGAGCAAAGAAATTTTGGCAAGAAGTACTTGATAAAATTGAAGTATTATTATTGGGGAATCCTCGGTTATTACTAAACTTTTGAGATTGTTCTATTTGTATCGAAGATTTTGCAGAATTATTCGTCCCACTATCTAAATTATTATTATTATTTAGATTATTATAATTTAAAATTAGAGATGGATTACCTAATGACATTACTTGTAAATGATATATACATAAATTATGAATGTCGATAATACTCCTAGCACCATATGTTCGTAGTATATAGCCAACTAGAAGTTGTAATTGTGAATTACTTATACTTGTAGGTGATGTAGAGCTGTCATTAAGTGCTGTAAGTGTTATATTGACATTTGCTCTATTTTGTCTGATATACTGAACTACATATTTTTCCCTATCATCCCAATAATTTTTCCAGTACTTATATTCCTGTGGAAATTCTTCAATAAAACTTCGATCTAATGAGAATTTTGGATACCATGCTGTTGATTTATATATAGCAAGCTCTTGTAACATACTTGTAACTTTAATTTGAGGAAGATCAGTTGCTACTCTGATAGGTTCTCTATTAAGTCCTGTATTTTCATCTCTCTGTAATAAAACTAATATTAAATCTCTACAACATGCTTCATATTCATTATATAGTAGATCAGATCGATATATCCAATTTCCTGATACTAATACACAATATTTCTTTAAATGATCTATAATTATTTTATCATTTATTTTTCCCTCTGGAATATTCCCAAAATTATTAAATTTATAATTTTTATTTAATAATTCATTGATATTTATATCAATTGAAGATGTTTCAAAATTTAAATTAGTATTGTACTTTGGAATTCCATTAATAATTGTATATATTCTATTAAGTATATATTTAATCCCAGAAAATGAAATAACTTGATAAACTAATGTTATTCTTTTTATCTGATCTTCTAAAGTCATTTTATAAAGTTCTCTGAATGATAGTGGTCCTTGATGAAACCAATCATCAAAAACTAATAATTGTCCTGGTATTCCATGATTAGGAAATTCATCCAAATTCACTTTACAATTTGTAAAATTTTCTTCAGTTCCACCAAAGTTGTAACCTATACATCCACCTAAACTTGATGTAGGGCATATAGGAGGATATTGATAAGAAGTGTATATTTTAGGTAAACCTCCTGTTCTTAAAGAGGGGAGGACCTGTCCACTACCACCAAATGGAATATGTCTTACAGTACCTGTAGGACTTCTTATTATACCACATAATATATCAAGATATCGTGTTAAACTGGAATCAAATAATAGTTTGTTATTTCTTAATTGAATTGAATGTACAAGCTGTTGTAGTATTGTTCTATTATCAGTATGATATAATGATATACTTTTAGAAGTACTTTTTGAATCTATTAGCTCATAAATATTAATAGAATTTGGCCAAATTATAAAATCATCAAAATTTTCTTCACAAAGTAGTTTAACTAATTCTTTTGATTCATATGAACCACTCTCAAATAAACATGGGATTTTTATCCAATTTTCTACTCCATTAGTTAAAAATTTATCTTGATTTATAACTGATGATTCTGAAGTATTGCTTAATGATGGATTACCTACACGGTTCATAATTAAATTATCAAGAGATAAATCTCGCTGTTCATTGTCATCTATATTACCAGCATTCCTTTCAACGTTACCAACAGTAATAGATGAGTTAGACTTTCTCAAATCTATATGTGAAAAATTTGGACGAAACTGCTGAATACTAGATACAGGAGTTATATATAACTTTTTCTTTTCATGATTAATATATCCTGCTATTAAGCTACTAGCTGTAGATAAGCAAGACCTACTATTCAAAGTGTATAAATACTTATTCTCAGTATTATCATTATTAAATTCATTGAATATTCCAGATTGATCCTGTTCCTTACCTAATAGTTTATCATCTCCATGCAATTTTTTTTGGTTTTTAGCATAGTATGAAAGCTGGAATGCACTTCCATCTAGACGTAAATATGCCGATTCCCATCCATTACTAGGAGATCTATTAGCTGGAGTTAGAGGAAACTGGAATACATGGAATGAAACATCATTAATATGTGATAATACCACATCATATTCTTCTAAAATATCATCCTCATAATCTTCTTCTAATTTTTCATTATTCATTCTTATATAGGCCTAATCTTATTTTTAGAAGTACAAGTTGAAATTTTAATTGACTAAACCCGTTATATCATAAACTGCCAATAGGCGCCTAAATATATTGTTAAGATGTTTTAACTTACAATAAAGATCCTGAACAAGTATCTTTCTAATAGAACAACTAATTTTTAGCTAATCTACATAAACATTTAGGGATATAAGACAGATAATTTGTACTTTATTGACATTTTTCCTTAAGACATATTTAGATGAAGAAGCATGGCTTATTAAATAGACTTACGCTTATTTCAGTGAACGATCATAGTAAAGTAGCTCTATTTAAGCATATAATCAGAAGTTTAAATGAACCTAACATATACTTGATTGAAAGAGCTGTTTTCTATCTCCCAGAAAATTTTTGTAGATCTATTTTGCAACAGACTCTCGCAATTGTTAGAGATGGAGGTTATAGGACTTATGATAACTCTCGCTTCAAGAGTCCTGGAGGGATATTTTTGAGAATACTTAAGAATAGTATTACTAAGGATGAATTAAAGCTGATTTGGAATACTAAGAAGAAAAAAAAGAAACAAGAAAAGAAGAGAATAAAAAATCAGGATGTATCTTTAAGTAGAACTATAAAAAGTACATATTCTGATGAAGAAGGAGCCTTATCACCAATATCTATACTTACAGATGATTTACATGATACTCTACTTATTAAAAATTGATCATAGATTTAATTAGCCTAAATTAAAAATGAATATTGCTTATGTTTTCCTATTTCTGTTTTATATTATGCAATCTAGTTTAAGATTTAATATTTTAAATAAAATTTAAATAGGCCACTACTACAAATATATCACTGAAATAAAAAAAATTAGATGAATCCAAATATTTAATTTGTTTATACACCTTTAGATATAATATCTTTACTTTAATGATAATCTAGAATATTCTGAATTTTATATTTACTATTAAAAAATTGAGTATTGGAAATGATACTGGTGTTATTTTAAATTATTATTTTATTTACCTTTCAAAATATTGTATTATATTACGTAAATACTTTTAAGTACTAAATATGAATATTTATAAACTAAAAAGTGATGGTGATATAAAGAAGTTTTCAATGTAATATTATTAATCACTAAAATCAATCTAGTGTAATTCTAAGCTAGTAGAAAATAAAAAAACTTAACAACTAAAATATAGTGTAATAAGAAATATTTTCAAATATATATATTTTTTAATTCTTTCTATTTTTAAAATTAATATCTACTAAATAAATGTAGTATTTTTAAAGAAATATTCGAACTTAAATAATATTAGGTTTGATTCTTAATAAAAGTAATAATAAATTTTTTCTTTATTTCAGAATTAATTTATTGGTAATATAATATTTAATATATTATTTCTTATATTTAATAGTTTGACTTTGAAATTAAAAAAAATAGATCTATTAAATAAAAATAAAAAGCTTTAATAATCGAACATAAATAAGGCATTGAATTTAATTCAGTTAATGTTAATAATTTAAAAGTAGCATTCTATCTTAGATATAAATAAGAATAATTTTAAAAGGAAAAGAATTAAGCAATCTTCAGCTTATATTTCTTTAAATAACATTTACTTGATTCTTTATTAAAGTAGTGTAAATTAAAATCAAAGCTATATTTAATATCTATAGATTTATTTGAGCTGACTTTAATTGTGAACCAAGAAATAAAAAAAAAAAAGATTTTAGCTGTATATATTATTTATTTCCAGTCTTAAATGGTATGATTATCCCTATATTTAGTGTTCATATTATTAACTTTATTATTATTATTATATTTATTTAAATATTGTCTATATATTCCAAAATATGTATTAAACCTTAATTAAATTCTTCAAAATTCAATTATAACCAATTAAAGTTGACTTTACAAAAGTATACAATATAATAAATGACATTCTGTAATTTCAACTGCTAATTAGATACAATTATTTTATAGTCAAAATCTCATTAATTATAAGTATCTATAATAATATGGCATTATACTATAAAGTATTAAATAATATATTAAAATTAAATTGTTAGTATTCATCATAAAAACATTGTACAATTTAGGCATGAATAACTTTAATTAGATTAAAATATATAATTAACCTTTCCTTTATAAATTTAATTTCAGCATATTTCTAAAAATTTTAAATTCAGATTAAACTGCTAGTTACCAAAAACAATGAGTTTTCTCCTAAAATAAGTATCTAATTATTATTAATAATTACATTATAAATATATGTAGAATACTTTAAAATTGAACCTCCAAATATTAATTTCAGTATATACTTTTGTATAATATTTTAATAGAGTTAATATTTTGTTTATTCTGCAAACATATCTTCACTATCTTCGTCAGAATTGATCTCAACTTTGCTTGGACTACTTAATTCAATTTCTGCACTTTCCTGGTTCTCATAATTCCTAGTATTGTCACTTTCTTTTGATTCCTCTATTTCTGATAAATAAATAAAAAGATTTCCATCTTTTAAATGATCACAATAATATAAGAAAAATGCCATCCTATGAATAGCCATAGAATTCCCAAATAAATGCACAGGTGGTAGAACCAACCCCTTGCCAACCCACTGATACTGTAAATAAATGTTTAAATTCTTATTGAATATTTTGAAATAGTCAGACCATAATTTCCAAAGAGTTGGTCTTAAATAAAGTGGCCATTCAACAAGAATGGATAAAATATCTTCTCTCAGTAAATCACCATCAATTTCAGGATATCTAGATTCAATACTTACTTGAGTAAAGTGTTCAGAATTTATATTATTTTTCATCTCATAAAAAAACTTATCAAAAATTAATGTAGATTCTAATCCATATATATATGATATTGGGTAAATATTCCAGCATAACCAAATCCTTAGGATATTTCTAGTATGTTTAATCATTTTATTTTTTATTATTTTCTCATATTTTGAGTTGTTTAAGTATGAAAAGTGAGCAGCTATATAAGGAAAAAGTTGAGATACCAGATTTCTGTATTTCCAGGTTCCTGGTTTAGATGAGTATGAGTTATATAATATATCCGATATTGCATATAATATAGGTAATTCATTATTTGGAGAAAAGATAAGTTCTTGTATTAATTTATCTAGTATATTAACAGAATATAAATCGGCATTATCAATTGCAAATTTCATAAGATTAGCAATCTTTAAACGATCAGTAGATAGTTCATCTACTAAATATCTAAACTCATCCATTATTTCTCCATCCATTATTTCTCCACCAAGCTCACGATATAATCTTATCATATAAGGTTCATTTTTTGATATATCATATAAAAATTCATTAATAGTATCTACGTATTTGTTATCAGTATCATTACTATTGCTATTTTTAATTTCATTGTTGCATATAGTATTAGGAATATTCATGTCATTTATGAGTTTATAATCATACTTATTAATTTTATTATCAATATTTTTAGTGTGATTAGGATATTCCAAACTTTTAATTATATTACTGGGTTTAATATTATCTTCTCTTCTTGATATATTTGAGTTAATCCATAACCAAGATAATGGATCATCTATAGAGTTGTAGGATGATAGCCAAATTTCCAATTTACTTCCAATTATCCGAAAATAATCCATCTTTCTAGTAGAATTGTCATTTTCTACTTTTTCTTCTAAAGGAGGAGGATACCAAACTATACCATTCTCAACCATTCTAAATGGTTTGACTCTCCAGTGTTTATGTGAATCTCCTTGTAAAAATGAGTATACTCTCCAACGGTAATAGTGGTGAAGTGGTGATGATATGAATAAAAAGCTAAATAATGGATTTTCTAATTCATTCTTCATTAGTAATTGTTCAAAACAATATCCAAAATAAGCTACAAAGCGTGAAGTTAATCTAATAAGAGCTTTCTTCATTTCATCATTGGGTACTTCAACTCTTATAATAGTGCAATTATTATAATCTTCTGTATTTATATTTTCTTTTATTATTTCTGAATTAATTTGAGTATCAAGTCTTTCAATTCTTTCTTTTGGATTAGGAATAGAACCAAGGTGTTCCTTTGTAGAGATATCTAAGGATTTACCCCAGCTTAAAGATAATGGAAGTCCATCTATTAATCTACCATTTAATGATTTCAAAGCTTCCTCAGCAGATTTACGATCGTAGAAGCAAACAAATCCTGAATTATTATAAGTTCTTCTAATAATTTTTACAGAGGATAAGTCGCCATATTCTGAAAATAATTCACAAAGGAAAATTTCATCAATATATTTAGGAATATTCCTTATAAAAATATTTTTCGAGGTCTTAGCATCAATATTATCCAAATTCAATATATAATTTGTCGAATTCTGGAAATTAGGAGATCAAGAAAAAAAAAAAAGAAAAAAAAAATCTCAGTAATATTATTATTGAATGTATTACTTATATTTATTGGTAATATAAAGATTTATGGACTAATATTTTAGCAATTATTAACAATATCCCTAATTCAAAATAAGGTCTATAATATTGCTATAATACTTTATATTATTCACTATTTAGTTAATAATTTAGCCCATGGTATATAATACAACTTACTATCCCCCTATTATGACACCTAATTTCTTGTTTATAAAAGAAGACAGGTAACGCCTCAATAGGGGAAATTATCACTATTCACCAAATTTATTGGATTTACTAAAAGAAACTTACCATATGTTTACTATCCAGATTTCTTAATTGGGACTCTTCCACTATTAAGTCTATTTCACGGACTTTTCTACGCTTATTAACTTCAAAACTATAGTCTATATCTGACTTATATATTGCTACAGTCATATTTATAAGATTTTAATAAGTGAAAGTGTTCCAATTATTACTTTTAAGAGTTTGTGTCTTAGTTAATACTAATATTAAACCTTTATAGCTAAGGTATTATGAACATACCCTCTGAACTATAACCAAAATTTTCCATCTCTTACTCATATTATATAATTATGCCTTAGTAACTGCTTATATCTTGGGTTATTGATTACTTTTAGTATCATTTGTACTTTCTAAAATATATTCTATTCCCAATTATTCAGAATTTTTTTAGCGCTTTTTTATGGCGCTATCAAATTTATTTTCATGTATATTAGACTAGACAAAAGGAGTTATTTGCAGTATTTAATAATATTAAACTAAAATATTTCCATATTATATACAATAATAAATATCCTTTAGATATTATATAGTCACATATAAATATACTACTGTTAAAATTTACTCAATAATTTATTTACAGGCTAAATAAACTTCTGTTAACATTTTAATACATTTGGATTTTTTTAATGGATACTAATAACTTTGATTTCCTGTACATATGTTTTTGAGTTCAACTCCATTCAATCCTAGACCCTTAATTCGTGTAAGCATAAGGGATGATTTAAGTTTCGAAAAAAATGTTGATCTATTTGTTGAGAAACAACTTGAAAAGTATAAAAAACCAGAACAATGTTGGGTAAGACCTGGTTTTCAATATTACGGTAATTTATTGTGTGGAAGAAGGATAAATTTGGAAGTTATACCAAATTTAAGAGATATCTCACTTTTTACTAAAATGCCAAATTTTAGACAGCATATACTTTATAGAGGAGGTAGGCCTGGTAGCACTGAACCTGATAAATTGAAACATTCTATTCGTGATGTATTGGGTATAAGGAGTATTATTGACTTAAGAGGTGAAACAATATTTGATGATGAAACATTAACAAGTAATGAAACATTTAGTCGGACTATAATTTGGAAAATGTATACACCAATATATAATCAATCAGATATTGAAGAATATATTAAATTTCATGAAAAAAGAATGAATTTTGAATATTCAAATATTGAAGAAAATAATTTTTCTAAAAAAAATAAATTAGATATGAAATCTCACGAAGAATTATCATATGAGGATAAATCAAGATATATTATTGTAGTTAGTATTAAAGATTGGAAATATCCTTTTAATCTGAAATCATGTAGAATTAATGAAGATTCTAAAAGTATAAATTATATTCATAAAAAATCTAAAATTTGGCACTATTTTAATTGTTTTTACCGTAACAAATTAGCTAATGGATCAAATTCTAATGAAAATAAATTTAGTATTCTTAATCCTGTAAATTCTCTTGATACATCTGAAAGTTGTTATGAATTTATATCTTTATTGGCCTATAATTTCTTAAATTTATTTTCATCCAAAATGGCACATTCATGGTATATAAATCAATACATATCTAAACGATCAGTGGATGAAATTTATTTTTCTTTACTCATTAGTGCTGCAAACTCTATTTCAACTATTCTCAAATTAATAGTAGTATCTCATCCTCCAATCCTTCTACATGGAAGTCTTGGAAAGGATAGGGTTGGAATTATAGTGGCTATTATATTAGGTACCTTAGGTATATCTGATGAATGCATTATTAAAGATTATTGTGCATCAGAAGCAGGCCTTTTAGATCTTAGAGATATAATAAATAAGCAACTTGTATGTGAAAACTTACCATTATATTTAGGGAAATCTAAATCAAGATATATTTCAGGTTTATTGTTCAAGGTAAGGCAAGAATTTGGGTCTATTGAAGGCTACTTAGACTATATAAATTTTTCAAGTGAATGGAGAGTTAAACTTATTGATAAGTTTCTTAAAGATTAATATTATTTTATATAATTTAAGATAATATATCTAAATTAAAGTCCCTTTAAACAAATATATATTTTTACTTTAAGTTTTCAAATTTATTCTTTTATATAATTGGAAATAACAAGAATAAGATTTTTTTTTTTTTGTTAATAATTAATTTTAGTAAAAATAAGTAATTACGAATATATTTTATACTTGTTGATATTTTTTTCAAAGTACTATATAAAATATATTCAAAATTATCCATGGAGATTTAAATATTTTTTTTTAAAGAAGATCCCTTTATAGTATAGTAATTTTATTGTGAAACATATCAATATACAATCACAAAAATGTTATATACTTACATATTTAAAATATTTACAGCCATATTTGTAATTTTCAAATATGTTAAGCTACTCTAAACAAAAATAAAAAAAAAAGTAGATTTCTTTAAGAAATAATTTTTTTAAAACAAATTTAAAGTTTTAATATTACACCAAAATATTCACTTTAGTGATTTGTTTTATATATCTTTTCTCAAATAATGATTTCTTTTCTACTTCTTGGTTCTTGGATCTTATAAATGATTACCTAGTATTATATCTTGATATACTCAATGTTTTAAAAGGATATCTTATTACTAAATATAAAGTAATAGAATATATAAAAGTAATAAATAATATATGATTAGAATAAAAAAATTTTATTTATTCTAGTACTATGTGAAGTAATTTCTGTCTAATATTTATCTTAATATTAATATTATATTGAAATATTAAACAGTATATGTATATATATTATCATTAGTTATATAAATATACCTATTTTTCATAAACTAATCATAAATTTATTCTATATAGTAAAATATTAAGATTTTTAGATTAAGATAATATTTGGATTTTAATTATTTATAATGAGGCTAAAATTTGGGATAATATAATTTTAGCTATTAAGTTAGATGGCATCTAATTTCTAAATATTTATACTTAGGTAAATAAAAGTTTCAAGAAAAATGTTTATTGCTATTAATTCTTAATAAAATAAGATTAAAGTTCTAAAATTTCTGTATAAAGTTGAAAACATTATTATAAATTATATGATACAATATCACATTAGATGATTTAAAAATAATGAAGTTTCCTTAATTAAGATTTTGAGTGTTTTCTGAAATTCTATATATGCTGCATTTTATAAAAAGTCAGACCCCGCTATATAATAGAGCGCATGAATTTATTATTTTGTAAATTCGTGTTAAATAACAATAGAGAATCCCATGAATGAAAATAATTTAAAAAAATCCGAATACTAAGTAATTTTATATTTCTATATGATAGTTATAATATTTATAACATTTAATGTACTAAATGTAATTGATTATGGATTCTGAACCTGATAAAGATTTACTTTTGAACTTAGAGAATAAAACAGATGAGGAGTTACTTTCTTCCTTATTAAAAATGGTGGAAGGTGATTCAGATAATGGTAAGCTTATAGAGTTAATGAAGAGTGATCCTGAGAAACTTAATCGTATAAAGGAAATACTTAAGAAACAGCATCCTAACTTAATTAAACTTTCTAATAATACTACTAGCAAGGATACAACCCAACTACAGCCTTATGAAGATAAAAAAAAAGAAAGCAGCCTAATACCTTCTAAAAGATTTATAGGACAACCTCCAGGTCCACCACCATCTTTAAAATCTGCCTTGATAAATGGAAGTCAGATAAGCAGTAATAATGTAAACATTAGAGGATGTCCTCCAAAAAAAGGACCACCTCCTCCTAAATTAAAAATGATGAGTAAAAATAAAAGTTTAAGTATAAAGAATAACCTCGGAAAGGTTGAATATTTAGAATGTTCACGTGATAATACATTTGATTACGAATCAAATTTATTTATAAATATAGACTTTGGTCCTACCCCTCCAATAGGATATGAGCCAAGGCGATTAAACTGGTCAGTTATTGCTATGAACAAAATTAAGGGTACTTTTTGGGAGGATATTCATAATGAGAGGATAAATTTGAAACAGGAGATATCTGATGATTTAAATTTGGATCCAAGTATATATAATTTTACGGTAGACTTTCAAAAAATTTTAGAATTATTTTTTGAAGATCGTAGAATAGTCTCTGATAAGATAGCTTATGATGGATCATTAACTACCAATAATTCTATATATAAAAAGTACAGGACTGTACTTGATTCAAAAAGATCTCAAAATATTGAGATTGCTCTTAAAGCAATGCAATTAATAGATAACAATAACGAGTTTGACATGAATCCTATAAAAGAGATGTTAGGATATAGGAGTGAAAGTTTATTATATGGTATTGATAAATTCTTAAATGGCGTCTCTAAAGAGAAATTGAAAATATTATTAGACTTATATCCAACAGTAGATGAAATCCAGCTACTAAAAGAATCTTCTGCTGATAGTTCTAATACAAGTAATTTACCTTGGAGAATTTCTGAACAATTCATGTTAAGTGTCTTAAGTTTAAATCGTTTTAAGACTAGAGCTCATTGTGTATTAAGTATGAAGACATTTGAGGAAGAATATTTGAGTTGTGTTGAACGTTTAATTAAACTTGAGGATGCTGTTGATTGTGTTCATAATAATTTATGTAAAGGTGGAATTTTACGTAATATTTTATATATGATTCTTAAGATTGGAAATTATTTAAATCATGGTACTAATAGAGGTCAAACTGTTGGTTTTCGTTTTCATTCATTGGACTTAATTAAAAATATAAAGTCTACAAAATCGAAATTAACATTATTGAAGTATATTTCTAAAGTAGTATATGATCATTCTATAGAAATTAGAAGTAAAATTGACAAGCTATCACATATATGTTCTGAAGCTGCTTCTGTAGATATTGAAGATGTACTAAAGGATATAGATGAACTTGCTAATAATATTAATATTATAAAGAAAGAACTTGAATTGAATAATACTGTTGAGAGATCACAAGAATCTAATTGCAGAGATTTATATAATAAAAATAATAGTGATGAGAATGACAAAGGATTGAAATTATCAGAATTTGAAGTAGACTATAAAGTAGATACTGTGGATTTATATGTTAAGATGGTTGAAACATTTGTAATGAGTTCATCTTGTCAGTTAGAGATTATTAGAAAACAACTTATGAATATAGTAGAAAAGTTAAGAAACTTACAGATTTATGCCGGGGAGTCTCAAGCTAAATCTGCATTAGTATCTTCAAGTAAACTTGGTGTACATAGTGGAATTGAAATAATTAAAATATGTGATGGATTTCTGAGATTAATTAAAGAGGAATTTATCGAATTTTATAATATAGAGAAAAAAAAAAAGGATAGAGAATTACGGAATTCAATCAGTGTTCGTCCATGTAAAGTAAAAGAAAATAACTCAAAAACTTCCAAATTAAGTAATTCAATCAATAATTCTGTTGTAAATTACAACTCAAACTCTGAAGTAAATTCTGAAGTTAATAAAGATACAACTATTGTTAATCAGCATCATCAACTACTGCTAGATGTCTCAGATGTTATGCTAACATCTAATTCAAGTACCATCTCGTCATCTTCATCATCTTCTTCCTTATTTAACCCTAAAGTAACTTCTTATCAAACTAGTCCTCATACCAGTGTTATTCAAACTCCTGTTCATAAAAGCAGGAATAATACAAGTGTAATAGAAAGTAGTACTGATTCAAAATTTGGAGATTCTAGTCTTCATTCTGGTTATGATCAACTGAATTCATCTGGAAGTAGAATAAATACAAATTTTTCACAAATTTCACGTAGCAGTCATAGTAATTCAAATTCTCCCAATCCTATACATATTACATCATTATTTGGTGTTAATTCTATCATTGGCAATTTAACATCACAAATATATGACCCTAATAAAAATAAGCAATCGAACTTTCCCCGTCAGAGAGACAGAAGGAAAGTATGATAAATATATGAAAAGAACAATTATATAATATAAAATTACAAATTGGTAAGTAGAAGATACTCTGAAGACAAATATCTACTATAATAACAAATTATACAAAATATTTAAGTATACTAAGTTACTCTAGAATTATTATTATTTCTAGGAATTGGGAGAGTAGTAATCTTGTATATGATAAGCACTAGATATTATAATTCATCTAATTTACCTTCAACATGAAAAGGTATAAAGGTATTTTGGAACTTCAGAAAGCTTGTAATTAACAATATTATGCGAGTTTTGGCTATTTTTAATTTAAATGGACGGTGTTCTCGTTTTATTCCATAAAACTATACTTTTCACAATTTGATTCCTTTTAAAAATAATCGATAACCTTTACTTAGTATCAGAGTTACTCTTTTATATTTAAATTTTAATACTTTATATTTCTTAAATTTTTGGTTTATATAAAGGAAGTTTACTCTTTCTTTTTAATGTTAAAGTTTGTCCTGTGCAGAAATTATTTCCAACCCAGCTAGTTTGGGACCCACTTTTATTTAGAATAATAGCCAATGCCTTTAAAACAAATTTATTCTTCACTTATTTGTTTAGGTACTTCAAATTTTCTAAAAATATTTCTGAAATTCATCTTAATTGACACTAGGTTAGAGTTGACATTTTGTGGGGTCAGATATTTTTGCCCGCCTTCTATAATGCATTTTCGGAATTTTTAAAGATTGCTAATAAAGAAAGCTAAAAAAAAGTAGGCTGAAAATAAATCAATTACTTTTTGTTTAGCAAAAAGTTTTATAGATATATATGGAAATCTATTTATATGGTATGTTATAAAGGCACTTTTGGCTGGTTTTTTTTTCTTTTTTTTTAATGGAACTGGAAAAACATCTGCAATTAAGAAATAATCTATACTTTTCTTCTTTAAAACTGTTTCCTGATGATTTAGAGTGGTTATCTGAGTATATTCCGGCAGTATCTAAATGGAAAATAAAGGTCTTGCTTAGATCGTGTGATGATGAGGATGGTGAACTAGACACCACTACTAGCATGAATGCTAACAAATATCATGAGCACAATTCTAAAAATTTAGAACTTTGGGATAATATTAGGCTAGCTGATAATGAAATAGCACAGTCTAATTTGGGAAATACTGCTAAATCAGATTCTACCCCAAACTTAGAAGTAAACTCTTCTGTATTAGCAGCTCAAGAGCTACAATTTACCCATACTGAGGTAGATAATGAAGTATTAAAGAGTAGGTCTAGTAATTCACTGACATCTAGTCCAGAATATCTTGATATAAGATACCCAAAAAGTTCCATATCACGTTTACCATTTTCAATCAAAAGTATAGCTAATACTCCGTATTGCGAAACAGAAATTACAAAACGATTAACAAAAGCTATAGAAATACCAAGGAAGATATTTCATAGAGATACAGAGGATTTTATGACACATAAAGAGCAAGAATATATAGAACCTTTAGAAAATCAAAAAGAAATTGTCTGTGAAGATATGAGAAAGTATCTACAGCTTCCCACGGATAAATATTTGAAACAAACCAAAAATACATCAGATACTGACAGTTCTAGGTCATCTTTTTATTATAATAGTGGAAATATACCTAAAAAACACAAATTAAGTGGAGGATCAAATAATTCTGCAGATTCTATTTCACCTAGATTATTTGGATTTTTAAATAGGAGTAAAGAAACTACTTTAAACAAACCAGATGCTTCAAATTCTCAAAATAAGGATGTGAAGTATAATGAGAAAACGACTAAAAAGAGGCGAATTCTGCATTCTAAAATAAGTAGTATAAGGAATTTCTCACAATATGTTAGTAACCCTAGTAAAGATCTAATTCAAGATCAACCAAGTAAATACAAAAATTCTGGTAATTGTCATACATTGTGGGAATATTTGCCTTTGGTTGCAGTATTAAATGCTTGTACTGGTATATTTATTTTATTACGTTTATCATCAGCTATATATCGATTCTCAATACTATCTTGTTCTATTACTCATATTATAACATTTACAGTTATTGGAATTCCACTTCTACAAATGGAGTTTGCCTTACGGAAAAAAGGACCAAAATATGGATTACTTCAGGCTTTAAGTTTACTTGACTACAAGTTAGCTGGTATATCTTTCTTAAGTTTAACTGCAGTGATTATAGTTTTCATTTACTCATGTCAGATTATCAGTACGCTAAGCATTATATTGTATAGTGCAACTTCAAATAACTGGAAGTTAACAGAACAAGACTATCATGTCTGTCAAACAATAAATAATAGTACAACAATATTTTATAATAAAACAGATATAAATAAAGAACATTTTATGAATTTAGAGTCTACGTATAATGCTTACAATTTATGCTCAAATACTGCAGTATGTACCGTGATATTACCGTGGTGGTCTGTCGGTACACTTGAAAACCCTTCTAAAGATTCAGAGGATTTGATCCCCAAAGAAATTAAAGAATTACTTATTAGTAAAGGTTTTGAGTATAAGCCAGCGGAATATCTAAGAAATAAAACATCTATGGTTAGAACTACTGAAGCTTCTACTCCTAGTAATACCCTAAATTCTCCAATTTGGTGTATGGCCTCTAAATCTAAAAAGCTTAGGAATACACTTACAAGAAATCTAAGTAACTATAGAGAATTAGAATACTTACCAGTAGATGCTGCAATAAAAGATCCAAAAAGATATATTGAGCATAGTCACATACCAATGACAGGGCCACCAAATACTTGGACACACAACTTAACAGTTCAATCTGTTGGATTACTAATTACTTGCACTATTATGATAGTCATTCAGAATCACGGAAGTTTTTTCCATATACTTTCACTCCTATCTTTCTTATCACTCGTTATTTTTCTACTTACTGCAACAATTCAAATTGTTGCAAATGGTGTTCAACTAAATATATTCTTGTCTTTAATTGGATCACATAGTGGAATATCAAATCTTTTAACACCTGCAGTATGGTATTGTGCTATACAAAATGCTTTACTGTTCTTTGGTACATCATTTCTTATTACCATGGTTCCATTGGAAAGTAGTAAAAAGACTTCTGGCTTGGGGCTCGCCTTCTTTAGAAAAGATAGGTTCTCCAAAGAAAGAGATGTCTTGGTTCATAATAAGATTTATACTAAAAACAAAGTTCGAGAACAAAAAAGTGATTTAAATACTATCAATATAAATATAGAAAGTGCTAAAGCTTCAGTAGAACTTTGTAGGACACCAAGAAACAATACTCCAAACCTAGATGAAGATAGTCATCATTTAACTACTGGTAATTCTTATAATTTTACATACAATGAAGAAATTCCATTTCCATCACTTAGAAGCTCAATTCATGCTTCAGTACTTTATTTAATTTGCGTTTTCTTATCATTCTTGGTTATTTCGGTATCAAATTCTGCCTTGATTGCTTTATCTTATAATCCACCATCAGATTCTCAATTAATCCCATTCTTAATAGCAAATATGTCTTGCTCAAGCCCCTCTTGCCAATCTTCATTTACTTTTAACGATGCAATTAATATTGTATCAAGTAATAATATTCTTCAAACAATAGATTATGATAATCAAGAATGGAACAAAGATGGCCACAACTATAATAGTCCTATTTTTACGAATAATGAATTTTCTACAGGATCAAAAACTATTTCAACGCAGCTAAAAGGTCATATTACACTAAGTAATGTCAAAGAGCTACAAAAAAATATTCAGGACTGGTATTACTGGAATTTCTTACAATTAAAAAGTCAATCAATGATTTTAGGAGAATATACAATCATTTATCTTATTATCTTGGCAGTTGAAAGTTCCCAAAGAATTCCAGATGATACTATTGTATTTTTCATATTAATTTTCCTTTCATATGCTATTTGTTGTGCTGCAATTTGTATCTCTATTATATTTCAGCATATATCTGTTGGATTTTATCATTTATACCTTCCTTTAATTGGTAAATCCAGTATTCACAAATTTTTTAAAAAAGATACTATTTCGAAGTATAATGGGAATAAAAGAATTTATAACTATTGTTCAAGAAATAAAAAGAAGACATTTATATCAGGATATAAGCAAACTATTATAAATTTTTTTGAAGTGATTTATAATGAAATTAAAAAATTCTTTTATTTGTCATTCATATGGGCTAAAAGTAAAATATTACACTTTTTTGGTATTAAATCAAAAAATAAACATGCAAGAAATTTTGAGAAGAAGCAATTTATGTTCCAAATTTTGTTTATATTTTTAGCCTTTTTAATTGCATTTATAATTAATATTATATCAATATTCACACCACGTTGGCCAGTATTGGATTCAAGTGATAGCAATTCAAATGTATATAATGGGTTGAGTTCAATATACCTTCCAATATCATCTGTTAATGCTTTTTCATTAAATATTAACAACAATCTTTACACAGCTCGAAATAATCCAGTTATATTTGGATCACTAATAGATATACAACTTCTGAGCAGTGCTACAAATTGTATACTATCTGTAGCATCTGGTGCTGAACTAATTGCCATTACATGGTATTATCACATAGATGTCCAAAAATTTATAGTTGGCAAAAAAGCAGTTTATATTCATGCAGCTGGATATTCCTTAGCTACATTAGTTATGTCTTTGGGATTCTTACTTGGAAGAATGATTGTATTTTGTTCATCTGTACTAATATCAATACTTGTATATACTATTTTTTTTTTTATTGCTCGTCATTACTCTCACAAAGCTTTTAGAAGAAATGAAAAATATGTAATAAGAAGGTCTATATATAAACCTACATGGTGGTTATGTTTTTCAAATGTTGATATACTGAGAAGGCAGTGGAATTCACAAGAATTAATTGATGCAGGTTTGGCAGCTATTGTATTAAATAAAAATGACAAAATCAATGAGAAGATATACAATAATGTTAAAAATGAAGGTGAAATAGTATATTCAATCAATATTAAAAATACTGATAATCAAGACTTAAGTATTGTAAAACAAAAGGAGTATTCTAAAAGTCACAAACAATACAGAGAACAGTTTATACAAGAATATGGTCCCAAGCTGCAAAAAATTGCAGATTTCAATATTTATTGCAATGTTAGATCCAGACAACCACAATTTTCTTTCTTTTGGTTTATTATAGCTAAGTTTATTGCAACGATCTTCATTATTAGTACGATACCTGTGACTTTTACCAACTTTACTTATATGCTAATAAATAGATCAGACTGTTTAGATGGACTATTAACTGATTTTCAAGTCTTTAGACAGGTACCAAATGATCTCTATAAAGCTAGAAGCATAGCTTTTAACGAGTCTATATTCTTACCCTTGCAAGTGATCACAATATCTATTATAAAGTATGTTGGAATATTACTGTCACTCATTTTTACTATATATCTTTTTTGTAGTAATAGAAGACTTAGGTATGGGAATCTTGAATCCCCAAATGAAATCTCCTCTATAGATGATATATATCCTTCCTTCTCAGACAATTACTTGTATAATATATTGGATGATGTATATGAATTATTGCAAGTCCCAACCTATGGTGAGTTATTACCACAACATAGAATACAGAATTATGGTAGATTACCTCAAGAACTTATATTGTCAGTGATCCTTCTTCAAAAAAGGTAACAACTTGAATATTAGGATGTGTTAATTGTGAAATATGTGCAGGAATCCTTAACATCAAGAAGTTGTCCAGATTGGAAACTACTAATATTATTCAATAATACAGTGTATACTATAAAATCCCAAAAGAAAGAAGAGCACTAATTTAGAAATTAAAATACAAGAATATCCTTAAAATCTAAAATTTACTAATTTAAGCATACCTTAAGGATCTTGCTGTTAGCGGGTCTTAAAAAGGCCTCTATAAATTAAGGCGGGTTTTTGTACAGAAATATAAACCCCGGATATGCATAGCAGCTTTTGAGTAACTTTGCTGGCGAAAGGAAAAAAAAAAGAGAAGACCCCACTCAACATCTACTAGAGTTTCTTTTTTTTTATATAAGGAATTTGTATCTTATTTCTGTTTATACTGGAGATTTCCTGATGGTATATGTATGATCTTATATAGGATAAATGCTGAAAAAACTATTTGGACGAAGAGATGGGGCCGAAGAGGATGGAACAAAGCCTATAAAGGCAAATTTGGGCGAAGAAAATAAATTTTACTATAATAAGGAACTAAAAAGTTGGGTAGTGAAGGGGGAAGAACACTTAATAGAGAACAAAATGAAGTCCCCTCCTCCTCCTCCCAAACGTCCTACTACAACTGAGATTATGACTGAAAGAAAAAAAGACATAGATGCAATATACAACAATAAGGCTGTAAACACAAAGAAAAATTTATATGTACAAACTCCTGGATTGAATATAGCTAAGAAGACTTCTTCTGCTAATCTCTATAATGTAATTCCTAATTCAGGACTTCATGCAAGCTATATACCAAATGAAAAAGGTAACAATACGGGAGTTAACCAATATGGACTAATTCAAATTAAAAATACAGATATTAATAATTTATCTGAAGAGAACCCTGTTAGTAATGATTTTAGATTCAATCAAAATACTGAATTAGCTAAACACAATACAGAGATCAATGGTCATGAACAAGATACTTTAAATATTCAAGGTTCTTTAAGCCATAAATCTCCAAATATGAAGTGCATTGACAAGAGACAAGACGACTTAAATAATAAGCACTACTTTCAAGGTAGCCATATTTTAAATGAGGAGCAAAGTCGTCTAATGAAGACTTATCCCGATATTGATGCAAATAAGCCTAAAAATATTACTGGTTATATGGCCAATACTAATAAGACAAGCGATAAACTGTCAAGTAGTATTTTACTTCCTATAGGTAACCCTTCATCTAATATTCAAACACCTATTCAAACGTTTTCAAATATACCTCCATCTGTAAATCAAAATATGAACTCCTCTCCAATGATTATACCTTCTAGTCCCAACAAGTCCACTTCACTTAATGGACAGCTTACTCCGAATATTTTGATAAGAAATTCACCCTCTACTTCCCAAAACTTTAAACTAAATACTATCAACGATTTACCTGCAAAATATATCAACTCTCCAACTAATCAGCTCTCAACCCATTCATCTATAAATCCACCAACTTATTCATCAATTTGTTCACTAACATCTCATACTATTTCATCAAATGTTATTAATGTTCCTACTTATACTGGATATAACTATATAGAAAATGGGCATGCACCAAATATAATTAGCCGATTAGGGAAACTAGAGAACACACTGACAGAATCGTCAATAAATACATCATTTATGCAATCTTCTATGGAGAATAATAATTTTTCAGATGGTCAACAAAATATTAGGAAAGATATTAAATTTCAACAGCTGAAATCTCCTAAGGATGAAGATAGTATAAAAAATATTAATGTAGATATTGGATCTCAAATGGAATCTCCAGCTGAAAATTCAATAAAACAAAATGATTTAGAGGATATTGATAAGGAAAAAGTTGTACAAGAAGACCAAGTATTAGAATCTATCCAAAAGGTTTCTAGTGAACTAGTACACAACAAATTTGATTCAACTATCAGTAATTCAGAGAGCGATATGGAATTTTTGTCGTGTGCTAGAGTACTACGTCAAAGGCAAAGAGTAGCTGACAATTTTTTCACTATTAATGGAGATGTAAATGATGAAGTAGGAAGTAATCATAAGGAAGATGCTGAGTTTAAGATTAATTCAGTAGATCATGACATATTAGATTTGCTGTCAATATTTGGATTGAGAATTACTGAGGAATACGAGGTAATTGATATGGAAACAAATAAAATTAGAGATGATCATATACAGGAATTAAACGAATCATTAGATAATTCAGACTCAAATATAAACCTAAACAATACTTCCACTAGCTATGGTGATTCGATAACTTTGGAAGAACTATGTAAAAATATTAAACATGAAAAATTAGAACAAATAAGTTATTTCCTAAATTTAATATACAACAATATCCAAGAAAAATTTATACAATATGATTCAGCTACTGATACTATAAGTGGTATTGGTAATTTAACTAATGAAGTTTTTTCAGATATTTCGATTAGAATGAATACAATCTTAACAAATTGTGATATAATTGAGAGAGAGTATGTTAACACTAGGAAGATGTATGAAGCATTATCTAAGAAATATAACAATATATATAAACAATATGAAACTGATATATTAGATCTACGAAGAGAACTGGAGACTGAAAAAAGCCTTCATATTACAATCACACAAGAATATGAAGAAGCTTTGCAAAAGTTACAAAACGAGTTTGTAGTAAGAGAGACCTCTAGTAATGAATTACTACAACAATATTATAGTCATATTCAACATTTGCATCAACAGCTTGAGATCTTACAGAAAGAACTTTTGGAGGGAAGATCTCTTTTTGACCAAAAAAGTAATGAAACTGAGCTTCTGAAGACAGAGTTGAACAATAAGAATGATGAATTAGATAAGATATATAGAGAACTTGAACATTCAAGACAAGAACTAGCTAATGCTAATGATAATTTCAATAATTCTAATCAGGAGATGAGTCAATTAAAATTGGATGTAGAGAATTTAAGTGGGGAAATTGAGAAGTTGAACAAGCAACTAATATATTGTGAAGATGAAAAGAAAGAACTATTATCTGAATCTAAAGATTTGCAAGAGGTACTAAAAAAACAGATTGAGGTACTAAGCAATGAGCTACAAGAATCTAATAATTTAAGGGAATCACTTGAAAACTCCATTAAGTTTCTTAAGGAAGAGAGTGCTGGTATTAACATGGAATTAAATAACAAATATCAGGGACAAATAGCATTTATGGAGAAGTACAATGAGGAACTAGAGCAGCAAACAGTATTGCTCCAAGAAGACATAGACCACTTACGAAATAAACTATTATCAAGTGAAAGCAGCTTTAAGAAAATACAAGATGATAAGGCTGATCTTCAGAGTCGTTCTGATCAAATGACAGATTATATTAATCAATTGCAGGAAAGTGTGACTTCATTAAGAAGTCAAATAGATACTTTAAGTGGTCAATTAACAAATTCAATTGAAGAGAAAAATAAGACACTCGCATTGTATGAAAGTACAAAGCACTTCCTTGCGGATGTAGAGAAGGAAAATGACGAATATAAAAACAAGTTTCATGAATTAACTATTGAAAATGAAGCTAGAAATAATACTATTAATCAATTGGAGCATAAATTGAATGAAGTTATGGGTGAAAAGTGTAATTTGGAGACAAATATGAAGCAAATCTTAGAGAGGGAAACATTGAATGAACAAATTAATAAACAACTAGAGGAATATAGAGAATCTAAAAAATCTTTACAAAATAATAATAAAATTCTTTTTGAGCAAAATAAGCAATTGAAAGAGGATTACCAAATATTAACTAATGAACATCGACATTTAATTCAATTAAAAGATGATCATATTAGGGAAGTTTCTGAGCTGAATAACCAAATAGAGAGAGAAAAGGAAAGCAGAGAAACTTTAGAGGATGAATTAGTGAAGAATAAGCAACATACTGAATGGCTCCAAAGCGAATTACATAGATTAGATACTGAATGGCGTGATAGACAATCTATACTAGAAACAAATTATGAGACTTTGTATACCCAACTTATAGAAACTAATTATAAACTAAAATCTAAAGAAGAAGAGTTACAACAAAGTATTCAAGAATTAGATCGAATTATGAAGGAAAAACAAGTTGATAATGATTTTTGTAAAGAAGATATGAGCTTACTGAGGAGTGAAAATAATAAAATCAAAGAAGTTAATGAAGCTTTATATACTAAACTAGAGGCATTTTCTAAAGATATTGATTTTTTAAATAATCAACTAGAATGGATTAGAAGATATTCCCCTCAAGTATATGAAAGTATGATACAATATACAGATATTAAACAAGATAACAAAATATTTAATGATTCTCCTTAATATATATTACCAAATTTTTTAAAGTAGGGCCAAGTAGAAATTTAATATGAAAGTGTAAAAGTATAATTATTAATTTTATTAGTAATCCTACAATTAAAACCATGCAATACACATATCAAAACTAGTCTTCTAATTTTTACCTATTATAAATTCAATTTTTAAAGACTTTACTAACAGAAATATTACTTAGAATTAAATGTGAACTGTAATAAAAACTGATAAAGTTCACTTCTCTAATACATACACACCTAAAACTTATTAATATATTTATATTCGATCCACTCTAGATATGATTATAAAAATACACTATACTATATCCTTATAGTTCTAAATTTATTATAAATATCCTCAACAAATACTACCTTACTATCTTTTCTAAATGTAATTTAAAAGGAACTTCTTACTATTAACTCAATTTATAGTTCTATTAAAGTATATATTTAATATATTATCTAATAAAAGTAATTATTTCATTTCCCACAAATTCATGTATTCTATAGTATTATTTTATTCGTGTAAATTAAAATGAAATATTATTAAGTTACTAGCTTATATGCTACCAATTTGAGATTTAAAAGTGCTATTTTATGAGTAATAAAGTTAATAGAAAAAAAAAACAAGGTATATCATTAAAAACTAGAATAACTCCTTTTATTCCATATTTAATAGAGGTCTTAATTAGCAAGTGATCCTATAATACTTAAATATAAAGCACAGTCTATTTTTATAGATGTTAGCATTTTAAAGTAGTATAAAATATCTAATATTATCGAAATTCTGACCCTAGTAGTAAGAGAGACACAATAGTTGTAATATTCACTATTTATATGCATGCATACATGCATCTCAAAACATTATTCAAAATACATCACATTAAAGTCTTTGTAATTTCCACTTTACATTTATCAATAGAGTAGAATATTACCTTCTTATGTGAAAATAAAGACTAAATAAAGATAATTTTTAGAGTTTTGTAGCCAATAGAAGGTAGTTTCACAATAGAGGAAAGTAAAAAGGCTCAAATAAGAAACCAACAGATTTTTGTATAGAATAGTAAAATAGTAACGTCATGGCGGTAATACTATACAATGATTCGATCACCAGATCCACCTAGTGAGTAAATACCACTTGCGTACTGTCTCAGTATTAAGTTATCCTTGCCCCCCCCCCTACCCCTCGTCAAATCTACTATTAATAACAGCCAAATTTAGCTCCATTCCTCCTATATTAATGGGGGTACCTTAGGAAGTTTGTACAGGCTTTATTTGAATTAGTGCGGGGGAAGCTTGACAAAAACAGAGATTTTATACTATTAAATGGAAGGAAACTAAGATAAGTAAATTATTGTTCCGTAGATGCCAAGTAACCGTTTTATTGGTAAGCCACAAATGGGATCGACCATGAATGGTGGTTTAGGTATAGAGAAACAATATGATTATCTACATATTCCACAATGCTTGCCTAATGAACTGGAGTTTGTTGTGAGGGACTTTCGAAATAAAATAGTGAATATGATGAACAATGGTGATGGCAATAATAGGAATCGTTTGTACTCTCAAACACATAATTATAGGAACTTTAACTTTAGATTAATGATTTTACCTAAGGTGAAGTTGTCTCCAGGAGGATCTTTAGATGGTCATATATCTGCATATCTAGAGGCAGTTCCACTAGAAAATTGGCCAAGTAACTGGGTATGGATCAATACAAGATATACTGTTACTTTGGTAAACCAAAGGGACTACAGAAAATCTCACTTTATGAGTGATATATTTAATTTTAAGGGAGAGAATATCATTAAGAAGAACCCTGGGAAGAATTTAGAATTTGTCTCTGCAGGACCAGAAGCTGATAGAGGATGGAGTGAATATTTCAATTTGAAGACACTTTTAGACTCAAAAAGTGGTTTTATGGACCCAACAAGTGAAACTGTAGTATTCAGAGCTGGTGTATATCCTATCACATGTGAGCCAACATCATATGGTAAGGGTAATATGGATACTATAGGTACTGAAAGATCTGCTACTGGCTATGTTGGACTACGTAACCTAGGCGCTACTTGCTATATGAATTCTTTACTGCAATCTTTGTACCATATTGGTCACTTTAGGAAAGCAGTTTATGCTATTCCACTAGATGTTGAACAGTTAAGTGATCCATCAGATTCTAATGACTCAGCACAATCGCCTGAAGGCTCTAGTAGTAAAAGTAGCTATTCTTTTTCTCCTGAAGTTCAGAGCAACACAAATTCTCCCCCAAGTACTTCATCACCAGACATTCAATCTACGAATTTACCAGTAATGCTATTAGGAAATGCCTCATCAGATGCAATTGACTGGTCAAGTGAGGATGCTAGACATTTGTTAGATTTTGAATCAGATATGATAATGCTAAACGAAGGGATGACAAGTTTAGAAAGTATAGTATCAAATGTGAGCAACTCTGACAAACAATATAACAATAATTCTAATAAGAGTCTTACTAGAATTAGTTTGGCCCTACAAACTTTGTTTTATGAGTTACAAACGAGTAGTGATGCAGTAAGCTGTCGAGAACTTTTAAAGTCTTTTGGATGGGATGCTGCAGATGCCTTTACTCAACATGATGCACAAGAATTGAATAGATTACTATGTGATAGATTGGAGGAAGAAATGAAGAATACTAATGTGGATGGAACTATAAAGGCTCTTTTTGAAGGAGAGTATGAGAATTACATTGAATGTCTAGATGTAGATTGTACTTCCAAACGTACTGAGAATTTTTACGATCTCCAAGTAGATGTAAAAGGAGTAAATTCTTTAGAAGAGAGTTTAGAAAAATTTATTGAGGAAGAAATTTTAGATGGAGATAATCTTTATGAAGCTGAAGGATTTGGTAAACAAAGAGCTAAGAAGGGTGTTAGATTCCAGAGGTTTCCGCCAGTTATCCAATTTCATCTAAAACGGTTTCAATTTAATCTTCAAAGTATGGATATGGTCAAACTGAACGATTACTTTGCTTTCCCTGAAGTTTTGGATTTATCTAATTATATTCAGAGAGGTAATGAAGTGTCCAATAGAAATATAAGTAGTAAAGATAAGGATTTGTATGTATTACATACAGTTGTTATTCATCAAGGTGATGTTCATAGTGGACATTATTATGCTTATATAAGACCAAGACCTAACATGAACTGGCTTAGATTTGATGATGAAAAGGTCACAGTTGTTTCAGCAAGTACAGCTATGGAAGATAACTTTGGAGGATATGAATATGATGTTTGGGATTATTTAGGTAACCCAGATCGCGATATACCAAGAAGATCGAAGACTCATTCTGCTTACATATTAGTATATGTAAAAAGAGATTTGGTTAGCGAACTACTTAAAGAGCCCATACCAGAAGAGATTAATTCTGATTTAGTATTAAAGTGTAGAAGGGAGACTGAATTACTGAAAACTAGGAAAAAACTTCGTTATGATATTAATGAACATGTCCGAATACAATTAATATTTTCAATAAGTTACGATATATCTCACAATACAAGGTCGAAGTTATCTGGACTTCATAATACAGTTCATTCATTTCCTTGGAACTGTATCTTCAAATGTCCTAGAGACTTTCCTATTAATCAGTTACACTCTGAACTAGAAAAGAAATTTGTAAGGAGTAGGAAAAGTGGAAATAATCAGATAAACTCTAATCATACTGTTAATGATACAAATAACAATTTGGGGTCGTTCCTATTTCTTTTAGAAAACCATGATAATAGACAAAATGATGGGAATATTGGGGCATCATGCTTGTTATTTTCAACCTGTATCTCTTCTACAATAAATGGTTTGGGGAATAGGGGATACTTAAATCGTAATTTAAGTAGTGGGAATGTTGTATTATCTGACCTATGTCGTAGATACCATAGAGAAGGACTGTGGGATTCATCCTGTCCGACATTATATATGTGCTTATATACCCCACCTGAATATGATATAGTGGAAAATGGCATAACACTAGATGAATCTTACATGGAAGAAAGAGAAAAGATAGAGAATAAACTGAGAAGATTAGATGATGGTGGGTATCAAGTCCTATTAGTTCTAAGATATTTTGACATATTCTCCTCAGATATAAATGAGAGCTATATCCATGGCAGTTCAATTAACAATATTCATAATATAGGCATGATTATGGTATCTCAAAATACGAAGTTAAAGGATTTAAATGATTACATCTTTATGGAAATAAAGAGAGGTATATTATTAGGACGTATTCATGAAGTTCCACACATTACTGATGATGCAACTAAAGAATATAAATTTAGAATTTGTCAAGAAAAAATTGGAGATCAGGGGAGACTATTTCCTTTGTTAGACCCTCGTTATACTATTAATCAATTGCAACTTACAAATGGTTCCAGTTTGATATTTTCATGGAATCTTGAGGATTCTGTAATAAAATCTAAACGGGATGAACTGCAGTTATCATTACTAGAAATCCCTTCATTATCTTCTTCTTGGTTAGACCAGGATATAGTTACACAGAGTGACCAAGTCTCAGATCTTCATGATATTTCGCTGAAATTACCAGAATTCCCAGTTCTAGATTTCCATTATTGGTTTGAGAATCAACAAAATACCGTGGAGATTTCCATAAATATTTGGGATCCTTTAAATTTATCTTTACTCTTTGAAAATTGTCTTCAAAATGTGGGGACTTTTGATATGGAAGATAAATCACCAGTTTCATTATCTCTAAACAATACAGTTACAGGATCAAATTGTAAAATAAAAATTAAAGAGGTACATAACATTAAACTAGATCTAAGGTGGCCCATCTTAAAGACTTGGTTCTATATCTGTAAAGTTATTCATGTTGATCCAAGATGTTTAGCTATTGGACGTAGTGGTATATCATCTTCAGATACTGTTCTTTATTCAATTTATAAGCTATTAGCTGAGAATCAATATGTACAGACTGTTGGTCATCTTCTTCATCAATTATATCCCAATCATCACCATAGTAGGACCCATAACTTCTCACTTATTGGTATTGTTTTGTTGAATTGTACATTTTCACCTCTTGTAGACGAAAATAAACACATCTTTTGTATAGATTGTATGGATCAAAATCTCAATTTAAGGAGCCGCTACTTTGTGAATGCTAACTTATTTGATATTTTTGGAGATATTATTAAGGACATAGCATCTGGGAATTGTATAATTACACAAAGTGGTGAAGATATCAATAAAGTATTTGGATCTATTGATAATTTACGATTTTTTGAAGGCTCAAATAGCAGTAGTATGTTTAGTATATATCGTGAAAATGATAAAATTGCTAATATGCAGTCTGTTAGGAACCAACAAAATAATAGAAAAACAATATATCTAAGCTTTTTTACTGACACATTAAGGCTAGAATTGGATTATACTGATGAAGAGAGACGTCTACTTCAACAAGGAGATATATATAATGTATTAATTATCCAAGCTACGAAAGAAATGGATTCAGGTGGTTGTGCACTGTTAATTACAGCTCCTAGAAATAGTAAAGTAGTAGATATCAAGAATATTGTAAAGGACAAGCTACTATTAGATGAGAAAGTTATTTCTAGATGGAGATTCTATCGATATGAACAAAGAACAATGGAATTTATTAGAGATAATGAAATAATCACACCCAGAAATATTAGTTCTACAATGAACTTTTATGGATTTATGCCTCATGTTGTACTATTAGCTCAACATTTCCAATCAAATACTTTATTAAAGTCACATAATTCTAGACCACTAAGAATATAGAAATTGTAGATGTAAATAAAATTTATGAAATATCTTTACTAGCTGTATTTTGCAATAGTATTAAAAGTTTCATTCCTTACTAATATATTTTTGTTTTTCTTTAAGACTAAGGAACTATTACTTAAATATTTGTGAATAAAATATCAATATATTTTAATATTCATATGATTTTTCTTTTCCTACTTAAAGTAATGTTCATGGTTAGATTAAGAATAGGTACTTCTACTACAACTAATATTCTAACATAAATTTGACAAACTTCAATTATTTGGGAATATATACCATCTATATAGAGTGCTGTATCAATATAAAATTTTAAAATTTTACTTTACATATACTTAATATAATAAAGGAGAGTTTACAACTTTCCATAATATATTTAATTCAAAAAGTTTTAGAAGTACAAGTGAGTATTTATTGTCTAATTTGGGAACAGATGAATACAAGTAGTTCATGTGAATTTTAATGAGTAGCTGAACTAATGCTAATAATTCCTACCTATCCTTTTAGTATTACCTAACTAATAAACTGGATCTTTATAATAAAGATTTTATCAAACCGTTATTTTTAATATTCTAATTATTGTAACCATTATATTTTAAGATTTATGTTAAAGATTATTTAAAGTATTGTAAAAAAGGAGGGAAAATAAAGACCGACCAAAAGAAAAAAAAAAAAAATATTAAAGACTTTATAAACTTGTCGAATATTTCTTATATTGTACTTAATAAATTACTAAATCTTCCCATCACCATTGCAATATTCAAATATTTTTTCTTATATTCATCTTACTTAACTACCCATTTCTATTTAATTATATCAGTTATATTTATTTTTATTTGTTACTATAGTTAGAATCTGAGTTTATTATATGTTCAATTTGTTTAATTTTTTGTTTTATTGCCTTATATTCAATAAATTTTTCCTCTATTGGTAATAAATCCTTCTGGTACATTACTTTACGGTTATGAATTTTATAAAATCCTTTTTCATATTCTTCTAAGACACCTCGTAATTTACTCTTATACTTAATTAAGTTTTGAACTTTTATTTTAAGGTTTTCTTTTGAAATATTATTATTAGCTATTTCATGATTTAATGTTTCATTATTATCAGCAGTGATACTTATATTATCAAAGTGGTCACATGTAGCATCTATATCATTTTCAATATTTTTTTTATCTTCATCAGGCTTTTCAGATGTTTTGTTCAATTCTATATTATTCATTGCTTCAATAGATTGTTTTAGCTTTCTATAGTAGATATATAAAGGCCTTAATGACTCTTTATCATTTTTCTTTGGTAATTGGCCATACTTCTTTTGGTAAGTTATATCAAACTCTCTGAGTTGTTTCTTTACTTTTCTCTTTAGTTCAATTAATTCAGACTCACTAAGATGTGAAAAGTCATAATATTGAGGGTTCCTTGGTAAATTTAATAATGAAAGTGATCTCAATAGCCATTCCAAAGGATTTATTGAATTTTCCCCACCAATATTTGATGTAGGATTATTCTTTAGATTAGCTACTCCTACTTTTAATATCTGATATCGTTTTATAATCTTCAATGGACAACAATTCCCATCACTTTGTATATCAGCCACATTAAAGTTGTAAAAATTCTCATCATTTATATATTGAGTTACAATCTCTATTATTTCGTTTTCTTTGTCCATACTTTTCTTTTTTTTTTAGTTCTAAATAATGAAAACAGCTCGCACTGTGGGGCATACTCAACCAAAGTTATAGTAACATGGCTATTGACAGAAAAAAGTAGAGATTATAGAAATATAGCACAATTATTTGATTAATTACCAATGATATGATTACTTTTTCATTATAATATAAGTAAAACTCATATTTTATAAAATATGAAGAGTAAAAAAAGACATTATACTAAATACCTTTTAAGAAGTACATTTTAAGTAAAATAATAGAAAACAGAATGTATGATAAAATTCATTTATAGTTATTTACAATATTTCTAATATACTCCCCAAAATATGTATGAAATGAAATTTTATAGATTTACAAATCCCCAAGTTTTCAGTTTAAAAAAAAAGAAAAAGAAAAAAAAAGCGCCACTTTTATATGTGTATGAGCGCTAAGGCTTTTATTAATTGAATAAAGGTAAATATTTACAAATCCGAGTAAATAGCTAATACTCTATACCTAGAAAATGACCTCTTCAAACTGTACAGTTTGTCATTTTGCTTTAAATGGTTCAGTGGAACTCCGTGATCATTACAGAACTGAGTGGCATAGTTACAATTTAAAAAGAAAGCTAATTGGAAAGGGTCCTATAGATGAAAAGTCATTTCATAGAAAATTAGAATTACTGAAAAGTACAAAAACTACTATTGAAAAGGGTCACTCACATTTAAAACATAGAGATGATAAAAGAATTGAAAATTTTGAGAAGAAGACTGGAAATGATATTAATATGTTCATAAGGAACCAACCATTACCTTATCGTATTACATACTGTTACTTTGACAATACTGTACACGATAATCTAGAAAAATGTTTTATATATATGAGAAATAAGTATTCTTTTGTTATTCCAAATTTGGAATATTTAAATGATCCAGAAGGATTAGCTTTGTATTTGGGTGAGAAAGTATTTGAAGGGCATATGTGCTTATTTTGTGATAAAACATTTTCAACCTTATCAGCTGTTAGGGATCATATGATAAGTCTAGGCCATACAATGTTAGGTGATCATTTAGAAGAACAAAAAGAAGATATTGAAAGATTCTTTGATTTTTCAGAATCATACAAAGAATTATATATAAAACCTTCCAAAATAAAAACAATTGAAAATGATACAGATGAATGGGAAGATATTGAGAACTCAGATGACATATTAGTAGGTGATGTCTTAAGTGTATATAACTTAAAGAGTGCAGAAATAACAGAATTTGGTGATTTAAGATTACCAAATGGTAAAAAAGTTGTACATCGTAACCTAGCTTATGTATATAAACAAAGACTATTTAATTATGATAATTCAAGAACTAAACAACTCAAGATAGCACATAATGATGTATATAAATGCATGCAAACTTCTAAACTTGACCAAACCAAATATAGACTCCCAAAAAGTACAATTATTGAAACCACACAATATGGGAAATATATCCAATCTAAAGTTCTAAAATCTGGAATAAATAATAACAAGCTACAGAAATATTTTGTAAGACGTGATATAGTTTGGTGAAAATTTTATATTACTGAATATATTAATTATTTAAGTAGTAATAAACCTTATAATCAGTATATATTTAGAATTTTTATAGTATTTTAGCTTATATTTATCAATATATATAATTTTTAAAAACACATTAATGTACTTTTAACTAGTATAATTCTTTTTTTCATATGCATAATATCTATATTTATTAAGAACTTAATATATTGAAATATATATTACCTTAACCTTTAAACTAGATTAATTTGATGAAATAACAATTTAATAATCTAATAAAGTGATATTTTAATATTAAAAGTTGTACATATTTATTTGTTTAGATATATATATGTAATGTGAGTTTATGATTCACATTAATAATTTATTACCGAGATATAAATTACATAATATATTTAAAGCTGAAAATTATTCGGTAACTGTATTTTAGTACTTATGATTTTTACATAATTCACAAAGTATATAATAAAATTGTTTTATTTATTGATATCTAACATTATTTTTATAAATTTATACTTAATATATTTCATAATTAAAATAAATAATAATGTAATATTGCATATGAATAAAAATAATACTATATTTAATTTAACTCCTAATTTAATTTAATTAATTATAATTTAATATATATAATTTAAAATAGTTATTACTAATATTACAAATATCTCAATTATTAATAAAATTATTACAATTATATAAGCTTCAATTTTTAATCTTTCTATTAATTTATACTTTTTTATTTAGTGCTTATTCTACATATTTTATATAAATATTCCTTATCTATTTGCTTATAATTATACTCTATAATTGACCACATTGATAAATTACTATTGGAATTTTTGGTTTATTTAATGGAGGTATTACAGTTGCATTTTCAATTTTTTTTAAAGTAGCAAAAGATTCATTTCCAAGGAGTTGTCCAAATACAACATGCTTATTATCTAACCATTCACAAGAACTACAAGTAATAAAAAACTGACAACCATTTGTATTTGGTTTGCCATTATTAGCCATTGATATTAAACCTGCCTTTTCATGTTTAAGAATAAAATTTTCATCTGCAAAATAAGTCCCATATATAGAAATACTACCAGTACCATCATTATTAATAAAATCACCACCTTGTATTACAAAATCTTTAATAACACGATGAAACATACAATCCTTATATCCTATAGATTTCATATTATGTTTATATTCTCCTGTACAAAACTGCCTAAAATTTTCTGATGTTTTTGGAGCTAAGTCATTAAATAATTCAATTACCAATCTCCCTATATGATTTTTTGGCTCTGATAAACAGATATCTAAAAATACAACAGGATTTTCAGGATTTCTAAGAGGCCTATAATCAGGATTAAGAATCATACTATATTATTGTATTTTAGTTCAATTATTTTTATTCTTCCGCTATAATCTTTTATAGGCGCAACAGAACAATTGTACAATATTTGCTTATAGTAAAAATATCGCGATATAACATTAATTTCTATATGTTTAGATTATATAAGAACCCAATTTATTACTTATGAGTAACAGAAGGCCTTGCCAATTCTTTCTTAGAGGATCTTGTAGATTTGGAGATAAATGTAGGGATTATCATCCAAAGAGTAATTTATTTGGAGATAATAATGGAATAAACCAATCAAATACAAACACAACTCCTAATAATCCATTTATGTCAAGTAATTCTGGTGGAAATATAACTAATAAAAATATTTTTGGGGGGAATATATTCAATGGAATATCTCCATTTTCTAACACAAATTCTACATTAACTTCTTCTCCATTTAATAATAGTAATACTTCTATATCAACAAATAAAACATCAACCTTAAATATATATATACAAACTTTGGAGTTAATTGGTATTGTAATAAAAAGTGGAGTTTGGCCATTTGGACCTATAGGATTATTAGGACAAGAACTTGTATTCAAAAGTATGTCATTAAATTTTGAAGAATTTAGATGGATATTTTATCAAATACCATCTAGTGATTGGCCATCTTTATATATGGAATCTTTGAAAAATCTTCAAAAATTATATACAGATTTTATTGAAGAAGGACGAAAAATTAATAAACTTCCTTTACAACATCAACTATATTCTCTTGATTTAGGATCATTTTCCCAAATTGGTAATTTATTTTCAAATAAATCTAATATAACAGATAATTCTAATAATGCATCTCTATTCTTGGGTAGTAATTCATATATATTCGGTCATTCATCAAATAATACAAATATTGTTACTAATAATAACCCATTTACATCTTCTACAAAATTTGGACTATCAAGTAATGATAGTAATAATATTAATCAACAATTTAAGAGCCCTTTTACTACAAGCTCGGCAACTAACTTTACTTCTCCCTTTAACTCTAGTATCAATAATACAAATAATATATTGACTAATCCAAATATAAACACAAGTCAATCAAATAATACACAACTTCAAGTATCAAGTAATAATAATAATATATTTAGTAATAATGGTATGAATAATAATACAAATATTTTTGGTAATACATTAAATTTACAAACAGGTCTTAATTTCGTTTCAAATTCTCCATTTAACAATAATTCTACATCTATTAATAATCCCTTTTCATCTTCAATACCTGTTTTATCTTTTAATAATAATAAAAATCACCAAGAAAATATAGACATAGAATATGGTCAAGTTCAATTAGAAGAGTGGGAGGAACAAGCCTTTAAAAATGATGCATTTGAAAAGGGTAAAATCCCAGAAAAAGTACCTCCCAAGAATTTCTGTATATAACTATTTTATATATAAATAATTAACTTAAATAATAAGGTTTAAATAAGCATATATATTGTTGTAATATATATAATTATTTAGTCAATATATCTATTGAAATAATTAAAGTAATTAGTACAACTAACAATTCTGAAATACTTTATATTATATATTCTAATTTTAGTTCAATAATAATTCATAAATATCTACTCTTTTTTCTTTGTATTGCATGCAGTAATCTGCTATATAATATAATATGGACTCCTTAAACGTAAAATTGTAAGTTACAAAAAGTACTGAAAAGAGCACGCCGCCACTGGGGATCGAACCCAGGACCACATGGTTAAGAGCCATGCGCTCTACCTAGCTGAGCTATAGCGGCTGTCAAGCAGAAGGGTGATATATGATATCTTTAAGATTTTTATTTTTTTTTTTTTATTATTATATGAGAGCGGTATACTAACGTTATTTCATTCTTAGTCAATTCAGAATATAATGATAATTTATACTTTGTAGATTTTACTGTTAATGGAGATTCGATAATTTGTTACCTGATATATTTAAAGGAAGATTCTTTAATTTAGTATTTTGTTTTAATTGTAAAGTATTTTAATATTATTACCTTAGTATATTTTTGTTATAAAATTAGGATATGTACCGAACTGGGAAATATAATATTGATTCTGATCAACATGTAGAGGAATCTTCATTATCTAATATTAATAAATTTAAATATAAGAATTTTAGAGATGAAATATATGAAAAAAAAGACAAATATGAAGTTGAGACATATATAGAAAATAATAATAAATCTGAGATCAAACTTGGTTTATGGGACTTTTGCCAATGTGATATTAATAGATGTAGTGGCCGCAAATTAATTCGTTTTGGATATGTTAGAAATCTTAGATGCAATAAAAAGTGGCCAGGAATAATATTAAGTCCCAGAGCAAAGAAGAAATTGTCATTGGGAGATTTACCTTTAGTAATAAAGAGTGGTATAGCAGCTATTGATTGCTCATGGAATAGAATTGAAGAATTACCACTTCGTAGGATTCACAATGGTAATGAAAGGCTACTTCCATTTCTTGTAGCTGCAAATTCAACACATTATGGTAGACCATATGAATTATCTTGTGCAGAAGCTCTCTCTGCTGCATTACATATCCTTGGTTTTCATAGGCAAGCATGTCATTTACTTGATATATTCAAGGGTGGATTACATTTCTTAGAAGTGAATGCTGAATTATTGGATTCATATGGAAACTATGGAAAAACATCCGTAGATATTATTGAACTAGAAAAAAAGTATATAGCTGATTGTTTAAAAGAAAAGAATGCTAGAAAAGATTATGATTTACCTGATTATGAAGATTATGAAGATTATGAAGATTATGAAGATTATGAAGATTATGAAGATTATGAAGATTATGAAGATTATGAAGATTATGAAGATTATGAAGATGAGGAAGATAATAAAGATGAAGAAGTACATGAAGAATATGAAGATAAAAGAGATTATTGAGTTTGAGATCTAATAGAGTAATAGAAGTTAAGAAGTAGCTAAAATGCTAAACATCTTGAAGATTTAATTAAAATATTTAATACAATATTTATAGTTGATCATAATATATACTACTTTTAATATACATCATTAATTCAACATTCTTCAGTGATATATATAAACTCACCTAAATCAAAATAAAAGTGATATTTCTCTTAACCCTCATTTTGAATTAAATATTGCTTAGTTGAGTTTCAACAAAACTTAAAATAGATGTTTTAAGTTTGTGTTTTTCAGCTATTTTAGATGTTATATTTTCAAATGTTACTAAAGGATAATTATACCATGAAGATAGATCACAACTTGATAGGTCTATTTCAATTAACTTGTCATCTTGACTATATATATCTTCTTTTAAATCTATATGTATTAAAGATTCCATCCAATATTCTCCAAGTTTTTCAATAAGCTCTTCATTAATAATTGTACCTCTTTGTACTAGAGAATTTGCATGATCTGTTTTATTTTTAATTTTATTATTATCACTATGTTCATAATTTACATAATGATTTATTTCAATAAAACATTCACTAGATAAATTATTGTAGTTAGAATTATCTAGTAAGTTACATTGATATTGATCATCTTGTATTAGATATTTTATTATACATCCAGGTTGTTTTAACCTTGAGCAACAGTTAGCTAATTTCCACTTATCTTTACATTTAGATCGAGTGTATTCCCAATAGTTTTTAGCCATTCTTTTTGATACAGGCAAAGATGGTAAGCATGTAATATGATTTGCAAGAGAGTTTAATATATCAATTGGTATTTGGTATACAGAATTTTCTTTATTTAAGCCTATTTCTGAATTTGTCTCTTGTATTTCCTTTTGTTCTAGTTCAGAAGTTAATAATAAATCTAATCCTTCATGTATACTATTTGATAATAGTTCTTCTAGTGTTATAGAATAGTCCATATGTTTAATTCCAACAATATCAAAAGGCCTTTCAACACTTATTTTATCCTCAAAGTTTTTGTTATCAAAATGATATGAATTGTCACTTTTATTAATTTCAAAGTATCTACAAGTACATAGTGGATATGGTTGATTCGTAGGTGATGGGATATGTAAAATATTTTCATCGTTTAGCCAAGGGTCATTTGGCATTGTATTAAACTCTCTCCTATAATCAAAACTATTAGTTACTGGTGGAATTCCTTTAATTTTTAAAGAATCTTGATAAGATAAATTATTATTTATCATATTGACACCTTTTTTAGGTGTAGAAAGTATTAATTCAAGTATTTGAAGACCATTATAAATATAGGAATTATAATATTTCCTTTTAGAAAACTGTTCATTTGCATTCTCTAACTCGGAATTATAACATTTCCTCAATGATTTTCGAGGTTTTACAATTCTAGGTAGATTATAATATAGGTTAATACATGATTTATTGTAATAGTTTATTTTCATTAATTCAAAGAAATTCTGATCAAGATATGCACAAAAATAAGATTTATTTAAAATAATAGATTGTATAGAGTTATATAACCATGAATTACTAAGTTCCAAATTTGGATTTGAATCGCTATTTTGTATTTTTAAAATAGAACAAGTTGTAAGTCTCCCACAAGTGTTTAACCCTAATATAATAAGAACATCCTTATAAATATTTGGTATATGATGCTTACTTGTACTAGGTGCCACAAAGAAATTCCCTTCATAACCATGTTGTTTATATTGTTGACAAACTCCAAAATTCACATTATATCCCAAGGTACATATACCTGTTAAACCATGAAATTTCTGTGCCAAAGCATTGTCATCTACTGAATTTCGTTCAAGAATAAAATCCATTATATCTAAGGAAGATTCAATTAACTGTGTATTTCTAGGTACATAATAATCCCTATCATTTTGTAAGGACCATATCCCTAAAGGAATTTTAATAATCTCCATTATTTTCAATATATATGGTTCATCTATATTGTGAATAGAAGGTTGAATAGATATTTTTGCATATATTGCATATGGATAAGATCCAAGGTATAAAATTAAGCCTTGATCCTGTTTAGTATTATTAGAATCAAATGAAAAATTAGAGATCATAGGAAATATTAGATTGCCAATATTCCCAGTAGTACCCTTGTTATCTGATATTTCAGTGTTATAATCATTTGGATTAATCTTGTATGCAATATTATTATTAATATCACTGTTTTCTTTCTGATTAGAAATAGGATAAACCCATTGAATAAAACGACATCTACTATTCACACTTTCTACAAGTGGAATAGAGAACTCAGCTAGTGGTATATTTGTATTCTGATTTGTATGTATAACTACCACTTTGCTTGATTTTACATCTACAGCTGCTAAAATATATGGATATATTGGATGTAAAGCTAAAGCTGTTATATTCGATAATGAAACATTTTTATTTCTCAAAGATTCAAGTCTAACAGTTCTATCAGATAGACTTACACTACTTTTAAATGTAGTACGAAGATTCTGATTCCAAGGATATAACATAGTTACACTGCAAATACTATGAGTACTGTTTGAACATATAGTATAAGATTCTGTACCATTTATAGTTTCATTATTTACACTAGTTTCATCATTATTCATTGTATAATATGATACAGTTTCACTATTTTCATTAATCCATCTCATTTCATCAATTGTGAAGTTATTGTTATTCATCCCTGAATTTTGTTGAAAAGACTCATTATTAGAGTTATCTCCACAAAATGTATCATTTATATTCCTTAAATAATCATCATCTTTATTACTTGTTCTATCTAATTGTATATTATCACTATATAATTCTTTATTATCTTTCGAGCAATTATATAAATAAATATATTTTCCTCCAACAAAATAAACATCTGAATTATAACCATAGATAAGACACTGAAAAACTTCATCACTCTTCTTTGATTCAGAATCTTCTACAGTGTAAATATTAACACTATTTATGTATTCCAGAAAATTAAGTCTAATAATAACTCCATTAGATAAAAGTGCCGAAATCTCGCAAAAATCATAAGGACTAGCAACGATAGAATATATTGATTTTTGAGTATCTTTTGTTTTGAGATATTTTAAAAAGTTATCCACTGTTCCATTAAATACAATCTTATGCTTAACTAAAAAATTATCTAAATAAAGCTGAATTACACATAAATAAGTCATTGAACGGAGATAAATATATATCCCAAAAGATGAAGGAAAGTTAAAATCACTACTAGATTGCACAGCAATATCATAAATTGGAGTTTCAAATATTTCACTAATATAAGCAATTCTTTTCAGTGACAAACCAATATTACTACATGAATCTTCTGAATCCTCAAACTTATTCTCAAATGTTAAAATCTCTATATTATTTTCATTTATTCCACATCTCAATATTAATATAGGTTCATTATATCCAATACACTTCCCATTACAAAATTTCATACAACACTCAGTTTCAGAATCTAAAATACGTCTAGAATATACATTATAATATAAGTGAGAGGATCTGTATGAACTATTTACTGGAAGTATTGTATTTGTTAATAATGTTGAGATATTAGGTCCAGAATTCCTCCAAACAATTTCTGAACTTTTAGGTGGCCATACATATAGCTCTTTAATCCTCATTGAATTATAATTATTACACATGATAATTCTTGACGTAGTAAATTTATTACTACTAAATTAGAAAAAAAAAATGAGAATTTATCTAATTAACAAAATTATGAATACATATCAAGATATTAAAATAAGAGGATTCTTTACTTTTCACTTATATATAAGCAGACACTATCCTCTATTACAAGTCCTGTAATTACGAGATTAGATATATCTACAACTATTTTTCTGAATTGTTCCTCTTGATTTAAGTGTAATGAAGTATTTTGAATAGCGCGTAAGATACCATTACTTAAGCTTGTTACATCTTTACAAACTGAAGTCTAATAGTGCGATATTATTGCAAAGTAGTGAATAAGAATGGAATAATTGCCCCAAATATTTTATATATACTTACCAACTTATTATATAATACTTCATTAATTATTACTATACTTTCATCATCTTTAATACTTAACACGTGTAGATTAGAACTATCCATTTCTAAACCCTAAGATTTTGCCTATCCAAATATTAATAAATATGAACTATATTTGATATTATTGCAGTATATTTAATTATACTTCCTTTTGAAACTTTGTAGTATTAGAACCCTATAAATTCATAAATAACTTATAAAACATAACACGTTCAAAACCCTAATTCTCATGCTAAGACGCGCTTCATCGTGATCTTAAGTTTCCTAGCTTTGGGAGAATTTTAATATAAAGAGTATAAAAAAAAAGTGAGTTCATAATGGGTGCAACTCTCAATATGATATAATTATAAATATAAATAATTCTAAAAAGAGAAATTAGGTAACACTTATTTACTCTCCATAATTTCTAATCAAATTGTAGCGGTATTACCTAGTAGATAATAATAAAGTGAGACAAATTCTCATATATAAAGATAAGGAATATTCATTATTATAATCTGATTAAGCTGTATAATCTAAAGGCTTTAATAGGTATGAGTCATGACAATAAGTAATAGATCAAGTGCCATATCTTCATCTTTGAATGAAATTTCGCCTAACATTTTAACAATAGTAAATAATACACAAGTATCTGCAAATATTACCAATAATATACAAGATAGAAAACCATTGAAAGATATAACAAACTTAATTCATATATACAGAAAAACTTCTGGTGATATAACAAACTTTGAGACACAAAGTTTTGCTTTCCAAGAAAATATACCATTATAAGTTATACATTATATTAGGATTTAAAATATTCAAAGTCTGTATTGTAATTCACTTACCAAATAGTAATTAAGAATAATGATGAAGATCAAATTTGTAGTAGAAATTTAATATTAGTTGGTTATATTGTTTGATACCTTTGGCTTCTTGTCAAATGTAGCTGGTATAAGAATAAGAAATGCAAGGATACCAAATATAAATAAACAAAAGAAAAGTGCATCCCAACCATATATCTCACTAATATATGCAGTTAATGTTCCTTGTACAACAGCTCCTAAAGATCCAAGTCCGTTTACAAGTCCAGCAGCCATTGTATCCAATGATTTATAAGTAAATCCAGAATTATCAATAGTATCTTGAGCTGCAGTAGATCCAAGAACACTATCTGGACCAGCTATAAAAAATCCCATCAAACCTATCCCAAGTAAGATAAGTATAGTATAATTCCTTTTAGTTATAAAGATAAAGAATAGTAAACTTAAAACCATAAATATTGACATGTAGCAAGCAACCATTATTCTTTTACCTTGGAACATTGCATCTGCTACAATACCTGCTGTAATTGCACCAAATATACCTCCAATATCAAATAACATTGATGAATATCCAGCTATTGAAGGGTCATAATTCATTTCACGTATTAAATAATAAGGTAACCAAAATAACAGTGAATACCTTATTAATTTTATAAAGAAATATGTAATTGCTATATTTACCAAATTAGGAACAAGGAATAAAAAATATATTTTTTGTTTGAATTCATTACTAAATTCTCTATTATTAGTCTTACCCTGTGATATTAAATTCTTTGCTTTAGATGTATTATAATCCATAACACTTGAATTACAAGTTGATCCCGTACTATCTAAATCATCAAGAGAAATTTCCATTAGTTTGTGCATATTTTTCAATTTCATTGGAGAAGATGAGCTCAGATAATTAGAATCTGCAGAATTAATAACTGTCATCTTTTTTTCCATATTATTATTCTTTGACTTTAATAAAGTGTCCATTTTCTTATCTGTACTTATATATACATCTTGATAATCCATATCTATATTATCATCTAATCCTTTTGCTTCACATGAATTATTTCCTTTATCTAATAAAACTATTTCAGGCATTACAATTGAACGTCTAGACAAAGATAAAGAGGATTGTTTAGCACAATTAGATTCATCCGTTTTTATATATCTATCCCTGTTATATTGATAAGGGGGATCCATCAAAGTATTATATATAATTATCCCAAAAATAAAGACAGCACATGCAGGAATATAAAATACAGCTCTCCATCCTAATTTAGTACAAATAGCAGCTGCAAATGCAGTAGAGATCATAGCACCAGCCTGTTGACTTGTTGTCCATAAACCTAAAACTTTTCCTCGCTGGTTATTTGAAAACCATGAAACTAGAAATCTGACTAATAAAGGAAAAACTCCAGCGTGAAATAATCCATTAAAAAACCAACTAGTTAATAAGATAGATGAATTGCTAGTACTTCCAAATATTGTAGAACATACTGCTGAACACATAAATGCTATGCATAATAATTTATGAGCTGGTACAGATTCAAATAAAGTAGGTATGAATAGTTGACCTATTGCATAAGAACCAAGGAATGTTGTATCAATCCATCCTAAAATTGTTGTTGTTAAATTCAAATCTTGTTGAATTTGCATCTTCACAACTGAAAATGGTTTTCTAGTAGAATATAACATCATATATGATAAATAAGCCAAAGTAAAAATGTAAGATTGTTCAGCAGTAATATCTGGAAATAATTTACATTTGAAATGTAAATATTTGTTGATTATATTTCTTACCTTCAACCACTTTGCTTTTTCTCCTATATTACCAGAACAAACCCCCATCATTGGAGTATTTGGTAAATCATCATCTTTTGGTAAATCATGTATGTTCACTTCATCCATGTTACTTATACCTTTCTCTATAGACTGTGATTTATCTTTTTCTCGCCCAAATCCATCAACCAAATCTAAATTTGTATATATCTCTTTCGTTTTTATAGTAATATCTATATTTCTATTGTCATCATTCAATTCAATATCTTCGCTCTCACCATTTCGAATCTTTAGCTCAACTGCCTCCAGATTCAACTTTTTTGTACTGTAACTTTTATCCATATAACTCAGAATAGACTCAAATTCATTAACACGCAAATAACACGTTTGTAAGTACTGATGTAATTGAAGTTAGAAACAAAAATCTAATTTAGAGTCCCCTAACTATGAAAAAGAAAAACCGCAAGACCCTTCAAAACTAATCCCCCTGTTTTTTTTTTTTTAAAAAAATAGAGTCCGGCGCTTTTTCCTCGTAATGAGTATACTATACTACTAGTGAGGGTCTAAAAAATTGATAATTTGAAATTTCTAAAATTTTAAATAATATTATAGAAAACTTAGAAATTCAAAAACATATTGTCTATATTATAGGAAAATTTGTTATTTAAATCTGAGATATTTTTTAATTCCCTTTATTTTACTTTAGTTTTATATAATCAAAGCTTTGCCTTATAAATCTGAAATTGTATCTAAAATACCACTAAGATTTATATTGCTATTATTGTCATTAAACTGAAATGTCCCATTTAACATATAACAAGATTTGAATAGGAATGATGGAACATCACTTAACAGGATCCACTGTGGCTGACTTGTCCCTGCATCTTTAATCAATAAAAGTTTATACTTTTCTCTAAGATGTTTGGCTGTATTTAATTCAGATCCAGAGACATTAAAATGCCATATAGGTAGCCTAGTAGTTTTGACTTCAACTATTGCAATTAATTCAGATTCTAGGCAAATATTTGTAATTGGTGAAATTTGCCTCTTAAAAAGAAGAAAGTCACAAGGTAAATAGCTTTCTTCATATGCATTAAGCCACTGAAGTGCAATAACAGTAGATTCAGATACTTTAAATATACGTTCGCAACATTTTATGTTTTTATTATTTGTTGAATTATGTAAATTACTATTAATATCCATTTCTGAAAAATTAAGATTATTCAAATATAAATTATTTCCATCTAAAGTTTCAGCTGTATCATGACTAGATCTCAGATAAAAATTAATATTATCTAATGAAATATATATATCTGTTTTACTACTACATAAAGAAATTATTGGTAATTTTCTTGATATTACATTTGGTAAGATAAGATCAAATGAAACTTGTTCACCCCAGTAACCTGTTTTAAATGTCATTTCTTCTTCTGATAAAAGGTATTGATTAGTATCTAGGATAAGTGGATTCTGATTCACATATTCCTTTATTAAATGATCAAGTCCAGTAGATGCCAGATTAGGTAAAGAATAGTCGGGATGAAGATTTGATAAAGATGAATTGATTATAGACGATTGAGTAGGATCATCTAGAGTATTCATACCAAATAAATCTATTGAATATTTATAATTCTTATTAATATTATTATCACTATTTACTGTTGTTACATTGTCTATATTATTTGTAGTATTTTTTGTATCGAACTTAGTAGTAGATGTAACAGCCCCTATAGGATTCATTTGTTCAATATGATTTCTGTATTTATTTTGATCAGTAGCATAATGTATATTTAGATCATGATCATTAATACATTTATCTGTTTTTATTATATTTAGATTAGGTTTGCTTGAACTAAATTTACTATTGTGCTGTTTACATTGACAGTGTTTAACAATATACATAAATTTCCAGCCAACATTAAGGATTTGTTGGTATATTAAATAATTTAAATCTCCTTTTTTTGATATATCTAGATTATCTGTAAATCCTTGTATATCTATATATTTATTGAGTATCATACATCTTTGATCATTTGTAAGAATTAGCAGTTCATGTATGTTGATTTGTATAATATTATTAAAATTAACATTTGGGAGTAGACAATCAGTCATAATTTTGCAAATATCATATAATTGATCTGTATTACTAGCATTTGAATTTATAAAAAGTGCAGATACTTTTTTCATTGGTAACTCATAGAATAGAGCTCCTATTGGTATTATTTGCTTGTTAGATGTTTCTAGACTAGTTTCATTATCTTTATTGTGAAATTCAAACATAATACTATCTACAAATATCTCTTTAGTATTCATAAATATCATCAACCATTCTGCTATAACCTGAATATTATCTTGATTTTTTAAGGACTCCAATTTTGAAGATCTTTTGTAACTTTGAAGTGAAGTATATTGTGATTCTAGTTCAAATTCTGATATAGAATACGGGCAAAAGTCAGTTCTATCAAAATGCTCATTTGTATTATTTTCACATAATATATCAACAACTGCTAAATATATATCAAGAGCTCTAGATTGCAGTAATAGTATGAAAGTTCCCCAAAATTCAACAGTGAGCCAATATTTATTTTCATTGTTTATATTATGTGAGTGATTAAATGTACTATTGACGTCTAAATTATTATTATCTAAAACTTTATTAGCAAATTTTATTGTTGGTAAGTGCAATTCATCTTCAACATTGGTAGTATTCTTATTTAATTCTAATTTTCTAAGGCTGGTATCAGCTTTTGGTATTTGTAGATATTCCATATGATCACCATAAATATCTTTAATATCACTAACTGGTTTTCCTATTTTACAATAAATATTATATGCTTGAGAAAGATATTTGACATTTAGAATATCTTTTAAGAATTTCTCAACTTCTATAGTTGGTGTAAGTGCTATCGGTATATTAAAAGATCCTAGATTATTTCCAATTTGTACATCAGCAATAAAACACTTATTTGAATCTACAAATTTAAGAGAATCCCTAGTCAGTATTTTAGTATTTTTACAAAATTCTGTCCACCAATGGTAGGATCTAATATTTTTGTCAGAAATTAGAATACTTAGTTTTTTAACTGCAACTGTAAGAAAGGCTTTGAGCTTTCCCAATAAATTTTTATTATTATTCTTGACCATATTTGGACATTCCTGTTGCCATAAAAGTGCATAATGTTGAGCAAGTGGTTCTTCAGATATAAGTGAAAGAAAGAATGTTCTTACATGTTTTATTTTATCCTTTCTAATTAACCTGCTTACAATAATAAAATGACCATGAAAAAATTCGTATGGATCACTCCAAATCATTTTATCAAAATCTAGATGAACCCATTTATTAATTGAAGATTCCATTAAAGGTAAATATATCAAAGATTCACGAAAAAATGGCCTCTTCATATCATTAGATATATCAAAGTCTGGTTGAATTCCAATCTGATGGTATAGATTACATATTACATCAATTATGGATTCTTCATTATTATCTTTATTTATATCTCTAGAAATTGATTCCTTATTATTCCATAACCTATTTAGTGACTTCCACCAATCTGAAATTATAAGACTCTGTATATCTATACCAAACCCTTTTGAGGCCACTTTAGCAGCATATTCAATTGAATCTTCTGAAATTGATACATAATCTAGAACTATTTCACTCTCTACTTCTCTTTCAGTTTCATTATATTTACTAATTCTTCTTAAAATATTAATTAGTGAGTATGTGCTCAGTTGAGTTGTAACCCCAATATTTTCTAATGTTTGACCTATCAATTGTAACTCACTTCCAAGATCTTCTATAGTCCTATCTGTTAAGCTACGAGTAGAATAAGTTTCACGGTGCTCACTAGGTACTGCAAATTTGTATGCATTCCTTAAATTAACTGGCAAAGCAAGAAATACCGTTTCAGAAACATAGGGAACTAATCCATTAAGCTGTTTTTCTAATTTTGGGCTGTATAAACTCGATGGGGAACATAATATACATCTACTACAACAAGAGACAATATTTTTTGAAGTAGCTGAGTATATATTATGCCTTTTTGTATTAAATGGTGAAGGTATCCAAGGCATATTGGGTAGAATTTCAGTCAAAAACTCAGATGTATATGAGCGTCTTGAGTACTCATTAGCTATTTGAATAAGTGCACCAGCTCTCATTATATTTAATAAGTGGTTACATAATGAACAGCCTTTTTGATCATTTTGATTATTGGATTTCATCCAGCTTAAAGGTGTTGCATCAGTCTTAGGGGGTAATCTATCAAAATTACATCCCATGTACCATTGTTCTAGCAAATTAAAAAATCTATTGATGAATCCACGAAATAAAGAACCTCCAATTTCTTTCGAGTATTTATTAGATGATGGATCATATACCATATAATTGCTGGATAATTCTACAAAGTGAAATCTATCAGATACCTTAGGAAATACCCACTCAACAAGAGGAGGCCATAATGGTGGTATGATTGTCAATCCTTTGTATTCAAACTTAAATGTATTTTTTAAAGTAGAATTCTGTTGAGATTGTGAATTTGTAGTCTTAGAGAAGCTAGGATTGTATTTTACTGGAGGCTTAATTTTCTTAGATCTTTCCCAATTGGAATATAGAGTCATTAACATAGTAATAGATCTACTTACCTCAGTCATTCGTATAGCAACAGTAACTGGGGGGATATATCTTTTATCCGTTTCGTATTCAGAATGAAATATTTCAACTTTATTATTTACTTCATACTTTTTGAAATTACATACACATGTAGGAAATGGAATGGAACATTTAGCCCACTCATCACTCAAAGCTAGTTCTTTCTCATTAGCATACCTTTTTGGAGGGTACATATCATAAAAAATACTCTTTAAAAATGAAGGTGAATATGTTTGTACTACCACTGGAAGTTTCATAAGCATCCTATCTTCCGTTAGCTCAGTCCAAGGAATATCTTCAACAATTAAAGGAGTTATCATTAATAGTATTGAGTGTAATTGAGAATCTAGTGCATTTTCCCACCCAAGTTCTAAATATTTATTTGTTGAAACTGCAACCCATCTAAAAAAGTGTGGAAGATCTATATGTTCAATACCTAGTATATTAATCATAAAATCAAAGACATCTTCTGGTGCGGATTGGCATACTTCTTTATTTACAAACTTAATTATTCCCAATTTATTTATAATTTCACTAAATCTCTCAAATTCATATTGTTCCCAATAAGCTTGAAATTCCATGTTTGGTATACAAATATGTGGCTGGAAAATGGGATACATTGAATATGGAGAATTAATATTAGATTTATTTGCTTGAGAGCTATATTTAGATACAGATAAATGAAGAGATGAAACATTAAGTTTATTATTAGAAACTCTATCTCGATTATCATTTAATTCCTTTGAATTTGTAATTAAACCAGGTATTCTACTTCCATCTTCAAGAGGTATAATCGGTAGTTTTAATATTTTATTTAGTATATATTGATCTTCATTATTACGAGTCAACTGTGAGATATAGATATACAAAATAACTAATAATGCATCTGGTAGGACATTTATAAAATTATGAATTCTTGTATTAACTCTATTCATTAAAGTAGCGAAATTAATCTTTTCAATTCCATAAGAGTCGAAGATTTTGGATATTGTAGGAAATAAAGAAATAACTGGCTTTAAATTTATAAGTGGATTGTTTACACAAGTGCGAAATATCGATATCTGTGGATGTAAAACTGATTTAATTGTATTGTTGAAGTATTTAAGAAATTCCAAGTGTAATTTACAAAGTTTGCAATAAAATAAAGTAGATACTGATGGTAGGGATAGATTCTCTGTAAATTCACTGCTTAGACTACCAGTTCCCATTTCAATATTTTTTGAGTAATTAGAATTGTGATCTTTTAAAATTTTACATATATATGGAGGTGTCAATGGTAGCATCAAATCACTAGGAGAAAAATAAGTTAAGTCTATACTTACTAAAAATGGCATAACGAGTAACGAGTTTATACATAAAGTTTGCAACTTATTATTGAATTCATCAGATTCTTCACACCTCGTTGGAAACCAAGTATACTTTATTATATCTGCTAAATTTAATATAGTAATTTCATAAGAATAAAGTTTGTTTATAGACTCTTTGGAGCTAACAGGATTATTATTATTATTACATTTATCTTTTTCACAAGTACCAATATTGTCTTTTAAAAGTAAAAAATCAAGAAAATTCCTAACAAATTTGTCAAAACTCTGATATATACATAATGAATTTATTATAATATTACTGTTAAATTGCTTATTAACTAGAGATGTTAATATATCCGGTATTTGATTCTCAAATATCAAGCTTATAAGCCAATCATTCCATTGATTATTCATAAGTAATTCCTCTCTATTTGCAGTTAATAGTAGATCTTGAATATCTACATGAAAAGGGAATACAAAGCTTGTCTTTAGTGGTAATGTACAAAAAATCTTTCCTTGTTTATATTTAGATTTAGGTAGACCAGCAGAACCTAATGAACATGACATTTCTCCAGAATATTTGAGTATTTGATTCTTTAAATAGTACCATGAATTAAAACCATAACCTAAAAAAGATATAGATGAAGATTCCAAGTCACTTTCTGATTGCCTATTTACTAAATCTAAATTATCTACTTTTTTATGAGAAGAACTTTCTAAATCATTTTTTAAATATTCTTCAGTGTAAGTACAGCTAAATATTGGAAAAGCAATAGACCAACGTGTAAAGAATCTTTCTTGTCTACCTCGCAATATATAATTTTCAGAAAACCTTTGTGGTATAGAAATCTTAAAACTCAGAATCATAAAGAATGAAGAAGTGACATGTTCACGTAGTTTATATTCCTTATCTTGATTTAGATCATCTTCATCAAATTGCCTCATTTGAATATGAACAAATCTGTAATCTGAAATATGTGGAGGTAAAGATGCAGATATAACTGATACCATGAATGAATGTAATTCACTATCTATCTCCTTTCTATTAAAATCTAATGACTCAGAATCATGTGAAATATTACTTTCTTTAAATTCTTTATTTAAAATATGTGAAGATAAGTGTCTTCTTAATAGTGGAAATTCAGATATCTGACTATAATTCATATAATGAGTGTAATTACGTGGCTCCACATCTATCACAATATTCAAGATTCTCCTAAGAAATAGAAGAATATCTGGGACAAAAATATCATGAATTGCTGATAATATTGATGGAAACTTCGATTTAGTATCATTATTTGTAAATGGTAAGTAGTGTAATGTTCCATTATATTTCTGATACAAATCTCCGTTAAAAACTTCCCTTTTTTTATCATTTTCACAAACTATCTCCTGTTCTTTATATTTAAATTTCCACCCCAAACGCTTTTTATCAATATTAGAATTTTTTGTTTCTTCTCTCTCTAAATTTGTAATGTTATCTTCTTTTTCTTTACTCCATGGTACTCCATACCTTGAAATATTCTTAAATATTACGGATACAACTTCAGGTACTTTATTGTGATCTTCCCACTTTGGTACAATGTATCCAAGTCCTACATCCTTATCTGGCTCATTTGAGAAGCTTATAGAATAGTAACCACTATAAATACTAGGATTATTAGATATTTGAAACACAGAACGATATCCAATTCCTTTCTCACCAGTGTAAAACCGAACTGAAGAATTTTTTTTAGATGAATTACCTATGTCACATATAGATTCAATATTTTCAGGTGTCATCCCTAATTCATTAATATGTACAATCAAGCAATCCCATCTAAGTAAGATATATACTGTAGGTATAGAATCTTTATCATAGCACTCAGAAAAATTAGAGTCATCTGCATTTTGTAGAAGTTCTAATAAGGCTCTACCAAGAGATGAGTATAATTCAGTTGTTAATATACTAATTGATCTTTCAAGTCGCTCCCTTAAAGAAAAATTAGATATAGATAAATTTTGACGAATGTCCTTAATATGAGACTTTGCATTGTTCATCCCTAATTTATTAATTTTAAATATTTCAGTGTTTCATATTAACTTCTAATCAATATGAAATTAGAAATAAGCCTTTAAATTTTTGGAGCCAATTGTATTTAAAAGTTATTATCCTTATTTAATAATTATCCAATAATATTGAATTGAGGGGCACCAAACTTTAGGAATACCAGACTGTATTGGAGACTTCAAATATAATATAATTACTAATATTACTATAGTTGAATGATGACAAGATTACTAAATTATAAGGTTTAAATATTATTGTAAATAGTTAAACTATAATACTAATAATTAAATTTCATAATTTTAGCTTTAGAAAAAATAAACTTAATAACCTTTACACATAAGTATATTTCTTAAAAATCTATTTATTATTATAATCTATTTAAATAGGAATATCAGATATCTAGTAAAATACTTTGCATACTTACACAATGTTCTTCCAATAATTTAGTACAATTTCTAGTATTCAATCATCTAGATTTAGGCTATATATATTGATATTTTTTGTTCTGAAACTCTAGCAGTATATATTTACAAAAAAAAGTCATAATGTAGATATTTCTAAGAATAATTAACGTGCATTTATATTACTAAATAAATATCCAATTTTGTATCTTTACCTATCAATTACAGATTATACTTAACATTTTAATGAACATGTATATGTATATAAAACTCAACTTATTTTAACAATTACCTAATAGTACTAATTCTATAAAGTAATATACCTAATAGCTATATATGGCAGAGTTGTCATCTTAAGTTTATATATTTACTAGCCTTTAATTATAAAAGTTCCATATTAGAATAAGGAGAATAAAATTTTCGTATTTATCTGTATTTATTAAAGATAAACTTGTTTAAAATTAAAAATAAGTTTATTTTCAAACTTAAATCGTGGAAATTTTAAATATATCTTATTTATATAATGTGTAAACAACCAAATTTAGAATAAAAGTTACCTACACAAGTCAAAGTTATATTGAAGATCAATTTTTAAAAATTGTCAAGTTGAATTAGTATATAAATAGGTTATTTTACTTAAGCCACTAAATACATTATGCTGATGAATATATAAATTGTAGACATAACACATTAGTGTATAATTGTATTAAATATCATCAATGATTTATCTATTAATAAGCTAACATTAGTTATTTATAAATATAAATATACCTGATATTGCAGTATCTTACATATTTGAGAAACTAGATACATTAATTTTACATATTTATCTATAAAATTAGAATCTCGACAATTATACTCTTTATTTAGTAGTATTATCTAAGTAATTGAGTTGTAGGACGTATAATCTTAATATATATATACTTAAATAATTTTTCTTAGAGAATTATTCTAATATATTACGCAAAAAAAAATTTTCATATTTATCCATACTAAATAGTAATAACATAAAGTATCTAACATGTATATAGTTTGAGTTTATACAGCTAAAATATTAACTTTGTATTTATAATTTAAATAGATCCAAAAATTTACCTTTGAGTGTACAAAATATAGATTATAATAAATCATTTCATAAAAATTAGTATTTACTGAACTGTTATCCAAAATTTATTGTCTTAGTTTTTAATGAATTAATATCAACCAATACTAAAGTGGCAATTTCGCTGAATTTAGGTATTGTGATGCATAAAGGACCATTAGGAAATCTAAATGATTGAAATTTAGATTGATTCCCCGCAAATATTAAATGGGGGAATTGATCATCTGGATAATCCAATGATAATACATCGTCATCAAATAGAGGATAACAAGGTAATGTGTCAGGAGCTGTTGGAGCAAGACTTCTACTTTCAACACAATATTTGAGAGCATCTATTGGTTCTTTATAGCTTGAATAAGCCATTACATCATCAATACTATGTCCTGATACACCTATAATGCGCACATCATTTATTGAAAATGAGTATGGATTAGTTGTTGGTCTAAATGTATCATAATCCTTTGAGTTAGGAAATAATGAGGGATGCATTTGTGGTTGAGGCATTGATATAGGTACAGGATCCTGTGGACCGGACATTAGATCTACATTTATGACTGAAGCTAATTGAGCTAGATATGTATCAACTTCACATATTTGGTAATTTAGAGAGTCTTTATCAACTACTAATTTTGAACCTGTGTTTGTCTGTATCTCTTTTGCTGTATCAAGCAAAGACATTGTATTACCAGCAATAATTAGACGTACTATTCTTGAAGCTATATCTTTATTAATATCCATAGATTCTGCTTTTATAAATTGCCCAGTAATAAAATCACGTAATAGTTGCAGTGGTAAAGGATCAGTTCGCGGATCACCAATATTCAAACCAGATACGAATCCAATGTATATTGGTAGTAATTCACTTGGATTACTATCGGGAAAATCACAAGGGACTTGTAAAATAGGGACTTCAGGTAGACAATAATCATTTACTATAAATATCCCACTATCGGTCTGAACTCCCTTAACTGCAATCATTGTCCCAGATACATACTTTGATGAATCTAATATATTATTTGGAGACGACAAGCATATACGTGAAGAGGTATCTTCAATATATAACTTGTCAGTACTACTACAGAAGTTAGTAATTTTATTTTCATTAGTTTCTACATCAATATCTTGCAAATATTCATCAAGTACTGTAGGGCGAAGTTTCATCTCTTTATATATCAAACCTATAATAATACACTCTACATCAGATTCAAGCTCTTTTAATGATAAAAGTAGAGGTATCTTATTTTCTTTAATATCCTCTGTACTACTTTTTCGTTCCATAATATCTTTATTCTCCTCTATGTTCTCATTATAATCAATAAAGTATATAGTTGATATATTGTCTGAAGTTCTAATTTCACTAACAGCTACATGTCTCCATTTCCTTAAAGATGCCTTTACTAATAATGGTTTTAATTTAACAAACTTTACAAAACAAGTATGGCAGTATTGGTGTCCAAAGTTGTATTTTATGCATCTAAAACGATCACACCCATCAGTATATGATACATTTGGACGAATATTAAAGTTACAATTTTGCATATTTATAATATATAAATTGTCAAATGGCTGGCTTAATGTGTGAAATTTACCCCATATAATCGGTATATTAAAATATCAATTAACTGCCACGTATATTCACCCGCTATTTAAGTGTCAAAGGTACTACTAAAAGTGAACAGATATTTGAAAGAATTTTCAAAATTATTTACCAGTACCAAATATTAATTGATACCACCTCTGCTTAATAGGCGACCAAAATGCTATCATTTCTGATGTTATATAGAGATTTAGAATATTTCTACACTGTAAATTAGGCCCTTGAGATTTGTTATATATTTGATGTTTCGCTTTGGCTTTTAATTTTTTTCCTTTAGCCTTTATCCTACTTTTCTTACTAATATGAAGATCAATTCCATCATCATATTCATCTTCAAACTCATCAGAATAATCTTCCTCATCATCGGATGCATAGCCAAATACGTCATCCTCAATAAAACATCCAAAAAGCTTCTTTTGGTAAAATAAATCCCACACTACTAAGTAATTCCCAATATCAAGTGTAGCGATTCTACGGTTCCCATCAAAACTCAAAGAATATATCTCATGATTATGACCTTTAAATTGGCATAAATCAATTACATAACATTCAATAGAAGTATTATTTTCATTATATATCCAATATGCACGCCTTAGTAATAAATCCCTTCCAAGAGTAACACAAAATGTTGCTGTATGACTACTCTTATCTTCGTAAAGAACTTTTGCTAATTTTGGAACAAGGCTATAGCTGTTTGTTATTTCATTTAGTGGATTTACTGAGTTTGAGAAACTAGATGTAGATAAGTAACACAATTCACTATGATCAAAACTTGGATTATGAGAAGAGTTAACATTATTAGTTCCAGAATTATTCATATTTATATTATCTCTATTAAATAAATCATGATATAATTTGATATTTACAGTGAAATAAGTAGTAAAACATCTTGGATAAGCTGACCATATAAAAAATATACCAACACTTGGTGCCATGCAACAACCTAAAGTTCGCATATCATTAGATAAAATTGTTTTTATATATTCACACAACATAAAATTTGAGGAATTAGTTATTATTGAAATAAAATTTAGCTTAGAACCATAATTTGATAGACAAGATGCTATCCACACTTTCAATTTACTTTCTCCTTGTATAGACTTTGCAAATAATTGTATTGATGATTTTGATAGATCCCTCTGTTCATTAATATTATATTGAGTTACATTACAAGAAGATAATTTGTGTTTACTATCTAATGGAAGGGATATTAGATATACTCCTCCATAGTTAGTAACTACTCCAAAGAATATTGCATTATTCCATTCTAAACTATCTACTGCTATTATTTCTCCATGATCACCAATACTAAAACTTGTAGATATTTTTATTGTACCATCTTCAATTAGTGAATTATTAAATTGCCATAATTTTAATAAGTAAGATCTTTCAATAAAATTTGGTGAATCAGATCTAAGTAAAAAGTTGTTACTGGCATTATGGGAATTGGAAGATTTATTTTCATGAACTTTACATCTTTCACTATCTATATCTCTTCCAATAACTAAAATATATTGAATTTCACTTTTTTTAGAGCATCTGCACCAACTAATAACATTCACTTTTGAAAATCCAATACTCTTATATTCCAATCTTACTGTAGAATTTGAATTACTAGTATAAAAAGATTCAATAGGATATTCTATATTATACATTAAACCTTTGATTATATGAATTGTTGGGATTGAAAATGAGCAACCTCGAGGTATCAGATTTTGAATATTTTGCCAAACATTATCCTTTGTAAATATACTACCTGATTCTTTTGTAGAAGTACCAAATCTTTGTGTAGAATCCAAAACTGGATAGTTCCAAATATGAATAGGTATCTTATTTTTCCAACGAAATATTTCCAATGCTCTTTCTATAAACATTTCCCTATCACAAAATCCATCTTCTATAATTCCTCTCTTTATACCAAAATATGTCCAGACCGTCTTTAGGCCGGAGCAACTATGCAGTAGATTCTGACAAGTTTCTTGACATCTTAAGAAAGATTTAAATCCAGAGTATGCAAATATATGACCTAAAATGTCTGAAGGAATGTTAGAGAAATTTATCTCTTTATTAATCATCTTGCAAAAAAAAAGCAAGAAATCCAAATCAAATATTGCCTATATATAAAAAAATATCAAGTATTAAATGCCATTTGTAATTATCATATAATTCTACAATTCTTCAACTTTCTCATTTGTACTAAAACCATAAAATAGTAACGTCAAGCTTTGTAGCAAGTCATTAACAAAATTACGCGGGTAAAACAAAAAAATTATTGCATTTTTTGACCGCCTAAAAATGTATATTTTATAGAACTTGAGTAATAAAATTGGGCTATACAGGATATTTAATGATGATCTCGGATAACTACTATGGAATAGAAGGTTTGTTCTTTACTAATATGAAATAGTTCATAAATCTATCTAAATTCCAATTTGTTTTAATCCAGATGATGATGAGGATATAGATTATGATTATATTGAACATACAAATAATAATTGGCAAAATGAACTCATTGGAATATATCCACTCTCATCTGTACTGAGCTCATATGAAAACTTATTGATGGTAAGTTTATCTTTCAATATGAAAGTGACATGCCACTTATTAAATATATATCTTACACTTTTATTATACATGCACAGAATTGGATTAATGAGAGTGTTTCTCCAGAACTTCTAGACTATGATGAGAGCTCAGTGAAAGTTTTAAGTTATATAATTCATTATGGGAGAAGAAATCAGCTATTTTGCGCAAAAGAACGTACTCATAACGCTTCGAATAAGATTGAATATGATCTTAGTGAACTATATTTATATAGATCTTCATACCTAATTAAAATGTATCTTAGACAAAGATTACTCAAAATCTCTCAATATCCTGACTACTGCATTAAAAATAGTAAATTACAAACTGACGAAGATAACAATGGGAATTATAATTTAACAAAAGAAGAAGCTAAATTTGCTTTAAAACTATCACAGCTACAATGGCAACACTATAACTCAGTTTTATCTCCAATACATAGTATATTTACTAATGATCAATCTATTTCAATTCCTAGCCCATTTCTTCATAGAATTATACGTTTTCAATGTAAAAAGACATTAGGAAGAGTCCAGCTATCTTCACAATTGGATGATAGAATAGAAATAGACCTAGCACTTACTAATCAAGATGAACATAGTAATGATATGCCAGATATAGTGGATATAAGTGAAGGACATATATATACATGTAGATATACTCAAGCTAAACCTCTCCTTTCTACTAATTCCATACAACTTTGGCCATGGCCACCTATTACTTAATAGAAGAAAAAGGAAAAAAAGAGATTAACTAGATTTATTTATATTAATACTGCACTATGGTATATATGTTTACATGTACAATAGTAATATTATTATTATATAAGCCCCTTATATAATTTAGAACTTTCCTATTTTAGAATGATAAAAAATTAGGGGAGGGGGGGGGGGGGGAAAAGTACGCGCGCCCCACGAGATTTTGTAGTGTGTTTTTATAAGTATAGAAAGCAGAGAAACCCTAAACTCTTAAATTACTTTATAGTTAAATAAATAGGAGATTTGTTTATTTAGGTTAATTTTGAAGTTGGATATTGTGATTTGAATATATATAATTAGTTCTAATTATGTTTAAAGAAGCAACAACTACTTCTGGGGTAGACCCTTCTGTTGTATATTCTAATACAAATTCAACTAGCCTGAATAATATTAATGTATCAATGCAATCTGACAGTACCCGTTTAAATAGTAAATCTTTGACTACAGCAACTACTAGTAATGAATACAATCCTGCAATGCAACAGTTTGTTACAACCTGGCAAGGATTACGTACAAAGATACAGAATGTTACTAAAAGAAAATTAAGATCTTGGGATACTGATTTCTTTATGCTGTCATCTTTTCAAAAAGTATCTCAACCAAAAGAAATTGCTGATAGGATGGAGAAGAATATCCGTTACTTTTTTCTGAATTATATCATTATAATTATTGGGATGACATTATTGGCATTAATTCTTAATCCTATATCTCTAATAATAATAGTCCTTGCAATATTTGCATTAGCTTTTGTATCATCACGACCTACAAACACAATAACATTGCCAGGTGGAAATTCTATTACTAAAATTATAGCACTATATATTATTGGGGGAATTACAACATTTGGTATTATACTCTTTTCTGGAGCTTTATTATTTAGTACACTCGCTATATCAATTATTATAGTATGTATCCATGCTGCTAGTCATATTGGTAAAAATAATTATGACCAAGTAAATTTAGATAGTGAAGTATAAGAATATTATCACAGTACTATGGAAAAATTCAATACATCTTTTTTTTTTTTTTTTACAAGATTAATATTTAAATATTTGAAATATAAATATTAATTTAATATTATCCATATAGAAATTAATAAATATTAATTTGAACTGATAATTATTGATACTTCAAATAAATCAAAGTGTTGTAATTTATCATAAATATTTTGATTATATTTTAAGGATATATATTCCTTTTTTTTTTTTAATTACAAATAAATTTATATAGACCTGAAGTAGACATAGTAATGAAGATGTAAATACAAATTTTTGAGAGTTTTATTTGATATATTTTATATGAAGTATTTATGCTAAATCCACTTTATAAGAATATGAACTAAATGTTTGTATTTATAAAGATATACTATGTAAGTAATTTTACACTTTAAATATTTAATCAATGATGTTTTCTAAAGATGAAATTTGAGCTTAATTTTATTAGTAATTAATGCAATTTTTATTAAAAAAAAATATAATATTAATTATTTTAAAATAAAGATCTGTATTTATGTAAAAGCATATACATATATATATATATATATATATATATATTAAACTATGCTAAGTACTAAGTATCTAGATTTAACTTTATTAAACAACCCAATATAATAAAATTACTTTCAATTTAATAAATATCTCAATAAAGTATTAAGATATTATTAGATTAAGGATGAAACATAAATAATACTATTAGATCTTAAATAATATCACCGAATCAAATATTAATTAATTATCTCGAAGTATTTTAATATTTGTATAAATCCTTTTTTAGTTAATATATTAATATTAAAACCATTTATCTCAATTAATTTATAACTGGAACTTACAATATTAAGATCAATTTTGATACCTAGATCAAAAATATGTTTTAAAATATTAATTTGAGACTAATAAATAGAGTTGCAAATAAATATTAAAATAATAAAAAGGAAACATATATATAATGTGTTCCTGTTCACCTGTTAATTAAAATACTCATTAAAATCAAATTTTTTGTTTATAATCATCCATTTAAGTAATTCCCTCGGAAATATAACATAGATTAAATATTAATATATTTTTATATATGAAATTATTTATATATCCCAATTTACTTTTTAATAATAATAATAAATGTATCAAATAATCTAAAAATTAGATCTTTCAAGATTTCATGCTCCTTAAAATTTTTCTTCTATTATACTACTATAAATAGCTATATTTACTACTTCGTATATATATCTTGATTCAAATTATTTTATAATCTCTCTCTTACTCTCTTAGCAACTATTTTTAAGTGGTTATACACCTTACCTGGGGGAGTACCAAGAATTAAACTACATAGTGCATCTCTTGCTAGTTTGATATTTTGATATGCCCCCATAATATGTAATTTCTGATCTGCCAATACAATACGTGTTCTGGTTGAATTTTCAATGGCATATTTTGTTTTACCATCTTTACCTGATATACGACCAATACATCTTGATAGATGAGCACCATTAAGCCTTTTTACATCCTTAATATCAAAACTTTCAACATATAAATCATCAATACGTAGTAAAGCTATTGCATCCTGTAAATCAAATCCTAATAGAAATGCTTTGATAAAGTCAGCACCTTTCTGTAAGGCCCCTATATCAGTACAATCTGGACCATATTTCAATTCTACACATTGTCTTTTTATATTCATTCTTACATGTAGTCCCATATATTCTACTAATGGACGAATAATATCAATCCATTTATTTTTTAGTGGAGTCATCCTATTTGCAGGTACTAGAATACGCCGTATTTCATTACTCCTATCTATATTCTCAGTATTTAAAGGGGAGAAAAAAGCCATCTTACTATCTTGTTTAGAATCTGTCATTACATTCAACTTTACACTTTCTCCATCCATTATTTATAAAAATTTATTTTATTAATTATAAATTTGTTTATAACTTGTTAGATGTTTGTTAAAAACAGACAACTTTACATCAGAAGTTCTCTTTAATGACCATATTAGTAACCTAAGGTCCCGGTACGTCAACAATATAGCGGGTATTTATAATTTTTTTCAGCGCTTCATGTAAGAATTATCCTTTTAAGACTAAAAGTAGGTAAAACCTTCATATTAGGTAGTTATTAAATAAGATGAATAAAGATTATTAACCTTATTAGGAGTTCTAAGGCTTTTGTCATAAAAAATAATCAATTTTTATACTATAAATACTTAATCAAATAGGCTTTAAAGCCCCCAAGCTACTAATTCAAAAGCTAGAAGTTACTTTCAATGAAATAAGGATTGTAAAGTATGAATTCTGTTAGTCGTATAACTTACCCTGATTATGATGTAATTAAGATAACTCCTATAGAGAAGAAGTGTGAGTTACATGAAGAGTTTTGCGCAATGCTTGATAAGAATGAAGGTGATATAATTAAATTTTTGCAAACTCTAAACTGTGAAGGTTACTCCTATTATGATCCGACTAAACGTAAGAAGATCGTAAATCAATATATAAACCTTCAGATATATTTGAATAGAAGTACATATTCAAAAGTTGAAGTCTGGTGCTCAATCAGTCAATGTGAAATAGCCAAAAATATATTTGCACGATTTCCCACAAACCTCATGAGTAATGATATATTTAATAGTAAATTAGATGGGTTGTATAGTAAGAGACACTTTTATGCAGTGAAATCATATTGCAAGGCTTATTTAGCACGTCGTAATATTGTCTTTCAGTCTTGTGGAGTAATCAAAACTCAATTACATTGTGCTTTAAATGAGATTAGGATACTTCAAAATATATCAAAATATGATCCAACAAACTCATATATTATAAAACTTCATGAAGTTTTAGATTCATACCCTCAATCAAAAGTACATGGAAAACTTTATTTGGTTTTAGATTTTTGTCCTTTAGGTTCTTCTATGCGTCTAACAATTCCACCAAGAAATCATCCATGGAATAGCTTTGATTGTATTGACACAATAACTCCAAGAAATTCAACTCATATGTTATTATCTTCTTATAATGATGAAGAAACTGAAGATTCAAAACTAGTATATGTTTCACCACTACGCTCAGGACTAAGTGAAAATGTAGTTAAAAAATTTACTATGTGTGCTGCAATTGCTATAGTTAAATTACATGAATTAGATATTGTTCATCGTGATATTAAGCCTGACAACTTTTTGATTACAAGTGATGGTAATGTTGTGCTGGCAGACTTTAATTCTGCAGAAGATATATCGAAAACAAATGGCTTAATTTTACAAACAAGTGGTACATATGCTTTTTTCCCTCCAGAATGTTGTGATATTAATAACAAAAGATTTCAATTTGATGAAATACAAGGTAAACCAACAGATATGTGGGCTTTAGGAGTAACAATATGGTGCTGGTTATATGGCACATTACCATTTCAAGGTTCAAGTATCCTCGAATTATTTGATGAAATCGTAAAATGTCAATATACCTTTCCAGATTATCCTAAACTATCATCCCAGGGTTATTCTACAATTAACCATTTATTAGATCCTGATCCAAAAACAAGATGGACTGCAAAACAATTATTACAATCAGACTGGTTAAATGGGTCTAAATATTGTCAATAGAAAGAATATTGATAATTGAAATATATTGTATTAATTGGCATAGACCTTTATATTATTAATGATATGCGAACTTAGATTTATTACATCACACTTTGAGTAATTTCCATATGAACTTTAATTTATACTTAAAATAACAAATTTAAATTAGAAATAATTAGTTTCTAATCTTCAATACCGTAATATATTATTAATTTTCTGTTTGTAATATCCTAGACTCATTCTATATATTGGATACATGCACCTAGTAGGTGATCCACTTGATAAATATTATGGATATATCTCGTGTTTGAGTAGTCATTCTCAAAAGTAGTAAATTTGTGATATTTTAAGTTAATCTAAAGTTAGTAAGATCTAGTATATCTATGATTATGTCTGTAATGTAACATTTCAGCTATCAAATGTGTTAATACAAGTATTTAATACATTTTCAATATTATTTTTAGCCTAGCTAGTTTGTTGTTGAATATATCTATCTCTTGGATAATATTTTTGTAACAAATCAGATTTTATTTTTTTCAGCATATCCTCTGGGAATATCCTGAGTAATTCCCATGCAAGATCTAAACTCTCAAATATATCACGCTTTTCATATGGTCCTTGAGATAAGAATTTGGACTCAAATTTATTTGTAAATTCTAGATATAGTAGATCATCAGATGATAATGCCTCCTCGCCAACAACTGCCATCATGGCTCTTATATCCTGTCCGATAGCATAATTTGCATATAGCTGATCTGAAACTGATGGATGATCTTCTCTAGTTAAACCAACGCCAATACCAGATTTCATTAGACGAGATAATGAAGGTAAAACATTTATTGGTGGATATATTTGTCTGTTGTATAGTGCCCGATCAACAAATATCTGTCCTTCTGTGATATACCCTGTAAGATCTGGAATAGGATGTGTAATATCATCATTTGGCATAGTTAGTATAGGAAACTGGGTGATAGAACCATTCCTCCCTTCAATACGTCCCGCACGTTCATAGATTGTTGATAAATCAGTGTACATATATCCAGGATATCCACGACGGCCTGGTACTTCCTCTCTAGCAGCGGACACTTCACGAAGAGCATCTGCGTAAGAGCTCATATCTGTCATAACAACAAATACATGTAAATCTTTTTCATATGCCAAGTATTCAGCAGTTGTAAGGGCAAGTTTAGGAGTAAGAATTCTCTCAATTGTAGGATCATTTGCTAAATTGAGAAACAAGCAAACACGCTCCATAGAACCATTTTCTTCAAAGTCACGACGAAAAAATCTAGCAGTTTCCATATTAACACCCATTGCTGCAAATACTACTGCAAAGTTATCATCAGAATGATCCATTACATCTTTCCCAGATACCAATGATGCTTGTCTACAAATTTGAGCACCAATCTCATTATGTGGTAGTCCAGCTGCTGAAAATAAGGGGATTTTCTGGCCACGAACTACTGAATTCATCACATCAATAGCTGAAATTCCAGTTTGAATCATCTCTCTTGGATGAACACGGCAGTATGGATTAATTGGACTTCCATTAATATCAATATAGTCCTCTGCAAATATTGCTGGACCGTGATCAATTGGCTTACCACTACCATTAAAAGCACGTCCAAGCATATCCTCAGTTATTGGCATCCTTAGAACATCACCACTAAATTCTACACGACATGACCTATTGTCTATTCCCGTTGTTCCCTCGAAAACCTGTACAATGGCTCTACTTCCTCTTACCTCTAATACTTGTCCTTCACGAACAGACCCATCTCCAAGTGTTATACGTACAATTTCATTGTATCTTGGGAACTTAACATTATCAAGAATAACTAGTGGGCCTTGAACACCCGTTACAGTGCGATATTCCACTCTTGGTACAACATAATAATCTCTTGTTGCAGCTGCAACATTAACTTCGTAAGCCTTACTTGACGTTACCATTATCCTTTGAAAAAAAAAAAGATCTATCTACTATAAAGAAGAATCCTTCCTTATCTTCCTTAGTATTTAATTTTTAAAATATATGGAGGTCAAAAAAAAATAGAGGAAGGAAAAGATTGATTCCCTCCAAAAATAGCCCAAGAAAAAAGGAACTCAACAGAAATTATTGCACATTGTCAATAGGCCGATCAACTACTGCTGTAAACTAACCCATTAAATTTAGAGGCAACAAATATAAAATCGTAAGATGCTGTATACATCTATGTCTCCAGAGCGGTTATTTATACTTGTGTGTAATTTGGGCGGTTAGTGTGTGTCATATACCTTACTAATCTATAAAGACGAAGTTTTAGCGCCTGATTAATTCTAGGCAACGGTAACTTGATCTTTCCTTACCTTTTGCTATTCCCAAATTATTCATTTTTTTAATTAATGCCACCAAGATTTAGAGGTCAAACAATTCAATTACGTGCTTTACAACGTTTGGCATATGAGAGTGGTGAAAATAATGACAATGTTCTTCCATCCCAAAGCCTTGGGTTAGATAGACCAGATTCTCAATTTAAGGAATACCAAAGTAGAAATTTGAAAGGGAAGTACAGTGACGAAGAGAGAAGGAGAAAAGAAGATGCAGTGGATATGAGTCGGCGTAGAGGAGGAGATGAGGAAGGACGAAAACATAAGACAAATGTAAATATGGATGAATTTATTACAAATACAAACTGGCGCTCCAATACTGGAGAACATTCAGAAAAGACCTCTAATCAAAGTGACTTCAAAAAAGAAGATGAAATATCAAGAATACCATGGAGAAGTTCAGGTATTAAGACTAACGAAGTTTCAACCAACTGGAGAGATGCACAATTATCTGGTACAAACATAAACAATACTACATTTGGAAGTTTTAAGTTTAGAAAAGAAACAAAGTCTGAATTTATAGATGATAGACCTGACTACCTAAGAAATAGGTTTAAAAAGGCTGCTAGTCTTGACGTAGCCAAAAGTAATGATATAACTTCAAATTCCTCGCTTCAACGTAATAAAGACACTATGGAAACTATGTTAAAGAACCCAAATAAAAATGTAATGTTGGAACAAACACAAAGTACATCGAGGATGCAAACTAAACCTCAATCAAAATCTATAAATATTACTTCCAAAGTAAAGGAAATGAGTAAATATGAAAAGTTAGAATCAATACTGGAGAAGTGGAACATAAACAATCCAGAAGTTATTGATTCTTTTGAAAAGAGTATTTGGAGATGTATTTTGGGATATGAACCTAAACAAGCAGCAACACCCAGTCAGTTCTACTCTAAAGGAACTTTTCCAATTCCTTCAAATGAATCTGTTGAAGCTATGATTGCAAAATGGAATGAAATATTAGATCCTAATGACTTCGAGAAACTACTTCTATGTGTCAAGTACTGTCACGTACTAGTTATGGCGTCAACTTGTATAAGAGATTATTCCGATTTAAAACTTTTAATTGAGACTTTAAAACCTTCCATAGATTATCTTGTAGAAAGATGTTCCTCAGTAGAAGATGAAACTATACTTTTATATATTTTAATTGAAACTCAGAGAGCTGCTGAAGCTATTGGTTTTCCTAAATTGGATAATTGTACAAGTCTTTTGGAAGCTCTATGGTTGGCATTATATCAAACAAAATTAGTTGATGAAGTTATATTTAATAAGTGGCTATATGATGCAAATTTATTCACTGAGCAAAGCAAAGTTGGAAGGAAAAATGCACTATTTGAGGTAAGTTCACTTCTTATTTCTTGTCATTGTTAGCCAATATTATATTTGACACAAGACTTATAAAATTCAGCCTATAATACCTTTATTTGTTCTTCCTAGCCATTCGAATATTTGAATTATTTTATATTTGGCTGTTTTATCTAATATATTATTAAGTTTTGCTAAATAAGTGGCTTATAATGACTTTGACAGTTTTAGATAGCCTTAGTAAATTTTGCTATACCGCACTCTTATTTGGAAAGTATTAATAGCATTATTTTCTAAATAATAGAGTCGTATTGTCAATATTTTATACTATTGCTATAAAGGCCTGTCATATATGAAGATAAATCTATATATCTTGTATTATGAAATTCGTACTATCTCATTTATCTTAGCTTACAGCCTTTTATGATTGGTTAAATTATCATGAGGAAGACATAGTTCCTGAAGACGAGGAAGACTATGATGAAGAATATTGGGAAGGATACTAGGGAACTAGTTTATCTATAAATCTTGTTTTCTTGTTCATATAATATTTGAAACACAGTGGTCACGGGGGACAGCGACGTATTGAACTCTAACTGCGTGTGTACATGTTCTATCTTATAAAGATTAAGATAAATTCAAATATTTCATTCATTTCTACTTTCTATATTTGTATTTGTTTCTTTTGAACATGGCAGATCCGAGGGCTATGCTCAATTATAACACTGAACTCATGAAGTGTTTAGAAGATTTGAAGGAAAAGCGAGACGAAATAAAACGTCAAGTTCAGAGAGAAGAAGAAGATAAGGCTAAAATTCAGAGAGAGATGAATGTATTAAATGAGAGATTAAAAAAAGTTCATGAGAGTTTACAACGCAAAACCATTGCTAGAGCTGAATACGATAAAACTATTCAAGAAATTGAGAATGCATATACCAAAATCCTTGAGTCATCACAAACATTACTTCATGTTTTAAAGCGTGAATCTGTGAATCTTTCAAACCCAAAGAAGCATATAGGAATTTAGTATGTATTAAAGATGTTGTAGTAAACTCTAATACCTAAATCCTTATACTTGTATGTTATATATATATATATATATTTATTTAGAAATAGATGTAATATTAATAAATCTTGGGGTTATCAATCATTAAAGTTACCTCTAAAATTGTAAATCTTCACATTTACCTTCCCATATATTTTCTAATAGTTCTATTATATCCGATGGTTGAATAGTTACAGGATTAGTTAGAATTGCTGCATCATTTAGTGCACGTTGGACCATCCTATCCAAATTCTTTCTAAATATAGATTCCTCAATATTAGATACTATTGAAGATTTAGAAAAAAGAGGGATATCTCTTAAAAAGTGTTCTTCTGGCACTATAGTTTCATTTAAACAGCTTTTCCAAGATGATTCTCTATTTTGTTTTCTATCACCCTCAAACCATCCATATTTACTATATTCTAGAATTGACTGAGGAATAGACTTTACAGAATGTGGAAATAATAAATTCTTTAATATATTATCCAATAAATCTAGTAAAATAAAAATATCTGAATAGGAATCTTCATCATCTCGAGTATTTGATAATCCTAAACATTTAATAATATTACATAAACATCTTCTTGCTTGTGGATCTCTGTTCGCATTAAATATGAGTACATGTTTGATAACTATACCATCAATCAAACCATGAGGTAATCCAAATATCTCAGAGAAACTTCTTGTTAAAACTGTCCCAAGACCAAAATCTGTAGCCCCAATTGCTAGTCCAGTAATTGAGGCTGCCTTATGAATATCGTTTAATAAAGGTATTGATTGTGATTTTATTGAGGGGACAAGTTTTGTAAATAAAATTTTTGCTGCTTGAATTGACATACTTCTTGAATAGTCACTAGCCATTGCACTAACATGAGCTTCCAAACAATGTAGCAGAGCTCTAATTCCTGTTATTGAAGCAATGAATCTCGGTATTCCTACTATGTAACTACAATCAACAATAGATATATCAGGTAGAAATGCTATACCAGATACTATTACATGACGCCCTTCATCATTACGTAATATTGCAGTACTAGTAGCTTCACTACCAGATCCACATGTTGTTGGAATACAAATAAGTTTTTTTATCAATGTGCCTTTTCTATGCAGTTGTGCCCTCTTCCAAGCTATATTTTCGTTATTTATAGTAGTTCCTACGGCTAAAGATTTTAATACAGTTCCAGGATCTTCATATAGAACTCTTAAAACCTTTATTATATCCATACAATGTCCACCACCTAGACCTATAATACAATCTGGACAAAAGGCTTTCATTTGTGAAAGTGCTGTGATTAAGACATTTGCATCGGATTCACGAATTACTAAAATCTCAACTTTAATATCTGAAGCTACCAAAGTTGATAATATATGTTTGGTTTTACTTTTTACTGCAGTATTAGTCATTAATAAAACCCTATTTATGTTACACTCCACAAGATCAGAAACTACCTCTGGAAAACAATCCATATTGTAATATATATTCGGAGTTAAGATTACCATTATAAAATATATAAATCTGCAACAAAATCACTCAAAAGATATAAGCCAAAATCAATCATTGGATAACTGTCCATATTATCTATTAAAGGATTATAAAAACTTCAAAACCTCGCATTAAAGTGTATGATAAACTAGAACTCAAAAGTGAGTTTAATTCTGTCTTAAGAAAAAAAAAAAAAAACTACATTCTAGGCATTATCATTATTTATATATTCTATAATTTTATTATATTATATATATCATAATTTTTTTTTTTTACTCCTGAATATGACCAGGTTGAATTTATAACCAAAAGTTACTAAAACTTTATGCATATAGAATTACCGTTACATAATTTAGTTATTTACACTGCATTGGCGCTCAATACGCATATGATTCTGTAGCTTCACCTAGTTAATATTTTACTATTTAAGGGACCCTCCCCCCCTATAGCCTTATATTTTAAAAGAAAAAAAAAAAGAAATTAATACTCCACTATTCTTTTTAAATAAATTCCTATGGATAATTAATTATCATGATACTTAAAATAGAAGGTATTTTTAGTACTCTTACAATTATGCTTTATTTTCTGAAGGGCTATAAATGGACATGGGATACAAAAGATATTACAGTTGTCGCATTTGAAATGTGCAACTTGGTGCTATTTTTAGGTATAATAATATCACAAAAGAGAAGTAATGGAGATGGATCTGTGTTAATCAATTTAGATATCATATATGCCTTAATTAGTAGCTGTATATCTACGAGCCTAATATTTGTTATAGCATTTCTTCTTGGTGCACCACTACTCAACTTTGGCACATTTCTTATTTCAATTTATTTGGGACTAATTGCTTTTAAGTCTTACTGTATCTTGGGATATAAGAATATTTTGAAAATAATGATTAATAGGTAAGTCATATATGCTAGTGTAGTGCATGAATATACTTTTATATTGGGTAATCTCGGATGATTATAAATCCTTAAGGGGTTTATATGAAGCTGTTTTAAGTTTTTGATGACAACAAAGAACTAGCCTTATTATGACGAGATAACTACACCAACTTTGAAAAAATTCTGGAAATTGTCGAAATTATTAAAATTTTATATTTTCAGTTCTTTTCTACTTCCAGAAAATCCAATACTAACACCATTTTATTGTAGCTGTTTATTTACATATTTATTTTCTTTTTTTATTGCTATGGATTGGCCTATAGATTGGCGTATTTGGCCTCATCCATTAATTACAGGTACTATATTTGGCAAATTCATAGGTATAATATATATTAGTATAACCGATTGTCAAATAGAAAAGAAAAGTTTATAATATTTTTAAATAAAATATTGAATTTCTATTTTCATTTTATATACATACCCAATTCTTGTAAATAATGTTTCAAAATTATCTTAATATATTTCTATTTCACATATTTCATTCATTATAAATCACTTAATAATCCTTAAAAATAACAATATTGTACTATACCACTTATGTGTAATACCTTTCTTTTTGTAAACAAAAATGAAATTAAATATTGTGTAGTAGATGAGATTATACACAAGTATTATCACATAAATATTATTACAATACATTGAATAAATATCAAAAATATTTTATTTTCATTAAAGAATTTACAAGCACACACTAAACTTCAAGATTTAGAATACCTAATATCACCATTATATGCATCAATAAATAACTGTTTTATTTCTTTTAATAATGGAAATCTTGGATTTGCACCTATACATTGATCATCTAGGGCTTTAATTGCCATATCATCAACCCTAGACATGTAATAATCTTTTTCAATCCCAAATTCCTTAACATTCATAGGACATCCAATACTCTTTTTTAGATTTTGTATTGCCTGAACAAGAAATCTAATTTTTTGACTATCTTCATCTAATAGTTCATCAATATCAGCTGATTCACACTTTAAATTCAAAATATCTACAAGCTTTGCATATCTAGCTTTAGCCATAGGATATGCATATTGTGGTAAAATGACTTGTTTACTAGGATTATCTGTAGCATTATATGCTACAATATGAGGTAATAAAATAGCATTAGCAATTCCATGAGGTATATGCATCTGCCCTCCTAATTGATGTGCTAATGCATGGCAAGCTCCAAGAAATGCATTGGCAAATGCCATTCCTGCAATAGAAGAAGCATTATGAATATATTCTCTAGATTTAGAATCACAATTTATTACTGATGAAGTTAAATGTTCAAATATTAATTTCATAGCTTGTATACATAATCCATCAGTATATTCAGTTGCATATATTGCAACATAAGCTTCTAGAGCATGCGTTAATGCATCAAGTCCTGTAGCTGCAGCTAGAGATTTTGGCATTGATAAGACAAAATTTGCATCAACTATAGCTATATCAGGGGTCAATTTATAAGATGCTATTGGATATTTTATACCGGTCTTATTATCTGTAATAACAGCAAAAGGAGTCATTTCTGCACCTGTACCTGAAGTTGTAGGAATAGAAATAAGTCTCAATATTTTACTCCCCCCTCTAGGAACCTTAATAATTCTTTTTCTTATATCCATAAAACGAGTTACAATTTCATCCCACTTTACTGAAGGATGTTCATACATAAGCTTAACCAATTTCGAAGCATCTATTGGTGAACCTCCTCCAAAACCAATCAAACAATCAGGTTTACTAGCATTTAGACGTTTTACAATATCATGTACAGTTTCAACATCAGGCTCAGGAGGTACATCACCATATACTTCATTCTCTATACCAATTTTTTGAAGATCTTTTACTAAACTATCAATAAATCCAAGTTCAATCATCATTCTATCAGTTATAATAAAGGCCTTTTTTAAATTTACTTCTTTCAAATCTTGTAAAGCATCTTGTAAAATTCCCCTATTAAAATATATAGCAGGAGGAACTTTAAACCATGACATATGATCTCTTCTATGAATAATTTGTTTATAATTCAAAATATGCTTAACTCCAATACCCTCAGAAGTTGATGTATGACCCCATGATCCACATCCTAATGTTAAGGATGGTATCTGTCTAAAATTAAACATCTCACCCATTGCTCCTTGAGCTGTAGGCATACAAACAAGAACTCTACCAGTTGGCATATTATTTTGAAATTCAGAAATTCTATGTGATCCTATCTCCGTATTTGGATTAGTATAAATACATGATGTATGACCTAAACCACCAAATTCCACTATTTTACGTGCAGTTGAGACTCCTTCAGAAAAATCTTTAACACGAATAATACTCAAAACTGGACATAGTTTTTCACGTGACAATTTTTCATTTGGTCCAACATCTTTAATTTCAGCAAGAATTATTAATGTATCTTCAGGTACCTCGATTGAAGCCATCTTAGCCACCTCTATTGCACTTGCACCAACTGGCTTAGGATTCATATTACCCTCATCTGTAATTAAAATATTACCAAGACGTTTTAGTTCATCAGTATTATTACATATATAAACACTACGACGTCTAAATTCTTCTATAACCTTCTCATATATAGTATCTACAACAACTAAACATTGTTCAGATGCACAAATTAAACTATTATCAAAAGATTTTGATAAAATTATAGAATTTATTGCCAATTTAATATCTGCAAATTCATCAATCAATACAGCTGAATTTCCTGCACCTCCTCCTAATGCTGGTTTACCACATGAATAAGCTGCCTTCACTAAGGCTACTGAACCTGTAGCTAAAATTGCAGCAACTAAATCATGATTCATTAAAGCTGTACATAATTTTATACTTGCAACATCAATCCATCCAATACAATCTTGTGGAGCACCAGCTTCAACTGCTGCATCACGAATAACTTTTGCTGCTCTTATTGTAGATCTTGCAGTACGTGGATGAGGTGAAAATACAATGCAATTACGAGTTTTTAATGCTATTAAAGCTTTAAAAATTGTTGTAGATGTTGGATTTGTACAAGGTGAAATACCTGCTAAAACTCCTAAAGGTTCTGCTACTATATCAATACCTCCAAATTCATCTCTTTCTATAACTCCTACTGTCTTTGTATTCTTATATTTATTACATATAGATTCAGATGCAAAATGATTTTTTATCACTTTATCTTCAACTATTCCCATCCCTCCATCTTCAACAGCCATTACTGCTAATTCACATCTTGCACAATTTGCTGCTAAAGATGCTCTTACAAAAATATGATCAACTTGATTCTGGTCTAATTTCAAAAATTCTTGCTGAGCTATTGTAACCTATAAAAAAAAAATTCAATCATATCAAATTTACATTTATTTAAACTAAATAAAAAAAAGATTTAACTTACTTTTTGTAATAATTCATCTAAAGTTTCCGGTGAATCTACCAGTTTTCCAATACTTTGACTAATTTCTGGAATATAACCAGACATATTCAAATAATTTAGAGAAAAATTCGTAAAAATAAAAATGGTAATTTAAAAAAAAAAACTAATACTATATTGACAATATTATTGTTCCAATATCTGTATTTAATAAACTTCTAAGTATTAAAAATAATTCAGTATACTCTCGAAACCGTATTATTTATCATTAATTCATTATAAAACTTGTTAATATACATATTTAAATATTAATAAAGTATATTTTAGAATTCTACTATATTTTAATAAATTATTTAAATCTAGTAAAATTATTAAAAAAAGGTTATTTAAGTCTCATAATCTAAAATTTTTTAATGTATATTAATTATATTATAAAGTAACTTCAATTTTAATTTATTAAATTAATATCTCTATATTCAACTAAACAAAGAATTACAAAATTTTTATAGTAACTTTTATTAATAGTTATATAATCACTTTTTATTAATATTTTTAAATATACAAGTAATAATTCATCATATTATCTTTTATTAATATAATCAGAGATTTCTTTAGTCATTATTATCGAAAATCAAATCATAAGTTTAGATAAACAACTAAAATTTCTAAATTACTATGATTATAGAAAAGATTATCCAAAATTATAAATAAGATCTTTTTTCATTTAAATTTTTATGGGTAATATCAGGATTTTGATAATAAAAAAAAATCAAAGTATAGATTCTGAATTAATCTCTTCTTAAAATATCCCTATATAATTTAGATAAAATGAAATCTTCAATATTATATAAGAAACTTATTAATATTAGTATTATATTTTTAATTTTACTTAATCATATGAAATTTATAAAAAGTATTACTTGGAAAATCATTAAATTATTTTAGGATTTAATTCTCATATATATAAATTTTGAAAATCCTAAAAAAAAGTACTCAATATATTAATATTTTTGTTATAAAAAAGAAAATAACTAATAGAATTCATTATTGTACAAGTATATTATAATAAAAATAACTAAATATTATATTGTCAAAAAAAATTACAAAGATTAGTCTTAATTAAATTTAATTAAGAACTTAATCTTTTAGTTAAATAAAAATATTTGATATTTTGATTAAAATAAAAAATATTTAGATGAATATTAATTTTTATTTTATAGTATATTTATAATTAATTAATAAGAATTATGATTATCTTACTATAGAAAAATATTTCAATATAGTCATTACAAATATATATAACTTAAGAGATTAATTATAGAGTTCATTAGTATTACCAAAAATGATATTATATTAAATATACTATATTCAGAAGTATTATAATGAAAATATACTTATGAAAATTTCAATAAAAGTTTCTATAATATTAATTTAGAACATAACTAACATAAAAAATTGAAATATATATACTGGTAGTTTTATAGAAGTTACTAATTATATAAAGTTAGAATTTTTTATTTATTATAATATTTAAATAATTAAATAGAAAGTACATGAGATTTTTGTTATTGATTTGTTTTCTTTTTCTTATATTTACAATAACTTATCAACTTTTAATAATAGGATAATATAGTTTGATATTATTTTAAGAATATTTTTATATACAAATTGAGTGATTTATATTCAAATAATATAACTTTATTAATGTAATATTTGAATTTTTTTAATACTATATTGCAATATTTATTGACTTTTTATTAGCTTTAATAACTAAAATAAATCTAAATATAATATTTTTTATTGAATTATTATAAGAATATATGTTGAAAATTTTGTTTAAAGCACTTATATTTATAATGGTATAATAGTATACAATGTTATTATAGTATATAGTATAATACTGACATTATAGCATTACTATAATACTACTGTAGTATTATTTTAGCATTGATATAACATTATAATGCTGTATAATATTGAATATTACACAAATCAAGTTATATAAAAAAAAAAAAAAAAACAAATACTTAGAAGTAGATATTGCATAATTTAGTCTATATATATAATATTACAGGTATAATACAAAATAACTTTACATGGCATGAAATAGATTAAAATTATGGATATATAAAGAGGTATTATGCAAATAAAATAAGTAAAAATAAAATATAAATATAAGATCTATTAAAATCTAAAGTTTATAAATAATTATATATAATTTAATGTATCAGTGAATTATATAGCGCTAGTAAACATTAAACTTTAAGGTTATTGAGTATATTATAAATGATAACTTTACACCTTTATAATGTATAATTCTATAAGTAAATTTAAAGCATTTGGAGATATTTATGAATGTATTCAAGGATGTGGGAAAAGTATTAGTAATAATAATTATATACATGACTCATGGACCTATATTCAGAATGAATGTAAAATATTAATTGTTGGTATTGGAGGACTTGGTAGTGAAATTCTAAGGAATTTGATTTTTATGGGATTTAGAAATTTTGAATTAATTGATTATGATGTAGTTGAAATTTCCAATTTAAGTCGCAATCTTTTTTTTGATTTAAAGGATTTAGGCAAGTCTAAAGTTGAGTGTATTAAAAATAATATAGAATCAAGATATGGATCAATACATAATTTAAATATTAAAGCACATAACTGTGCTTTAGAATATTATTGTACACCTGTTAATAAAGACTTTTTTAAAAAATTTCATTTTATATTTTCAGGCTTAGATAATATTGAGAGCAGGCGAAAACTAAATACAATGATACATTTATCTTTAAGATATACAAATAATTCTAATAAAAATAATGAATTTGGAATTTTTAATAATACTGAAATATCTAGTATATATACATCTAAAGAATTATTGGATTTGAATGAAAATTTTAAAAATATAACAGCTCCAATTTTTATAGAAGGTGGTACAGAAGGATTTAAGGGACATTGTCGTATAATTATTCCATTTAAGACTTCATGCTACGAATGTACAATGGGATTAAATTCTGTAAATATTAATTATCCAATATGTACAATAAAAGAAACTCCACGTACTCCTGAACATTGTATTGCCTATGCTTGTTATATTCTAGATTATGAAGACCTTGATGATTATAATATATCCTCTTATAGTACTAAAGATCATATGGAATATGTATTCAAGATTTATAATTATGCAAAAATACATGCATCAAAATTTAATATACAAGGTGTCACACTTGAATTAACTAAGAGATTGACTGGTCACTTTATTCCAACATTACTTAGTACAAACTCAATTATAGCATCAACTATGGTATCTCAGGCTTTAAAAATAATTTTGAATAATGAATTTAATTACAAATCTGATAATTTTTTTATGTATATAGGGCACTGTGGTATATATTCAAATACATATTATACTGAGAAATTAGATGAATGCTGTATATGTTATTCAGATTAATAATTAGCCATAAATACTAGCAAATACTTTGAACAATATAATAGAAAAAAGTTATTTTTATCATTAAGTATATTTATGGTATTTATTTTAATTTTGAAAAAATAATGGAATTGAATTAATTTAGAAATTATTTATAACTTGGATGATATTTAATTAAATACTATTTTAAATATATGAATATTTTAGTCACTAAATAAATTTTATAATTTAACATCTATATATAAAATTAATTTGAAATTTGTTTTTAATATAATTGATAAAGATGCATAATTGATTAGTATTTAATTTCAACCAATAACATTTTATTTTAGTAATTTTTTTTTTAAATGATACTTCATAATATACCATTTTGGTATATAAAATTATATTGACTATTTATCCTTAATTTTAATATTATCCAATATCTCTACGGAGGAATCTTGGATTATTACTAGTATTTGAGGGTTCCCAAGAAAGGAAAGTTTCAATATTTGCATCACCTCCTTGTGTACTGTCATCTTTATACCAAGCTTCACCAGCATTAATACCCCATGTAACGCTTACATTGTTGGATGTTTGACTCCTTCCTGTTTCTGTATATAATCCAGCTAAACCTGAATTTCCATCCAAAGAACTAATAGCTGTTTCAGGTATATGTGATGTCCTAACTTTGTTATCTATATATAGGAAACCAGCATATGATGAATTAATCACTTCCATAGCCATTTGTTTTGTAATACCAAGACTATGTAAAGAGCCACTGAACCCTGACCACGGATTTGCCATTGGAGGTATTTTTATTGGAATTGGTCCTGGTAAAGTATTATTATTATTGTTGCCATTATATTCAGATGATATAACTACATTTCCAATGAGAGAATATGGGGAAATAGAATTACACGAACATTCAATAGCAAATTGATAAGCTTCTTGGTTAAAAGGAGATATTGTAGTACTACATAAACTTGTATTCCATTTTCCATTAATTTCAGATGCACATAAAAGATTTGATGCATTAACAGGAATTTCAAATGATAGTGGTAATGTGAATGTCACAGTTGGAAAATTATTTGAATAGTAATCTATTGAACATAAATATAAAGTTGAGAATCCAATTGAAGTTGGAATATTTAGATTCTGCTTACTATTATATAATATTGTTGAAGATATAGCTGATGTAGGATAATTTACACTAAGTATTGTAGCAGTATAATTAGGGCAATTAAGTGATGCATTGTAAAGTGATTCTATTTCATATTCTTGTGGATATGCATCAAAATATATGGATTCAGTTGGAAATAGTGAAGATATTTTATTTAATGCAAAATTTCCAACAACAAGATTATTTATTTTAGTTGGTTTATTAGCTAAAAATTGATCAATAGTAATTATAGATAAAATCAAATTACTTTTTGAACCTTTCCAAGTATAAGAATTTGAAGATGAAGACCAAAATGAGAATCTATTTCCAACAGATTCTATTAATTTGACTATAATATTTGTAAATACATAATTATTTAGAATAATACCCCATCCATTTGTAGCAATTAACAAATCTACAATATCCAATATTAAATTAGACGTCCCAGGATTATTAGTACATTCAGCATTAAGAGTAATATTCATCAAAGACTTAAATGGTCTAATTGTATCAATATCTAACTCTGGATTATTGTAAGCTGTTTCAAGAATTTGTCTAATAATGTCAAGAGTAATTAATTTAGATCCAGCATAATCATATGAATAAGGTATTGTTTGTTGTTCTATTGAAACTGTATATATTTGATCAAAATATGTATTCCACACCTGTGATATATTAGTTGGAAGATGAAATAATGCTGAAGTCATATGTAATACTTCTATAATTGAAGTATAAGCAAGTTGATGAGTTACTACAGCAATAATATTTTCTATATCTGATATATTTTCTGTTAATGCCATTTTAACAACTCCAAAAGGACATGGAAATGCACTTAATAATGTTAGATCACTTGTGCACCAATGACTATATACTCTTCCACCAATAGGAGGTTTGCAAGGTATATAACATCCTGAATTACTAACTGTTTGTACACGTACATAAACATACCATTCATTTGTTATTGCTGGTAACCTTATTGAGGAAGGTAACTGATTTAGTGAATCTCCAAGGAAAAGAACTGTAGAATTATTTGATATAACTTGACTAGATGATGCTATAATCCCACTACTAGGAAATGCATCATCTTGTTCTGGATTAGAAAATACAACATTATCTAATATCAAATATATTGCATCACCAATATTGGAGAATGAATTTGGTGGTAGTAATGTTAATCTTCCAATAGTTGGAGGATAATCTACTGCTCCAAATTCTACAGATACATATATCCCCGGTTTAGCTTTGGGAGTATACTGTGCTATTGTTTCATATGATACAGTAGTTGTCGTAGTTTCATTGGATATAATAAATGTATGTAAACAATTTGAAAATTTTGATACTAGTATTGAAGGATATTGAGTTACTAAAACTATCTCATTTCCTTGATTTATTATATCATTAACAGATATAGTGTTTAAATTAGGATTCCCATTTATTTTTCTAACTCCTTCACAATATAGACTAGGTTGAATATTATACTGTTGATCTCTATCAATACCAGTTAAATTTCCAATAGAAACTACATATCTAATTGAATATTCAGTTCCAAATGGTATAACAAAGGAATAAGGTGTATTATGGATATGATCCCATGGTTTTATAGTTGGATAAATCATAAATACTTGTTGTATATTTGTGGGAGTTACAGGCATTACAGGGGGACTTATACAATATTGTGGAGCACTGTAATCATCATATGGAGGAGCAAAAACTTTTTCTGAAATCCAATTATTAGAAGGTGTAGTATATGCCATTGTATCCGTATAGAGTGTCTGAGAAATAATAAATGAAGATGATGTATTAAAATCTCCTCCTTTCAAATATGTAATATACTGATCAGAGGCATTATTTATCATTCCAGGATATTGATTATTTAGGTTTAGTTCATTTAGACAAGATACATATGAACTATTTGATTCACATGAAGTTGAATATATTCTTGGATATAATGCCATTTCTATCCAAGTTTGATTTATTGGTTTTGTTAAACGTTTACACTGCCAAGATACCATAACAGATTCCATACTACTTGCTTGAGGGATAAATCTGGCTGCTCTGCAAGACATTCCAGATCCGGGAGATGCATAAAAACCATAATTCCTATTGATATATTTTTGATTAAATTGATAAAATGAGCTTCCGATTTTAAGAGTATAATTAGGATTTATAAATGTAGGTAATGTGTAGGCTATTGATGGATAGTTAACACACGTTGCTAATAATAAAGAATGAGAAATTCCATTACCTGGGTAGTATCCTAAAATTGAACGATCATTATCATTAATATCTGTCTTAATACTTCCAATATGCCTATAATTTGCAAATTGTATTAATGATGTAATTGTAAAGAAATAGCTAAATGGAGATGGACTTGATAAATAATTCATAGGTGGAAGATAATATGGAGAATTAAATTGAGTAGATGTATTAAATATTTGAGAACCACAATATCCTACCTTTGAACCACAATTCTCTTTTGTTGGAAAATATGGAAATGTTCCATTATAATAACAACCACCTAAAAAGTTATTTGAGAAAGTTAAATATGTTACAAGGGTTCCATTTAATTGTCCAGGATATTCTGGTGCATTTAACCAGGGTCTCTTTGAAAAATATAAACTAGTTTGAATAGTATTTCTTGAATACATTTTGGTATTTAAAATTGAAGTATCATTATTTAAAATATATTTAAGATTAAATATTGATTTCTTTGTATTATTTACAAAATTATTCCAATATGGATTCATAGGATAATAAAACAAATAATTATCTAAACATTCTGTATAATTATCTGATGGTAAGTTAGAAGGTAAAATAACTTTTATCGGAGAAATCCCAATAGCAGTATTTGTCCATCCAAAAGGAACTGCAGAATTATATTGTTGTTCTGTTACATTGTTCTCTATAGCTATAAAAGCTCCTTGTACTGATTGTGTTACTGGTGGATGAAAACCTGCATATGCACTATTTAGTTTCCAAATATTGTCAGATATCTTATTTCCAGATGATTCATATGAAGAGAATCTTGTGGATCCTCTAGTCAGAGTCAAATTAAATAAATCTCGATAATAATGTTGTGAGCTAGTTAAACCTATCACACTACTATTTGGTAAAATAAAAGATGGTATCTGGAATTCGTAAATTAATGGTATTATAACCATATCTGTGAATTGTGAAGCTAGATTTAATGTTGACCCTACATCTATCCATTCCAAACTATAAAAATGCTGTTGAAGCCAGTTTAAATTAGGATCAGATAAGGGACCAAGTGATATTCCCTTAAGTGAAATAGTATCCATTGCATTTTTAATCACTAATCCGGGTAATAAAAATGTAAAATTTGTTGCGGATGATGTCTGAATCATTGTTGGAGTTGAATCTGTAAGATATTTTGCAATTATATTACAAGCTGTATAATATGTAGAGGTTTGATTAACAGATATTTGACCTAGAGCTGTTGAAATCCACATTGATCCAGATAATCCATCACTATTACATGAAAATATAATTGGATTACTATCAAAAGTATAGTTTAAATTCTTTACACTAATAGTTAATGGGTACATATAAGAACATGGAGTCATAATCGAAGGAAAAGCTATTGTTGACCATAATGATAAATCATATCTTGGTTGATTAAATAATGTGGGCATATCTACATCCATTCCCCAAGCTCCCTGAGCTATTGTTGAATTTGGAAGCATTGATATTTTTTTATATGGTCCCGGTCTAACTTGGGCATTTGTTTTAGTATTATACAATATAAATATGTATAATACTAAGATAAATGCATTTATTAAACTCCTCATTATTTAATTTATAACTAAAAATATATCTTTAATAAGTAAAAATTCTGGGGATATTTATTATATTTTGGGGCTTATCATCTTAAAGTTCCACACCCATTAGTAAAATCTTACAAAATATTTTATTATATATTAAGTGTTGAAATATTTATTTATTTTTTCTTACCACACTTTATATTTAATAATTATTTATAAAATAAAGTATTATAGACTAGGTATTATAGATCTGAGTTTTACTCTTAGTTGACCAAAAAAAAAATTTAATGATATTAAATAGAATTAGACAAAATTTATAACAATAGTAATTCATGATATTCATTTAAACACAAACATTATTTTATATTTTATTTTATTTCTGTAGATCTTCGTGTTTTTCGTGAAATTTTATGTTTGAAATTTTAGGAATTTGTATCTAAATTTCTTTTTTAGATTAGATATCTAGAAAAAACAATTAAACTAATTTTATAATTATCTGGAACTATATTATATAATTCAATTGGATTATTATATAATGGAAAGTATTAAACTGAGCAAAACACTTAGAAATGAGCTGCATTAAGATATGCAGCGGTTACCTTTAGAAACTACTACAGTATCTGATTGATACTGCAACTTAAATCACAACAAGATCAACATTCAATTCGCTTATAATAATGAATACAATCTACATTTGGATTTCTTTATATTTGCCATTATTATGGATGTTGTGTGTAGTATCATTAATAGATGAGCAACTATCACTTATACATGATGATCTAATAAATTCTAATATTTTGCATCATTATGATTATTTAAATAATGATCCAGAAATTCAACAAGAAAATATTTTGCCAGATATATTTGGAAACGGTATACATTTAGTAGATAATATTCCAAATGCAGTACATAAAGGAGAAATATTAACAATTCCTTTTTCTAATTCCCATATAGAAGTACCTACAAGTATATACACAATATACAACGAAAAGTTAATTAACTCACACTCTAATGATAATTCAGAAATTAAAGATCATTTATTAAATTTGTTACCACATTTATCTAATCAACCTACAGATAATAATGGTTTTCCAAATCCTTCAGGTACACAACCAGATTCTTCAGGTGGAAAAGATCATAACAAAGGTTCAGATAATGACTTTCCAAATCCATCTGGTGGGACTACATCACATACTACTGCTGCTCCTATAACTCCACCTATACATATCACAAGTTCTTCAAATCCATCACATACTGAGGGTACAACATATACTACTACTAATCCTATAACTACATCTATACATATTACAAGTCCTTCAAATCCATCACATACTGAGGGTACAACATATACTACTACTAATCCTATAACTACATCTATACATATTACAAGTTCTTCAAACCCATCACATAGTGTAAGTACAATATATACTACTACTAATCCTACAACTAAATCTACACATATCACAAGTTCTTCAAATCCATTACATACTGAGGGCACAACATATACTACTACTAATCCTGTAACTAAATCTACACATATTACAAGTTCTTCAAATCCATCACATACTGTGGGTACAACATCTACTACTACTAATCCTATAACTACAACTACATCTACACATATTACAAGTTCTTCAAATCCATCACATAGTGAGAGTACAACATCTACTACTACTAATCCTATAACTACAACTACATCTACACATATTACAAGTTCTTCAAATCCATCCCATAGTGAGAGTACAACATCTACTACTACTAATCCTATAACTACAACTACATCTACACATATTACAAGTTCTTCAAATCCATCCCATAGTGAGAGTACAACATCTACTACTACTAATCCTATAACTACATCTATATCTAGTACAACTTCAAGTAAGTTTCGATAAAAATAAAAAAGTTTTAACTTATTAATTCATGCTATAACAAAATAATTAAATTTAGTTGATATTAATATCCCTAAATTTAATAAGCGTGAAATTAATGCTATTTATATTAAATATAATTTTATATATTAAATATTATTACATATATATTTCAAATTTTTGAGTAATACTATTTGTTTATAATTTCATTAATTTATCATTTTATATTTTCTATTTTCAGGTAATAATGAAAATCATGAAAATTCAAACTCAGTTCATACTGATAGCTCAAAACCTAATGTGGGAGCAATAACTGGAGGAACATTAGGAGGCTTATTATTAGTTGGAGGTGCTTTGGTAGGAGGTAGTTTATTTATTAATAATAGAAGAATTAAAAAAGAAAGACTAAGAAATAGACTTAGAAGAAAGAAAAGAAGAAGACAAAATTTAGCTTCAGCATCTATTGGGGATTCAACTATTGTTTCCCAAAATTCAGTATCAAGTACAGTATTACCATCGAAACGTCCATTAAAAACATCTGTAATAGATGATCCAGATTCTTTAGTAACTATAGAAGCTTCTCATGGTCAAACTTTCGATGGATTGGGATCAACAACTTTGCTTCCTTTACCTGCTATAAGGATTAATAGTGGAGATGAACCTTCAAACAAATCAGTTCCAAATAAAATCACAAAATTAGGTGACCATAGTCAAACTTTCGATGGATTAGGATCAGTAACTGCACTTCCTTTACCTATTATAAAGATTAATAATGGAGATAAACCTTCAGACAAGTCAGTTTCAAAAAAAACCAGAAAAGTAAATACTAATAATATTAATAAAAAAATTCCTAAAGGATCTACTCATAATAGTACTAGCAATGCAAATCCAGAACCTCAACAGTTACCAGTATTTTTAGGTAATACTACAAGAAAAAAAGTGTCTTTATCTGTATCAGATTTAACAGGAAGTTTAAGTATTTAATCTTATTTCATAATTATCTATACAATTTAGAAATATCTTACATACAAAAAATGGTTAAATATATTTTGTGGGAATTTAGTAGACTCCATTGTTAATTTTTAAAGGTAAAATGATACATCATATTTCACCAAACAATTATTGCATGGTAATTGTCAAACCAAAAGTCCTAATCCTTATTTTTTAATGGTTTTACTAAATTCAAATACTTCACTATATATTGTTGATCCCGAAATTAGAGGATTAATTAAAGAAGAGATTGAACGTCAAGTGAATGGTTTATCTTTAGTAGCAGCTGGATCATTAGTGTCTTCCAATATTTCATCTTGAATATTTTTGTTCAGAGTACATATAAATTAGAATATATAAAAGGATCCAAGTTTGAAAAATTATATAATAGTAAGGATAATAAAATTAAAGATATATTAGAAGATAATACTTCAATAAAATTGTATGAGGATCTTCATGTTTCCATAGATTATTACAATTTGAATACTAGATTTAATTCTTTAACATATAAAAACTTAAATAAAGTGAATTTACAAAGTATCAAAATAACTCTTATAGATTCTGAAATATTCACTTTATCAAAAAATAGTTCTTATATTTCTTCTCAACATCAAAAGATTCAATAAATATAAAAAGTACATATTTTTTAAACTTCGAATATTACAAAATTACAAGATTTAACTGAAAAAAGAGCTCTCAGAATTTTTAATCTTGATATTAGTATATGGGGTGTAAATATTACATCCAATAAGTGGAGTACCTAATTTTGCATTATTATCTTATTTATTAAAATCTCAGAATTGTATTATGAGTCTTTCTTTAAAAAGTGATGGACATTTAACTCATGGACACTATACTAATGAGAAAAAAGTTATTTATTCATCTTATTTCTTTGAATCTATACCATACTACTACTCAAAATTATGGATAGATTATGAACAATTTTATATCCTCCATTTTAATATGCTGATACTGCCACTATTACAACATATATGATATTATATGGAACAAGATCAGGTATGATATTCTTTAACAAACTTAAATATCCATGTCTAGTAAATAGTTATAGAAGAATTGTTCTTTTGTCTATACAGGACTCTACGTTTTAATCATATTGCTGTTCTATATACTCAACTAAATAAAATAAATTCTACTAATGAATGGAAGAAGTAAATGTTATCAACAATATACAAAGTCTTTATTTTTTACAAAGTGAGGGTACTAAAATTATTACTAATGGTACCAATTCACATATACTTATTTATGCATCAATTTATGGTATATCTGAATATAAAACTAAAAAATTATTTGAAGCTTATGGTATATTTTCAAGTAAAAGTTCCTTACCTAATGATGGAAGAAATATGTCTTATCGTGTTCGTATTGAGACAACTGCATTAACAATTCGTGGCTTAAAATATCAAGACTTTCAAAAAATCACCCTTTATAATTCAAGCTATAGAAATTGCATAGAAAGTAAAGAAGGTAATAAATCTATTATTCAATTTATTGAAGCTTTACCAAGATATTTTAATCTGATTAATCCTCTGAAAAATGTGACAGTACAGTATATAGAATATTTCAATTTTCCATAGGGGAGTAGATATATGATTTTAAGTTATATAATTTAATATAATAAAAGATTAATAACTAAATAATAAAAAATCTAATTTGTTATTAAACATTTTATAAGTTTAGATTGTAATATTCAACAAATATCAAGTATTTTTAATAATATTAAAAATTAAATTTAATATTAAAGTTATCTAATATTGTAAGTATTTGTATATTTATACTTAGTTATTAGGCTTATTCTGAAATAAATTTAATAGAACTATTATTTTAGAAGATAAATACACTTTATATAATTTGGATGTCAATATATACTCTTAGTTACTTTTTTTTATTTATAGATAAGTTAATAATTCATCTGTAACCATAATATTTTCCGATTTAAATCATTTCCATTAGGTATATTGTAAATTTGTTTATTTCTACTTATATAAACTTAAACAATGAACATATAACCTATTTGTATAAAGTATAGTATATAAGTAATTGAGTTAAATTTCTTTCTTTTTAAAATATGAGTAATAATAAGTTTGTAGTTTTTAATCAAGCGTGAATCTTTTGTAATAATAAAAATTTAATGGTGCCGTGTGTAATGTGTGATTTCACACTGTGTGCACACACTAGTTTAGATTAAACTTTGATATATATAGTAAATAGTAGAATTTTGCTACAAGATATATCCTGAAGTCATAGTTAAAAATAAGGTGAATATATTTGTAAGGGCTTATATAACCTCCACAGATGATGTGGTATCATCTGTTCATCTATTTTCTATATTTTATTGGTTTGGTATCTGCATCTGATACTGGCGAGGAAAAACATCGTATAACAGTATTATTTACAGATTTAGATTCTAAAGTAAGACTTACAGATTCACCTAAATCTACATTAGGGCATGTTATTTCTTTATACTTAGAAGCTAGACCTGAAAAATCAAGAAGATTATCGGATTACTTATTTCACTTAGAATCAAATGGAAAATTATTATCAGGAAATACAGAAATTTCTAATATATCACCTAGTGACTCAGTAATTGCAACATTAAATTCATATATAAATAATGAAGACCTTAGAAATAATAAAGATTTTGAAGAAACTTCTGAAAGTTATGTTGAGATAGGTGATGATGAAGTTTACATTAAAGTTGCCTTACCAGATGGCATAATTGAAGATGTGTTAGTTAATAGAAATAATAATCTTGATACAGTTGCAAAAGAAATTGCTACAAAATTTGGATACAAAGAAAAAATGAAACTTACAAATGGGCAACAATTTCTTCCAGGTTCAAGTACTTTATCAGAACTTGGAATTGAAGCAAATGAACATCCTTTGTTTTTAGTAAAACAAAATCAATATATTTCACAATCATCCAAACAACCAAAACTTGATCTAAGGAGTTCAAATAAAAAAGTGAGTGAAATTCCACATTCATTAAACATACATAAGAAAAGAACAATACCAGGTGAATATATTTTAAAACCAATAAAGATAAAGTTATTCTTTTTATCAAAGCGCATATATGTAATTTATGAGGCAGTATTTAGTCATACAATAGCAGATATTATATATGATATTAATACAGAAAAACAAATACCATTATCCCATATTAAATTAGGGATTTTTCGTGAAGGTCAAAATATACCAGAAAGTATTGGATTGAATTCACCAGAAGCTGAATTAAGCTTATATGAAATGGGAATAAAAAATAATGATATTATTATAGTAGCTACACCAGATACAGATTTCTCAACAACCCCATTACCTATAAGGCAAGGTTCTCAATTTAGAATACATTTGAATTGCCTAGATAAACCACATTCAAGAAAAAGATTTTCAGTTTCTTTATGGTCAAATACTCCTATTGATTCAATCCGTATTGCTTTATCTAAATCATTAAAGCTACCTTTTACAGATATAGATTTAGAGATTGAAGATATAGATGCAAATGGTCAGGCTGTTATTTGGCGAAGATTAAGAGGTTATACATTAAGTCAATTAAATATAGTTGCTGAGGATGAGTTATATGTGAGAACAGGCCCATATAGGCATGTAACAGTACAACCATCATATTTGAATCCTTTAACTGGTAGACATGAAATTCCTATGAATATTAGAATAAGGTTTGATGATTATAATGGGTTTGATTTAATTTTAGGTGTATATCCATCAACAACAATAAAACAACTAAAACGTTTAATTGCTTGGCGTCGTAACTATTTACCTAATTCTATACAGCTTGAAATTATTGGTATAGATAGACGCCTACTTCCAACTTCTATTTTACCAAGTAATGATTATTCTACATTAAGACAATTGGGAATTATATCTGGCGTTATATTCCGTGTTAGGATTACTGGTAGTCCTATTGAAACTCCCCAAATACCAATAGAAGATATAAAAGATCAGGAATACATAGATGGAGCTAGTACATCTGATCCTACAAAACCAAGTATTACTCTTTATATAGTTGTAGCTAATCGCCATATAGCACCTATTCAGGTTATTTGTTTCCCTTCAGCCACTATAAGATCTATTATTAAAAGTATATCTATTAGAAGAAATATACCTTATGATAATATGAGGCTTTATACAGAAAGGATTCTTGATAATGGAACAAAATATAGAAGATATTATGAAAAACTTCCAGATAAAACTGTTGAAGAATTAAGAATAACAAGAAATACAGAATTGTTCGTTGAAATCATCGATTCTTTACAAAGAGATGAATTCGGAAATCTTATCCGTCCTGGAATAGTTAATTTGGTGATAGAATGGGATGATGGAACATCAATTAATATTCCAGTACCACTAGCATCTAAACTTGGGCAATTCCGTGGAACATTAGCTGGTCTAAAAGGTATATCACCAGAAATGATTACATTATCAAGGAGAAGAAAAGAAAATGGGCCCCTTGAAAATATGATAAATTTGGAAGCTCCAATTGATGCTTTCAAGCTTAAAGATGGAGATATCATTTATAGTAAAGTAAAAGAAACAGATAACAATAAGTTAGAACAAAATTCTGAAGTGCAAAGATTCACGGGACTTAGATTTTCATATCCAGATGGTAGTACTATTGTATCATCTGCAAAATCTGATAAAAAGCTTAGTGAAGTAATCAAATTTCTAGCTGATCAACGTGGATTTTCACAAGAAGTTATTGCAATTTATTTCTCAAGTGGAAGGAAGTTAAGAGGTGATAATAAGACATTAAAGGAGCTTGGTGTTCAATCTGATATGCAGTTTTGGGTTGAAACAGATAATTTACACTTAGAAACATCAAGAGATCCTATCCGCTATGTTATTAGGAATACTGATTCACTATGGTCAACTTTTGTATTTATTTCTCCTGATGAGTTTGAGACTGCAACCGTAAAAGATTTAATCTCAGAATATAAATCAAAGATGTTAATACCAAAGGAGGCAACTATTCATATTTTAGGATATGAAGAATTGAAAGAGGATGATCTACTATCTAAGTATGAAAATGATGAAAGATTTAGACATTTGTTAGTCGAAGTAAAAATTCCATCAGGATCTAGAATAGGAGTTGAGGGATATATTACAGGAGAGATGGCTGATCCTAAAGAACCTATTGACAAATTAAAGAAAGCAATAAATTGGCAAGGTTCTGTTGAATTTGTACCTAAACAAAATCGTGGAATAAATGCAGCAAAAGCAGAAACTACTCATATAGGTGTTATGATGCCTGCAGCAGCTTTAATAAGGCCACAGTTAGATCTTGATGAAGATTTATTGCAGGCATTTGGAGAAATTGCTGATGCAGAGCTTAACAATAGAATTCATGGAATTCCAGGCAGAAAGATGAACATGAAGAAAAAAGAGAACTTAGTTAGTAAGCTGACATCTACAAGAGTAGCTGCATATATTCTACATTTGATCTGTAATCTAAACAATCTTGCAATTGAGAAATTCATGTTATTAGTGCATAAAAAGCCACCATATGAGGCAAGAAAGTGTACAAAACATCTTACTCTTGGGTTAGATAAATATTATAGATTTGCAAGAAGTGTAATAGGAAAAAATCCTATAAAGTATAAAAAAGCTATAACATCTCTGAATAAGTCAAGGGGAGAATTCAAGACTGCTTACAATTATGTTGTAGTTAATTCAAGAAAAATGGCAAGAACCATTAATAAAGCAGCTAAAAACAGTGGAAAGCTCCCGGACAGCAAATACATAAGCGCCCTAAGATTGAGCGGTAAGCTCAAATATGATAATAAATTGAAAGTTGATTTAAATTTGAAGACTCTTTATATTACATTAAGACCTGTAGCAACTCAAGATGATATTGAGGAAGCTAAACAACGTGAGAGAGATACTTCAAGACGTTTGTGGATAGGATCTTAATTAATTTAATTAGAGTAGACAAGACATTCAATTGTAGCTCTGTTTATATTAAGTAAAAAGTAAAATAATTTGACACTTATTTTGTATTATGTACATAATTATGTATGGCACATTTAAGAAACAAAAATGACTCCTAATATCTCCTCAATAGAATTTAGTTGTTTTTCAAATAATACCTTTCAAAACCGGTTAAATAAAGAAAAAAAAAGTGCGCATTATGTGATTGGAATAAAAACGTCTCGTCTTATATTCGAGTCTACTTAAGGTACCTAGGAGCTAGTGTGGATAATTAAAATTAATATATTATAATAGGATAGGTAGATAGGAGAGTAATAACATCATAGCTGTTATTAGTCGTAGCACTGTAAACCTCCTTGTTTAAGAGGGGGTTAGAGTGCGATTGTAAAATATTTTTTAGGTCTATTGTTTTATTATTATTATTTTTAAGTTATGAGGATATTGCCTTATCTGCACATTGCAATTCTCTTGGCTACTTTGGTAGTTTCATGTTTCTGTAGTAACCGAAGGGCTGAAGTTAAGACTAGGGAGGTTTTGGATTATGTTTATGTACCTCACTGGTTATTTGCAACTAATGTCCTAAATTTGATGCTATTCCAACCAGGGCGAGGTATGGGATTTCCATGGCCACAAACCCCTCCTTACGAGTTCAGGAGATTATTCAAAAGTAAACCTGAGGACTTCTGTGGAGATTGCAGAGTATTGTTGAGAAATTGGTTATCATCAGAACCTCCAATGCTTCTTTATAGGGCTCCTCCATATGTCTCTAGAATTCCATCAATTATCAGTGTTGTATGTGGTGCAATTGAAATAAAATATTATGGATATGGTGAAAGTTTATGCAAGACTGTATCTATGAAGTTTAATCTATACAACTACTACTCTGGACTTAGCTTAGCTCCAACTACAAAGAGACGTGCAGCATTCCCAGCTTCTCATACTGAATATCATTCAATAAATAAACATTACTTCGTTCCCACTAATAAGAAAGCGAAACTTAATTTAAGAGCTGCTTATCCAGCCACTCATACTAACTATCCAGCAGATGGTAAACATGGTTACCAACCTGTAGTAAATCGCACTGATCTTGAAGATAGAGCTGCTTTCCCAGCTACTCACACTAATTATCCAGCAGATGGTAAACATGGTTATCAACCTGCAGTAGATCGCACTGATCCTGAAGATAGAGCTGCTTTCCCAGCTACTCATACTAATTATCCAGCAGATGGTAAACATGGTTACCAACCTGCAGTAGATCGTACTGATCCTGAAGATAGGGCTGCTTTCCCAGCTACTCATACTAATTATCCAGCAGATGGTAAACATGGTTATCAACCTGCAGTAGATCGTACTGATCCTGAAGATAGGGCTGCTTTCCCAGCTACTCATACTAATTATCCAGCAGATGGTAAACATGGTTATCAACCTGCAGTAGATTGTACTGATCCTGAAGATAGGGCTGCTTTCCCAGCTACTCATACTAATTATCCAGCAGATGGTAAACATGGTTATCAACCTGCAGTAGATCGTACTGATCCTGAAGATAGAGCTGCTTTCCCAGCTACTCATACTAATTATCCAGCAGATGGTAAACATGGTTATCAACCTGCAGTAGATTGTACTGATCCTGAAGATAGAGCTGCTTTCCCAGCTACTCATACTAATTATCCAGCAGATGGTAAACATGGTTATCAACCTGCAGTAGATCGTACTGATCCTGAAGATAGAGCTGCTTTTCCAGCAACTCATACTAACTATCCAGCACCGGGACCTGGAAGTGGTGACATTCCATTTACTGTGGTTATACCTGTGATAAAAGCTGCTTACCCAGCTTCACATACACAAGCACCAGTAGATCCTAATCATGGCTATACTCCAGAAGTACTAGTGCAAGAGTTTGTAGATAGGGCTGCTTTCCCAGCTACTCATACTAACTATCCAGCACCTGGACCAGGTGAACCCTTAAATATACCTTGGGAACACTTATCTGAACTGCTAGTTAAGGATGATAAGGGCATACCTTATGTAATGACAGCTGCTGGTCCAGTATATGGTGATGGAAGTATCAATGAACTTATTCAAGCTGCAGATATAGCAGCTATAGCTGAAGAAGAAAAGTTAAATGTTACATTGGCAAATTGATCTTGTAGTTTATCTTATATATTTGTTATTTTACTCTGATAAGTATAGAGTTAACATATTTCAATAACTCTGATACAGTAGTTCTACATAACTAAATTAGGCGATTGGTTTTAGTATACAAAATATATACTTGTATATATAATTATCTAAATTATTACTAACTAAGCAGTTGCTCACCAGTCTTCTCTTGTATCTTAGAATATATTGATATATTACTTTGTATTATTGCAATTCTACTTTTAAATTGAGCCTTGTGATATTTAAGTAGGTATTCTGGTATTGAGAAGTTAGATAGAACCTTAATCACCAAACTTTTTGAGTTCCCACAAATGAATTCAATTTCACTAATTGTCATTCCTTCAATTGATGATAAATCTAAAAATGCCTTTTTACAAGAAGATTCATAAGATTCTATACAATCTTCTCTACCCAGGCATGAGTCTAATATTTGTGTCCCTATGTCAATAAGTGATCTAATACTTTTCTTTGCATATTGATTAACGGAGTTTACAAGCTCAGATAATATTGATGTAATAGTATATATAATGGGCCTAACGACTAAAGGTTGAGGCTGCACATAACTTAGTATGGATTGACAAATTGTGGAAACCAAATCCTTTGGTATCTCTTTAATATACTTAGAGAATAAAATAGAGCAATCACTTACAACTTGTGATACTGAATATTCAAAGTTTAATTTACATACTATATTGGATAGTTCTCTTGTTGTAAACAATGCACCTGCCTTATTCCATATTTGTTCTTGGAGGGAATTAATAATTAGAGTATGAATAATATTACACTCAAACTGCTGTTCTATGCTAATAGTTCCAAAAATATCTACAAAATTCTCCATAACCTTGCCACATATCTTGCCTAAAATTTTTGTAGCAGACTCAGATGTTTCTAAGGGTGCTAAATAGCTATTTGCAAAGTTACTTAGTGGTACGAATATTGAAATTGTTAATAGAGAGTTAATACATGTAGGAATAAAGAAGTTGATTATCTGGGTAGATATAATCCCAGCTTTTTGCTGAGAGATATCATTCTGATTAGGTACAACGATAGTAGATGAGGTCACAGTTCTAGTTATCACTATACATGCTTCTATTGCGTCTAAAGGAAGTTGCATTGAATTGCTTATAAATACCAACATAGAGGCTAGTATTTTTTCTTCATAAGTCAGTAATTTACATGGTAATATTAAATCAGTATAAATATCATCATTGAATATTAATTTTTCAGAAACCTTAAGTTCTTGAACCTCAGTTACACTTTCAGTTAATAATTCTGGGGATATACTACTTTTACCCATATTATATTTAAGGGATCTTTCGGATTTTTTAATTGATATAACTGGGGAATTTATGAATGGTAAAAATAATAAATTAGGTTTTTTAATAATAGTATCACTTTCAATACTTATTTTATTATTATTACATGACAGACCACCGATTATATCGAATGATTCAAAATTTAAGGTTTCTGGAACAGATTTAAACGGAGTTAGTTTTATTTTATATTTAGAGCAGCTATTATCACTTTTTTTGGGAAAAATATATTGCAGGTTATTAGGAATTTTATCTTTAGAGCAATAGTAGCCTCTAATTCTTCGCATCTCCAGTATATCTTTACATACTATGTTTGCTTGACTCTCTGTAAAGCCAAATGGCAAGGATAAAACACGTAAAATTGATTCAACACATTGTTCAAGAGAAGGATTTAAAGGTAATAGATCTGATATAAGATAACTGACTTCAGGAGTTATAAATATTGAATTTTTTAGTGGATAAGACTGTTCATTAGGACTTTTTGTATTATTTGAAGGTATTTCTTGGAGTGAATTAGAAATTACTTCATAAATATTTTCAGCAAAGTGTTGGCGATTGAGAACAAGTTTTACATGTTCATGTAATACATTCTTACAAATACTTCGTGATAATGATGCATTATTTCCAGTAGCTGATAAGGTACTTGAAGTTTTTTTTTCACAATCATCTATAACAGTTTGGAATTGATCATGAAAGGTTTCCCCAGCAGTTAGATCTAATGATCTTGCCAAAGATTTGGTTATCTCATAGTTTATTTTAATATTAGACTCTATTAAAAATCTCTGAAATAGTAAATTTATTCTATTAACCGTGTATTCTGGAGTTTGATATACACATCTGACCAATTTTACTGTGTATAGAAACAGAAATACTGCAAAATATTTAGATCTTAGATATAAAGTCATTATAAAGGATATTGTGGTTATCTAGATAATTTTATTTAACAGTATTAATCTTTTCTTGTATTTGTTACCTACTTTAGTGTTAATCCTTTTGTGGCGCCCCCAGATCTATTTATTTTAAAAGATTAAGAAAATATTGGTAAAGAAGAAATTGGGCTGAAAAATAAATAAGGCAGAGATATACTCAAAAAATCTATTTAAATTCAGGATTTTGTTTATAAAATTGTGTGTCTTTTTTTTTTATTATTTTCTCCCAACTAAATGGTGTGTACTCCCAGAAGTGTGAAAAGTATGAGATTTTATTCTTATCAAGATGGATTAAGGAAAATATTTGTGTGTAATTAGTACACATGGATATTTATTAATTATTCAGTATATAATAAGCAGATATAATATTGAAAATTGTTTTAGAAAGTTTCTGAAAAGTTTAATTTAGTAAATATATTTACTTGACAACTAGAAATCATGCAAATAGTTATCAATCGCGGTAAAGCTTTAGATCCTGTAGCCAAACCCTATTATGGCTATAATTATAAATCATTGGAACACCAGATATATAATGAAGATATCACATCAAATAGTTCTGGTGGACAGAATGGTAGTAATTTTGCATCTTCAGAGAGTGAATCAGAAGCTGAAAGAAACAGGCTCCTAGCTGAAGCAACTAAGGCAGCTGAAAAGTTGATGAGTGCTCAGTTTGGTAAGTTGAATCTTGAATCGCAGCTTAGGACAGCAGAGACTAGATATCCAACAAGGATTCACTCACCAAGATATTACAATGAGAAAAAAGAGATAATTAATCGGGCAAATAAACTCTTACAAAATAAGGGTGGGTTTTTGTCATCTTTTATTCTGAATGGATCAAGCTGGTTTAAATGTGCTGATTTGCTTTTGTCCAATTGTAATGACTATAATGAAGCTGGGATTACACAAGACTCTTCTAATATGACATTTCCTTTAGGTGATAACCCTAGTCAGGTATTTGTTGGGGTTAAAAGTAAAGAAACATCAGATAATAAAAATGAAACAGATCTATCTGTATCTGATATAGACAGTAATACAAATAATTTAAATATTGACGATCAAAGTTATGTTAAAAATTCAAACTATAACACCAAACAGAAATGTAGCAATAATACTGAAACTAAAAATGGAAATGTGATGAAAGTAGAAGGAACTATAAATGAAACATCTGATATTTGTTACTTTGAAAATGGTTCAGCTTTCTTCACTTATTTGGACAGCATAGGAGATGGTAAGAAGCATTTAAATAATGTGAAGTTGTCTAAAGAAATACTTGATATATGCAAGTCAAATAGTAGTAATATAAAGAAACAATCAAATATCAAAAATACAACTAAAGATAATATAAAGGATAATACTAATTATATATGTGATTCTTCAATAAGGATTGATTCAGGTCAATATTTGGAATTATTAGGAATAGATACTTTGAAACTTGGGTCTTTCGGAATATCAAATACAGATAAAAATATGAAGGATAAAGAGAGTTCAGCTTTTATTAAACAGCCTGTAAAATCAGAAGCCTTTCCAAAAACCAAAGTTAAAAATCTACCTAAGAATAAAATGTCTGATGATCATAAAGATAATATTTTGTCGAATAATAATAACAAGAATACTGAATCTCACCTGAAAATACGCAAATCTAATAAATCAAATATATGCAAACAGAAAGATAACTTAGTAGAGAATACAGTAGTGACAGTATCAAATTCTAGACAACATCTTGAGACTAGAAAGGATAAGGGAAAAATATGCAAGAATCAAATTAAAACTTGCAAGAATTTAAAGGAGTGCAAAACACACGAAAGTTTGGAATCCTTAAGCTACTCTTCAAATATTATAAATGTAACTTCCAATTGTATATTTACTGATATATTTTAGGTTTTAATATATTTTTTGAATTAAAATTAAAGAGTAATAATGTATTAGAGCTAGATAAGTGTATAGAAAGATATGTATTATTATTGTAGTTGATATTTGAATTTGAATATTGTTACTTTAAATTTTTAATTTTCAGATCTTATGTAAATTCTATGTGATCTAGAAATTACTCATTAATAGATCTGGAATTTTAAAGATTTAAAAGAACCTCCTGAAGATATTCTTAGAGATAATATTTAATATGAAATTTATAAGGTAGAAAATGAGACAGTTTTATTTTGGATTGATATTTATAGTCTGTACACCTATTAAAGAAGCTTATTCTTTATCTTCAGGAAATGTACTAAGTAGTTTCTCATCATATTTTCACAATCTAAGCTATGAAAAAAAACAATCAGTTGTGAGTGAAGCACTGCAAGAGCTACAAATGGTATTTCCTCAAGGATTAGATGTTGAACAAATACCCATTGATTCAAATTTAGAAGCATGCCAAGCTGCATTAAAAAGATCTGTATTTCAAAATCATGAATGGTATAGTTTAGCAATGGGGCAATTTACTCAGCTAAAATTTTATAATCTATTTATAAATGAAAAAGTATCTACAGAAATTCAATCTGCACTACTTGCAGCTCAACAAAGTTCTATTAATAATGCATGTCCAACTATTAATCAAAATGAAATAATTATTCAAGGTGTATTATATACTTCGGAACAAATTAGTTCAATTCTAGAAGAAAGTAAAATTCTTAAGACAGAAAATGTACAATTAAGAAATTCAATTGCCAAACTCCAGAATGACTTACAACAATCAATTAGGAATATAGAAGAACTAAAATTAGAGGCACAAGCCGCTATTCAAGAATCTAAGCGTATGAAAGTTGATCTGGTTACAATGTCACAGAAGCTTAAGTTAGTAAAAGCTAAAGAAGAGAACCTTAAGAAGGCACTTTATTATGCCCAACGTGGTATACTTAGCAAAGTTAAATCTGCACTCACAAAGCCACTAAGGAATTCGAAGATAAAGAAGGTATTGGGATCTGAGAAATATAAGGAATATCAGAAGAATAAACAACATGAGCATAAACAAGTTAAGCAATTGGGTAAGCAAGTCAAGAACGAGGTTTCAAAAAAAAAGAAAGAGAGAAGAAAGAAAATGATTGAAAGAAAGAACTTACCATTAGGGTTGACATCTGTAGAATCTAGTATTATTGAACAAAGAGAAGCAAGTCGATCTATTGAACCTTCTCAATCTGTTCATTCTTCTAATATGATTACAGATTCATCTCGATTTTTTGAATCTTCAATGTCACCAAGTATGTGAAGAATAGTGGACTCTAAAGTATTTTAAGAAAAATTTAGTGATAGTAATATAAGCTATATTAGACTATTTAAACTCTTTACTAGTTGATTTTACTTATCAAATTGTTGAACAATTAACAGTAGTCTATGAATAAATTTTCCAAATAAGCTTAGATATCTTCTGTTAAACAGAATTTGATCTTAAAATATAAATTATGAAACTTTTAGTTTTTAGACTGTTTTAATTATTAAGTAGATTTTTCTGCTTATTGAGTTTATTATATTGATTCAATGTTTGAAGATTTAAATATGAAAATAGCTATTAGGTATGAGTTCTATTATTTATGTTACACCATTTACTCTTGATTAACAAATTATTAACCTTTATAATTTAAGTCTGAAATATAATTGAAATTGATAATTATATATATGTATAGAATTACTAGTAGTTCTCTAATTTCTTAATTAAAAAAAAATGAAACATATTTAAGAAATATATATATTGCAACAAAAAAATTATCAAGATTTAGTAATTCTTAACATAGTTATATTAGGATAATCTAGACATGTTAGCAAGTTAAGTTCAAAAAATCACTTAGTTGTAACAAATATTTTACTACAAATCTTTAATAATACGATTAGTTGTTATATCTTTCAAAAATAAAACTCCATATATCTAATATTAAGTGATACTAAAGTTAATCTATTTAATTATTTCTAGTCTCATAAATATTTATAATTAATTATAATAATCTGAAATATTATATAACCAATTCAAATTAAGTTTTCTGATTACATAATATCCGGAAAAAAATCCAGATTATTAATAGTAAGAATATTTTAAATAACTTTAATTATTGAGATTATCTTAGTATCTTAAAAAAATCCATTAAATCTTCAAATTCCTCTAATTACATATTCTAAAACTTATATTTAAAGCTATAGTCACTTGAATATGTGCTCAGAATAATTAATAATATTAGATATAGTAAATTATTTGACTATCAGCTTACAAGTACTTCATCACTACTTATACAATACATCCAATGATGTTGTTCCTATATATAAATTATTTTATCTAAAATTTATGAACTCCATTATATATTTAATTATATTTTCAATTAATATCATATAAATAAAAAAAAAAATCATATCTGTTTTTATAATTAAAAAATATGGAGCCTATATGATAAAGTACTAATATTGAGTACTAAGAATTCTTCTTAAATACTATATTCACTTTTTCCTATACAAATTAATATTTTCTTGTCTTTTCAGTTGAGAGATTTTTGCTTTCTCTTCATTGGCTTTCTTAATATTCTCCCATCTTTTCCTCGATTTCTCTTTCTTCGCTAGTATTTGCTTCTTTGATTTCATAAGTTTACTTAAATTATCCTTCACCTTAACTCTATTAGCACGTTGAAGAGCTTTCTCCATTGCTATTTTGGTCTTTTCAACGTTACGGATATGGTCAGGTAAGGTATCTAACCATATTTCTTCTTCTTTAATCTTCTTTATAGATTCTTCAATACGTTTTATTTTAGAACCTTTATATCTATCAAATAACTTTTTATTCTGTAAATCTGAAGTATTAGATGGGGTAATGATATTTCCAAAACATTGGTGATCCTCAATATCACTGTTTTGGTTATCAATTTCCTTTTGTTTAATTCCTATGAGTTTTTGTTTTTTTTCCCTCTTATCTTGTCTATTCTTATTTCTTAAAATCTTATTTTGACGAAGTTCTGCAATTTTTTTAGCTAACCTCTCCTTTAGTTCATTTCTAGTAATAGGTTCTTCTGACCTTACTGGTAGTATAGTATCTCCAGATAGCCTTTGTTCTCCCACTGTTTTATATTCTTTATTAGCATCAAAGTGTCTCTTAATAATTTCAAGCGATGTTAGCAAAGTGTTAGGACTATATCTTTGGATTTTACTTTCCAGTGCACTCGATTTTTTCTTGGTATTCATTTTGCTCTTAGCTAAATAAGCTCGTGTACTAACTTCCTCTTCAGTATGGAGTAATATATCTGAAGGTAATAAATTTAGACTATATGAGAAACAACCAAGTTCAGTCCAGATCCCTTTCATGAATCCCACTATGCTCAATTACTTTATTTAAATTTTAAACGAAAAGTTAAAAGTGATATTATCTTCAAGAGATGCCACTATAGTGATATCTAAAATTATTAAGCGCGTAAGGCATCTACATCTTATTGAGTCAGTACCTATTATCCTAAATTATTATATTTAGAGCTTAATAGTATTCAACTATCTTTTTAGCAATCAATATATTACTGTTGAGACTTTTATATACAATATCTTTTATATTAATAACTTCATTAACAGTAAGAGGATTACACTTATATTTCTCGTAAACCCCAAAAATAGCATTAAAATAGCATTAAATTAGTTAGGGTTCATGGTTTATATTCTAGTCAAATACCAAAATATATAAGATTTTTTATTGGTTCATTAAATAAACTAATGTACTCTGTCCTATCCTAAACTTACGGAAATAAATGTGTTAATACATTCCTTAGTATCAAAGATACAACAAAAGCTACATGTAAGAAATATTACGTAACTTCCATTATGAATAGGTATTCTAAAAAGAAAGATAAAGAATCATTTAGAATGAGTATGAAAATTAATAAGAATAAAATTTTAGGGGTAAATACAAGTAATTAATATGTTCATAATACTGAAATAAAGGACTTAAGTCTCAATATTAATTTGAATCGAGATTTTGAGAGTAATCCAGATTTAATTTATCCTACTAAAATTCCTTCACTTCGATCTAATTCTGGTTATATGAGATCTTTACTACCTATACCAATAAAATCAAATATATTTCTTACTTTATCTCTAATTCTAATAATAATTGAATGGGAAAAATTAAAGTAGGAACTAGTAAAGATCACTTTAGATAATAAAGTAGTACTATTTATAAAGAGTACACCTTTTGAGCCTAAATGTAGTTCTAGCCGTAGTATATCTTTGGTTATGGTGTTAGTTGGTATCTTAGAATACAAATTTATTGATATTACAAAATAATCAGCAATTAGGGAAGGTATCAAGAAATTGAACAATTGACCTACAATACTACAGCTCTATCTTGATGGAATTTTTATTAGTAGCTATGATAGTGTTGAAAATATGCTGAAAAGTGGAGAATTAAAATAATTCTTGATATCAAAAGGTGTAGATTTAAGGCCAGATATAACTATGAAATATATAAAATAAAATCCAAGTTATATATACCAAGTTGAAAATTATCAACGTCTTTGAAAACATCTAATTCCTTCATAAAGAAAAGAGTCATTGTATTTACATTAGGAAATTTGCAAGATATATAGTATGTACAAATAAATACTAGAAAAATTACTAAATAGGGGTGATAGATATTATAGTAATATGAACAAAATGATGAGCAATTATGATGATCTCTAGCATAAATATTATTGTAATAATAATAGATATATTTAAATTACTGCACATTGTCCAGAACGATTTAACCAATATATTACAAAAAAGTAGTTGAGATATATTCAAAACTAAGTGGACTGTATTTAGAGGTTCATGGTTTCTATAGTTCAGGTAATTATACAGATAAAAGGGTAATTATTATCTATCTTAGTGGATTTATCCTATTGCTGTATATAATTTAGGTAACAAATACCTAAATTATAAAGATAATAAATTCAAATGACCATCTTTTAAACTATGAAACATCTCGATGTAGAATAATTCAAGAGTTCAGAATCAAAAGTCACTAAGATATTTTGAGTAAAAAAATCCATTATAAATTACAACATTTAATATTGTCCTTTATTTTTACTAGCAAGTTAGAGTATATATAAGCTTCAGGACAGCTTAAATAAAAGCATGTGTAATAGGAATATTGGATGTGTCATTATACAACTCGAGAGGTTTTAAGTAAGATATCAGATCAATTTAAATATCTCAGAAGTCAGTATAATCCAGTTACTCAAATTAATGGTTTCTATATTTTAGAAAATCTTGAAATTCAGAGAAATAAACTCTTAAAAACCACAATTTATATGCAGATTCTTCAGTATGTTCGATCTCTAAGCCTCTCTTCAAATTGTTTATTTTTAATCATACAAACGATGTAGAGATACTTTATAATTTAGGTATAATACTAGAGTAACACTCATTCTCTCATCAACTTTAATCTCCTAATTTGATTTATCCAACTTTCTAATCTTTAAGTTCAATTGTATTAATTCAACGTATAATCTCTAGCAATGTCTCTCTTTTATATTGTATGATGATAGTACTGTATTCATATCCAAAAGCATAAAATTCTCCTCATGTCCTATGAGCTTGTAATTCCCGGAAATCCTAACATTAATATATATAATACAACTCCGCGATATACTTCTTCATGAGAGTGTAGAAATAAAGATTGACCAAATGTAACTCCTAGTTAACATTGCATTTAAAAATGATTGGGATATAATAAATATATTAGATATTGTTAGATGCAATAAAGAGATTCCTTCAAAAGTCCTTTTACATTAATATCTTGTCAGGAATATTTTTAATTAAATCAAAATATTTTCAAAGATATACCGTCATTTAGTTATACAATATATTTTATTTATCCCTTTACTTTTAATTGGTATTAGTATTAAATTATGGAATACCAAAACAACCAATTACTGCATAAAGGATGCATTTGCAACTTTACACAAGTCATAGTTATAATGTAGTAGAATGAAATCTTAATTTCCTATTCAACTTATATACAAAAAGATTCCATATACCACTTGAATTAAAGTATACAGACATTTAAGTAGCACTAGTATTAACTTCAAAACTAATATATAGTTTATACTGCACATTGCAATTTATAGTCCATTTATACTACCAAACCCTGCGTAACACAAATAATACTCAACTTATGTATATAGTGCAGGATCAACCTGGACAGGAATTGATGTAATCTCTGTATTCAGCTCTTTCTCTATTCTGTATAAGTTATATCTATCTTCATATGTAATCAAATTTATTGCTAATCCCAAGTGACCAAATCTACCAGACCTACCAATCCTATGAAGATATGTCTCAGAATATTTTGGAAAATCAAAATTTATAACAACATTGACAGACTGAATGTCGATACCTCTAGTAATTAAATCTGAAGATACCAAACATCTACATGCACCATTCCTAAAGTCATGGAATACACGATTTCTATGAGATTGCAGCATCCTTGCATGTATATAGAAACACGAACTACCCAACTCAGTAATTTTTTTGGCTAATAGTTCAACTCTTGCTACAGAATTGCAAAATATTATAGCCTGGTTAATTTGTAGCTTACAAAATAAAGTATTAAGACAATGAAGTTTCTGTTTCTCCTCTACAAAAGCATAATATTGAGTTACACCCTTTAATGTCAATTCATCCATTAAATTAATTTCATGAGCATTTGAAAGATATTTGTCTTTAAAACCCTTTACAGTAACTGGAAATGTAGCAGAATATAAAAGTATCTGACGTTCCTTAGGTAAAAACTCGATTAGTTCTTCAATTATAGGCTGAAATTCAGGGCTTAATAATTTATCAGCCTCATCCATTATAAACATAAAGCAACCACTAAGGTTACAAACTTTCTTATTTGCTAAATCAAGAACACGACCTGGTGTTCCAACTAAAACATGTACAGGATTATTTAAACGTAATATATCATCACGTAGTGAAGTACCTCCTGTACTAACCATACACTGTACACTGATATGTTTACCAAGTTGTTTAACAATACTACTTGTTTGTAGAGCTAATTCCCTTGTAGGTACAAGAATCAATCCCTGTATAGTATTTTTCTTTGTGTTGATCTTTTCAAGCAATGGTATAACGAAGGCTGCTGTCTTACCAGTTCCATTCTTAGCTCTAGCTAATATATCCTTTCCAGCTAAAGCTACTGGGATACTTTCTTCTTGTATAGGTGATGGTCTTTCAAATCCCTTCTCATATATACCCATTAATAACTCTCGCTTTAAGAAATAATCTTCAAAGTCGCTACCTTTTGTCTTTGTTACGTCATCCGTCTTAAAGCGTGGGTCTTTTGGTGGAATCACCAAATCCTTCATTCCTGCGTAGTTGCTCTCTGTATGCATCATATATATATTAGCCCCAAATTAGAGATTTATTGGGCTGAATTTACTTGTAAACTTGTTTACCTTTTAAATAAATTACTATAGAAAATACTTTGAGGGCGAGACAGGATGCTTTCTGCTATCTTTACGTACCCCTCACCATTCAAAAGTATAAGACAGTCACCATACGCGCCCATTAGAGAGACTTGGAATATCACGAGTGTATTGTTTAACCACTAAGCAAGATTTCTACTTTATTTATAATTGAATGTATTTAGGTAGAAATTGTGATATATTGTACTTAAGCTCTGATTACTATTCGTATAAGTTTTATTTTGTATCTTTTTTTAGATATAGTTAAAAAAGTATGTGAAAGTACTGGAGAATTATGGAGTATAAAATATAAATTCTTAATTGACACTTTTAAGCCACTAAGACAACCCTAGAACTCTCGTAGCAACGTTTTAATATATTTTGTTTATCTCACTTCCGAACTTATACTATAGAAAGGAAATTATTTGAGTTTCATAATTATTGAATAGTTATACATAGAGGAATATTATAATACATATTATATATATATAAGAAAGAATATAATCACGAGATATCATCATTCTTAAATATATTTGTAGATTTCATCCTAATAATTAAAAGTTTCTATTTATTTATTTTATAATTCAATATGCATACTCCTCAGCAATGTCATAACATTGAATCCAGCTTTATTGAACTTATGGGGAAGTGCAATAGTGAAAAACTGTAAGGTCATTGGATATATAAATTATTAGCACAGTCATTTATATAATATATGATAGAATAATCCCATTATTGCCAATATTTGGTAATATTATATACTTAATTTTATTGGGTTTTATTCTAACGTGATGGCAATGTGCATTATACAATATATTATAGTTAAAAGTACAATATTAAGTATAATCTAATTATAATGATATCCTGGTTTAATGCAGAAATATTGACAATATTATTTTGAATTATTTAATATTAAATGGTTATTATGAAGCTGCAATTGAGTATTGCCAAGAAGCTCATATTACACCTTTGGAATATATTAACAAAGTAAGGAATTTTATAAAAATAAAAAATTGTATTCTTGACCATAAATATGAGGAAGCAATTGATGAAATTAAAATACTTAGAACATCTGAGGTATCATCTATTAAACTAAGTAATACTGAAGATAGTTCAATAAATATATTAGATGAAATAATATTTCATATTAGAAAACATCAATTATTTGATATTTTTATCCAAAATAATGATTATGTAGAAGCTTTAGAATTTATTTCAACTAACATGATTCCTCATACTAATATTAAGGTAAGTCATTTCTTCTCCAAGTAATAATTAATGTCAATTCACTTATATATAATTAAAGCCTAGTTTAATGGGTGATTTAGAAGAAATTATGACAATATTTCTATTCAAAGATTTATCTGTAAGTTCAGAGCCTGTTAATAAATTAGAAATTTGTAATAGTTTGATCTATTAATGAGAACAACTTATCATAATGCAAAGAATCTCAACTGAAATTAATACTGTAAATAATGTACATATATTGAAAGTATTCACACTTAATTATTCTGTTTAATATTTTAGAATGACGAATGTCAAGTCTTCTTAAAAGAACAAAATGATTATATTAAGACCGCAGAAATGGTATATATGTCTTTATTTGAGTACTTCAATATAGAGACAGGTATGTAACTAAGTAACAATGAATAATAAGATATATAAATGTTTAATATGCTTATAGAATCTATACTCGAGTTTTTACTAAAACTTTGTACCTTTCTCAAAGTTCGTAAAGTAAGTGATGTTTCATTAAATTATTTAGAAATTATGGTAACACTTCCAATATTTACACACTTTTTAGAATAGGAGTTCTCCAGATATTATGTTAATGAAAGGTTTTAAGTCACAATTTCCATGTTTGTCATAATAACGAAGATTTATTTGGAAGTATCCAGTTTGTTTACGATTCACTTCATGATGCCACAATTTAATATTATAGCGGGTTACATATAGCAACTTGTCCAGAATATAACTTGGTACTAACTGTAATAAATACAGAAGCTAATTCTTTTTATAATTAATGCAAATAATAAGGTTAAAGGTTATTAAAGATGGATTTGGATTTGTTAAACTTAAAATCAACTGTTCAGATGACATATGGGAGTTGTATAATCTAATTATACCTGGTGATAGCGTGAGGTCTATTACATACAGAAAAGTATACAAAGAATACGGTACTGGCTCATCATCTGTAAAAGTTCATCGTTTAATGTTGACTTTGATTGTAAAAGGATGTACTTATGAAGGAGATTGCCTTCGTATTAGTGGTCTTAATGCTGTAGAGAATGAGTTTGTTAAAGTTGGACAGCATCATACAATAGATATTAAAGTAGATAGTGAACTGATTTTATACAAGAAGTCTTGGGATTGGCTATCTAAAAAAAAGTTAATGGAATGTTCAGATGAATCTAATGTTAAGAAAAATGATATCTGTATATTATTGATGGACAATAATGGTTTAGCTAATTTTTATATAGCAACTAAAACTAGTATTAAACACTTATTTAATGTAACTCATAATATATCAAAAAAAAGAGGTGATAACTCTTATAGAGATAGTAAATATAATTTTTTTGAAAAAATTAATAACAGCCTAAAACAAAATTTAGATTTGAATAATATAGATTGTATTATTACAGCTGGACCAGGATTCATGAAGGACGATTATTTGGATTATATTAAAAATACTTCTTTACATAAAGACAAGGAGTTCTCGAAGTTAATATATAATAAGAAGCATATATTTTTAATAGCAAAGGCATCTAATGCTAACAAACCAGCAGTTGAAGAATTATTGTCTAGTGAAGAACTACAAGATAGACTGAAGGATACAAAAGCATTTATACAGGTTCAAATGCTAAACAAGTTTCATATGTATATTTGTAATAAACCTTCAATGGTATGCTATGGTCCTAATCATGTAAAAAAAGCCTTAGAAAATAATGCTGTAGATACATTATTATTATGTGATTCGCTACTACGTTGTTTTGATACCTCTAAAAGGAGGTTTATTACAAATCTTGCTGAATTAAATACTAATCTTGGTGGGAAGTTATATATTTATTCTGAAAATCATTTCTCTGGGCAACAATTACAAAAACTTTCAGGTATAGCTGCCATACTTCGTTTCCCTATGTTAGAAGAAGAATTTGAAGATGAAGATAACCAAATTCTAGACAATATAAATAGTTGTACAAATAATGATAATGAATTTGCTAGTAATTACGTTAGTTCAAATGGTCAAAAGTCATTTGTTGAACAAATTCAAGATGAAATTGATGAGGACAGTAGCTATTGTGAAAAGCTAGGTAATCTAAAGATATAAATATTAAAACTACTTTAAAGAATTTATATTAAATTTATTCTTTTTTATAAATACAAATATTTATATAGAAGATGAAGATTATATCTAATTTTTATAATTGGATTTAAACTCGTATATTATAATTATAAAATGCAAGAATTACGAAGAATTAATGAATGCTGATTCTTCAAATGATACTAAATTATTTCCATTCAGTCTACTATTATGTAGGATAATATATTGAATATTTTTGGGAATATTAAAGATATATATACTTCTAAATGACAGTAGGAATTATGGGAAACAACTTATAAATATCTGTTAATATTAAGTCTTGATTTCATTTAATATTCACCTGTATTATTTTAAAGGATACTAAATAGTTCACTAATTATTCTATAAAAAAGAAACTTTTGAGATAATTTAAGTATAAACTAATTACTACAAAGATATTTATTCATGATAAATTTATTTAAGGTTAATTTAACTTAGATTCTTCAGTTATTTAGAAACAGTGAAATCTTTTATTTTACACTCATTCTACCTGGTAATAAGTTTGTTTAGTATTCTTACTAATACTATATTAACTCTTTGTTATTTTAGAGTTTAATCCTTTAAATTTTTACTAATTAGAAATAATAAAGATGTACTATAAGATTAATATACATGTTTAATATATACTTAATTATATTTCTCATTACTTAGGTTGTACATGAACTATTCCCAGTACACAACATTATCGAAATTAACTACCTTCTGAAGTACTAGATAATTTTACACCAATTACCTAACTTAAAAAATATTATTTGTATTAAATAATCATCTGCATATTTCTGCACAAGTAAATCTATTCTATATCTCGTGTATATTTAAGTTTTACACTAATTAATGCAAGCTTAAACTATTAGTTACAAATCAGATTAGAATAGCTAAATTCAGATAATAGTAATCCTAATAATAAATAAGATTTTTCATCTACTCATCATCTTCCTCACAACTTCCACCTTGGTTACGTAAAGTTCGTCTTCGTACACGTCCTGGACGTCCACCACCAAATGGTGAAGACAAAGAAAAATCAATATGCTTCTCTGAATCCAATCTAACCATAAATGATGGGACATTAACAATTTGTCTACCAACACGGATATGATGCTGTCTAATTAGTACACGAGCATGATGAATGCTTTTAGCAAGTCCTAATTTGAAGACACGAGTCTGTAAACGTCTCTCTAAGAATTTGTTCACCGTTAAACCAAGTACATAATCTAATTTCCTCTCATTTTCCGATAATAACCCAAGACGTTCCATACGACGTAATAATGCCTCGCCTAAACAAAGTATATAGTTAGAATCATATATTACAAGTTCAAGGGTAGTGAAGTATTAATATATCATTAGAAAGTAATGTATCATGGGGGGAACGGATAAAGTACACAGAGACTGAACAATATTATAACACCCATGAGGTATTTATATTTTTCAGAATAGCATATTATCAACTATATCCCAGAAGTAAATCATTCGATATTAGCACATATTATGATCTCAGATTTCATGTTAATTAGAATAAGAGAACTTTATGTGCTATTTACCTCACTGAACTGTATATACGTTTATACTTACCTTGAAAGACTCGAATTGGATCTTTATCATCCAAAGTAAGTAGATGACGTGCAGCTGCTCGAATCTTGGCTAAAGTATATTGAACACGCCAAACTTCACGCTTATTCTTTAAGCCATATTCACCAATAAGTTTCATTTCAGCATCCAAGCGTTCCTAGAGAGAAATAACAAAATTATATATTAAAAATTTACTTTTATATATTATTCTAAAAGCTTACCTTCTCAAAAGGACGTTTAGGTTGACGAGATGTTTTGGAGTGGTTTGTATACGATTTAACCATCTTTACTAGATTACTTTAAATAAATAAGAAGTCAAAATACGATCTATAATGATTCCTAAACACTAAGACTTGGCGACTTCAATTATATACAATTTGATGCTTCATCTGGTCTACACAACCAGCTTAGCTACATTATGTTAGAGCGGTTTTGATGGTATTAGAGACCGGATACCTGAAATTACTAGTAAAGCTATGAGACAGCAATAGTAGAGGTGACACTATTTGAGACGTGTTAAGAAGCGGGTTTTATTGTATCTATTACAAGTTAAGATGATATTAACCTAATGATGAAAAGTTAACAAGTAGTTATCTGAGTTTATTACCTTAAAATGATGAGGGAACTTTATAACATGATTGTATGCATCTTATTTCTGACTATTGATGAATTTACTAAATATATCGGTCATTTTAGTACTTGGATCTTATAATTATGGTATTGTCAGATTTGACACTCAATTATTAGAATATAAAGGGAGAAATTTACATACATAAATCTAAAAAATATAGCTGTGTATCTAGATGCCTTTATTCACTTATTAATCTCTATAATAACTTAAGTAAGGTAGTATATATAGAACAGAGATCTAAGATTTAGTCAAACTGAGATACTTAATAATTTGGGGGTGATAAATATTCTCAATTTAAAAATGACATTTGGACCCCTTATACTTGAAGGAAATGGCTAAGAGTAAATAATCCTAAATAGGGTATATAATAGTGGATTTTAATAAAATTGAGTTTAAAACGAAGACTTACTATTATGTTTGAGCTATTAATGTAGAAGTGTTTAGATTATATAAATAGTTGTGTGATAGATACCATCAATGTGATAGTATTTAATACAAAGTAAGAGTAGTTATCTCTATAATATAAGTAAGTGGTACATATAATGTATATATACCTATTATGTTGTGAAACCAACTAATATAGTTATATTGTCTATATTGCTAAACTATAAGAGTTAAATATAATACTTAACATTCAAGTACTTAATCTCTATTATAAATACTTCACAGTAATTTTAATTACTAATTTGAGTGCTTAATAAGTCAATAGTTTAACTTAGAAAATTATCAATGGTTATTTTCTTTTAAATTGCAAAAATCAATATTCAAACTTTTAGGATAATATCTAAAGTATTAGCTATTACTAATCTTATAAATATTTACATCAAACAGAGACTTACAAAGTAGTAAAATAGTATAATTTACCTTAATAATAATTTACTGATAGGTTTTAAATATGTACTTTATTTGAGGTGTAAAAAAGAACTTTCATAAAGTAATATTATAAGTATGATGAAGTAATTGATACCTTTTAAATAACCAATATATTATTAGATACTAACAATATAAATGGTTATGGACTAGAGTATAGGGAACAATTGAATGCTAATTATATATAGTACTAAATTCTTTTATTGTATGTCTTCAGTGTGTAGAAATCTAATAAAATTATCTGGAAATACTAGCTATAGATTTTAGAATATCCTTTTTATATCAACTAAAAAAAGTCTAGTTTCCATAATTTCTCATTTAAAGTTATAGTTGTATATGTCAGGGTAATATTCTTAGAGTTCATCTTCTACAACTGTATTGTTTGTTAAGTTAATAAAGTGTTGTTCTTTTATAATCAATTATTGCATTAATACATGCTATTATCCAAAAAGATCTCACTAATTTAAATCCCCACTATTGAAGTGAATACAATATTCACTGTAAGATGCAATATTATGTAGATATGGTCAATGAGGATAGCTTAGTGGACGTATTTACCTGAGATTTTTAGTTGAAGTGTAACTTTATATTTTAATATTTAATTTCCAGTGTATTATGTAGTTTGTAAGTCTATTGTTACCATTTGAATCTGATTATATCTTCAATATGTGAATTAATAATCAAGTATTTAATTTTATCTTAGTTATATTTATTATTGAAGATATAATGTAGAATTCAGAATATTGAGATCATACTCTTAATTAGTTATTTTATTTAAAGTTCACTATTAAATTAAAATATTAAGTTACTTCTTAACGAACTTGCATTTAAAAAATTCAATATTGATCTTGAAATCCACTATACTACTCATATTTAAGATTCTAGTAAACATGTCACTATAAGCTTTAAATTGATGCCTTATTCAAACATCAGTAAAGTACTGTAATCACTATTTCAAAAGGTATCCTCACCTTCAGTAAGAACAAGAATATTTACTAATATATATATATATATATACTTCAATCTACTTATTCAAAGTTTACATTAGAATTGTGAAATCAACTTCATATTTCTAGAATATAGTCATTTTTAAGTCCAAAATATAGTCTTGATAAGTTGGATACTTCAGTTAATCAAGCCTTGTGACTTTAGTCCCGTCAATATAAATTATAAAATATAACTATTCCTCTGGTATTGCAATATTAGGGTTATTTAAATGACTATGTAAGTGAGGATGTTGTACAGGTTGTAATAATTGTTTAACCCCTATATATTCTGCAGCAGCAACTATATCCTTATCATTACATGTAGATAGTCGTTGTCTAATAGTTTCTTGTAAAGCATTAACTTGAGCTTCAAAGGCAGTAAGATAAGCAATTTTGGCAGTTTCTACTTCTGCCCTAGCTTGTTCTTCAGATCTCAATTCATCAGGTCCACTTGATAGTCTGCCAGTATGATCCATACGCGATCTCTCAACTAATTGGTCAATTAATGGTCTCTCTGGATCTAATCCAGCCCAAATTAGGTTCTTACCAACTCCTACACTACGTCTAACAACCCCAATTGCTAATAATACATTTAATACATCATAAACTCTCCTTCGAATATTCTTTGCTTCTGGATTCTTAGATCTACCTGGCCCATCACCTAATTCCATATTTATTAGATGCTCAGTCATCTCATGATAAGATGCTACCTTAATAGCACTGACCTTTTCACATACTCTATGGCTGAACACTCCCAGTTTACACCTATTACGTAGTTGACTAGGTGTATTTCCATAGTCACCAGTATTACTCAAATGATGTGGTGGTATCATTGTTAGGTGTGGTAATGAAGAATGCTCACCAGGTACCAACTGTTCATTTGTATTTGCATTAGATGGATTTTGTGACATACTATACTGACCAGGGTGGTGTTCCATACCTCCTGATGCGGCTACAGGGTGTTGAACATATCCACCTGGTACAAATCCACCACTTCCTCCCAATGTAACACTATTCATATCTCTAGAAGATCTGTCTAAATGTATATTGATTCTTCGGTAACTTTTTAAAAAATTCCCGTATTATGAGTAGAGAAATTATACCAAATGATTTAACATAGGGATCGGCGGCTAGCTACATTATTCTGTTGAGGATTACAGTATCAGTTGTATCGTGTTGTATACATTTATTAAGCAATACGTTAAATAGCACGATTTACCCGCTAGATACTGAGCGCCTTTTTTCGGGGTCATTTTGCCTTAGCTTGGTAAAAGTTACGGAAAAAATAAGGAGATATGTGAGCTTGGCCAAGCTATAATAAGGATGTAAATAAAGAGTTTTACCTAGCGTATTTGGTTTATGAGGAATAGTCGCACAGTTTTTTATATGATATCGTATTTGGATACTATCCAAGTATTTAGACAAATTTCTTAAAGACGGGTCCCGCTTTTACAATTGTTACTACTTATGTTGTCAGTACGGCAAGTAATTGTCCTATATTGATCCCATTATTTTTATCTGAAATGAAGATCCACTTGTCCTCTGATGAGATAAATCTCCTTGTGTATAGATATTTGATTGAAAATGGTTTTGTACATACTGGATTTTGTTTTAATACAGAAGCTAATATACCAAAAAATCCCTTATTGTCATCCCAAATTGATAAAATACCACCAAATGCTCTGATTGCACTTCTTCAGAAGGCTTTACTTTATATATATTTGGAATATCATACAGCTGATGAATCAGGTGAAGAGATTCGATGTGAAGAACCTTTCTCACTTTTTAAGAAACACGAGTGTTGGTGTAGACCTTTAGAACAAGAGAGTGATATAATTAGTGCATCACCATCAGCTGCAGATTATAAAGATATTGAACTTCTTTCTATTAATGAAGATATAGATTCACCACTAAATAACAAGAACTCGCCACAAGCACCCCCTAATAAGAAGGGTAGAAGAAATACCAAAATTTCAGAAATAAATACAAGAAGTGAGAAGAATTTGTCAGAAATAGATCAATCACATAATGAGGTATCAAGAACAGAAGATTTAAATTTTGATATTGATAATGGAGATACTTCTCATACAAATAATGAACAAGATAATGGTAATAGTATGAAAGGAACTTGTGAAGATTCTATTCATAGGGACACTAATACAGATACTTATAATATGGAATATTTTAGTGATAGGATATCAAATACTTTAGATGAGAGTGAAGATTTTAATAATGAATGTATAGATTCTTTTAAAATTCAAAAATATGTAAAAAGTGGACAATATTTGGAACCAAATATAGTTTCTACAATTGATATAGATAAGTCAAATGGTGAGCTAAAAACTCAAAATGAGGCTAATACACATTTACCTATTAATAAAGATAATTTGGATATTATTAAGAGTGATACTTGTAATAAAGAAATAGTTTTAATTAATGTTAATACAGAATTACCACTTAATAACAATATATGTATCAAATATAAAGATGACATTAATTATAAAGTGAAGGATGATAATTCCAACAATATGATAGGTGTAATTTTAAGCAATAACACTTCTTTAGTAGAAAAGTCATCTAATATTTGCCCCCTATCAGATGTACCTCATTGTAAATTGACTAGGGGTAATAACAAAAATATAATAAGGGAGGTACAATTTAGCAAAGATCCTAATGATTCTGATAAATTAGTTATTACATGGGAAGAAAGATGTCCGGAATTATGGGATCTTTCAAATATAGATAATTATATTACAACTAAATCTATGGATAACTCTGCAATATTATTATCTGTATATAAAAATTGTGATGATATAGCAGGAACTGTAGTATCAATGCACTATGAATATTTTGCAATTGGTTATGAGAATGGTGGTGTTGCTATATTTTCATATCTTGGTAAACACTTGTTTGATATACTTCCAAACAATGAACAATCACCAATTATATCTCTCCAGCTAAGTATATCTGGAACATTTTTAGCTATTGGGGATGCAACTGGATTAATTCGAATAGCTGAAATTAAAAAAAATCATTTAGAAAATACTATTAATACACAAATTATATTTCAATATCGTCACAAATCAGCTGTATTTGGATTATGTTGGTGTTATGATGATAGATATTTACTATCAGGATGCCTAAACAAAGATATAACGCTCTGCAACTTAAATTCAAAAACTGTAAAGGTATATTCTCAAAAAGGACAAATATTATCATTAAAACAAACATGTGGTAATCAAATACTTTGTATAATGGATGGTATATCTGATGTTCCTATATTTGAAATAGTTAATTCAGAAGATCAACCAAATTTACAATGTCTATTTACACTTGAACTAACACATTCTAATATTGGAACTGATCATATTATACCTTCTTTAATTGTATTTGCTGAATGTTGCACTATAGATAACCAAAATATATATATTGTAGCTACATTATCAACAATTTATTCATTTGATTCATGTGGTAGAATCTTATACTCACAAGTGATTGTTGAACAAAATGAAAATATTACAATCGTATCCATTATTATATCTAAAGATAGATACCTTATTTATACAGGAACAAATGATGGCTGTATTATATGTTTAACATTACCAGATTTAAAAATTAAAACTAAAATGATTGAAAATACTGAATGTGAAAATACACAAGCAGGAGTTGGTACAATACGTACTAATCTAACTGGAACTCTACTTTTTCATGGTACTTTTCAAGGACCTGTTACTTATTTTTTAAATAATTTAATTAAATAATTATTCTTTTAACTTAAGAAATATTCCTTATATTACATATAATAGATAAAGATATGCACTCTTGTGTAAATTTTGAATTGAATAGCTTATTATAAGCTAGTTTAATTGGTAGATTATATAGAGAATCTGATAAAACAGTCTTTCCATCTTCATATTCAGAACAAAATCCTAGCATAACTTTATAATTTTCATTCATATTTTCTATCCTTAATTTTCCTTCTATATACTTGAGAATATACTTTATAGGGACATTTTCTGTTAATATCAATTCTAGCTTACCATTATTAAATAAATATAATAAATCTGGATTTTCACATTTAAATGTAATCTTAACAGTTATCTTATCATTAGAATAATCTGACTTCATCTTATTGTTGTTTGAAGATCTATTTGATATATATTTAGATTCATTCTTTATAGACATTCTAGCTTCTGATAGTCGACGATTATTCTCTATTACCATCTCTTCATGTTGTTTCTCAAACTCTGCTACTTTTGGAAATAAGCGTGATGCTACAGTATCCATTATACTATCACTTCGGAGAGATCTTCTAGAAGCAATATGTAGACGACATTGAGGACATTCTCTTAATCCAATTCGAACACACTTTTCAATGCATGAGTTACAAAAACGATGAAGACAATCTTTTACAACCATTGTACGACGTAATATTTTGAAACAAATAGAACAGTTAAAATCTGAATAAAGATCATTTTCCCCTAAAGTGGTTTTCTCATCTAAAATTGATTCATCTATTAAAAATTTATTACAATCTATTATTTCATCCTTTTTACAAAGTTTTCTTGGAGGACATAAAATATCAAATAATTCTAACTCCTTAGGTACTATCACCTTTTCCAAAATACTTTCATATGTAGGATATATTGAAAAAAAGTCTTTATCAGTTAGTTTGGGACCATCATTCATATTTAATATTATATTAAAGAGAACAATTTTAAGACTAAATATAACATTCAATTTTGCGCTTAAATTTTATTTCTAGGGTTTTTGAATTAGGGTTTCTATATAATTTATTTAGAAAAAGGGTTTACTCGGAAACTTTATTAATCCAATAAAATACTTGTTAAATCATTAATGACATCCTATACTATTTTAATTATATTTATTTAAGACTTTATTCTTACTAACACTATATTTAAGATTATTCATTTAAAGAAATCCACATATTTCTAGTATCTAAAATATAATTAAAATCTATTAAAAATTAATAATATTTAATATATTAATTAGGAAGTAATATTTTTTTATAACTATATAAATATTAACTAATTTAAATATTTGTATAGAATAATATATTAATACAATTTATAAAAGGATGTATATAAATATTATAGGATCCTATTATCTCTAAAAATATTAACTAAATAATCTTTTTTTTTTTTTATATATTTTCAAAGTTAATAATTAGCTTTTTAATCTATTCTAATAAAGATAAATGTGAACTTTATATTATTAATATTTAACTTGAATATATAAAGAAAGAAAAGAAAATCAAAATATCAAATAAATAATATAAAGTCAAAAATTATATTAATAAAAAATCTTATATATTATTAACTATTCCTTAAAATAAATATATTAACATTAATTAAACATACTATATTCTTTAAAAAAAAAGACTACTAGTTTTAATTTTAAAAGTTAGAATTATAATAGATTATATTAAGTACAATAATGATCATCTCCTTATATTAAAATTAAGATAAATATGGGATATATTATTAAATAATACTCTGAATTTAATATCGTATATTCAAAATTTATGAAAGATGAATAAGATGGTGATGTCTAACCACTCAAATTTATGATTATACTAACTTTTAATCCGCCAAGGTAAGTTTATAATATAAAGGAAATTTACTTGTTTAAATATTTATTATCTTTTATTTATGTATGAATAATGGATAATTATGACAACACTGATAAGGTATTGAATGTAGAAGGTGTAATTAAAAAGACATTAGATGATATTAATATTCAAGATAATAATAAGATTTTTGAGAAATTGGCCTCACAACAATACACTGATGAAATACATTTGAATAATAAAAATGAAGAAGTAGGAGATGAATATTATAAAGATTGTGATAATAATATTAATAATGAAATAATTTTACCAAAAGAAACTTATTCAAAAATACAAGTACAAGAAGATCTTTCAATTCCTCCTGGTAAACCACTTACAGCTTATAATCAATTTCTTGCATCATTAAAAGACCCATCATGTAGTGAAGTTGTACATTTGATAGCAAAATTTATTCAGAAATATCCTGAATTAGATTCAGATTTAATTCATATTATATATGAAAATAATGAAGATGATGAAATAATAAAAAACTTAGGACTAGATGAAGAAATTAATTTGCAATTATTGAGTGATATACTAAATAAGTTTGTATTAGTTTGTAATAATTTATTATTACAAACTGAAATATATATGAAGAATGATTCTGAAGAAGAAAAGAATTATATAATAGAAGGTCTGGAAAAATTGATAACTTCAAAATTATATAATAAACTTATTAAAATAATATCCCTAGAAAATAAGGCTATAGATGAATATTTAAGTATAAAATTAAAAAAGTTGAAATCTTTTGTCCAACTAAATCATTTTGATGTATCTGAAATATATATGGATGTATTAAATACAGAAAATTCATGGCTTGATTTATGTAACAATGAACTTTATAAATTTGTTCGTGTAAAATCCCCTAGGGATAAAGTAATCTTAATTGTAAATGTTTGTAAAGTACTTCTTTCATATATGAATAATATAATTAATGAATGGAAAGATAAACAAAATGATAATAATAATTTTTATAAAGATATACCAGCTCCTCCAGCAGCTGATGATTTATTACCTCTACTTATATATAGTTTAATTCAAATTAATCCTCCAAATCTAAAAACTCATTTGGAATATACTAACCATTTTAGAAATCCTAATTTACTTATTTCAGAAGATTTATATTTTTATACTCACTTTTATTCTGCAGTTACATTTCTTGAAAAACTTGATGGTAAACAAATCCAATTAAATATAGATCCACATATATTTGAAATAAATTATTTTTCTAATACTGAAGAATATATAGAAAAAAGTGATCAAGTAAAAGAAGTTATAACAAAGAAGAATAATTTAATTAATAATAATTCATATAGAAAAAATTCCAATTTTCATCAAGATATAGATAATATAATTAAAAAGTTAGTTCTTTTCCCTTTACAATATGAGGAAATACTAGATGTATCAGATTTAAAAATGGGAGATATACCAAATCTATTTAATCAATATAGAGATTTATCTAAACTTTTAAATGAACTTAAAACTATATATAATAATATTCATTAGCTAATATAATGATAAACCTAAATAATTCAAAAATATTCCTATCTGCCCTTATAAATGAACAGATACATAATTTCGTAATAAATATATTCTCATAAGTAAATAAATCTACATATTCTCCCCATCCTTAAAATTTTGGAAACTATTGTAATAAATATTATTAGGCTTCGGAAATTTTAAATTATCTTTGAATTTCTTAGCAATATAAGGGAATTGTAAAACATTTCTTGGTTTCTGATTCATCCAAAAGTGATGAAACTTAAGAAAAATATATGAAAATAACTCACAAAATATAGTTATAGTATCTTTATTAGTTTTAGCTGTATAAAAAAAGGGTATTATCCGTGAATCTCTCTGATTTAACCAATCACGTAACCATGAAGTAATATTAATACCAGTAACTGCAAATGAGTACCAATATTTAGAATTACTGCATTCATCATGTATTAATTTAGATTCAGCACTATGAGCTAAACTAAAATATAATAAACATATTAGAGCTAAAATACCAACTCCTCTAAAATCACTTGAAGGATCACTTTGTTGAAAACCTAAAACTTCCCACTTTATTTGACTTTTATTAGGATAATAGCATCCCCATAATTGATTAAGTAACATATTATGATCTTCTAAATTTAAAGAAAAATTTATTCTAGCTAAATTATTGATAAAACTTCTTGATTTTGTAGCATATTGAATATATATCAGATTAAGCTTTAATTTCTTTCGAAAATTTATCCTATCTATAATTCGATCAAATTTGGAGGATATTATTAAATCAATACATTTATCCAAATATGAATCATCTACAATATAGATTAATAAATCTGAAATTGATATTAGTTCATCTATATTAATATTACGAGATCTCACAATATACTTCTCAACTAAATAAGGATATAAAGGTTCACTGTTAATAATACGTTGAATTTCACAACTATTCCCAAAAGTCTTCTTTATATATTTATCTAACTTTTTTAAGATAGATCTTTGTAAAGATTCCGCCTTAGGGACTATATAATATTGTTCAGGTAATGCAATAGATGCTCTAGTACCCATAATAGATGATTTTGTTGTTGATTTTATATTACTATCTTTTTCTTTAAATATTAATGGACTTGGATATGCTAAAATATTCTTCTTATTTAAATTATTAGAATTTATATTTGTATGTTTCATATTTCGACTTATTTTATTACTTTTATCAAGTAAATTATTATTAATGAAAATATCATCACTTTCATTATGTTTATCATGATAATTCCAATTACAAACCATATCAATCATTTTTAAAGCAGGATGTTTCTTATCATCAGATATTTTATTATTATCCGAATTTGAATTTATAGAACTATCTTCAATTATATTGTGATATTCCTCATTATTCACTTCATTCAATATAGTCTCAATTGAATGAATATTTATACTAGAATTTGAAATATCCCGTTTATTATTATCAATATATATATTTATATCTTTATTCTCATTTATATTAATCCTTTGTTTACTATTAAGTGGATGTTTATTAAAAGTTATATTAATATTTGTATTTCTTCCTTGTAAATATAAACATCTCCTATTACATAGGCTACAATGATATCTATATCCACAACTACAAGAGAGTGTTGTTAAATATTTTAAAATGTTATTAGCTCTTATATAATCTAAAATAATTACTTCATTTTGTTGACATGTCATTTTCAATTAAATATAAAATATTTTGTTCAGACTAAGCCACAAAAATATTATCTAAAGTTTCATCTTCTTGCCTTAAATATCCCCCTATATATCCCAATATTATTAATTTCGAGAAATTATCTGTATAAGTTTTAATATATTTATTATAAAAAAAATAAAGGAATATTAAACTCTTAGATGCAAAAAGAAAAATGTCCTCTTAATAGACTCCCCGCTTTCAGTATAACAGAAGATGTCTTAAAGATATAAAATTGAAGGGAATTATTCAAATATCTTAATAAATTTTATATTAAATAACCTCAATAAAAATAATATCATATAACTTTATGTAATTATTTTACTTTTTTTTTTTAGTTTATATATTGATTATTTATATCTAAATATTATACTACTGTATTATTTAATGGAATATTCTCATTAAGTATATTTTCTTAATCTTCCCTTTATTTTCTATAATATCTTACAAGATTGTGCTAATTATTAGAATATAACAGGATATATATTTAAGAAAATATATAATCTAAATAATTTGATCATCTTAATTAAAGTGTGTACAGTATATCCCTCCCCCCTTTCCTAATACCCTTACCTTTTTTATTGCTGCATAATAATAATACGTGGTAAAGACATGTGCTGCATGTATGATTAAGTCAAATTTTATTACTCTCAATAAAACCAATCTAAAGAAAAATGAGTACTAAAAGAAAACAAAAGAATATTGAATATGAACGAAGTATAAGTAGTCAAGAAAGTGATGGGATCTTTAAAACTCCAATGAATACAAGATCAAGAAAAGGTTCTGTATCAAGTACTTATGTAACACCAAAGAAACTAATAAGGCAGAATTCTATAGTAAATAAACAAAATAATGAAAATAACAGTGGTCCAATATTAATTTTTGAAGGGTTAATATTCCCAATAGTATTATTTAATACTATGGGTATTTTTGTAGTATTATTGATATTAATTTGTATATCTTTATATGAATCTAATAATTGGTTAGATTTATTTACAGATTTTTCATCATATATTCATTCTTCTGAATCTCAATTAATAGAAACTGAAACTGATCTTTCATTTGGAGAGGATGTTAAATTGGAAGTACAAGAAGCTTTTAATGAAATATATGGAGAAGGTAATAGAGGTATATATAAAGATGAATATGAAGATTTAGATGAATTATCATATATATTTGGAAATAGAAGATATTTTAATAATGAATCAAAAAATAATACTATTGAAAATTATTTAAATAATAATATCTTTTCATTAAAACAAGTAATAGATTTATCTATAAATAAAGGGAAATCAAAAATAAATAAAATACCTTATCCTTTAACTGAAATACAATTTTTTGATAATATTGACTTTCAAAAGGGAATTTCAAATTTTTTTTATAAAATAAAAAAAAATATATTTTCATATTTTCAAGAATTAGTTGATACAAATAAAGAATTAAAATTTTTAATAAATGAACAAGTTTATTATTTATTAGATTTTTCTCCAGAATATGAATTATTATTACCAAAAATTTAAAAAATGATTTTCCTATATTTAATATTAATCGACAAGCTACTTTATCAAGTAAAGATTATCGCATAATTGATGATATTTGTGTTCGAATTTTGAAGAATCATAAAAGACTTATATGTTCAAAATTGGAAATTTTAGTAATATTAGCTATATATGAAAAATATAAATCTAATAATGTAATATTATCAAAATATATACAATCATCTTATTTATTTATGTCTGATAAAAGACTTATTAATAATTTACCATATTTTACAGATGATCAGATGGTAATATTGAATATTTTATTCCCAGGTTTAACTAAATCATATGAAAATTTAACAAATAAGATTTTTAAATTAATTTATAAGAAAATTAAAGAATTTGATAATAATATTAAAGATTCAGATTTATATGAAATTATTAGATGGGGAATTTCTTTAATTATTACACATTCTCTTGAAGATAAAAATGGTGAATTAGCATTTGTTCCACTTGCAACAATAATACCACATGTACATTTAAGTAGTGGTAATAGTGAATTTTTAATTCATATTCCAACAAATTCTTCATTTATATGGCACTTTTATGAAAGTCCAAATAATCAGAATATAAAAATACCATATATTATAAATGAATCTAAAAATCAAGAAAAATTACTTGAAAATAATAATACTAATCAAAATAATAATCAAGAATTTTTTTTAAAAAATAGTATAAAAAATGAAATAAATACATTAAATAATAATGAAAATTTTATAAAACTTTATAGTTATTATGGTAAATTAAATAATATTAAATTTTTAATTCAATATGGATATATAATTCATAATAATATATATTCAACAACATGGTTTTTAAGAAAAATACCTTTTAATAATGAAAATACAGAAAATAATATGACACAAGTATTATATGGTGCTGATAAAATTATTTATAATTTAGAAAATGGAATAGATTCATTACCAAATTGGCTATATAATGAAAAAGTTTTAAAAGGAAATGAGATGTCATATCATATATTTAATAAAAAGAAAATAGAAACTATTATATATAATAATATAAATAAAGATTCTGATATTATAAATAATAATCTCAAATGTGATTACTCAGTATTTAATAATGGTGCTGGATTAGGTATTGGTACTTTAATATTTATTAATAATTATGCAAATATAATTGATCCAAAAGATTTCATTGGTGGAATAAATTTGAAAGTATATTTATGTTTACGTGAATTAATGTTTGGTCATATTAAATTATTTATTGAAAAAGAGAAATTAATCACTAATTTCATTTTAAATAATTGTGCCTCAAGGGTTCAACAACTTACTCAAATTAAAAATAATTTAATTGACAAATTTATGTATTATAAAAAAAAATTTTTTGAAAAAGATTACTTAACAATGTTTGATCAAATTAATATTGATTCTAAAAAAAAACAAGAAATTAGAATTAATATAATGATATTACATACAGTACTTGAAGAATTATATTCAATGAATATATGTTTAAAATATTTTAAAAAATTAAATATATATCTTAAAAAAAAAAAGAAATAATACCTTAGAAATTATTTTAAATAGGTAAAATTTATTTCATATATTTATAAAATCAATTATTTTTCAATATTATTAACTTTTTTTTTTCTCTTTTTAATATTCCATATTGTTGTAAGTTTAAGTTTCTTATTAAAAATATTACATTAGATAATAATTAAATATTATTTATTAACTTTTATAAATTCTTATTCTTATATTAGCTATCTCATAATTATTAATTTTTTTTTTTTTTTTTCTAATGTTATTATTGTAATATTTATACTTAATAAAATATATATATTTAACATTTTAATATTAAAGAAAAAAAGTTTAAATAAAGTATAGTTAGTATTTAGTAATAATTGGTTATAATATTAAAAAAAAAAAAAAAAAGAAATCTGTAAGAATCCTATTAATTTGAAATTACTAAGACTTTAATTTTATGGTTATTAACTTAATATAAAATATTGATTATATTATAATTAAATTATTTAGTATCTTATACTTTATTAATATCTTTAATTCTATATATTTGTATATACAAAGTTCTTCAAAATACCCCTAATACTTATTTTAAGGTTATTAAAAAAGTTAGAAATAATTAAATTTATCTTTATTATTAATATAAATAAATATATTAAATATTTTTATTTATTTTTAGGGTTTTATCTAATAATAGAAACCCTAAATTTATTAATATAATAGAAATATCTGTATACCTAATTATATTAATAATAGAGATTAAGAAAGAAAAAAAAAAAAAGTTTGATAATATTGAAATAATTGATTTTATAATTTTAAACTTTAATTTGAGTGTGTATAATTATTTGCAATAAACAGATGCAAAAAGCCGCTTCCCCATTTTTTATAAAGATTTTGACAATTTGATGAGTATATTAGTAGAGTAACATATTTACTTGTATATGTGGTCATTTTATAAGATATGGATATGAATGATGTAGGAAAATTGTTATTGACAGTTACTAAGAAGATGAAGAAGACAGCATCCCAAATTCTTCATCCACAAACACAACTTGAAAAGTGGTTAAAGGAGGCAACTTCAAACACTAATTGGGGATGTCCAACATCTATTTTATATGAAATATCTCGTTGTAGTGTAGATTATCATGATTATATTGTGATTCAAAAATGTATTTGGGAATCATTAGCTGATAAACCGAATAAATGGAGGAGAATTTACAAAACATTAGTATTAATTGATTATCTGATTAAAAATGGTGTAGATAGAATTGTTGATGAAGTCCGTGAAAATATATATAGAATAAGATATTTACAAGAATTTTATTATACAGAAGAAGGTAAAGATAAAGGAGGAGGTATTAGAGAAAAATCCAAAACTATTATTGGAATTATAAATGATCCTTTATTATTAAAAAATGAGAGAGAAAAAGCAAAAAATAATCGTAATAAATATATTGGTATTAATGGAAGAAGTCATATAAATAAATCTAATTTAATATCAAATAAAGTTAATAATAATACATATACAGAAAGATATGATCCATTTGAACCTAGTAATATATCTAATAATACAGTAAATTTTTCTACTATGAATAATAAACAAGATTTAAATAAATTAAATAAGGAGAGAATAAATAATACATTTAATAAATCTTTTAATGGAAATCAGATAAATAAATTTAATAAGAATTCAATAAGTACTTTAGGGGTAAGAAGATCAAAGATATATAATAATGAATCTAAACCTGATGAAATAATTGTGATAGCTGCACAAAAACTTGCTAATGAGAATAAAAATATATCAGAAGGTATAGAAAAAGATTCAGATACTGAGATATTAAAATTTAATCCAATATCAACAAATATACCAGAAACTATAAAATTTTCTGATAAATCTATAGATTTGAATGAAGATAATAGTAAATATAATACATCTGATTGGGGGATGTTTATTAGTGCACCTTTCTGTTCAGATTCAAAAAATCCATTTATTTTAGATAGAGAAGTTAAAGAAGATAAGAATTTGAATAATAATGATATAATTGATTTAGTTGATTTAAATATAAGTTCAAATAAGAACAGAAATGATGAATTATATAATTCTGAGGTTTTGAATAATGAATATAAGAAATTTGATATTAATGATTTGAAGATGGAATGTCTTCCTCAAGGTTTTTTATTGTAATATATTGATTATATTAATTTTTATTATAGAAGAGATTAGAAAAAAGAATGTATGATATAATTAGTATATTACAGAATTTTGATAATATTAAAATAGATTAATATAAATATTACACTATAAAATGATTGAATAATAAATTAGATATTATGGTGAATAAACTATTATGATAAGTAAATAATTACTAGATTTAATGATAATATCTGAATTTGCAGATATAATAATACATTTACCTTGATATAATTTCACAATTGATTGTGATTTATTAAGAAAGATTTCTCCTTGTCCATTTATACATAATATAATAATTGGAGATGTAGAAGATAACTTTTTTTTAAATATAGAATTTGATTTAACAAAATTTAATTTTTGTATATGAAATTGATTAATTGAATATATTTTATAATCATTTATAATTGGAGTAGTGAAATTAAGATTTTCTGTATGAAGAAAATATAAAAGATTAGAATTTATATGATTTAATTCTAATTTAGTATTTAGATAATAATTACATATTTGAGTTTCACATTGTTTCCAGAAATAAAAAGTATTATTATCAAAATTTAATGCACGTAATAATGTATTTTTGTCTTTATATTTTGTAGTTAAACCACATCTAATTACATTATCAGAATTACCCATACATTCTACACATTCTCCTAATAAATAAGAATGAATAGTTCCATCTCCAATAAATAATGAATCACCAGGTTCTAATTGGAAATAATTTAAGAAAATTGGACTAATAATTCCAAAATCATATGGGAAATAGGTATGTAATCTTAATATTAAAGAATCAATAATATTTATATCTTTTTCACTTTTTTTTTCAAGTTTGTGAATAATAGATTTTAATATTATAATAATTGTAGAATCAGATATATTTAATAATTTTGTAAATATATATTTCAATAATTCACTATTAGTTTTTGAAGATATGTTAGAATTATTATTATTATTATGATCAAGATTTAAATATAAAGATAATTCTGGATATTCTTTTAAAGTTTCAATTATATCTTCATATTTTCTAAAACCACATAATGCCTCAAATTTAGTTAAAGCTATAGCAATTTCAGGTTTAGGATTTGGATCTAAATAAATATTTGGTTGTTCATTAAAAAGTTCTTTTGCAACATTATGATTAGGATGAACCTGTAAAGATAAAGGTTTTGATATAGATAAAATTTTTAATAGAAATGGTAATACATAATTATTATTTAAATTATTAAGATCTAATCTTTCTTGTGTATTATTAATAAATGATTTATTAGTATATGAAATACCCAGAAAATCATTATCCAAATTATTTAAAGCTTTATTTAGATTAATTATATTTCCATCATTTATATAAACAAAACTAGGACCAGATTTATGTGTGCCATACCAAAGTTCTGCAAATGGTAATGAGATCTCTTTAGATGAATAATTTAAATCTCTAGTATGTTTAGAAAGTGAATAAACCATAGAATTCTTACCAAGAACACCCCAATCATAATGCTTAATTGTAGGGAATATATCTAAATACTCAATATTTTGAATTTCTTTATCCATGTTAATTAAAATAATAAGGAATTCTTAATTTTAATGAATTATTTGGAGCGGTTAGGGTTTTCCCTCTTAAATTGAAATTAATATTCATCATCTTCAAGATAAGGCCTAATTTCAATTTTAGTAAGCACCCTTCTTGCATATTCATGTAAGAATGAACAAGTCTGATTTGTTAATTGATTAGGATAAATGATATTAACGCGTTGAATAACTGTTTCAACTTTATCTTGACAATCTTCCTCAGATGTTATACCAATCATAGTTGCTAAAATATATTCAGCTTTTATTTTTACAGCCATAGACATAGATGTAATACATTGTATTGATGGAAGTAATAATAATATTAATAGGATATCTGATGCATCTATTTTAGTTCTAGCATTTATTGGTATCTTAAATAAGAGAGGATAATAATTAATATTTATTTTAATTTCTTCAATATAAATATTTTTAGAATCCTGGGAATGGTATATAAGCTCACATATTTTTAAAATTTGTAATAATAGATTAGAATTTGAAAAACCTGAAAATATCTTGTTTAAATCATCTTCAATTAGTAGGGGTAAAATATTAATAATAATAGATGCAGAAGTTCTATCCAGAGCATAAACAGATAAATATCCTAAATGTTTAATAATATTAACAGCTAATTTTTTTGGATTATATATTGTATTTGCTATTTGTATATTTTTATCACCACTTAACTTTAAAGAATTATAAAGATAAGAAATAATACATTTATAGAATAAAGGATTTGTAATATGAGGGGGAACTAAAATATCTTCATCTAATCCTTCAAATATAATATTTGAATTATACTCTTCATATTTAATTAAATTCCAAAGTTGTTTCCATCCAATTCCATTTGAATTTGGTTTTCCTTCTGTATAAACAAGATAATATAATACACGAGATGCTATCCAATGTTGAATAGAAGAATATTCAGTATTTAAATAACGCATTATAGAAAATAAAATATCTTGAACCTGATTAGCATTACAATAATACATTAAAAGTATAATTAATGTATTTATAGCAGCATCTCTACATTCAATTTCTTCATCAGAAGAATAGGCAACACTTTGACTAAATCCAATTAATTTATTTGTTAAATCTTCTGAAACAGAAATTTTTAGTGGATTTCCAATTAATTCAAGATTTTTTTTTGTATTTATATTTAATGACATTGTTATAGCATTAAATATAGCTCCTCTTGTACTACTACTAATACCAATTTTAGCAGCTGTAGTACATAAATCATCTAATAATGCTTGAGATCTATTTCCAATAAGTCCAAATAATAATCCAATACCATAACTACATTCATTCTTAGTACTAATATGAGAATCTGCAATATATTTAAGAAATATACTCTGGATTTGGGGTAATAAAGGACGTAATTGAGGTCCACATATAGTAAGACAAAGTACTAAATCATGTAATAGAGCTACACGAACAGTTACAGCTGTATTTCTATCTGATATTGCTCTAATTAAAGGTCCAGCCAATCTTACAATTAATGGTTTCATAGCATGAGCTGTAGAAATTGATATAATTTCACCAAGACCTAATGCAGAATTTTCTCTATCATCAACATTTCCTAATAAAATTCCTTGTAAATAAATACAGCTTAAGGGATCTAAGGCTGTATTTTTTATTTCATTATCATCTAAATTATCAATAGCTTCAATTTTATTAT